GCCGCAGGGGCTCCGTCCGTGGCCCCCACACCACAAGAGCCAACAAAAGGTCCGCCCGGAGGAGGCAAGAAGAAGAAGAAACGTGAGTTGCGCCACCGCGTGCCCGCTCATTCCCATTTCAACGCACCCTCCTCGCGGCGCAGGGACGGCGACGCTTCCACCACCACCAGCCTAAGGGGTCGCCGTACACGATCAGGTTCGCACGTACGACTGTATGCTCGTCAAAAGCAGCGCGCCACACATCCCACCCCGTCGTGCAGGTACGCAAGTACAACCAATGGTCGCCCTGTCATCGTAGAACTAGTGTACCGTCTATGGAAGTGCCCGCGCACATCGTCCTTCATTGTGCACATCTTCACACGCTCGAAAGACAATCTCGTGCGCAGCGCCCAGCGGCGCACACGCAGCCCCTGCCCTGGGAACCGACACTCTGCCGCCAAGTGCACTCCCCGCGCACGCCGACGCCGACGCCGCGGTTGGATAGCCGGAGGCTCCAAATCGGGCGCGCGTTGCGTCGTCGAAACCGTCCGTCACGACGCGAACCCTCGGTCTCGGGGCCCCGCACAGCGCCGCGCGTGCGCGACGCTCCCCCCGCCGCGGGGGCCGGGCGCGTGGGGCCACTGCTACCGGGACCGAGCGGGACAAGTGGCAACAGGATCGGGTAGCGGACGATGGGCGGCGCTCGCACCCTTTACCGCGCGCCGACGCCAGTGAGCCTGCCGGCGAGCCAGTTGAGCGGGGTCTGGAGGCCGGCGCTGCGCGAGCCGACCGCGCCGCCGCCGCCGAGGGAGAGCGGGTTCGCGGAGGCGAAGGACTCCTTGCGGGCCTTTGCGGCGTCTTGGACTGCGTTTTGCGGTTTCGGGAAGGACGGGGCGCAGGGGAGCGGTTGCGGTGTGGTGCGAGGGGGCGTCAGGTCAGCTCGGCGGGTTCAGGGGCATGCACGGAGGAAGCGGGGATGCAGGGAAGCAACGGGTGGAGGCTGGAAGCGAGGGAAGAAGGCGACAGGGGACCGGACGTACCGGCGCGGTCTATCTCGTTCACGTTCGTTTCGAGCACGAGCCCGCCTTGGATGACCTCGGCGAGGATGTGGTGTGCCTACGGGGAGGTGGGATGTGTGAGCGTGCGGGCGTGCGGGCGGGAAAGAGGGCAGCCGCGCGGGATCAGGGAAGGCGAAACACGGACCTCGTCAAAGTGGAAGACCAGATCGAGCTCACAGACGTTCTCGAACGCGCCGTCGAGGGACTCCACGAACACCTGGGCGGACACGGCAGTTTGCGGCGATGTTGCCGGCCGACGGGTGACGGCACCAGCAGGAATGGGACAAGGTTGGCAACTTGGCACGAGGAGAGTGGGAAAGGACGTGACGCACCTGGATGAGGTCGAGGATGCCGAGCTCGCTCTCTGCGCCATCGACGACGAAGACGAAGTAGAGAGTCGCGTAGCTGCGGTAGACGACGCGAAGCTTCTGCGCTGCGGCGTTCGTCTTCGGGTCCTTGGGCTTGAGGAAGGTGTCGAGTTCCGGAGCATCGAGGAAGTTGCAGAGCCCGGCCGGTCGTTGCGAGACCAGAGAGTAGATCTTCTCGACAAGTGCTTGCGGGGCCTGATGTATCGGGGTGTAGAACTTGGTCAAACGCGGCACGCCTGACGTGTTGACTGGGGCCAAGCCAGGTGAGCCAGCAATCAATGGAGAATAGAGGATGAGGAGGTCCTCACAGATCAACACCGCATGTATCATTACTCTTGCTATCCACGCACACACTAAAAAGCCTGGGTAGCGGAATGACAGAAACAAGAAAGTCTTGGGCAGTCAGAGTGTGCAGATGAAGGGGATCTGAGAGCAGCTTGGCCGTTCAACGTGCGTCGATGCAGCGGGAACGGCGGCCCGGAACCTGACATCATACTAAGACACTTTCCGAGAGTGAAGGAATATAGTACCGACAGTATAGATGGTTCTACTTTCATTGTCAATTAATGAGCTGACTAGGAATTCTGCTGCATAATTCAAGAAAGGCATCGATATTTGCTACACGAAACGCGCCCTTCTCCCAAAAAAAACCGAAATCAGCGGAACTCAATATCCTATTGGCACTCATTCTGCTTTCCGACGGGATTTGAGCGATAAATATTTTGGGCGGTCCGTAGGCACATCCTATCCTACGCTTTCGTTTTCCTCTCGGGCGGGTCGACAAAAATGTTGCGGATATACAATCGAGTTGGTGCAACAAGATGATGATGATGATGATGATGATGAGTTCATGGCAGAGCCTCTAAGTACCTTCGTAATTTGGTGCAACAAGAGGAGGACTCGCGTTGACTCGCGTGCATGCATCTTTCCCAAGCCGATCGTGAGACGGTAACAGTCATACCCATATCGGAACAAGCGAGCCAGACTGAGAAGAAACCGGGTACTCGAGGGTGTATGCATCGACGGTCTCCCTCGTTATAATATACAGAAGTGTGCTTTGTGAAATATTTTTCTCGGACGAAGGGTTGTACCACCCACCCTCTTCTTGCTTCCATGACCAACAGTCCACAACGCGCGCTCTTCGTAGAGCGCACGAAGGCAGTCGAGACAGTACCAACCTTGCTGAGGTCTCCCAATAAAAGTCAATGTCACTTTGAAAGATGGTAGCCGAGTCCGCGTCCTCGCGTTTGCCATCGAGCACAGGGCTTTTGACAGCCTTCTATGCATCTGGGAAGTCTTCCGAGAAGGGGGTCACAGCGATCCCTCAGGATAGTCTCTGCGCGTGGTCCTCACTGTAGAATGAGTCGTCGGTTGAGTGGCCAACGGTATCTAGGTTCGCGACTGAGCCGAATCTCTAGACGTTGAAAGGGGAACGCATGATCATTCCTTCCTATTTTCGTATACATCGCAGTTGTCCTCATAGTGGCCCTCGCGGTCGCTTTCATCTAAAGACACCGCAAACGCGTTAGGGTATTTACACATAGATCTTCGTACGACTCACCTCTGTCCCGCTCTAACGACCACCAGATCATGAACCGCTCCTCGTAGAGCTTTAGTAGACATTTGACGCAGTACCACCCATTCTTCGCCCATGTCGACTGGTATCGAGCCATGTCGCAGAACATGTTGACTTCAACGTTTTGCACGTTGTCATTAAGCGCATGGTCGATGATCGTTGTGCATCCGCGACTATAATCTGGCAGAAGACAGGGGAGAAGGTCGAAGTGCTTCCCCACCCGTGAGCATCTATATATCTGTGACGAGGCTAAAGCGTGTTTGTGAGGGCGAGTCGACGAAGGTGTCGACGAAGGAGACTGGCACACAGCTCACTCGGGACCATCCCCTTGGAGAAGGTGCCTACCCGTAATACTGGTCAGCACGGCGTAAGGATGAGTGAGGCCACGAACTCACAGAGCTTTCGCATATTCGACGCCGTGCTCAGGATCGCACTAATAGAAAGGCTCGGATCACAGAGGTCTTTGATGATCCTCTTCTTGGCAACACCGGCGATGAGAGCTCCGTCTACGAGGCCCCACGCCATGCATAACCTGGAAGACCTTCGACACGACCCAGGGCTACCTTCTTCTTCATGGCCACGATCTTCGGGTTCGTCAAGAACAGCGGCGGGAAGGTGTCTCCTGCATACTCGCATGGCTGTTGGTCAGTTCAAGGGCAAAAAAAACACGGGTTGCAGTCCCACTCACTCGCAATGGGCACAGCTTTCGGACGCCAGAGGAACGCTAGGGTAAGGATTCGTCTCCATCATCTCCTGGACCGACAGCGCGCTCAGAAGGCGTGCTCTCATACTAGCACTGGTTTCCTGCTATTCCTGCTCTTCGAGGGGTTTGTTCGCCGCCTTGTCCTCGTCCTGTTCGCCCTCCCTCGTCCTCGTCCTCAAAGTCCTTCTCAGCATCGCGCATATACGCCGAACGGACCCGTCTCGAGCATCTCCGCACAAAGCCAGATGCGGTAGAACACCCGGTGAAACCGAAGCGTCTCCACGGGATCGAGCCGGCCGTCCTCGTACCTGGGTAGGAGCGGACGCGGGGTGAGCACGGGAAAAGCCCTCAAACGAGATCAGGAGGGGTGGCGACGCACCTCACCTCCCGCGCATCCGCCGCGTGGACGACAGCCAATACGTCCCACAGCTTGCGTTCGGGGACCCAATCTCAGCTCGATCGGCGAAGCGTCGCGCCTCGGAGTCGGGGAGCGCCACGCGCGGACGTCGCCGTGCCGTCCTAGCCGAACAGTGAGGTGGTGGTGGACGAGGCGGACGGCGGGCGCGAACGCGGGGTGGACGGGCGGCATGCAGCGCCGCGCGCACGTTAGTCCGCTTGTGGACCGTAAAGACCTGGGGTGTCCGTTTACAGACACGGATGACGGTGGCAACGGGGGAAAATCCGGGGGCGTGTGTGAGGATCTTGTGGATGAGGCTCCAGAATCGGAGGGTGGAGTAATTTGCAGGCATCATTGTCGTGGTCCGTGCAGTGGGAAAGGGGAACCGCGAGGTGAGTAGCCCGTCTACGGGACCGCTGTGGCGGATCGCCGGCGTGGGCCCGCGCCGGCGAAGCCTTCGGACTGGCCTCGGTACCAACGAGATGATGGTGGTCTTGTGGAAGGCGCTATGGTCGAAGACACACTCGTATCATGCACGTGATCGTGTCGGGATCGAATTCATTGAAGTGCTCAAGCGTGAACTTTGGCACAGAGTCGTCGAATTATCGTCAATAGATTAGACGACCCAGTTCACTTATATTGGGGCAAGCACTCCAGCACGGTACACACTAAGCTAAAAACAGTGCAATGCAAAAGCCCACCTAGCTCCGAGCCTGGATGTGCTGTGTCAACGTATTAGGGATCGAGCCTCGCCCGTTTGTCATATTTAAAAGTGTCAGTCAAAAATACATTTGCAAGGATCTGTGACTAATAGTGCCCATCAACAGTAAGAAAACAGAGCGCGTGACAGAGACATGGTTGTTCAACAGACTCCAGACTCCAGAGACCACTAGTCGAAGTCCTTGCGATTACAGCCCTCTTATGCACCATTTCCCCGCGTGGGAGTGCACAAGTGCTGTGAAGGATCGTCGTCAGATTCGCCCTTGTGAACGATGAGGAGATATGCGTACGTTTAGCTTCGTCGCATGCGCTTCTCTGTGGGTCATCGTGCGGCAATTGTAGCCGTACCTATATCGCCAAAAGATGTTGAGCGACTATCCAGCGCAATCATCGCCCGAACGAAAATAACGCACCAGCAATCATCAAGCACAGGGGCACCATCTGAACGAAGGTACAAAGTCAGCATTCGGCGGTGGTGAGCGGCGGTCAGCGGAGTCGGATCCATCACGCACTCTTCTCCTTGGTGACCTTCCACCATTGCATGAAGCGCTGCCGATAGAGCTCGCAAAAGCACTCGCGGCAGTACCACCCGTCCTTCGACCACGACTCCGCGTCCGGGCCCATGTCGAGGTCGACCATCTCATGAAAGAGCGCGGCCTCGTCGACGGCCTTGCCTCCGTTCTCATGCCACAGGTGGCCATACATCGCGTCGCACTCCCACTGGTTGCTCATCAGAAGCCCCGGGAGGAGCTTGCGATCTTGCAGCCTGCACTCTCCCGCGATAATCCAGGCGTCTGGAAAACGTGTCAGAGGAGACGGGGCTGAGACGCCGGCACACGTACTTGGAGAGCCTATGAGCCTGGTACCCTCTAGGGCCTCACAACGGGTACCTGCACCAAAATTCAGTCGAAAACGCGTTCAAAGACTTGGGGGCCATGCACGCACAAGTATCCTTGCGGCCAGCGACGGTGGACAGGATGGTTGTTGGCGAAGTTTCATACTCGTCTATCGTCTCCTTCTTGACCTTCCGGGAGGAGAGCAAGGGTCTCACAAGACTGGTGAAATCAGGGACGTCCGAGTGACTGCTGACCCGCACCGCTGCCTGGATGCCGGCAAGCACGCCCTCAGGGAGGGTTCCTGTAAACTCGTCAGCAGGAGAGACGTAACGTGCGGCGGACCGTCCATCTTACGACGGTATTTGTAGTTTGCGTGTACGACGCCGAGCCAGCCCACCGTCTCTTGGAGATATGAGCCGATATGGATGGCTTCCAGTAATTCTTCGGTGGGCAAACTCTGGAAAAGTTGTGTGACTTGGGCATGCGCCTGTTTGTGCTTACGGTTGTCGTAGCCGTCGTCGTCGTCGTCGTCATCATCCTCATCGAACCCGCCGCGGTATAGGTCGATGAAATCTTCATAGAGAGCGGCCCAGAGCCACAAGCGATACAGAGCTCTGTCAAACCTCATTGCTTCCACGGAATCTAACATGCTCTGCAGGGACTTGCGATCCTTGTTTCTGGGGGGGCCGACAGTCAGCTCGACGGACGGTGCCTCTATGCAGTCCCGAATGGACGTACCGTTGGCTATAGAACGCTTGCAGGTAGCGCACTTCTTGAGTATATTTCATGCGACGCAAAATATCGCGCGATGGCGCCCAGTCCAAGTCTTCAAAGTAACTCTCTTCGGGGAGTGGTGGGTCGTCTGTGAAAGGTCCATAAAGCCTGATGTGGGCGAAGCGGGCTGCCTGGACCCATGCCGGGCCTGCTACGTTCTGCAAAACAGCGCGGACGACGAGACGTTTGCGGGAGTTGAAGACGTCGTACACGTTCTTGGAGACGCGGATTGTGGCGCCGAGGTCGTGGAAGTCACACATACAGAGGAGGGTGTCGTGAAGCACGTCGTCAGGAAGGTTGGAGAAGTTCGCAGCCATGTTGGATGACCAGTAGGTGGCTGGGTCTCGGTGGTGGGTATGAGCGAGAGGGAGGCCGTTATATGGCACGAAGTGAGGGAGTCACGATGACGCCCCTAATGTCGCTCCCTGAGCGGATACAGCCACGGGCGCCAGAGGCGGTCCTGCGCCGCGAGATGATACGAGGCACGTGACTTGATACCTGCGTGGACAGATCTGGACAGATCGGGGACCGGCCCGCAAGGATGCTGCGCTCGCTGCCAAGCTCGGGAAAGCAGGTCGGAGCGGGGAGATCAGAATGAGACAGGCGGGCCGTGTGGTGGGCCTCGAGGAGGGAGCGGCAGGGGCGGAGGTGGTCGAGGAAAGGCCGGGTGGAGAGTGGGCAGCAGCGACTTGGCTTGTGCTTGGCAGTAACGGAGCTATATCTGGGCGGGCTGGTTGAATGATGTGTTCTATTGCGGGCGGAGAAAGCTGGGCGAAGGACGGCGGGCGGGTCCGGGAGGCGCGCTCCGGACAGCAGACGACGCAGCGGGCGCGGCGGTGGCGAAGAGGGGCTGGAGGAGCAAGGCCTGCAAAAATAGGCGGACGACAAGCCTCCGTCTGCCAAATCCGGCGTGCCAAGCCAACCCCCCAGGAATAGCCACACCGCCCATGCTTATTTCGGGGACCCGCCACGGTCCACTCCTCCTCCTCCTCCTCCTCCTACCTCCTCCTAGCACTTTGCTCTCCTGCCCACGCCCACCGTGCACCGCCCGTCTGCGCGCCCTCGCGAACGGCATGGGTCGCTCGCGGGCAGGGCGAGGAGTGCACGAGACGCGGGACAGGCAGGGTGGGACGGGTTCCGAGCAAAGCTTGGCACGCTAATTTTACTTACTCTCCAGACGGAGGGCAAAGATAGTGCTCAGACTTGGCTTCGCTCAAATACGCTCCCTGCGCCCAGTCTCGTCACCAAGCCCGACCCCTCCTCAGCCTGCCCCACTCGACCCATGGCCACCCTCCCGTCCCCGCCACCACACGCCCTCTCGCCCGAGCCCGCCTACTCCCGCCTCCCGCACCCGCACCCAGACCTCACCATGAAGGCTCTCCTGGCCTCCTCCCTCCGAGTCCTCGACCAGGTACGCGCCGGCCCGCCCGCGCCTGCACCGCTCTCCCGCTCACGCACCTGGACCCACAGCCGCCCCCGCCCACCCTCCGCGAGATCCTCGAGGCATACAAAGCCCGCGGCGACGGTGACCGCGACATGCTCCTCGCCATGCTCAACGCAAAGAGTGCAGAGGACCAGGTGAGCTGCCCCCAACCTCTACGCTCCCCTGCACGTGCTCACCCTCCTCCCAGCGACTCGCGTCTCACGCCACCCTCCACCGCACCCTGCTCGACTTCTACCACGCCCCGCCTCTCCACCCCGTCCCGCCTATGCTTGCCATGCAGCTCTCGGACGGCCCCCACTCCGCCGCGTCCTCCGCGTACCCGCACCCGCACCACTTCCCGTCCCCTCCGGCGTCCTACCACCACTCCCCGCCCGCGCTGCACGACGACCCCGCGCACGTGCGCCGCCACCACTCGCGCTCGCCCTCCGCCGCGCTCGACCCCCGCCCCTCGTCCTCTTCCATCGGCCAGGCCCCACGAAAACGCCGCCGCACGTCCCAGTCGCCCCCGCCCCGCACGCGCGCTTCGCCTCCGCCCTACGCGCGTCACCACCACTCACACGACACGCTCCCTCCACTGCCATACTCACCGACATCGTCCGGGGGCTCGCCACGGTCGCGCGAGTCGATGGCGATCAACTCCCTCCTGCTCACGTCGCATTCGCGCGATGAGGACGGGCCAGTGCGGCACACGAGCTCCGAACGGAGCACGTCGATGGGTTCGCGAGATCGATGATCGTCGGCCGCTCGAGTTTGTGTCCTTTCGGGTCTTCTGTCGTCGCTGCACGATGGCCAGTTGTACGATACCGTATCTTAGCACCCCTCTAGTCGCTCTCGCCCGCCCTGTTCTCGGGCTGTATTTGCCCGCCGTCGTCTCCGTCTGTCGGTCGGTCGTGTGTTGTCTGTCAAGGTCTCTGTCCATCTCCTGTATCACCCCGCGCGCAGCGCTCTCTGTATCATACGCAGTGCCCGTCGAGGCCCCGCGGCCTCGACCGAGTAACCTAATCCTCCGCGTCCCTTTGGGCACGCCCGCGAATTTACGTGTGCCCAGCTGTGGATCAGCGCAGCGTCCGCGTGCCGTCGTACGTGTCGCCGTGGACGTCGCGCGCCGCCAAGTTGCAAACGTCGTGCCCATCGATGGGCCGCGGCGGTCGGCAGGGCTATAATTATCGGCCTCCAAGAGCTCTCGCGCGCCCGACAACCGTGGGCGAGGCCGCCGCGCCGTCTCTTGGCGTGATTCCCACCGCGGCCGGCACCTTGGCGGCGCGGACCCCCGGCCGAGGCCTTGGCGCGCGACGCGCAGAGCTTGCGGGGGTTGGCTTGGGAGTCGGGAACGCTCTGATCTTCGACGGGCCTGATAGGCTAAAAGCGAAAGGCTCTGCGTGTGCGGCGGCGGGCCAAAGAAAGACGAGGTGGCAGCTGTGTCTGACAGACTCCGACGGCGTCGAAACGTGGGGGGACGCGTCGGGCCTTCGAAGCTTCGAGCTTCAGGCCCATCAGGCCCGGAGGCGGCGCCGGTGCGCAGCGCGGCTGGAAGGACGAGGACGAGGACGAGGATGAGCGCGGACCACACACGCCTCGGGCTTGTCTGGTCGGGCCCTGGCTGCTCCTTGGTGTCTGGAGTCCGACTCTGGATGGCGGCCGCTGGCTGGACGGAGGAGATGGGCGCACGAAGACGCGCGTTCGGTCCCGGGACGCAGCGGGGCGGGGCGTGCTGTTCCGATGTGCGCGGAATGAAAACAACGACGAACGCTTGTGAACACGGTCCGACGAGCAGACACTCAGACGAGCGTGGTGCCGGAGACGCCCGGGATCCGGGCCGGTGTGGCCGGGGCAAGCGCAGTCACCGCCGCAGTCGTTGGACGACCTTGGTTCTCGACATCCTCCAACGCATCTTGACACAACGTGGCTGGGCACAACGAGATCCACCGCAGCAGCGTATTCCGTGTTCACATGCTCTCGAGCTTCTTGAACCGTGATTTCCAGAGACTGTTGGCTGCGGACAGCTGCGTCGAAGCTGCGTCGGCGATTGTACTGCAGGAATCAACGCAGACCTTGCGAAGCATATGGAGAAGAGACACAAGTACCTCTGCGCCGCAGCCGAAGACCACACCCAGATACGATGCATACAGTGAGTTCGTGCTGCGGCATCGGGTCCGCTACTACTGTGCCAATGGTGTATTTTGACTGTCGCTGACTCGCCCACGCACGCAGTTCTGCGCCGTCGCACATTTTGAAACGTCTGTCATGGTGAGCGCATGCCTGTGGCGAGCGAATGACGGCCGGTGTCTTACCTTCTCCCGCGCCAGAGACGTTGGTCAGCGCGAACGCCCTGCGTGCCAGAGTCGAACTCGGTGAGTCGAGCCGAACCATATACATCGCTGCCTGCTCACCCCAAGGCGTTCCGGAGCGAACAGACCCGTTTCGTGGCAATGACATGTCCATCCACGCTGGTTCAAACCACACCCGTGGACGGACGGATAACTTCCGCACGGTATGCTTCGACGACAGCAGTCTCGGGTCTCCACTCCGCTCTCGGCCGCCTCATGTCTTCGGACCGCCTGACAGTCACCGGTGGTTCTCAAGCCGCAACAAATCCTCAGAGCCTCCGTCTCACCGTTCCCTTCACAATGGAGCGAGAACCCTTGAAGACCCTTCGCCGTCTTGTGGCGTTGCCGTGAGGCACATACACGTGAACCTTGCTGCTTGGGGCGCGGCGCGCGTGCATCGAATGCATTTTGCGTTGGATGCATTCAACACCCTGGATCCAGGTTTTCTCCAGACCGTTCCCGTCCCCCCTGTTCCCTGGGGTCGGCACGAGTTCTATCCCATCCCACGGTGTAGTGGGTTCATTCCCGTCCACCCTCCGCCGCCCGAGCTCACACGTCCCGCCTCGTTTTCACGGTAGCCCGACGGCGAATACACTCCTCCAGACGCCACGCGCGGGCGCACCAAGCGACCATCTCCGCCTCCCCGATAATCACCATCTATGAAGGCGCGATCCAGACACCGGCCTTCCTGGATAGAACGGACATGAGCCCCCGATGCCGCTCCCCCGTCGCGCGGAAGGCAGCCCAGCCGCATTCCTAGTACCACTCGCCACAGGGTCGCCAAACCTTCGCCAGCCGTCCGGACACGCGACGCGCGGATCCTCGAACGCGATCCCCCAATCGCCGGCACGAGCGGGACGCCCATCTTTTTTACCCCCTCCCTAATTCCCGAAAGAAGAGATCGCGGCCCGCCGCGCTACGCTCGTCCGTGTGTGTGCGCGCGCGATCCGTGCACCGTGCGCGGCGCGTGCGCCAGGGTCTGTCTGTCCGTCCGTCTGTGGACGCAGACCTCGTCCAGTACTGATCCCGACGAGGACCCTGCCGCGTGCCTCCCCGAGAGCCCGCAGACTGCGCATTCCCTCCGACGCGACGCCTTCCATCGAACGGCGCTGTGTGGGCGCGGGCGCGATGCACGCCCGCGGGCTCGCGCGGGACGCCCTTTCATCCCCGTACCTCCCTGGTGACGGGGCGCATCGAATCACCACGTCTCCGAGGACCGCTCGCAGGTCGGCGTCGTGATTGAGGGGCACGAAGCCCGCCGGGGCGTCATGGTTCTATGGATGGTAAGCAGACCTTGCACGTACATGTGCGCAACGCTTTGTAGTTTTGCGGCGTTATCATGTTCTAATTTGTAGGTGGAGTGATCCGTGGATCCGATTGATCAATTGACAGGCTTAGCTCGATTTTCGACGGCGATAGCATCGCAAGCGGCGTGCCATACTCAAGAGTCGCCAGCACATTCTCATCGAGACCTGTTGAGATGGACCGGGTAGACTTCGATCCGTCAAGACGAGCTCATCCGGAACAACTCGATGACGACCACGCGCAGCGGGGCGTAGATTCCAGAGACGGTTGTCGCTCCATTCCCACAGGAGTCCGTAACTCTGAACGCGAGGAGCTGGAAACCACAGCCGTCACGTGGGAACGACTCACCCACTACATATCCCTGTTTTCGAATCTGGACCCGAGGCACTTTCGGCGCAGAAAACGCGCCCCCAAGTGATCTCAGGACCCGCGGCTAAGTTGTCGAACGTAGGCTCAGGTTCAGCGGGGACCACGCGGTCTTCTCGGGGTAGCATCTAAGTACATGTAAACGCATCAGCAGGGGGTACCCATAGTCTTGATGTAGACGGACTTGGGACGTCATGGAAAACACAGTCATGTATAGGAAAGTGGTAGGACGCTTGGTCGAAAATATGGTGTTCATCAAAGACCGCATGCGCCTCGCTCCACTGTGCGTTGGCAATGAATACCATCGTCGAGATTCCCAGATGTTCTAAGCAATGTTAAGCATCCATGTTCAAGGATATGTTCAGCGTGCTCGCGCGTCGTGTGGGCTCGTCGGTTACAGCAGCAAAGGGTATTTGGCAGACGGCTCGCGAGGCGTCGGATATTGGATATCGGCATTGGGTCGTCCACGGTTAATGGTCTTTGCCGTAGATGAATCGAAATTGGAGGGACTATCCGGATTTTGAACATAGGTAGGATATATGAAGGACTGAGAGAATACAATGTGAGCGGAATAACAATTTACGAGTAGCGAGTGGACAGAATGGTGCAAGCACCGTGACCACGCTTCATCTTGCTGAGTGGACGGGCGTACTTGCATAGCGGTGCAATCTTCCATGTGTGATGATTGAAATGAAAAATAGGGCGCCATAGCGAGGAGGAGAACAAGGACTCGTGGAGGCAGCGGTTCAAGTTACAAAGCCAAGGCGCGTTTAGCCTCGCTCCCCCTCGAGGGGATGACCGTACACAAGCGCGGCGCACAACAATGCGGCCACCGCCGTGGCTCCGGAAGTTATAGCGTCCACAAAGTGCGGGCTTACCGACGTTTTGGGCCGTCACCTCCAGGTGCTCGACATCATAGAGAGGATAGATTAGCTAGGGAGAGCAATTTTCAGTAATTGCTTTCATCGGCAAATGTCTAACGCACTCGCGCCTCGCAAACCTCGACTCGACGCAAGGTTCTTCGCCTGTAACAATATGACCGCATCTGCTGACGAAAGCGAATTGCAAAGCATGATCGCGGAAGTCGGATATGTATTGCGGAAGGACGTTCACGTTCGCGGACGCCCCACAATGAGACAAGCCAATAGGAGCAGCAAAACCGAGACAAACCCACCAGGTTACGCGATGACGTGTCTTGAAGAGCCCCTAGATGTCGCAACCAGCACAATACCTGTGTGACACCATGCACCGCACCTGCACTCAGTGCGCGGGATACAAAAGCTCAGTGACCCAAAAAAACTTCATGCTTGAGTCGACCTAGATGGGAAACACAAAGAGCTTTGACTGTTTGGAGTCGGACATGCCGTGGGCTGCAGCACCGCGAGGGTTGGGATTAGGAGAGTGCTGAGGATGTTGAGACGATGTGCAGGTACCGCGGGTTGGCACTCGCCTCTGGCACTGATCGTTCGGGACGGCTGCGGATGACGTCAACACTGTCTCGCCGCCCACCATCCAGCATGCGGCATTCCAGGAGCGGTTTGCGCATCGATGTGTAGGAAACCATCAATTGCGGGCCTAATATTAAGGGCCTTGCAAGTGTCTGGACCTGGCCAAGTTCGGGCTACGCGGCGCGCGCGGCCTCTTTCCTCGTGGCACTTTTCAATGCGTTTTGCTTTACGTTCTTGTCTTGATCAATTGCACGGACAGCGGTACGACCCGATGCGCGCGGGATGTTTGTAGTCTCCCCCGAATCATAACTCCTCCGAAGCGTTCATGTTCGAGCGCGCTCCGCGTGTCGCTCGTCCAGGATTTATGGTTGTATGAACCATCTACTAGTATTGATCCCGACTGAATCTCAAATGCCCTCCAGGGACTATATGTGCGGCGCCCGCCGCCTTCGCCCCGACCCAGTTCCATCGAAAGGCGTACGCGTGTCAGGGCGACCGGGGCACACGCGGGACGCCCTTCATTCCCGTATCTCCTCTCACTGAAAGCCGCTCCTTCCATCGGGTCGGCGTCGGCAGATATCAGACTCGACTGGAAGCCCGCGGCACTTTGTGCCATGTAAGTACACACCGGCGCCGGGTACAAGCTCGAGACCACCCGCGACGACACTTAAGGGTTCACGTGCCGTCTTCCGTCCTTCCGATTTCTGCGCTGTATGTAGGGTATCATTGACATTGCAAGATTCCGGACGCTCTATCACCTCCACCGTTCCGCCCGTGCGCATCATCGTACACCCGCGCCCGACGATACTCCTCCTACATACATACATGCGGTCGTGAGGGTCGTAATCGTAGAATACATGATACATGACATGATAAATCATCGGAGAGCCTCGACCTATAGATAGACGACGGATAGATAGGACTCCCCTGCCACGCGCCGCTCAGATACGCATATGTGGACGCGTGCGCGCGCGGCCGCCCAGAGCGAGAGCGTGGAATGCTGGGCGTCGATAATAAACATGCGGCTCTACCGCGTGCCGGTGGCGTCGGGGAGACGGGGAAGGCGACGATAGGACCTTGCGTCACCGATCCCCGTGTTCTTGCGCCAGGACGCTCAGAGGCGGAAGAAGCGAGACGACTTGAGCGGCCGTGCGGTCGCGGAGTCGGTCTTGCTGGTGGCCTCGGCGCTGGCGCTAGCGCTCTGCTCCTTGCCCGAGGTCTTGCACGCGCCGGAGTCGGTCCAGACGTCGCTCGTGCCTGCGGAGAATGACGGACACCCGGGAGGTGAGCAGGGGAGTGTCGGCAAATAGGGAGGGGAGCTTACTGCTCGGCGTCTCGTCCTGCGTCCACCACTTCGCCGTCCACAGGTGGCCGCTGTGAGAGAACACAACAGGGGACGGTAGCAAAAGGGGCAACGAGAACAGACGCGGGAAAATTCCGAACGAGGCAGCAGGAGCGAAATGACCGAGAACCAAAGTGTACGAAAGGGCGCGAAGGCGAAGGCGAAGGCGAAGGCGAAGGCGAAGGTGAAGGTGAAAGGCGAAGGCGGGGTCGGGGGCGCGTCAACAGGCTTGCCGGCGAGTCGAGCCGCGGGGGACGATGACGCACTTGTAGGTCACCTGCTGGCCGCCGTTGTACGCGATCGAGGAGTCCCAGGCGGCGACACCCGCGCAGTTGCCGGTGCCCGACGTCGGCGCGCTCCCCGCGCTGGTGGTTGTGCTCGAGGGCGCGTTTCCTGCGCAGGCGCTGACTGTCCGAGTCGCGGACCGGGCGGAAATGAAACAAGAATTAAAACAACAGACATTGCGATCAGAACGGGGAAGTCGGTGGGAGAGGAAATGAAGACGCACTAGGCTGCCAGTCGCCGTTCATGTCCGCCTTGGGCGCACCGGAGGCATACCACTTCGCCTGGGAATCCATGGCGGCAAATCAGCGAGTGAACCCCCGGGGGGTATGCGAACGCGGGAGGCTTACCTGCCATATGTAACTGTGCACAGGAACATCGACCAAAATGAGCTCGTCTGCAGGACCAGCAAGAATTTTTCTTGTTCACGCACCCGTTGTAAGAGACCTGGCTCCCACCAGGGTAGGTGCCGCTAGCCGACCAGGCCACCGCAGAGCATGCAGGGAACTCGAAGCCAGTGCCCCCGGCGGCGACTAGCGCACTCTTGGCTGCCGCGTCGTACCGGTTGTTCGCTGACAAAGCCAGCTCTTCAGCCCCCGACGCTAACTCGTTTCGTGTACCGGGCGGTGCTCACCATACGCCTGCGAGGCATCCCACATCATAACCCCTGAAGAAAAAAGAAAGTTGAGCCACACGAGCGTCCAACGACGGGCTTCAGGGCCGTGCGGGCTACTGACCTCCGAAAGAGGGGAACCGGTCCCGGGTCTTCGCGAGGATCGTGGCCAGGGTCGACGGATCCACGTATCCGGAGCCCGCGGCGGTTGATGACGCGGGCGCGCCGACGTAGACCTTGACGTTCGGGTTTGGACTGCTCCTCGCCCAGATGTCCCTGGGGCGATGCGCGCACAGCCTGAGACAAATCCGCCGGGCCAAGTGAAAGAGAGCAACTCCTCACCAGAGACCAAAATTAAAGCCCTAGTACGGACGGCGATTGAGCGGACATGTGACGGATGTTTCAGAAGGCTGGGAAGCACTTACGTTCGAGCTGTTGTAAACGTTCAGTCCGCAGGGGTTGTTGTCTGGGCGAGCGTGCGAAGCCAAGCTGTGAGGATCGCCCGCAGATTGGTAAAGGCTCCGGGAGAGACGTACAGAACTGGACGTAAACGGCGTCGAAGGCGACGGAGTTTAGGGTGCTGCCGAGAGATGCGTCGGGGTATACGCATTGGGGAGCACCGGTGATGTAGTATCTGTCGCACGACATATCAGAGGCCGGATTACACACGATGATGGACCCAAGAAACGTACTTCTTGCTAGCAGAGCTGAAGTAAGAGCGGAGACGGTTCACAAACGCGACGTAACCCGTGGTGCCGCCTCCCTCGATGTCGAGGTCGACGCTGGAAAACAAAATGGAAACATACGTCAGCGAACCCATGCTTTGATCGCCGGGTGAACCCACGCACCCGTCGAGAACGGCGTCGGCAAACGGACGGGTGGAGCTCGAGCCACCGAGGAAGTCGTTCCAGATGGTGTCGGCGAAGCTCTCGGCCTGACTGTCGGACTGAAAGCCGACGGAGGCGCCCCCGCCACCGAGGGAGAGGGTGACGGCCTTGCCCTTGCTCTGGCACGTCTTGACGTCGGAAGCGACCGAGGCGCAGTTCACGAGCCCAGTGCCGGCGAACGTCGCGTTGTCCTTCGGGTTGCAGATCTACGCGGGAGTGAGCGAAACGTTCTCATCGAGCATGGAACATAGAAACGACCGACGTTGGCAAGGTCGAGCACCGGGGCACCGCCTGTCCCGAAGAAGGTGCTGATGAACGCAACGGGGATGACGTCTATCGAGTCATCCTGCAGGTACGAGAGTGCGAAAAAAGCGTGAGCGGGCTGGCACGCGAGGAAGGCGGGACGGAGCCCCGACGGACCTGGCAGTAGAACGAGAGCGTCTTCTGGTAGTTCGCGACGTCCGAGTGTGTGGCCCCGTACGAGTTCTGACCCCAATATCTGGAGGCGACGCAGCGGAAGACGTGAGCGAGTGAATGCGACCCTCACCCCCGGGCCGGCACGTGCCCGGGAGTGGGGACAAGGAAGAGTTCCATGACTGACATCGCCACCTGGTACAAAGTCCGGCGATCAGTACTCCACGGAGCCAGGCACAGCAAGGGCGGGCACACGCACATTGTCGAATCGGCTGCCGTCGAAGGCGGAGGCGAGCCGCGCACTCGCGAGCCCGAATGCAAGTGCGGCGGCGGCACAAAGGGGGCGTGGCGGGAAGCTGAAGGCGGCCATGGCGCGTGGGTGTGCGATATCTGAGAGGATCAGCAAGAGCTCTGCAGAGGTCCAGCAATGCATGCTCGCAGCCTGCGAGGCTTATAATCCTGTTGCAGGCCGAGAGCACGCCGACGGAAGCCATCTGGGTCGGACAAGGTTCATCACGGGTCCGTCGAGCAGGCTGGAAAGCATGCGGCCGCCTCGACGAACAGCGTGCGTGCGCGGCGAGGAAGGGCGAGTACTAGAGCGCGGTCCGCGATAGAACGGCGGGCGACGCATGGCCCGTCTGATCCCGCGTACACCATGCGTGATACACACTTAAGGCTCCCTCGGACCCGCCTTCCCTCCTCCACGTGCTCCCGCCGCCTCTCCATCGGATAAGACTGGCGGGCTATGAATGGAGCTCGCACCCACCTTGCATCCCCGACACCCCCAGGACGCCGCCGAATCGCAGCCAGAGTCCGCAGATTTGGATACAGCAAGCGCAACATCGGTCGCTAGCAACGAAGACAGGACAGAGCTACGACGCACTTCCTCCGTTCTCCTGCACCGTCGCGTTCCGCACCGGATCTGGCGCGCAAGAAGTCAGTCATATGAACGCGTCCTCGTGCCAGTGAACGCCCTACCGAAGTACGGGTGGCCTTGCGCCTCGCGCGCAGTCAGACGTTCCTGGTGGTCGTAGCGCAGGAGCCGATCCAGCAGGTCAATCGCCTCGTTCGAGATATACCGTTGGTTCTCTGACGTCGTGAACCGCGCCCACGCCTTCTTCGGGTAGCTGAAATCCGCGTCAGCATACATCCATGCACAATATATGCGTTGTACGGCACTTACTTGCCAAGGAGGTCGTCGTATTGCGGGTCAAGCGCGATGTCGTACTTGTCTATGTACTGATACAATCCCTCGGTGCCCAGCACCTTGGTGATCTTGACGAGTTGATCATAGTTGTCGTGGCCGTGGAAGAATGGCTCCTTCCTGAAAATCTGTAGTACAGGACTGAATGCTGCGTATTATGACGACTTCCACCCGAAAACGCACCATAGACGCGAACATACAGCCATAGCTCCACATGTCCAAGCTGTAATCGTACTCCTGGAAGTCCACCAACAATTCTGGACCCTTGAAGTAACGCGACGCCACTCGGACATTGTACGCCGTCTTTGGGTGGTAAAACTCGGCCAGACCCCAGTCGATCAGGCGCAACTTCGCCAAGTATGAGTATCGCGAGGCAGCCACGCGTGAAGGGAGCACCCACCTTCCGCCTTTCATGGTCTATCATTACATTGTGCGGCTTCACATCACGGTGCATTATGCCCTTGGAGTGGCAGTAGTCCAGGGCCTGGCCGAAACCGAGTGAGGAAGGGGGCTAGGTGGGGGAAAACACGACTGTGGCGCACCTTGAGCAGTTCATACATGTAGAAACGAACATCGTAATCGGTGAAACGGGGGTATAGGAGCTTGAAGTCGACATTATGGACGTATTCTGTGATGAGAGAGGGGATTTTGGACGAAGGGTCTCGGACGACGTCCAGGAGGGCGACGATATTGGGGCCACCAGCGAGGTTTTGGAGGATCTTGATCTCACGCTTTATCTTCTTCTTCTTCACGGGCTTGAGCACCTTGATGATACACTTTTCCTCGCTCAAGATGTTGATGCCCTCGAACACCTAGGCACGCTCGAAATTGACGGCGCTGATCGTTTGAGACTTGGAATGTGACTCACCTCGGAATACTTTCCCCGCCCACCTTCCTCACAATCTCGTAGTGGTCCTGGGAACCCCATTGCACTTGAAGGTTATCTTTATGCAGAGTCACACATGAGACCGAATCCGCAAACAGACAAGGGGAAAGGCACGGACCGTACTCGTACCATGACGGCCCAAGCCGGCTGTTGACGTCGGGATAAATCCGCGCGACGGATTTAGTTGTAGGCCGTCCCATGTGTGGGGGTGCGCAGAGAGGTACACAAAACAACAGAAGCTGGAAGACGAGATGAGGACGGCGCGGGGCCGGTGGATGTGCGAGATCAGTCCTTGCGCACGGCGCATGGGCAGCGAAGCTTTCTTTCGCACGGCGCTTCCGAGTCTGCCCAGACTCCAGTCCGCCAAGTGACCTAAGCGCTCTTGGGTGCGACGCTGCGCTCTGCACCCGCCTCCTCGTCTTCCGCCTTCCGCATGCCCCATAGCGACCCCCGCCGTCCGCGCGCTGGCCAGGAGGCCTCGAGTACCTCGCCGCGCCGCGGTACCACCGCTCCGTCCCGCCCGAGCTCCGTGGGCTGCTCGCGCCCCGTCCCACGTCGAACCCGCCCGGGCACGCTGCTCCCTAGAAGCCGGCGGCGGTCGTAATTCAAGTGATCACCGCGCCCTCGCACCCCGCCCGAGGACAGCGTGGCCTTTTTGCGGCGAAGAAGATCCCGCCGCGGACGCTCGTGGTCGATTACATTGGCGAGGTGCACTGCGACGACCGCCCAGGGTCAGACTACGACCTTTCGTTATACCGAACGCCAGATCGGGTCAGCGTGGGCGTTGACGCGCAGTTCGCGGGGAACGAGGCGCGGTTCGTCAACGACTACCGCGGGGTGACGCAGAAGCCGAACGCGGTTTTCCAGGAGCGCAGGACCGAAGCCGGCGAACTACGGATGAGCGTATGGAGCGGAAGCGAGCCCATCAAGAAGGGAGACGAGATTCTCGTCTCTTATGGCAAGTCGTGGTGGCGAGAGAGGCTGAGAGAGCACGGCGGTGGGGACAACGCTGAGCCGGCTGTGGGATGTGATTGAGTGACGCGACAATCTACATATCCGTGAGTGCTGCCATCCGACTTCCGCGTTGCTCAGACCCGCTTACTGAGTGCACACGGTGTATCACGTAGGTGCTCTTGTGCGGACTGTGTGCGTTCGCAAAAACGTTCTCGTTACAGCATGCCGGGAAGTCTGCGAACGATGCTCTCCAGCTACAAATTTTCCTGTTCGGCTTTGGTCATAATCAGGAACTCAGCGCTGATATCTTCGCGAAAACAGTCATTACGCGGAGGTTGATCTCGATGTGCTCCTATCGAGCCCCTGCCTCAGCATCATCTCACAGGTCAATGCGTACCACGCTTCAATTGACCAAGGGGTACGTAGCTGAAGATTGTGATTTCCTGGGTACGGCAAGCTGACCCGGTTCTCGAAACACAGAGCCTCCGAGTCCGGGAGACGGTTACGTACGGCCTCGGGATCAGATGTCGACACGAAAGTTGTATTCTCTCCCACCAACGATCGAAGGGGCGCCTCGTGCTCAGTCGAGCCACCCTTCTGTCGATAGTCTGCCGGGCCAGAGTCTTGGTGGAGGACAACGTGGTCGGTTGCTGGATCGCTTCTGTCTAGGTTCGCTCTCAGCGGCATGGGAAGAACGAGTGCGCTTCTACCGCGGCCCTCTTCGAAAGGACCTCCCGCGTGAGTGTGTTACACGAACGTTACCTCATCGCTCCGCTCCTATCTCCATGATTCGAGGAGAAGGGGTTCCGCCGCCGTACCTGCGCCCGGTTGTTTTGGAACAAACACACGTTTTGACATCGCGTGAGGATGATCTGACCTTCTCTCGGACAAATAGGCCACGGCGACCGAGGAATATGCGGCTGGGAGCCGTCTGTGTTTACGCTTTGGGTTAGCGTTGGCTGCTGGTCTCGACCACCGCACCCTTTACTCGCTAATAGCGGCGGCGCAGCTGCGGACGAGCGATGGAGACCGGGGGTGCACCGTGCTTGCGACATATGCATTGACGCTGCACCACAGGACTGGAGCCTAGTGTCAGGGATTGGGGTGAGGATGTGTGAAACATTATCTCGATGCGACTAGCCAGTTGGCAGCGCCGGAGGCCCACCTCCGACCGCCGTGGTGTCCAGAACGGTGATGGAGGCCTTCGCGCACGGGCAGCAAGTGCGAGCGAAGGGCCATCAGAACGCCGAGCGATGAGCGGGCTAGGCGAATGGATGTCGCTCGCCCAGTTTGGGCTCATGTGCTCGTGCGGGCGAGGTACGACGCGGATCGAGGGGGCAAACGTATCGTAGTGGCGGCCTAGCATGGTACCTTCCCCAGGCCCGGGCACAGATGCCTCTGGACCTCCCGTGGTCACTGCCAATCAATCATGAACGCGGGGGACCGTCGGCGCCGTGTGCAAAGTCGAACTGGGGACCCGCTTCCTGGCTGAGCATAGTCTATCCTGGTCAGTCCTTGTCCAAGGTCGAACATGCTCGCCTGCCTAATCCGCGTCCCTCGGCGCCCTTCACGAATCCTCCAGAAATTCCGAGGCGCCTGTGCCGCTCACGTGATCCCAAAAATCGGTCCGCTGCACGTCAGAGCCGCTGGCGGCCAGGCCGGCGTCGTCGCGCTGGGCCAGCTCTATTCTATCCTCCACCATCCTTAATGCCTCCACGACTCTCTACTCACAACCTTCTCTCTCTTTACTCCATCAATGGCGCCCGTGCATCTCAGGTAGCACGCGCCCGCTCTTTCTCCACCCGCGTCCAGTCGCCTCCGTCGTGTCTTGGGAAACGGAAGACGTGTTCGTTCAGCAGGGGGGGTCCTTCGGTATGTTTGATTCGTGTGGTCCCAGTCACTTCTTCTTATGTGTGCAGAGGACATTCCACGCATCTTCGGTGCGGGCAGCTACTCCTAAAGACCCGTACCAGGTGCTGGGTGTGAACAAGGGCGCGAGCGCGGCAGAAATTAAGAAGACCTACTTTGCGGTCCGTTCACCTCTTTGACAATTCCATACTACTACTGACCCTCTCGCAGCTCGCTCGCAAGTACCACCCCGACACGAACCCAAGCAAGGACGCGCAAGATAAGTTCGTGGAGATCCAGTCTGCTTATGACGTGAGTCCTCCGTCCGAACCCTGTCCCGCGTGTCCATCAGCCCACTCTGCCTACTCAGATCCTTAAAGACGACAAGAAACGAGCCGAGTACGACAAGTACGGCGCCACGTCCCAGCAGCCCGGCTTCGACGCGAATGCCTACGAGAACGCACGTTCGTTCGGCGGCGGCTTTGGTTTCGGCGGTGGCTTCCAGGACTTCTCGGGGGCGTTCGGCGGGCGGGCGGGCAGACGCTCCGGCAACGACCTCTTCGACTCGCTCTTTGGTGCGTTTGCCAACGCGCAGGGCGGCGGCGGTCAGGGCTTCGTCCGTGGCAGCGACATCGAGACCACTGTCGGAGTCAGCTTCATGGAGGCTTGCAAGGGCACGACGCGCACGCTCAACGTCACCCCCATCGTCAACTGCGAGCCCTGCCAAGGCTCTGGGCTCAAGCCGGGCGCGTCGCGCTCGAAGTGCGGAGACTGCCACGGCTCCGGCGTGCGCGAGTTCGTGGTCAGCAGCGGCTTCCGGATGCAGAGCGCATGTCCGTCGTGCCAGGGCACAGGCGCTGTGGTCCCTCCGGGGAGCAGCTGCAGCAGCTGCGGGAGCGTAGGTCAGGTCCGGGTTAAGAAAACGGTGGAAGTGGACGTCCCTGCGGGTGCGTGTATCAACATGTTGCTCCTCTTGCTCGTTGCTCACTCGCGATGTCGGCCCTCACAACAGGTGTGGAAGACGGTATGTCCGTCAAAGTCCCTGGCGGCGGCGACGCACCGTTGGGCGGCGTTGGCCGTTCAGGCGATCTCATCGTCCGTATCAACGTCGCATCGTCGAAGACCTTCAGACGCCAAGGAGCCAATCTGTACCATGACGTGAAGATCCCTGTGCACACCGCGTTCCTGGGAGGCCGGGTCCGCGTGCCGACACTCGACGGGGAGGTAGACGTTCGCATCCCCGCGGGAACGCAACCTGGCGAACAGATGGTGCTCAAAGGTCACGGTATCGCATCGGTCGTGCGGAAGAGCAAGGGCGATATGTTCGTGACGTTTGCGGTTCAGATCCCAAGGTCCGTCGGTCAACCACCCCTCCGGCGCGCGACACATTACGCTGATCATGTTTCTGCACAGAACACTCACGGCGCGGCAGCGTGAGATCCTTGAGCAATACGCCGATGACGTGGAGGGTCGGGTACCGTCTAAACCTTCACGTCAAGAACCACGTCAAGAGCCCCTGCGAAGTACGTCTACCGATGGAGCGAAACCAGACCACCGGGCCTCGACCGACTCGGAGACTCCTGCAAACGGTACGGATACTTCTTCCTCTACACACCCCGGCGGCTGGCTATCTCGTGCATTGGATGGACTGAGAAGGCTCATCGGCTCTTGATTTCCATGCGACGCTCGAACTATACATGTCGGCGGATGCTCCGACCACGCACCACTCTACGCCCGCTATCAGACCTGGACGAGGACGAGACCGACCGTCATAAGAAGCGGGACCAGGAGAAGAAAATGAAGGCGACGGCGTAGAAGCCCTGAGCCCTGTTTTTGGCTCTGGTCCCGAGAGGGGGGAGCCGCGAGAGGATATCTGTATATCGCATAGACTACGTTTCCACGGAGCTAATTACGAGCACATACACCACTGATCAGGTCATCCAGCTCATTGGCGCGGAGAGCCATGTGCAAGCTCGAGGGCACGCGGGGGGTGTCGGATTATTATGTTCATAACCGACGGGCGGTATGAACTCTGGCCGTTCTGGGGTGCGGGCGGGGTGCGCGGATCGCGGGCTGACTCGTATGCTCTGGACTTGGAGGAGGAAAGTTCTACGCGGGAGAGGAAGGAAGGCGCTCCGTGCGAGTGGTAGACGGTGTGGGGTGTTCTGATTTCCAAGGCGGGTTTGGAGGCCTGGCGCAGGCATCGTGCCCTGCTTCCTCTCGCCATGCCCAAGCGATCACCAATATGCCTCCCCCTGGGGAACCGATAGGCTCCTCGCGCGCGAGTCCGCCGATAATGCAGGCCAGGTTCCTCCGCCGCCGCCCGCGCGCCGCCAGGCCCTGGACAGTGAACCCCCCCTGGAATCCAGCCTGCCTCTCGTCCTCTGCACCCAGACGTGCGAAGACGCGGCCCTGGCCTTCGTTACGCGCGACCAGCCTCACGAGCCCACCGGGGACGTCGCAGCACCCGCCCGACCGCGATGGCCATGGCCAGGCACACGTACGGGAGCGCGTGCCGCTCGAACCGGGGTGGGTGCCCGTGACAGGCAGCCGCGAGCCCGCCCGATCTCTCTCTCTCTCTCTCTCGCACGCGTGGAGAGCTGGGAGGAAGAGCCTCCGCGCGCGCGGAGGCGGCGGGGCGGAGGCCCAGGGCCGCGGCGGGGCGTCGGTTCTGATTTGCCGCGAGCGAGCGCGAACGCGAGGGCGCCTGAGGGCGCGCGAGATCGCATCTGCGCACGCTGCTAGCGAGATCTCGCGAGGATCACGTAAAGGCTGCAGGGCCCACGGAGGCTCGGGGAACCCAGGACGAGGGGCGAGCTCGCGGGCAGCAGCCAATTGCTTTGTGGCCGCGCGTCCCACCCGCGCGCGCTGTCGCGGACGGCTTGGAAGCCGGGCAGAGTCGATCCTGGAGCGCGCGCAGCTGCACCCCCCCGCGCGCGCCCCAGGCCTTTGGCATCGTTGCCCCCTTCGCGCCGTGCGTTCCTGGGGCCCAGATCCAGTTCGACGGACGGCTTGTCGAAGCCTACCAGGATCTGCCTTCCTCGCCCTACCTTACCGCATCGCCGGGGTACAGAGCGTCGGAAACGATCTAGCGCGTCCTGGTCGCCTCCGACTGCCGTTCACACAAGTATTTTTCCGTCTCGCGCACACCCCATCCGGGGACGGTTCGCGCGTCGCGCGGGGCGCGGTGCGAGGGGCGTCCGTCTGTGGGTGTGTGCCCCGTCCGTGCGCATTACATAGTGCACACGTCAACGACGAGCGGCGCGGCCGTGCGTATAAGAGTCGCGCGCGCGGGCTCGCAAGGACAGTCGTCCAGAGCAGCAGTCAGCAGTCAGCCTCCGCCGCGACGCATCCCCGCGCACCCCCCTGCACCCGACCGCGCCCGCCTCTCTCTCTCTCACCCACACCATGGCGCACACACCCGGCTCGTACCTGCCCCGGCACTCGGACGACAAGGACAGCGTGCTGTCCGGAGAGTCTCCGACACCGTCGGTGTCGGACGGCTCTTCCCCGCACGCGTCCAAAGCCAACCTCTCCTACGTCTTGTCGCGCTCGAGCAACGCGACCTGCCACCCGCTCGCGGCGCACGCCGCCGCGGGCGCACGTCCGTGCGGGTCGAGCACGACGCTCGTCGCGTACGACGCGCGCAAGGCCGCCCCACAGCTGTCGACGACGCGGCTGGTGCTCACGCACGTCGGGTGCGTAGCGTTTCGCGCATTCAGTCGCGCGCCGCGGATCCCGCGCCCGCGCGCGACGGGCAGCCCGATGCGGACGCTGACGGGACCGGGGCTTGCAGGGCGGCGCTAACGCTCTTCCTGGCGACGACGGACACGGTGCGTGCGAGCTCCGGGCGACGGCCAGCGGGGCGCGGCTGACCGGGCCGACAGACGATCGTGTCGACGGCACTGCCGACGATCACGAACGAGTTCAACGCGACCCAGGCGGAGTACACCTGGGTCTCGGTCACGTACATGCTCACCCAGACAGCGTTCCAACCCCTCTACGGGAAACTTTCCGACCTCATTGGGCGCACGGTGAGCACGGACAACTGGTTGACGCGCGCGCACCGTCTCACAGTCCCGGGTCGTCTAGACTGTGCTGTACGGCAGCATTTTCATCTTCGCGCTCGGCTCTGCGCTGTGCGGGCTCGCTCAGGTGCGCACGGTGCCCGTGGCTGCCCTCTGCGCTCGCTGACGGGGACGATCGTGGAGCAGAACATGGAATGGTTAATTCTCGCGCGCGCGCTCGCTGGTGTCGGCGGCGGAGGCATCGTCTCCCTGGTCTGGACCATTACGTCAGAGATCGTCGACGTCCGGAAGCAGGCCAAGTGGTCGCAGGCGCTGAGCGTGACTTGGGCGTGCTCCGCCGTCGCTGGGCCCCTCCTCGGCGGTCTCTTCAGCAGTGCGCCCGCCCTCCTCCCCGCCCGTGTGCTCTGAGCTCACCCGCACCCCGCGCAGACGACCACGGCACGCTCAACTGGCGATGGGCCTGTGAGTCCGCCCGTGCACGCGCCCATGTCCGCCGCTGATTGCCTTCGCCGCAGTCTACATGAACCTCCCGATCTGCCTCGCCGCGGCGATCCTGCTCTGGCTTTGCCTCCGCAACGTCTACGTCGGGCGGTCGGCGGAGCTCTCCTGGAGCCATTTCCTCCGCACGTTCGACTTCCTCGGCCTGTACGTCCCTCTCCGCTCCATCGCCCGCCCACAGCTGACCCGACCCTGCACCGCGCCCGCTCCAGCGTGCTCTTCATGGGCGGCAGCACCTGCATCGTGATCGGCTTCAATTTCGCAACCCAGAACGGCTGTCAGTGCTTCCCGCCTGTGATCGCCTCCCCGCGGGCTGACCGGACCTTCCTCCGCAGGGGCTAGCGCCGGCACGCTCTCCCTCGTCGTCCTCGGTCTCGTCGTCCTTCTCCTGGGAGTCCTCCACGAAGTCCGCACCGGCCGCGATGCGCTCTTCCCCCCGATCGCGTTCAAGTGTCGTACGATCGGTCCGTCTCCCCGCTCCCCGCTCGAAGCTCCGGCCCTCGCTCACGTCGTTACAGTGATCACGCTCGCCGTCACCTTCCTCCACAACCTCGCCTTCACCGCCGGCACCTTCTACCTCGCCGTCTACTTCCAGGTGCGTCCCTCGGTCCCGCACCGCGCATCTTCAGCTGATCCGACTCTCAGGCCGTGCACGGGCTGCGTCCCTTCGACGCCGGGCTCGCGATGCTGCCCTACACCCTCGGCTCGTCTCTTGCGTCGATGCCGAGTGAGTCGGCCTCAATCCAGCTCACACGTTCTTACTCAATCATGACGCGCCTTCCCTCGCAGCGGCATGGCTCATCGGCTTCTGGCAGCGACGACGGAGCGACACCGTCTGCCAGCAGTACGTGATCGCGGCAGGGCTCGCGCTCGGCGCTCTGGGCTTCGGTGAGCATCCAAGTCCCCGCCCCTCCGCGCCCCCCTGCGTTTCTCACCGCGCCCTTCATGATCCGCCAGGGCTGATGACCCTCATGTCTGAGACGAGCTCGCCGGTCGTAAACGCGGCCTTCCCACTGATTGCCGGCATTGGCATCGGCATGCTCTTCCACGCACCCTACCAGGTCTTCACCCGCGCCATCAGCCGCCAGGACGTCGCCTCGGGGACGAGCGCGTTCTTCCTCGTCCGCTTCACCGGGGCCACCGTCGGCCTGGTGGGTGCCTCGCTCCCGCTGTTCGTGTACGGGGCTCACCCCACTTTTCTCTTCGCAGGCCATCGCGGGCACGGTGTTCAACGGCCGCCTCGCGCTCACGCTCCCCGCCGGCGTCGAGTCGACGACCATTCTGGAGAACATCGACATCCTTCGCCCGGACCCGGCTCTGTGGCCGCAGGTCGTCGTTGCGCTCGCCGGTGCGATCAAGGTACGCTCCTGCCCCCCTCCCCGCTTCCTGAAGCTGACTTGATCTGTGTGCGCAACAACAGGCGATCTGGATTGTCTGCGGCCCATGTCTCGGCGGCGCGCTCCTCGTACGTACTGCGTCCCTCCCGGCGACGGCGTGCTGACCCCCCGCGGCCCTGCCCCAGATCTCGTTGTTCTCACGTAAGGTCGTCGTCGACGAGCCCTGCCGTCCGTCGGCTGCGCCAGCCTCGCCGTGCGCATCACAGTCCGGCGACGCGGACGTCGAAAAGCAGACGCAGGTGCGCGTGGCGGACGCGGTGGCCCCGGCAGCAGCGGCGCTCGCTCTTCCCGCGTGCGCGCTCACGAGGAACACGGGAGCGCAGAGCGCAGCCGTCTGACGGTCTCGCGCCCTCGCTGCTTCGCTCTCCCCGTCTTCCCCTTCCCTCCCTCCTTCTCTTCGAACTCGCGCACAAGCCCCCCTCCCAGGTCGCGTCCCTGCGCAGTGGGGGGCGAGTGTGAAAAGAGCGCGGCCGGAAGGGGCTAGCGCGCCTCGAGGCGGGCGGCCCCTTAGCGCGGCCGTCTTCTGCGCGACCCCGGACGCGCACGCCCTCTCCCGCGCCGACCTGGACCGACGCTCGAGCGAAAGTGCGCCGGCGCCCGGACCCCCCCCTTTCGCATCTCTTCTCTCGTCTTCCCCCGTCGCTGTCGCTTTGCTCTCGCTCTCGCACCCCGTCCTCTATCTCCCCGCACGGCTCCCACATGAACGCAGATCAGCCCTGGCTGGACCGGACCCTTGTCGCTTCTCCTTCTCTCTCCCCTCCCGGACCCTCTCGCGAAGACATCCATGCCCGTCCTATACCATGCCCTCAGGACCCAGGACTTGCGTTCCCCACCTATCTTTATTGATTCCGAACCCGCTGGGTGCGAGCCCCACCCCGCGCCCCGCGCGCCGAAAATTAGAGTTCTCGTCCGCGCCTGTAGCCTGTATACGTAGCACGCATCCGTCGTCACATCCGTAGCTAGCCGTGTCTCGAGCCCGGTACGAGTAGTCAGTAGCCAACAACAAGTAGCTAGTAGCCAAAAGCCCCCCAGCGTATCCCATCCGTATACCCAGCTCAACCCCCGTTTGTGTGTGTGCGGCGCTCGAACAAGGTCCGAGATAGAGTTAGAAGTGAGGGTTTCGCAGACTCGGGCCAGACTCCGGCAGACCCGATTTGTGACTTTCACAAATGAACGAGCGAAACTCACTCACTCACCCACTCACTCGTGCACAATCTGCCGACCGACCGACGGGAAGCAACGAGGGACTGCTTCGCTCGGGCATGCGCACGGCCCGATCGCACACCGTCGACTCGCCCGACGCGAAAATCCCCGAACCGACAATCCCGAGAACCGCCGCCGGGGAAGGGGCGCGGGCGCTTATAGCATCCCGCGGCGGACGGAAGCAACGCGCGTATATGTACGGTTCGCGGGATTTCCTCGTCGATTTGCGTTGGCGACGGAGTGACGAGTCGCCGCGCTGGTCGCAGATCCTGTCAGTTTGCAGCGGTGCGGCGCGGGGGACCACGACGTGTCGTGTGGACGGGGACGCGGCGACCAGGTTTAGCATGTGAACGGCGCGCGACGCGACGGTGTGGGGGCGCGCGCCCCTCGATCGTATAGCGCGTACGCGAAACATACGTCTTGATCGCGCAGGGCGTGGGTGCGCAACACCAGGCAACACCGTCAGGCCAGTTCCTGGGAGACGATGCGCGGTGGTGCGACTAGCGACTCTAGTGAGCGGCACGCGTTCGAATGGCAGATGCGGATGGGCGAGCACCTGCGATCATCTTTTTTTTAATTCTCGGATCGTCGTGCGAGTTCATTTCGAGGACGCGGGAGTGCCTCGCGGACGCCGATCTGATGGGGCGGGGGGCGGGAGCTGTGGGACTAGTACTGGGTGATCGATCCGCGCTGCCGCTGCGATCGGGCGCGTGAGATTGGGGTGGAAGGGGCGCGCGATTCAGGCGGTGATGGCGCGCGAGTCCACGACGGGTACGCGGGGCGGCGGCGGATCATCCTCTGCGTTATGCGCAAGTTATGCGCCCTTTCGTCTTTTTCGTTCCTGTCTACCGGGCGCGCGGGAGACGTCGACACGGCAGGGGCGCGGGGCCCGTACGACCAGGTGGTGATTGCGCGTGAGGGGGGGGGCGGTCCCGCATGCACGCCTTCCGCCACGTACGACCGCAGCGCGTCCGAGCAGAAGCCTCCGCCAGCCTTCTTGCGCGGGTGCGCGGGGTGCGTCAGGGGGCTCGTCATTTCGACCGTGTTCGCATCCGGGTCGTGGGTTCAATCGGGGCGCCGGTCGCAGAGAGTCGGACGGCACATGACGGGGACGGCGGTGGCGGGACGAAGAGGAGCCCGCCGCGGGTCGCGGATAGGAAGAAGGGAAGGTGGTGCGGTGTGGTGTCGCGAAGAGCTTCCTGCGTCCTGGACGGGGCCATGCGCCCCGGAGTGCGCGCCCGGTGAGGTCGAGGCCTTGCACCTGGGGCGGGAGCGGGCCGTCCTTGGGGGTCGAGAGGAGGAGATGGTGTCCGTGAGGGCCGCGTGATGGTGAATTAGGCCAGTTGGGATGCGGAAGACATCGCGTCCCCTCGTCCGGCACGCAGGGCCGCGGAAGATGCTGGTAGGTGCAGCGCGCGTTAAGCCCAACCCGGCCTTGGACCCTGCTAGCGTCGGGGACGAACTAGGGGGGCGTGCTGCCGCGAGCGAGTGCGTGCGCCACGCCGTCGCTTCGCAGGCACAGGCGGGGGCGGTGGGGAGTAGACCGGGAGGCACGGTCTGCACGGCGATGATGGGCGGAGGAGGGGCCGTGGGCCGCCGGGCCTGGGTCGCGGGCAGGCGGGAGGAGGAGCGGGGTGGAAGAACCGATTCGATTCGCCGAGATTGAGAGTGCATCGAGATTGGCATGGGCCGATAAGGTTCGAACAAGGATGGGCTGCGCCTGCCTTCTCCGCCTCGCTCCTCCTCTGCCCCTTCGGCGCGCGCAGCCCACACCGCCGTCGGCTGCTCGTCCCACCGTCCCGCGCCACCCTCGTTCGGGCCCTTTGCGAACCCGCCGCGGGAACGCGCTCGCGCCCACGTCCTCCGTCGCCCCTCCACGCGCCCCCTCGGCGCTCGTCGGGGCTGTCGGTCGAAGCCCAGCGCCGTAAGCCGTGACCTAGGCGATATCCCATGCGCCCCCGATGCGCCATGTGGGCGAGATGACGTGGGTGCGAGCATCCCAGCCCCCCCCCTTCCGAGAGGGCCACAGCCAGGTCCAGACGGTGAGGCACCGGCCGTAGCAGCCATGCGTTGGGCCCGACGACAGGCCGAGTGCTCGCGAGCAGAGCTAGCGGTCGCCGAGAGGGTTCTGGGCTCGGGCAAAGCTTGGACAAAAGTCGTATGAACGTACAGGGGTCGCTTCCGTTTACGACATTGGGCATGCTAGCGCGAACGCCGTTCACGACTTGACGTGGGAAGCGAGGGAGTGTCCTCCACGGGGAGAGCGGGTCAGCCATTGTGCGGACGTCTTCCCAGCGAGCTTCCAAGGTTACACAAGTGTAAACTTTGTCTGCGCAGAATCAGATGCGGCTCGGCCAGGAGGGGTCTCGGAGACAGTAAGGTGGATTATTGCCTACAGGGGCCGGAAGCGCGGAGCTCAAGCCTCAAGATGGACTACAGGCTGGACAGATGGAGGTCGGCGCAGAAGAGCAAGGGCTGAGCGACCAAAATGAATTCTGGCGACTTCCAGACGGAGCAGGGGTTGATGAAAGAAGACACGCCAGCCTCGAGGCCAGGAGAACGAAGCGGTTGATGACGGAGCAGTGGGGATACCAAGGGCATTGGAGGGGGAAAGGCCCAGGTGACCGTGGCGTGGAGAGTCATGCTGGCATGCGGTTGGGGGCCAGCGTCGAAGTGCTGTCAATTTCCACAGGACTTGGCGGGCGGGTGAGAGCTCACGAGCGTACTTGGGCTGGGTGAATGCCCTTGGAGGCCGCGGTAATCGCCCAACAGGCTCGTGGCCGCACCGGTGGCCGATGGCGATAGGCGCCTATGGCATTCCCACGAGTCATAGGTGGGGGGCCCTGCCTTTGTCGCCCCACCCTTCCTCGCTCGTGTGACCTCTTTCTCGTCCTCTGCCATCATCCTCGCGCCCCGTATTCCGCCCCTGCCGTGGCCCAAGCTCCTGGTATACCACCAACGTCCCATTATTTACGCATGTTTCCCTCTAAAGCCCGTTCAAGGACCTCCTTCTTCGCAAAGCTTCTCAACACACTTCGCGAAGCAACTTTCCCCGCCCCGCTCAATCTCTCATGCCTCCCACACTCGGCCCAGAGCTCGCCGAGTCCCCGCTCTCTCGGCCGTATTCCACCCAAGGCGTCTCTCTAAGCCGGTCCTCGACCAGCTCCTCCCGAACCTTCCCCGATAACGCCTCGATCGGCAGTTCTCCTGCCTACTCGTCCTCTTCGCTCTCCATCCCCTTCGAAGACGGCGAGGTAGATGTTGTCAGAGTAGAGGGTCTGCGCCACGCCACATACAAGCTAGAGGCCCGGTGAGTCTCGTTTGCCCTGCTAGTCATGGCCCCGTCAGGGCCCGCTGGCGAACTGATCATGCGCGGACAGAATGGACTTATCTGCCCCGGTCTGCCCCCATGCCCCCGACAATCGTCCATGTATGCTGACCAGTGCGCTTTCATCTCATCTTTCAGGCGATACAAGACCCCTTCCTTCGCGAGGACCTGCTGAAAGTCCTCCGCACCCTCCGCGCGTCCTCATGGTCCGAGCCGAACGTCACCCCGGAGCAGGTTAGCATCCAGAAGGTCTCAGGCTCCCTCACCAATGCCGTTTTCTTTGTCTCCTGCCCCTCGCAACCGAGATTGCGCACCATGCTGCTCCGCATATACGGACCCTCCTCCGGTACGCTCATCAACCGCTCGCGCGAACTGCACATCCTCCACGTGTTGTCCTCTAAGTACCACATCGGCCCTCGTGTTTATGGCACATTCGAAAACGGCCGCGTGGAGGAATATTTCGATGCCGTGGCACTGACGGCGGCCGACCTGCGCGACCCTGAAGTGAGCTCGTGCATCAGCGCCCGCATGGCGGAGCTGCACGGCGTGGACGTTGACGCGGTCGAGTTCGACGCGCAATCATCAGATGGCGCCGAAGACCGTGGAGTGCAGCTCGGGGTGAATAAGAACGTCCCAGCGTGGCTGGCGTTTGCACGCGAGGTTCTCTCGTTACCCTCTGCCCCAGCCGAGATTCGCGAGGGGCTCGACCTGGACAGGTTCGAGCGCGAGTGGGAGCTGTACACGCGCTGGCTGGATCAGAAGGAAATGACAGACGGCCTCAGCAGGCGAGTGTTCTCCCACAATGACACCCAGTACGGCAACCTGTTGCGCATGCGGACGCTCAAGGAAGGCCAGCCGGCCCATCGTCAGGTAAGCCCGCGTTTTTGCGTCGTGTGGGGGACGAACCATGCTGATTGTCTTCCTTTCCATTGACGCGGCGCCCTCGACGCTCGCGAAATCAATTTTTGCCGAACAACCCATGTGGCTCGCGCTGTCCAGATCATCGTCGTGGACTTCGAATACGCCTCTCCGAACCCAGCGGCGTTTGATATTGCCAATCACTTCCACGAGTGGACGACGAACTACCACGGACCAAACCCACACTTGCTCGACCCTGCGCGCTATCCCTCTCTCGATGAACGCCGGAACTTCTACCGCGCGTACCTCACCCACTCGGCCCCGCAGTCGGATGCGCGGTCCCCGGCGGTGGAGGAGGTGGACCATCAGGCGGTGCAGAAGCTGGAAGACCAGGTCCGGGTATGGAGCCCGGCGTCTCATGCAATGTGGACAGTTTGGGGCGTTGTGCAGGCGCGCGAGTTTATCGAAGGCCAGGACGGCGAGCCCGAGTTCAACTACCTCGGATATGCGGTCTGCCGCATGGAGGGCTTCCGTCGAGAGCTCCGCGCACTCAGCGTCGTGTCGTAACGCTGTCTCTCACAACCCCGCGGCCCTTCTTTCCCTTCCCCCATCCGCCGAATGAGCCGCGCCTTATCCTCCTTTACCACCTGCTCCCGGCGCTGGTCGCGCGATACACGCGCTGTGTTGCGTGACCTCCGTTGTCACCACCCCTCCCACCTTTTTTCCTTCACAATTCCGCCCCAAGGCCTCGCTGCCGCGACGCTCGCTCGGTGGCGCCCCGATCACCGCTAGCGCCCGCAACGCGTCATCGCTGTTATCCCACTACACAACCACCCACGCCCACCATTCACCAACTACCTCTACACCCGCCCTACCCGGTATCGCTTCTGCCTTCAATATGGCTGGCGTTGTCAATCTTTCTCCCGCACCCACGATGCTCGGCACGCTCGCACCCTTCGTGTTCGCCGAGGGCCCCACGGCCCCGATGTGGCCCTGGCTGCAGATCGGCGCTCGACCGAGTGCGTCCTGCCCGTGGCCCACCCGATCCCACACCAAGGCACTGAACACCTGTGTGGGCGCGAGGGCGCTGGCGCTAGCGGCTCTCGTCAGCCTTCCCTCGCGGCGTCGGAGCCTCGAACGCGAACCCGCGAACCGCGCACCTTGGTTCGCCCGGTCGCTTCTCCTGGTGTGCGCGATACGGCTGATGGAGCAGAAGACTGGCACCGAGGCCAGGAGGCATCATTGCGCGGATCCACACCGTCGGTCGCCTGCCGTCTGGGAGGTCACCAGCCCGCGACGGCCGGCCTCGTTCTGGCGTTCGTCGCGGCGGAAATCTTTTTGCGCGCGTTCTGTCGTTCCATCGGCCTGTCTTTTCGTGTTCTCTGATGGACGACAGCACGATGTGGACGCGCTGCGCACGAAACACCGAGGGGGCTGTAGTCCGTCTTCCAGGCTTCGAAGCTTCAACTCTCGACACCCAGGGCCCAACACAGCGCGTCCGATGCTTCGCCGCTCGCCGCCCCACCTTCCTAGGTTGCGCGGGCCTTCAGGCGGCCGCCCCGGCGTCCTTCGCTCCGTCCGGAAATCCGCTTTCCCCCTCGACTCCCCCTCTCCCTCGTGTTTGTCGTCGTATCATCGCCCCACGGTATTTTTTCGCTCTTCGCGCTCCCTCTGTCTATAGAGGGCCCACGGCTCCCTGAATCCGGCGCCGCGGCTCCTCCATTCGTGTCACCATCCACCCTTCCGTTCATGTTCTGTCCCTGTCTCCCACCCCTGTTACCTCGTGTCGTGCCCCGCGCTAGCATAGTAGTCACCACACTAGTTCCACTCCGGCACCCCCGGCACCCAGACAGCGCCCCGTCGCCCCTCGGCTGTTGTCTACCGTACCTCACCGTATAACCGTATCGGCTGCCCCACAAAGCCTGGTATATAGACGCTGCTCCATGATTTCCGGGCCAACTCGTCCCGTGTGACGCTGAAATATACCCATTCGACGCTTTGAGTTCAACCTCACGTCCTCGCATGATGGCTCTGCAGCCGCACACCGGGGCGACCATCTTTCTAGTGCCACATTGAAGCCGAGAGAAAGGCAATTAAGGTTTTCTCTTGCCCATAGAAACCCACAGAAATGCCTTTTCTGACTGCACGTGGATTTTAAACCTTATAAACGGCTCCCAGAAAAATGGTGGCCCCGCCGCGCTGCATGGGCGGCACACGACACACAGCAACCGCCCGGAAAATAGCAATAACGCACACGACGTGTACGCTTCAGCGCCGTGCTGGTCGTCAACGGTGCATGAGATCAATAGGGCCTCGGACCCAATCGCTTCACACGGGCACGCGGCGCAAGCACGGTCGAGTATGGAACGCACGCACGAAGAGGGCGTGGGACGAGGGGGAGGCATAAGCGTGATGTATTAATGTCATAAGATATTGTGCAGACCACAACGATGGGATGGTTGGATGGACGGACGACGAGCAAACTGGGAGGGCGTGGGAGGAGGGTGACGGGAAGTATGAGGCGAGGGGGGAGGGGGAAGGGGATGCGGAGAATGGGGTGAGGGAGACGTGAGTGAGCTATCCGGGTGTCAAGAGAGAGAATAAGTCAAACTTGCGTCGACGAGATGAGCGGAGGACGAGGCTGAGCAACGGACGAGACAGGGGGTGTTTGGACAGAGGAGAGGGAGAGGGGAGAAAACAAAGAAGACTGTACAGAACATAAGCAAGGATAAGAAACGAGTAACGAGTTACAGGGACGCGCATGTCGTGAATGTTATTTCGTTGCTTTGGGGTACTTGTTGGATTGTGATGGCCGGATCGCAAACGTGAAGGGGTGGACAAACGTACAGGGGGAAAGAGATATGAGAGACGATAGAGACGAGAGGAGAGCAGGACGGATAGCGGCATGTCATGTCCTAGACCACATCTAGAGGCAGCTTGCTGGAAGCCGGAGAGGCTGAAACACATCGAGACGTGGGCCACGCTCTACGCCCAGTTTTTCTCCGCGAGCCGCGCCTGGTTGACGTTGTAGTCCGCCCAGGGCGAGTTGTCTTCAGCTCCCCGCCGGGAATGGACGACAACGGGTACGCGGTCAAATGACTCGCCGCGCGGGTCGCGCTCCCCAGTTGCCCGCAGAGCCGGAGCGCACGTGGCCGTTGATCCGGGACACCCGCTGAGGCTCTGGCGACGCGTTCTGCGAGTGCGTCGGCGGCTGGCTCTGCACCGGCGTCGCCGAGTTGGCTGTCGTCGGCGTGTTCGCAAGCGACGAGAGGTCCAGACCCATCTCGCTGCCGTTGAACGAATGGCGCACATTCGGGTTCACGGCCGTCTTCGGGCCACCACGCTGAAAACAAAGTTCAATCAGCGCTTGTTCCACTTCCCACACATGTCGCGCGCGCAATTTCGCATGGCGGCGCGACACGGCACGGCATGAAAGCGAAGACATACCTGGGAGCCGACAATGTCCAGCCTCGAGCTGGCGTGACGCCCAAAGTCAGGGCCAGCGGTCACAGGACCAGGTGAACGGGCGATGGGCTCGTCGTTGGCGGACATGAGGATGCCGTTGTGCACGTTCGCGAACGTGGGGTATGCCGACTTGTTCTGCTTCGCAAGCGGTACGTCGGACACGTTGGTGTTCACGCGCAGAGCCTCTGGCCTGCCGCCGCCGCCACCAGAATTGACGGGCATACCCTGGAATCCGGCTGAAGGCGGAGTCGTGCTCGTGCTGCCAGAGTTGGAGTGCATGGTGGTTTCCTGCGAGCGCTTCGCTGTGATGCGGGCGAGGAGCGAAGTCGACACCTCGTTCGGGTCACTGTTCGTTGACGAAGAGCGTTCACGCCCGCTGAGGTTGCCTGGTGGGATAGCGCCATCGGCACCCGGAGGTCCGCCGTTCGCGGGCAGCTCGGTGTGGATGAAGCAGCACCGCTTGCCGTACGGGCACGAGCCAGAAACCCAGAACGTCTACGCAGTGTGTCCAACATTAGTTTAGATCTGTGCGCTGGACTCGTAAGAACACTGACCCTGCAGATCTCCGTCTTGTACTAGAAAAATAGGAGCGTGAGCACATGCCACAAGGGTGGTGAGACGCCGGGCGCCAAAATGAAGTTACGGACTTTAGGGTGTCGCTGTACCTTGCGCAGCTCGTCTTCACCGTGCGCAAACTGGCACTTTTGGCCGTACCGACAAGAGCCCTTCTCCTCCCAGCTCCTGCAGAGCTCCGTCTTGTACAGCCCGAGTTTGCGGTTGTTCGCGCTAGGACCGTTGCCCGTCGCTGTTCCCGAGTGAGAACCGCCCGTGTGGTGGATCGCTATGCCCTGCGGACCCATTGGGACGCCATACGGGCCCGTGTACTGCGCCTGGAGCTGAGCCATCATCTGGGCAGCCATCTCTGGCGAGGGGTAGGGCTCGGCGCCGGGGCCGCCGTAGAACTGGTTCTGGAACATATTCAGTGCGGGGGGCGCCATTGTGGGCGGGTACATCTGTCCGGCAGCGAACACATTGTTCAGCAGCGCGATGGTGGCAGGGTCACGAAGGGAAGCAGGGTCCGAAGCAGAATGCTGGTGAGTACGCTGGAAGACGCCAGACTGCTGCTGAAGACGTGCCATGGTAGGGTTGTCGAGAGGGGGCGTGGGCAGCATCATGCTGTACAGATCCTGCTGCGGGTTCGCCAAGGGCATCCCTCCGGGATGCACGGGGGCCGGGTAGCCCCCAAAGTTGGTCGGGCTGGGAACGACCGGAGCGATCGCGGGGTTAAAGCCAGCACGAGGAGGCGGCTGGCGGTAAGGGACGTTGGTGGCGACATTGGGCGGCCTGCCATGAACGAACGCTGGCGGAGCACCATTGGGCGGCATGGGAGCGCCATGAGGTCCGTTGAACAGGCGCTGCTGCCCTTGGGCGTCTCCCGAGAGGTCTTCCTGCGAACGCGTGAGAGAATTGGCCTCTGGCAGGCGCGGTACGGAGCCGTTGTGAGACGCCAGAAGGGAAGGATACGTGGGCTGCTCCTGCTGGGCTTGCCTCTCGGGGGTGCCATGGGGGGAGGACCATGCATCGGTGTTTCCGGGACTTCCACCCGCCTGTTGCAGGCGAACGAGATCAGTACTTGACAGACCGCCGCTGTACGAGTGTGGGCGGTTCCGGGATTCGCCAACGGCGCCTACTTTGAGTGGGGTGACAGGAGGGGCGCGTAGGTTTTGGCTTCCCGACGACATCGCGGAGCCTTGGGAACCAGTGGTGTCGGCAGAGGACTCGCGAGAGTGCGAGACGAGGCCTATGGAGTTCTGGGCTGATGTGTGAGCTCGGTGGGACGAGGACGGGCTTGCGGGTCCAAGCCCGGGGGGGAAATATCCCCAGAGACGGAAGCGCAGACGCTGAGTTGCGCAGTCAACAAAAAAGAGACTGACCTGGGCCTCGGCACCATCGCCACCAATCTGGAGCTTGCTGAGATCGTCTGCGAGCTCCCAGTCGCCACTGTCGACGATGGCGCCGTTGGAGTCGAGGCGCCAGTGGCCGGGGCCGTTTGTGTCTGGATGGGAGACGGGCTTGAGCTGGGAGCAAAGGGGAGAAAAGTAAACGAAGGATGGATACGGACCCTTGGTGATAGTGGGGTTGGGGGTGCGACGAGCAGTCATTGTAGACGGCAGCATGTATGGGGGGCGAGGCCGAGGGACTGGTTTTTTGATGATTGGGACGCCAAAGTGGAGAGGAGAAAAGTGCGGTGGGACGATGTATGTGGTCGTGACTGTTTCGTACATGATGGGCGCCAGGACGAGAGTCAGGAGGGGAGGGAGGAAAGGAGGGTGAGGAGATTATAAGAAGGCGGAAGGGGCGTGTGCTTACGAATTAAGAATAACCTGGGAGACGGGGGGAGGTTAGATGTTGGTGGGTAAACAGGGTCGTCGGGGCTTGATTTGCGTGAGCGATTGAAGACGTGGATCGTGCGCCGCGGGGGTGTAGTCAAGGGCTGCAGCCTTGGGTCGGACCGCGGGAGAGCGGAAAGACAGCAAGGTGGCAGGATAGGAAGAGGGGAAAGGTATAAACAAGTGGAAAAGCGGCGTCGGGGGTCGTGATGGATTGGGGAGATGGTGGATAGATAGAGTGAAAGGGATGCGGATGGCGGGGAGATGCTGGGATCGCCGAGACGAGAGAGGAGAATGGGCGGGTGGTGGGAGGAGCGGAAGGGGAGGCGAGGCGGGAGGGCCTTGCGCCAGCCTTACGGAAGAAGCTCAGGGTCTGATTGCAACGCAATTGCAACGTGCCCGACCCTCCGCCTCTGCGTCCGCCTGCCGCTCTCCCCTCCGCCGCCTCGCCTGGCTGCATAAATGCGCTGCACACGCACTGAGCTCGTGTTCTCCCATCGATTGCCCGCCGCCCCGCCCCCAGCTGCAGAGGCCGTCTGCAGATCGCGCCCCCCACCGGCCACGTGGGGCAGTGTCGCGCGTCCCGCCACCGCCGGCCTGTGCAGCGAGTGAGCGAGCGAGGGCGGCGTCCGCACCGCGCGTCATCCCCTCAGCTCTCCTCTCGCGCGCCTCGCCTCCTCCTGGTGATAACAATGATTGCCTTTTCCGCGCATCGCCCCACCCACCGCGGTCCGTGCTCTGACCTCCGCCACCGCCAGCACCGCGAAACCAGACGGCGCCTGGTCACGCGTCCTTCCTCCACCTTACGTCCGCCCACGTGCCGGTTCTATCGACCACAGCTCCGTCGAGCGCCGTGCGAGCGCCGTCGTCATCCTGCCTCGCTTCCGTCGTGCGCTGATGCGAGTCTGTCCTTCACGTCGCCCCCGCATTCTCCCCCTGCCCATTCGTCCCCGCTCGCCGCGCGGGGTGGCCATCACCCCCTCTGTTTATCCGCTTGCCGCACCCCGAATATGCCTCCGCGAGCCTTTACTCCCCCCCCTCACGCGCATGCTCCGGTCCAGCCCTGTGTTCTAAGGGGCTCCATCTTTCGTGCTCTCTTCACAAGTTGTGCATGCATCTCCGCAGCACCAGCTGCCCCGCAGTTTGCCTCTGCGCCAGACTTGAACAGGGCCACTCCGCCACCGCCAGATTTGCGCGGCGCGGTCGGACGTCGCCGCCGCCTCGAGTCCGCCTCGTGCACGTCTATCTTCCCACCCGCCGAGGCTTCTCGAGACCTTATCGATCCATCGCGAGCGATGAGTGGAGCGGAGTCGTGTCAAAGCCCCGACGCTAGCTGGCCACCCCTTCGCGGAGTTGTGATTCCATGTCCGATTGGGGCTTGCTCAGACTCATACAGCAAGACGCTTACCCCGGTGAGCCCCCTTCCAGATCGCCCAAACTCCATGCCCAGTCTGTCGGCATGCTATTCAGATTTACAGCTGTTTTCGTAACGATAGGCCTTCGGCTAGCCGTCTACCAGTTTCGCACGCAGCATCTCCGATCAAAACTTTGTCGCGTACGCGCTGTCGGAGACTGGAACAGACGTTGCCGAGATTTGCCGAGTCGCATCTGCAGGCGCACGCGAAGCTCCGCTGGAACAGGCTGATTTATGCGAGGGCCATCGCTATGACAGAAAACAGCTGTACACAGAGTCCGACCTCGCACATGGGGGAATTCAGCTCTCAAAATCGACTAGCAAACCCGACCCTTCCCAACGGTTTCGAGTTTCATCCTCAATTGCCGGGCCCAGACCCCGGCATTTAGATCCGCCTCGAGCTCGACTCGCAAACGGCGAGCACGCCGTTCGATAAAATTTACACAAACACGGCTCGTTGCAGGACGTACGTGAACCCGTTCTTCTTCACCGCCCGCGACCCTGCACCCGCAGGTCGATGGTACGAGCTCCGGCCCGCTCCTTCGCCATCTGTGGATCCCGCGGCGCTCAGTTCGCGGCTGGCGCGGAAACCACTCTTCTCCTCCGCGACCAGCGGAAGCACCCACCAGCGTCGAGGGCCCTGCGGTAAGACATGTACATCCATGTTCCATTCGGCCAATCTGACTCCTCGGCTGCGAAGGCAGCCCGGCGCATCAAGACTGTCAGAGCAGCCTGATCAAGGACCGTCCGATTCACCGCGCACGGGATGTTTTACGAGACGGGTGCTGGCCATTGCGAGGACCACGTGCGCACGGAGCGGCGGATGATCCGAGCGCACATGTATACGTAGCGGTCGGATCTGCTCGTGCGTGAACCACGTCTCTCGCTGACTCGAATCGACTGAAGGCGTGTGACGGCTGGAGTCGTCTCCGCGGCACCAAGACATAGCACCCAGCGAACACGATTTTCAGTTGCGTCGCTCATATCACGCGCCTGCAGATCCCGGGTAGATCCCGGCTCTCAGGCTCACCTTGTGTGTGTGCCCCTTAGAGCCTTCGCGGTGCTGTACAGCACATGGTTCTGCCACCCGCGGGGCGCCGGAGCACGGGACAATGAGGCCTTTCGTAGACTTGTTCACCTTCTCGGGCGGCGGTTCGACTCGCTAGAGCAGCGGCGGAGTGCTGCAGACGTCCTCCGAGCGGCGCTCCCCCGCAGACCGCGAAGCGGCGGGTAGGACGTACGGGCACGGCGGTAAAGGTGCCCTCAAACTCTGCTTGCACCGTTCACCCGCAACGCGGAGGCCCGACGGTGCTGCAGAGTACACACCTGCATCCCCGTGAGCCGAGCAGGGCGCACCCCCGCGCCCCGATCCACGTCATAACGCGCGCGCTGCACACTCACGCATCCTCGACGCCCCAACGCCCACACGTCCCGCGGCCGTCTCGCTGACGTCGGTGCGCTCGATTGGACACACCGGGGAACCGGCGCCGCGCGCCCGCGGGGTGCTGTCAGATAGCGGACCAAGGTTGGCTCAAGCTCGGACGACGTACGTGGACGCCCTGCGCGCGCGCGCGCGACCCTGGCGCGGGTTGCGTAACGGCCCCGCTGAAAGGCAAGCTTCGAGACGGGGAGGGCGCGCTTTATTCTAATTTCTGGCAGTCCAGCGCGCGACGACGGGCCTGGGCACTTGTTATTGTCCCTCGGAACCCCGTCGTCGGCGAGCTTCGCAAGACCGCCGTGCGCGCGCACGCATCGGTGGACGCACGTCGTTGACACGCGCGGGCTCGGGTTCGGGTTCCGGAAGTCCAGCGCGCACACGCGCGCTCGCTCACCAGGCCTCCTCCTCCCGCGACGGCTGCTCGTGCTAGGCGCTCAGCGCCCAGCCGCTACCCCGCCCGCGCGCCTGCTCGCTCAAGGAATAAACGACGGACCAAAAACGACCGCACGCATCGCGCAAGTCCGGGACTCCAGCCCCGTCAGCGCGCGCGCGTCATCGGGCCCGACTTGTGGGCCGCGTCGACGCGGAATCCGCGTCTCGACGCCCGCACTGGCCGCGCGCCCCCCGCCCCTGGTACTTCTAGCTTGGGCTCCTGCGCGAGTGCGTGCCACAGCGGCGGGCATCAGGGCGGCGGCAGAGGGTTTTGAGCTGGACGCGGCCTGAGATGGATCCAGGAGCGCGATCGGGTCGCGATTCTAATGGACCTCGGCGGTTGCGGACGGACGCAGTCCGCGGTCCGGTATGCGCGGCGACCCTGAGAGACACGACACGACCTGGCGCGGGCCCACGCCGGTTTGAGTCTTTCGCGACAGTACGGTACGAGTGCACTCGTGCGCCTGGACTCCGCGCGCGCGCGCGGAGGGGGACACGATGGGTGGCACTGGCACGGCCACGCGGGCGAGGCGGGATCAGCTGTTCCTCAACGTCCGCCGCTTCACGGTCGTTTCTCGTGAAACGGCGCACGTCAGCAACGCTTGCGAATCTCACTCCCTTCCGCGCCCGCTCACAGATCTCACGTGTATGAGATGAGCGGGAGTGGGGACAGGGGGCGTCCCCGCGGAGTTGAGTCGCGCACTAGTACTAAGGGACAGGGTTCAATATCCCTCGCGCAGTTTAGGTTGGGCTCGCATCGATAAGTCTGAATCAGTGAGAACAAGATGCACGTTTTGCGCGCCCCGCGGTGGGGCAGGACACGAGAACGAGCATAATGCGCTCGTGAGGACACGGGCACGCCGCAGCGCAGATCTTGTGCCGTCATTCCGGTCAGGGGCCGCGGAGCACGAAAATCCACGAACGGGCGTCGAGACTCGAAGATTGAAGAGGACCGGATGATAAGGCGGGGCTTTGGTGAAGCCATGCCACTGCAGCGAGGACTTCCCGATGCTCCATACACACATCACACGGGCTCGGCATCCGAGAGCCTGCAGAGCGGCGTGCGATGACGGCACAGCAAAACCCTACTGCCGGGAAGCAGTGACGACCGCTTCGTGAGAGTTGAATTCGTGGATGAAATATGATACATAGCGTGCGCGTGAGTACTGCGGAGAGTTGGTACATGGGAGGCTGGACAGCGCTGGTACAGAGCGGACGATAGCATCGGGTTACGCGTCTGTCGGATCGAGATGTTAGGCTCGGAAGCATTAAGTTCCGGCTAGAAGCCCGTCAAGAGAACGCACAGTATGATGTTCCGACAAGCATGGTGGATAGACTCTGCAACTGGTCCTCGTTGAACGCGAGCTGATCCTTGTGCCATGTGTCCTACACAAGGTCGGTCAGAAGCTGCCAGGAACCGGTACGAGTTCTCCGGAGGCCATACCTGATGCGTCTACAAAGAACACGGGACGGAACAAAAATGAGATACTCGTGCTGTTGTAAGAGTTACGTAGAGGCTTACCTTCTTAAACTCTGATGCACACTTTCGGATGGTTGTGGAGATCGGCACCGGGTCCGTCGCATGATTTGCCAGGACTTTAGAACCAGATTAGCTGTAAGCATTTGGGTGACAGCACGATCCTACCTTCAGTTAAAGGAGGCAACCAAGGTTCGACCGAATAGGGAAAGCTCTCGATCAAAGCGCACACACCCAAAATGGCCGAGTGAAGTGATCGGAGAGCATCGGCGTAGGCTGGGTCTCGTCTGTTGGGCAGCTTCGTCCGCCGCAAGGTGTTGATGAATCGATCCTAATCGGTGAAAGGTTAGTTGATAATCATTACAGCACAATTGCCTCTTTCACCTTCAACGGAACTATGCTCTGCCGTTGTGAGCACCTCACAACCCCTGAAAGCATCTTGGACGCCATCTCTCGGACCTCGATGTTTTCATCCGACAGACAGTCCAGAAGAACGCCCATAAGCCGCGACACAAGCCCACTCGACATGCTCAGCAAATTGCGGTAGAAGAACACAATGAGAGTAGGGAGCGCGTTGACTCGGATGCGCCAAGACTGAGATGCGATTGGTCAGATTCTGACAGAGTCAACGGGTCATAGAAAGTCACTGACTATCGAAGACTTGATCGCATTGATGAAGTTGTCCGCGATCACACCCACGTACTCGGGAGGAGGGGTTACCGCGGAGAGGACATAGAGGACCGCAGAGCTGTATGTTTGCAGCTCGGAGCTGTCGTTGAGCTCCGACATCCGAATGATCTCGGGGCTACATATGACTTAGTTTTGCGGTCACTTTCAATGGTCATGACTTACAGCATGGCAATGATGTAACGGAAAATCAAGGGTGCTTGGGGACCATGTGCAAAGTCCCATACCCATTGGAGCACTGGTGTGTCCGGCGCGTAGTCATCAGAAAGGCTCAGAAGATATGCTCGCACAAATACGCACAAGTCAGGCCAACCTTGTCGTACTGAGACTGGCTCACGCGAGGCGGTGGCAATCTCTCCTCTTTCCATGTCGGGAGCTGCGATACGATCTGAGAGACGCGATCGAGGTAGCGCGCATCCCTATGGTCGGAGTCAGCGCCATGAAAGGGCGAATCGGGGGAGATAGCTTACCGGACGAATAAGGGATCGGGTTGGCTAGCACATGCTGCGATGAAGTCGGATGCTGAAGGGTAATTTGGTCGCCATTGGATGTTAATGATAGCATAGATGTTCTGAGCAATTTGAGATCGAATCTGGTAGAGTCGTTTTCACACACGGCAGTCTTCAGGTGGTGGTGAGAGTCTGGACTGACCTCCGCATATCCGGTGTTTGCATTATCCAAGAACAGATTAACATACTGATCGGCCAGGGGAAGGAACCGTAGATCAAGACAATCGACGAGGATGTTGAAGATGGACAACGACTTGCTCACTACCTAACTGTGAGATCTCATTATGCAGAAACAAAAAACTACTTACTGGCGAAGGCGGAGTCGCCGTGAAAATCCAGGGGAAGCGACAGTATCCACTTGACAAGAGGCTCTGTTCGCCGAGGGTCTCTGTCTACCAGTTGCTCCTACAATAAGTCAGATTAAAGGGGAACTCCCCGAAATGTGAGACTTCATACACTGAACAAGTTCTCCCAAAACGAAACAGTGTCTGGCTTCATCTGCGCATAGATCTTGTTCAGCCTGGATGCGATCCATGTCCAGAATGCGTCGGTGTGCTGCTTTGGCCAATGCTTGGACCCTGCCCGGAATCAGCATGACGTCACAGGGAAAGACACCAGTACAGTACCTCTCGACAGCCCAGCTAACAGCTCCGCACCCGAACGTTGCTTGTAGCGGTCTGTGTCGGCGAGAAGGGGGTCGACTGTGTCGAGTATCGTTTGCAGCTTCTCGTGCTCGAACATCTTGGCTGCATCGTGGTCAACACACGCGCCCCCGGACAAGGCGTAGAACGTACCGATGGACTTCATGAAAGTGACGTTCTCCGCTCTGAGTTCTGGGGTGGTGCCGTTCTTCATTGACTCCTGGCCCCAAAGAAGGGCTAGCACGGTGAAGAAGTTGTCCTGGTCCATCACCTCGCTCATAGCACGGAGGATGGGTCTGGAGGCTTCCTCCCACACGAAGGCAGAAGGACCCTCAGGGACCGCTTGGTAGGCTTTCACGGTCGGAGTCCACACAATGAAGCCCGTGCCAAATTTGTCCACGAGGACATCGCTGTTTAGAGATGGTCAGACGCCGCCGAAACTGTTAAAACAAAAACCTACCCGGCTTGCCCGGCCGGATATCCGGGCTGTCCGTGACGCCGCAAGAACTCGACAGGGTCCCCAACAGGTATGTCCCGGCGCAACGGGTTCCGCCACTCATCCAACCACAGCTGCTCGCTCGACTCAGAGAACGTACGGATCTTGATATGGGCGCAAAGCTTCACGACGGCCCTGGTGAGACAACTGGTCAGTGGTGCGTAACAAAGAAACGCATGTCACCTACTTTTGGGCGGTGACTCGGATGGTGGAATGAGGGCTAATACACTGCTTGAGGAAGAAGGCAGCCAGTGCGGGAGGTGGCGTGGCATCTCTCCGCAACAGGCCGTACAAGAAGCGGATCGCAAATTGGACGTATCGCCACTGCGATTGTTGAGTATCAGAAAAAATGAAGGTGACGATGGAGCTCACATGTGTTGTCGGTCGCTCAGCAACGCCAAGGATTATGTTGACCTGATACAGAGGTGAGCGGCAAGACCAAATTCTTGATGAACGTACGGACCGTTTCTTCATAGCGCTGGTTCTTGATGTCGACTCGTGCCTTGCATTTCCCCAGAGCGGCTGCAAGGATCGCTTGATTGACAATAGGTCAGAGAACTCTCGCTTGACGTCCTCCAAAGCTGCAGCACGCCGGGAATGTCCTCGGTGAAAGCATCTGTATGGCATGACTCCTCGTTGAGGTAGGCAAGCGCGTCCTGAGCAACGCTTCCGACAAGCTTCTGAACCGATGGCTGCACAAGTTAAGGCTTTAGTCTGGTTCATGATACATGACTTGTCGAAACTACCTTCTCTTGGTGCTGGCATTCCAGCAACGACACCAGGTACTGTCCATGGAGTGGATATCTGGCCGACGAGAAATCAGCCCGTGAACTAAGAGCGTGCAAATGGGTATCGGACTCACCCGCAAGAGCATACGCAGCCGTCCCCTTGTTCCACATCACGTATAGCGCACCCTTCATGCGATCCGGGTCGGCTTTCTTCTCGAGCGCACGGAAGAGGTATGGGAGGGTGAACCTCGTTGATCGCACGAAGTACTAGATGGACGGTCAGTATGTAATATTCCCCATAAACGCGGCATACGCACACCACATGCGTTGTGAAGGATGGCCTGAGCGTGCCGGCGCACACGGGTGTACGGAGACAGCGACAGCTCATCAAGTCCTGGAGAAGCTCGTCATCCAGCGCATCCCTGCGACGGTACAACGCGTGCATGTAGAGCCGGCCGGCATTGTACACCTGCGCCCGTTTCAAGAAGACGACGCGACCATTGTCCTTCTGCTTGGGCCATGCACGTATTGCGCTGAGGAAAGCGTCAGTGCCTAGTGAATATAATTCATGACGCGATAAACTCACTCGCGCGCCTGCCGATAGGACTTGGTCAGACTCTCGAAATTGCTCCTGGTCATCGCGTATTCGAGCAAGTAGACGTCGATGGCGCGTGACACTCCAATGACGGCGTCAATGTGATCTTCACCCTGGGTCTGATTCCTGAGCAAGTTCGATGCACGGTGAATCAGCTTCCCGTAGTGTGTGCGGTGTGCCATCGCGCGCTTGTACTGCGGGTCGCTAGAGTCGGAGAGGGTGAAGCCCGCCTTGACCTCAAGAGGGGCGACGAGGAGCTCGGGAATCTCGATCTCATCGTTCAGACAAGGATTCACGACGTCCTTCTCGCCCATCAGGAGGAAGGTTGGCAAACTGCCCCAAAGGGAGCGTGCAGCGTGAGGTATCTGGAGCAGAAGGCACATGAGCTCAGTGTATGCGACCGGGGTGCGATCGCGACGGACCGGCAGAAGTCGTTGCGAGCAACACTGTCCCACTTGCTGACGGTCTCAAGAAGACCCTCCACCTTGTCAAGAGCCGGAGCCGCGACCTTGTCCATGACCTCGAGGACGAACTCAATTTCCTCCTTGTTGGAACTGCAACCAGGTAAGCAACATTCTAAGCCGAAGAAACATAACATCTACCATGCCAGGTTACGTCGACCTCCTCGGTTTCATACGTCTTGCCCCACTGAGTAGTGAGATTCTGGTTGAACTCTACGGGACGAACATGAGTGACCGGGTCAGTCCCACTATACTGTGAAACATACCTGGCGAATCCCACTCGTCGGGGTTGGCGAACCGGGAGTTTTGGGTGTAAATAATGCCAGCAGAGTGCACGACGCGGTTGATCAGACGACCCGTTCCGGTGTACCCGCGCTCACTCTTTGTCTTCTCGACGAGTAGATTGATGAGACTGAGCATCTGGTCCTTGTACTTGAGAATCTATGGGGCTGTCAGCCTCAAGCCTGTGCACCAAGTGAAATGCGCTCACAGTGCTCCCGCCATAACCAAAGCAACCCCGAAGGATGGATAGATCTATGGCTTGTCAGAAGAAGGGGTTTTGGAGGACACCAGGCAACTTACTCCAGTGCAAGGTCGTATCCGACGGGACCGCCTCGTGCGTAGACGTGGTGCGAATGCTCGACGCGCCGTGCTTCAGCTCCTCCTGGATCTGCATCGCGCAGAACGGCAGAAACTTGTCGGCCGTCTTCTCCGGGCGAGCGCGGGCGAGACACGACACGAGCTGTCCGAACGCCCGGACCGCGTTCGACTTCGCGTTGGTGCTGGCGTAGTCAAAGACGAGCTTCAAGACGAGGTCGAAGAGCGCGTCCGAGAGGTGCATGCAGACAGTGTCCAGGGCGCCCTTAATGGCCTTGAGGACGCCTCTTCCATCTTGCCTCCGGTCGTGCCCTTCTTGCCACCTTCTTCGGGCAAGTTCTCGAACAGGGCTAGGACCCGGCGGAAGAGCGAGGTGACCCAGTCGGCGAACCCGGAGGTGCTCTCGCGAGTGAGCGCGCGCTCTTCCTCTCGGCTCAGGGTGGGGATCAAAGGGAGTCGACACCTTCAGGGAACTGGGCGAATCGAGGTCCATCATATCTTCTGCTGGGGCATCGCTGGAGAGGTCAACGCCGACTTGGTGCATCGAGACGTCGGCGATCTTAATATGCTGTACCACTGAAGAGATGAACATCGTGGCGCATATCGTCTTGACAGGATCGTTCTGGGGAAGAATATAAATAGAGTGTTCCAGCCGGATCAAAGGAAGCTTACCAGGTCGATTCCAGGGATGCACAACTCCAACAGGGGCACAACATGCTTTTGGCCGCCTAGATAGAGGCGTTCAGTTACCAACGGTAGGGATACCGCAGATAGCATAGTCATCACAGCTGTGGTACGATGAGTTTCATTGATGACTTCAAGGCCACTGTAAGCTCTCTCCAAGAGCTCAGGCATGATGAGATTGGGCTCCAAGAGAGCCATCGAGCGCATTGCAGCCTGGGAGTAGCTAATGGTGAATGGGTCTTTCGAGAACATGGAGAGCAGCACCGGAGTGCGCAGTGTGAGAATGAAATTGCGCCGAATTTCGGGAGTAAGACGCCTGGTCTGCAGAAGACTGAGTTAGGTCTATTATGGCTGTTTTGGAGCGATAAACGTACAACAGGCGTCTTGCAGTTGGGTAGCTGTTCGTCTTTCCACCTCTTCGAGAACTCAGCCATGAGACGTTGAACGAAATGGGTGAGCTAGACTATTGTTCAATGACAGCAAATAGAAATGTAACGATCTGACGAACGTTCAAGCTCCAGATCCCATAGTTGGACGGGTGGAAGAAGGACTCGACACTCGTGACAAGCTTGTCGAGCGAGTCCAGCGCCCGTGAGCCCGCCATATAACCTTCGGAAGAAGACGATCCAGGAGTGCTGGCTGTGTCGGACCGAATAGGGCCGTCAAGAGATAACGAGTAGACGATTAGCTTCGCAAGTGCACCTGTCAATGCGCCACCAATACGTCAGGGACCTCTGATAGATTCAGGCGTGGCTTACTGCTTCTATTAATCAGTTTCTTGATCCGCAGAGACTGCTTGTCGGCCATTGTGTCCGCGTGTCCGGCAGTCGTGCTCGCCCCCTGGTCGGCAGCATAAATTTCGACACGTACAGCGGCATTTCTACTTTCCGACTCACTCGTGTGGCACCCACAGGAACGTCTGGAATAATTGGGCGCGTCAGAACGTACTGAGACGCCTTGAATAAATGACGCACTCATAGAGCCCAAAGCTTTCGCTGTAAGGAATATCCACTCAGCCTCGGACCACATTCCTACCGTTTTCCACTCGGCGGCTGCTTCTGGTCCCATGTCTCCGCACTCGCCGACGATATGCTCCTCGGCAAGGTCTCCGCAGAGCTCGATGAACCTGTCGTCTATCACAGATGAGTTGAAGGCCTCCCAAAGCTTGAATACTAGTGGAAGGTAAAGGTGGGGGTGCGTTGGTGGTAGGAATGACGTCACTACCGGCACCATAGTCAAGATGTTCTGCATAGGCATTGTGAGTTGACGGGTATTGCGAGTGGCGGGAGAAACAACGCACGTCTTTGGTGAGCATGGGCAAGAAGGTAGCAATCATGTCAGGGATCTCGTTAGCAAGGTAGTACCGCTTGCATTGCTCCGCGACGAACAGCAGGATGTTCACCACATTTCGTCTACGGTACATGTGAGGGGACGAATTGGTCATGACGATGATATGCCACATACGAGGAGTCGTGCATCCTCTTCTTCGGCCATAGTTCCTTCTGCAGCACCCTCCAGATCGGCCGCCAGGGCAGTTGGAGGTCGTTTGCGTCGAGTTTGCGACGGCTGTCTGGCTTGTTGCAGATGAGGCGTGAAAGCATATCCGCCCAGCTGCGCATGACGCGCGGCTCAATACCAGGAACGAGGCAGAGTTCATAGTATAGCCGAGTGAGCTTTGCGCGAGTGGACTTGGGCATCGGGTAGCGCATGAGAAGCCAGCTGCGAGCATGGACGCACTCAATCACGCGACACGGAATCCTGTGTGAACGAGAGGCGTACCATTGAAGCATTCCGTCCCAGGTCGTCAGCACGAGCCAGTTCTTCGTCTCCGCGCAAACGCAGATGCGGCCAACGATGACCTCGAGCTTAGCCTGCATCTCCTCCGGCCCTTCGCACTCGTACGGCAGTGCATCGAGGTAGGTTTGAAGAGAGGCGCGCTGCTTCTCGAGAGCATCTGGGGTGGTAGTGCCGAACTCCGAAGCGGGCGAGTCCGGGACAGAGATGTCGTCTTCGTCCATCCCGAGGAGGCTGGCGAAGTGAGAGGTGGAGATGGCACCAAGGTTTGGGGCCTGGGATGAGGGAGTCAGGGAAGGAAGCATATTTCGAGCGAGGTCAAAAGGCGCGAAGGGGGATGTGAGTGCGTACCTACCAAAGGGATTATATGTCTTTGGGAGAGGCTTACGAGGCTCTGGGTGACGCGTACAGGCCCCTGCACAGTCAGGACGGGGACGGTGGCTGAGCGCTGAGAGCGCGCGGAAGGGCGACGCGTCCTCTCAGGCGCACTTAGACGCCCGATATGTCCGTGTTTGCTATCACGTGTATCCCGGGGCGCTTGGAGCGCGTCGAGTGGCCACACCCAGCCCTTGCTCTCACTCTCAACTCAACAGACTCTCCCTATGAGCTGGCTTCACCCAACCCTTCTGCGTAGCGCACAGCGCGGCTGTCGCTCCTTTGCTGCCTCTGCTCCGTCTCGTCTGTCCCACCAGCCCAACTCCGCTTTCAGGACTTTGGTTCAACGTCGATCCCATACAACTGCTTTGTTCTGGGGAACTGCTATTGCGGCGGCAGCTGCTTTGACGTTATCGTCTACTATCTATCTTGATGCGCCCCCTGGACCTGGAGAGGACACTCGTGGTCTGTAAGGACACCATGCAGAGTACGTTCACGTCGGCTCACTTGCTCTGCAGTTGATCCCGCGAGTAAGATCGCGTTCCCCACGAAGCTCGTGGTCCAGTCGAAGACACCCCTGCTGCAGTTCTCTCTGATAGGTGTAGGCGTTCGGACCGTGTCTTTCCTGGGGATCCAGGTCTACTCCATTGGCTTTTACACGGACCTGGCGAATCCTAAGCTCAAGGAGGCAAGACAAATCATATACCGTCAGAGAATACCCCTTTGAATGTCTTTACAGATGCCTCATGACGCGTCGCCGGAAGAGAAAATTCGATTCATTGTGGACAATGGCGCATGTCTCTTGCGAATCAGTATGTTTCCCACAGAACTCGGTGAAGTCTAGCATGCTGAACACGTCGACAGTACCCACCCGCTCTACTTCGTACGGGCATCTCCGCGATGGGTTTATGCGGGCAATGGTAGCACGACAGAACCTCCTCAAAGGACGGGAGGAGCTGTCCAAGGACGAGGAATTTGCCATCCAGACCCCACTCCGGCGACTAAAGTCGATGTTCCCGAACACCCCTCTTGCCAAGCACTCTCCTTTGGACATTCTTATCACCTCCCCGTCGTCAAAAGAACAACGCACGCTGGTGGTGCGTGACATGGGTGACGTCCAGAGCGACTGGCTGGCGCGTAACTTCGTCTTAGCATACTTCGAAGGAGATGGCATCAGCCCACCAGTAAGTTATGACATTTCCTGTAGGTTCTTTTATGGGCTGAACTCCTTTGCAGCTCAAGAAGTCTGTGATCGAGTATGTACAGATCCACTTCTAAGGTCCCTGTGTTGGGTCTTTTTGGGGAGTTGTAGACTGCTATGTTTTTCTTCATCAAAGCTGGTTCCAAAATTGATGACGCGCGGACATCGACAGAGTCGCATCTTCCGACGTATCTTCAGGCTTCCAGTGGCGGACGCCACCCTGGCCTCCGCCATCCTCAATTCGCGCGCGCATGCCCCTCTGCCTTGTTTGCTCTTGCCCGGGATTGCTATGCTCGCTATTCTTCAGCACTTTCTTACGGCTCTAAGCCGAGGTTTGCGCCTTCCTCCACCACAGCTATAATAATGCACACCGGACGCCAACAAACACTCCCTTTCGACTCGTGCCCGACCTCAGATGCTCCCAGATCCGCACACTTGGTACGGCAGCGAAACCTGGTGTAGATGTACTATATACTGTGTCACGAATGACGGTGATACAAGGCTAAAGCCGATACTCGCGATCAATCTCTAGTATCTACAAGGATATAGGAGCTGTTTTAGCACTTCCCCCCAGACGCGGCGCACTCGAGGAATTCCCGCGCGATACACTTTTGCAACGAGCTGTAATATAGAATTTATCTGTACTCTGATTGAGATCGAGACTACGTGACCACAGTCCTCATTCTCAACGTCAACGCGGTGAGCCCGGTGCTGACGCGACGCGACGCGTCGCGTTTGCCGCCTGCAAATTACACGCGCGTTGACGCACGTGGCGCTTCCCCGCGTCCGAATCCGAATCGGCGTCCGTGAGGAAGCCCGTTGCAAATCCCTTCCTCCTCCTTCTCGCACCCTTTCTCTCCCACATCTACTCGCCTCTCCACTCGCCGTATGCGCTCATGATGAGAATCTCTACCTGGAGTGTAATCCACCAGGCCCGGCGGGCGTGCTCGGTCAACCCCTCCTCTCGCGTCTGCACCGTCATCCTCGGAACGCACACACGCACGTATGCGACCCACGCGAACCTCAACCCAGGTGCGAGCAGCAACAAGCCCACGGCGTCGTCACTCCTCGCAAACGCGCTCGATCAGACTCAGCGCTCGTCGCGCCGGGAAGACTCAGCCGGGCCGTTCTCGCTGGGGATCACCCCTCCTCGACCTGGAGAACTGAAGCCGGAGAAGAAGTGGTCGGAGCTGAATGCGGCGGGCAAAGGTGCGTTCGATGTCTTGCTTGTGGGGATAGCCTATTTTTAATGAGCTTGTGATGCGTACAGTCGTTCGGACGACTGCGCGAACGACGAACATGCTCGTCATCCTTGCTGGGGCCGGGTTCACGCTCGTGCTCGGCTACGCGCTCACCTCCGAAATGTTCTCCTCCAACTCGCCCACGGTGCTTTACAACAGAGCGTGCAAGCTCATAAACGCGTCTCCGCAGGTAACCGTTCATATGCCTACAATTTCGTCGCGTGTATCTAATGCCGTGTGCAGGTGCATCACCACCTTGGAGAGTCCCTCGTCTTCCACAACCATCCGCCCTCTGTCGCCCGTCCCCGTCACCGCAACCATTACGTCTCATCCCAGATCTTCGTCGACTCCACTAGCCGTGAGCATATGCTCCTGAACTTCTACGTCCAAGGGCACGCATCAGGCTCGTCGGCCGCAGCTTACGGTGACGAAGGCTTCTTCTCGCGCATATCACACAAGGCGCAGGATGCGGTCATCACGCTGCGCGAGATGTCGACGGAGGACATGGTGTCCACCGCTTCAGCGAAATCGCAGCAGGTCGTGGACTTGGGAAGGAGCATGTTCAGGTTCTTGACCGGTTCAGAAGACGCACAGCCCTCGCCGCAAGCCGTGCCCACCGCTGAGCACAGTAAACTGAAGGAGGAAGGCGGATGGATGTCGTCGATGGCTGGGATGTTCTCTGGTATCAAGGGTTCGACGAGGGCAGCAGGGTCGTCGAGAGATCGCGGCAGCCCTGCGTACACCGAAGGTGAAGTGCATGCTGACCTTGTCATGGTGCGTGCTCATCAGGGCTAGTCCTCGGTTTATATCACTAACGGTCTCCGTAGAACGATCGGGGATATTACGAGTTCAGGTACCTGCTCATCGACATGCCCAGTGAGTTTCGATCACGTATACAACCGACCACACGCTCATTGACAAATCCATAGATTCAAACACCAGGAACCCTCAGCGAGTGTTTATCGAACGAGGAGAGGGCGTACGGGAGACAGAGTCGATAGTACGCTGGCATCGGTAGGCGCGTCGTCGTCTGTAGGGACCTGTTGCTGGGACTTCTCCTGCCATGGTAGTCTCTCAGCATGTCATTCACATCCCACTGCAGTGCGCATAGGGGTATCATCGTTGTACATGTACCGGACGCTAATTACTATACATATGCAAAATGTCCGAGAGCGACAGCTGGGAGCGAAGACGTATACCGCTCATTCGCCAAACAACTTCTGCACGCGCTTGAGGACCGAGTCTTTGCTGGGATCTGAAGCATGATATTCGTTGGGAGGTGGTACGCGTGAAGCCCAAAGGTAAACGCACCATATGGGTGATCCTTGGAGGGGATTTCGAGCAGGGCGGGGAACGCGGCCTGGTACTTGTCGACCATGGGACGAATCTTCTCCGCCACCTAAAGCAGAGACGGCAGGAGTGTGCACTTGCACGGCATATATTTCACTGTAGTACGTACGTGTTGGTTTATCAACAGAATGGCAATGTCTTTCCTCGACGTGAAGTCCTCGAAAGCGGCCTCGATGACCGGGATTTGGGTCTCTGCGCATGAACCGCGCAGCGCTGGTCTCAACAATCCTTCGGTGAGATATGAAGTACGAGACGCACTTGAATCCACAATCAGGAAGTTCTTCTTCTGGTCCCGACCGACATTGCCTATGCCGGCTAGAAGGAGACCAGTCACGGAGTCCTACAGAACTCAGCAGACATACAAATGGCAGAAGCGAGCACGTACCTCATCACCGATTACCGCCAGATACGTCCGCTCTGCCTGGGCCATGGTCGAACGCAACGGAGGTGGGAGGAGGGGTTGTGTCGTCGAGGTCGACCCCGTCGGCAGTCTCGGTGCGCCCACCCGTCCAGTAAAGGCAGGTCCGTCTCACCACGTGACCGATCTATGACGCGTTTGGGGATCTCGATGAGATTCCCCGCTTGTTTCTCTCTGGCCGTGATCCAGACACAGATATCGCGCCTTTCCCAGCTTTGCATCTGGCTTGCTGTCTGCTCGAACACTCATGCTCTCAGTAAACGACATCTTCAACCGGCCGCCTTCCATCTCTGAGGACGCCCTTCAGTACACACTCTACCTTCCTCCAGACCAGACCGATCGAGTTTCCGCCACCGCCCTTGCAGCGCTGCTCACAGAACATGCCGAAATTCTGCTTCCTAGTCACATCTGGCACAGAGACGCGTTCGAGCTCAAGGTTGCGGCCGACCCCGAGGGAAACCAGGACGTATGGGTTCTCGAGGGCCGGATGAGAGTGGGGGACTGCATCGACGACGAATGGTGCACGGTATGGCTCCTGAGGGAGCTCAGCAAACAGTGGGATCTTGTTGTCAGGTGAGTCTCCGATCAACTTCCTGCATGGCCGGTGTCTGAGACGTATCGCAGCATCTTTGACTCGGACGGCGAATTTCTGCTCATTGAGGCGGCGGAAGAGCTACCGTCGTGGGTGACCCCGACGAATGCTGAGAACAGGGTGAGTATGCCCCCTGCGACTCCCCAGCTCGCGCTGAGAGAACTATTTAGGTCTGGATCCATAGCTCCGCCTTCATCTTGTGCCTCTTTCACACGTCTCCCCACCGTCTGGCAAAACGCGCCGTAAAAAGTACGACTCTCGCGAGGACAGCGACGAAGAGAACGGTGTGGATGGAAAGGAGTCAGATTCTATCACTGCGGCCGATGCGATACGACTCGTCCGCGACCCGCTGGTGGATACATTCGCGCCGGAGAATGTACAAGCAGCCGTCTGGAAGCGCATCGCGGGGTGAGTACTGCTCACAAGTCCATGAAAAGCAAGTATAACAATTGATTTATGGCTCATTCCAGGTACCCTGCAGCCTCGCGCCAACACATGCACGTCGCCAAGGCGTGCCTCCCCGTGGATGTAGCAAAAGCCCTCACAGTTAACCCGTTACTGGTGCAAAAGGCGGTCGAAGCGTTCTACACTCGTGATGGACTCCAACTCAGGGTATGCGTTCCATGTGCCGATACTTCTCATCCATACCTAATTCCTCTCAGGCGGCGCAGAAGATGTCGCGATTTTCTCCAGAGCCAGCTGTCCTCGCGTCCGTCAAGATGTCGCGTACGGCTTATGCCCAGCTCCAAGGACAGAAGTTTCATCCCCCGAAGGTCTTTGGCCGGTGGCAGAGCGAGAGGGTCTCAAGAATGGCGATGGAAGGACGTTGGTATGAAAATAGTAAGGGCCTCCCCTTCCTAGATGTCCCTGCATTTCGACTGAACATGCCTCCAGGCTTGCGGCTTCGAGATGCTATTCCAGGAGAGCAAGAGCCGAAAGGAGGCGATGTCCACGAACCTTGACGGTACCTCCTCATCGGTACGTCACAGCCAGCGAGACCCGACAGAGCAGTATCCTGACGATCCCGCAGGCGGACGCACTCAAAGACAACCTGCGCCGAAACCCGGAATACACCCAGTACATCCAACGCCTGCAGTCGCCGGCTACTTCAAGGACGAAGCGGAAGGCTCTCAGCTCTGGACCACTCTGGAAACCCAGGCCGCTGCAGCCTTCGTGGCCGCGCGCCGTGACGAGTAGATTGTTCATCTTACGTGCTTTGGAGATACAGCTCACGCCTCGATCCACTAGCGATGCGACGCGCCCCTCCTTCGCGACTACCGTCCAATCAGCACTCAACGACCACACCGACGACCGCGGCTTCACGTCCGAGGCAGAAGACCCCGACGACTGGCTCAATGTCGACGCCTCCGACTTCGACACGATGCTCGAGAAGACCATGGGCGTCGACAAGGGCAAAGGCAGGGCGAGGGCCGACGGCATGGATGTTGACGGCGCGGACGCCGAGGACCGCGTCGCGAAAGCCCAAGCTGAACGCCTCCGGGACCTGGCCAAAAAGGTGGAGGATTTCGTCGAACGCAAGGGCGACCTCGACGGCGCCCGCTTCGCAGAGTGAGTTGCGCCCCCTGAACCCGCTCTGGCCCACGCGTCTCTCATCACCCAACTAGCGAAGCGTCGTCAGAGGACGGAGACAGTGACGACGACGACGAAGGTTTCCTCGGCGGTGACGACGGTGACGGCGACGGCGACGGCGACGAGTCCGACATGGACGAAGACGAGCCCTCCGCGCGTATGGCTGCTCGGACTCTCACAGACGAACAGCGTGCCGCACGCCAAGCCGCGATGGACAAACTGGTTCCCGCGCTCGACCCTTCAGAATATGGTGCAATGCCCGCTTCATTCCACAGCAACTCTCAACGCGTCGCACCAGTCACCCTCAAAACCGAAGTGCACGATGCACTTGATACGAATGCCTCGCCCATCACACAAAACCGCCCAGTCAGGCCTCCCATTCTCCCACGCGACCACTTTGATGGCGTCGACTCCGACGACGAAACGGATGAGGAAGTGCCGGCAGATGAGGAGGAAGACGAGGAAGGACGGCCTCAGATCGTCGGTGAAATCGAAATAGACATGACGGAAGAGACGGACGAATTCATTGAGTTCGCTCGTCAGGCTCTTGGTGTCTCGGATGATCAGTGGGACTCCATATTGAAGGAGAGAGATGAACGAGGCGGTGAGCGTCATTCTCCATTGCATTATGGTGTACACTGACACCTTGTAGCGTTTGTGCCCAATCGGGTCACTGTCGAGGGCAGGAGCGAAACATTCCAAAGGAGTTACGCTCCGCCGCCCCACACACCGAGGTGCCGCAGTCCGACGCTGCTAATCCTCTGGACTCATTCGAAGCGGTAATGAAGGCTGTGGATGCCGAATTGGCCCGATCGCAGGGACGACCACGCGCTGAGCAGAATGCCTGCCGATCCTCCGGATCCCGAGGCAAAAGCAAAGTGACAGAGTCAAACGAGGATGACATCGACATCGAAGCGGCGATGCAAGCCGAGGTTGACGAGCTGTTAGAACCCGCGGATGACGACGAGAGCGCCGGGGCCGACTACACGCTGATCAAAAACTTCCTCGAAAGCTTCAAGAGTCAAGGTGGCCTCTCGGGTCCTGTGGGCGCATTGGCCGGCAGACTGCAGCGAGGTTGGACTTTTCCGAGAGATGAGAGCTAGTGGGAAGAGTTTGGGTCGCTGCGCAAACTGTGTATGTCATGCCCGAGATGCATGGATTAACGAATGTGGGTATATAGGCTGTAGAATATGCTGATCCCAATGGTACCGATCACGATACACCATGTCATCCTCTGCGACAAACCCTCTACTTCCTGTCCTGGTAGTACTTGTAGCCAGCAGGGCCACCGACGGCGTCACCGGTGACGCTGTAGCCACCGTCACCCGCCAGGTCTGTAATAGAGGTCAGCGCTGCATATTTGGAGGAAGGACAGTGCGTACTAGAGCCAGCGCCTCCTACGGCGGCGGGGTTGTTCGTGATCATCCCTGCTTCGTTGTAGACAGTACCGCCGGCGGCATTGCCGGAGTAACCGGTGTAGGCATTACCGCCAGGGCCGTACCCGTACCCCTTACCGCCGTAGGCGTCACCAGAGTAAGTACCACCTGCGGCACCACCGGTGTCTGCCGACCGTGCGTCAGCTTCACATCGCGCACTACAGGTGGGCGGTACGTACTGGCGCCGGTGTTGGTGAGGGTGTCCTCCGAGCTGACCTTGTTGGCAATGTAACCGCCGTTGACATCGTCGGTCGAACCAGAGTAGGCGGAACCACCCGCGGCGTACTTGTCCTCCGCACGCTTCTTGAGGCCGTAAGGGCCGTTCACTGATCGTGGCCATCGTTGACGTAGGGCCTGTCCTCCTCGCTGTAGCGGTCGCCGTAGCCGTCGTTGTGGCGGTTGTTGTAGTAGTAGTTGCCGCTGTCGTACTCCTTGTAGTCGGCATCACCGCCAACAGCGGTACCGCTCTCGGAGAAGCCACCGGTGCCACCAATATCTAGGTGACGGAGTGAGATGGAGACATCAAAACGCGCAGCCGAGGGACTCACTGCTGCCCGCGGCGTTGGTGTTGGCAACTGCCACGCCGTCGCCGACCTGCTGGTTGTACTTGTTGTGGTTGTAGCGGTCGTAGCGGTCGTCATAGCCGAAGTCGCCGTCGTTCGTGTTCACAATCGAACCACCCTCGGCGGTGCCGGAGTTACCGGTGTAGGCGTCGCCACCGGGTCCCTTGCCGTAGCCGTTACCACCGAAGGCGAAACCGCTGTAAGACCGGTCCGCGTCACCGCCAACGTCTGAAATAGTCGTTAGTGTCTGTCCCAATTGTAGCGAGCCATGCACTTACTGGACGCTGCGGCGTTGGTGAAGGCGGTCGTAGCTATCGACGTTGTTGATGGCGCTACCACCGTCGACCTTGCCCGAAGAACCAGAGTACGCGTCACCACCGGCCTTGTAGCTGTCGTACTGGTACTGAGAGTCGTAGTCGGCACGCCTCGCGCGCTGCCTATCCGTGGGAGCCGCCTTCGCCACAGGCCGCTGCTGGTTCTGTGCCGGGTTGGTGCCCTTGCCAGCACCCTGACCCTGACCCTGAGCCGAAGGGACACCGGGTACGCCTTTGTTCTGACGGAATGCCTGGGTGCGCGCGAGGGGCTCGTCGATGTCGGTGTGGGCCGCCTTGCTTGGCTGGGCGGCGGGGGCGCCGGGAGCGGCGGGAGCGGCGCCACCAGCGAGACCGGTGACCGTGTCAGCGACGGTGCCGATGGGCTCGGGGAGGCCGCGGATCTGGTGGGTCTTCGCGGCGGCCTCGGTCTGGCGGAGGGCCTGGTCGAGCTGGGGCGACGTGGGCGCACCAGAGACGAGGGAAGGGCTGACCGCGGCGGCGGCGATGAGAGAAAAGGCGATGACCGGGCTGCGCATCTTGGTGCTGGTGGTAGGGGTGGTAGGACGCTTGAGGAACGATTAGACGAACCAAGACTAGACGAGAAAAGAGAGACTGAGGAAGTGGGATGGAGAGACACAGCACGTCCCGACACCTTATATATGCGCCGGGCTGGTTTCAGACCCCGCTGCGTCTTCTCGAAAGGAGGGCAGGGATCGGGACGGCCTTCGACACCTGCCTCAATTGGATGGAGAATTCCTGAATCGGCAGCACCGACGCGACCACCACGAAGGGCGCACTTGGTATGACAGCATAGAGAGACAACATGACGTCGTTTGTCCTGTGTCCATATATGGTGCCCGGAGGCTCGTGCGCTGTGCTGAATGTCAATCATCTGGAGCATGACAAACATGTCGGGCCGGCTTACGGGATTATCTGGCTGGGAATGGGCCGCGATGTCGAACGGCTTACAGGATTCAGGAAGCCATAGCCGACTGCCAACATGAGCCCTGCCACCAGCTATCTGCATTGACGCCGGACGATCCTGAAGGAACTTTCGTGTCTACGCCAGCGTTTTCCGCGAACTCATCGCGGCGGTATTTTGAATGAGCTGCCAAGCGGTGGTGTGGCTAGCGCAGTTGAAAGAGCTTGAACTGGGTGCGACGTGTGGGTTTCGAAAGTTGGCGTTTTAAGACGCGCCATGTGACTGTGGGAATGAGCCCACGAGCACCTTCAACTTGCAGCGCCACATGCATACGACTTGTACATGTTTTGCTCCAGACCACGAACTGCAGGTTCCGTCGTGACTCGCCTTCGCCACCTCTCGCTGGTGTTTGCGGTCACACTGTGCCCAAATCGAACGGCTCATCGTGAATCAATAGTTTCTCAGGCTGGCTTGACTACTACTACCCATTTTCGCCTTCCCGAGCCCTCTCCATCCCCTCGGGATAGCACGATGCCTCGTGCCTGGTCTCAAGACGAATTCTCCGAACTCCCTGATATTGTCGATTTTGGAAGGATACCCTCTAATATTGCGCTTGGTGCCCTAGTGATGGTCGTGCCGGACACCAACGACCCATTCGGGGAATTCGACACTTACAACGAACTTGACTCGTTTGCTGGCATTGACCTCGACTCCGTACCAGCCCTCGGTCCTGCACAACCTCACTCTCCACCGACACCACCTCCATCCATGCCCGAGGTTCCAGCCGAGCAGGCGGTTGCCCCAACGCAGGTCGCCTCGCAGCCGTCAACCCAATACTCGTTCACGAGTCTATCCGGCTCGATCTGGCTAGAGTTGGATCGACGAGAGAAGAGTTGTGGCGGCTCCCAAACGTACAGGTAAGTGCGGGTTGGTTCAAGTCTGCCACTTTGTAAAAACATTGACTTCGCCATGTAGCGTCGCCTGCCCAAACGAACCAACCCGAGCCCTCAACGTCAACGCCACCGGTCGTGCCAGGTACGCTCTTATAGTTTAGATGCTCGATACTCGTCCGTGTCACTCACGCTGATATTAATCCTGAAGTAAATGATCCCCCTAATCCCAACTCTCTGAAGCGGACGCGAACAATTACGGGTGACATCAACCCACACGCTGCGAAGAGAGTGTCCGGAGAATGGTCACTGTGTGTGGGTCTATCAGTCAAGGAAGTACTGGAAGGTCTTCAGGGCGGATTCACCTGCGACGTGTACGTGTTTCTCGTCATAAGAGTCTGCATCTATGTGCTTACAGTCACTCAGATGTCACGATATCATGCAAGTGTCTCGTTCACAGCACCGCTACCCTCCACCCGCTGACCACCTCGCACTACAGGGCAGAGCCGCATTCCTGCATACCCTGCGGTCACTCGTACTGTGGTGCTTGCATTCTTAACTGGATCGAGCACTTTGTAAGTATTATGGCGTCTTCTATTTATGAGTTCACTCGCTAATGTCGACATAGGACCAACTCACGCCCGATTCTCGCAAGGAACCCACCTGCCCGGTTGCGTCGCCACCCTCCTCAAGGGCACCCTCATCGCTCCCAACTTCTCTTTCCGGAACGTAATCGAAAGCCACATCTCCGCCCTTTCAGATGCAGGCAAGGCGGAGTGGAACCCGGAAACGGGAGCTGAATACCAACGATGGTCAGATCGTAAGACGTAAGTGACTCTTCCGTCAGTTGACTTTTGAGTACATAGTGCTCACTTCGTCGCGTAGAGAATGGTCGACGCACAAGGCTGTGCTCACGAGATTCCGAGGAATCCGACGTTCACTCACTCTTGACCTGCAACCGTCTCCATCCCCGCTCAGCTCGCTGAGCCTAGAGGAAGGCTATTAGGCGAGTAAGGGATGCAATGCCTGACAAACCTGGGGTCGTTCTTGGTGCATGACTTCTTCCCATACCCGGCAGCATAGTGCCGATGCTCTGTATTTGTAGTGTTGCTAGGTGTATCGCCGCCGCGTAAGCGCCTGCACATACTCTGTTATTTGCTCAATCTTGTAACCATAGCAGCTAGCTAATACATGCGGCATTTCACATGATCATGTCTCGTGCACCAACTCGTGTCGTTGTGGTCAAAGAAACATATCATTGATGTACATCCGGGGCGTATGCGTGAAGTTCGTAAGACTACAGTGATCCAGCGATACAAGTGAAACCTCCAATCTAACACAACGATGAGTGTATCTAGATAACCTTACACAAGTCTCAAACTTGCAGAGGGGGAATGGTGTGTTCTTAAGTTGGGGTCAAGGGGTACTCTCCGCCTTACAACACGAAGGAGACCTCGAGGAGACCACTGGCCGTGGCATCGGATATCGTGACAAGGTAAGTGTCGTCTCCCGCAGATACAATCTCCGGCGTTGGTAAGGGCGTGCCGTCGAGCGTCGCGCCGAGTTTTGTCGTGATGGCACCCTGCCACAAGAACATCGCCGACGTGGACACGTCAGCAGCGACCTCGGCTGTTACCGTGACCCGTGAATGGGACTCTTCATGCTTGGGAGGAGCGAACGACGAGGTATGAGTGAGCTGTGGTGCGGTAATGGGTTCTGTTGATGCAACAGGCGCGCCCCGGGTTTCTCCTGGGCAACCAATCAATTCAACTGTTTACGAAAGACTGCGAGTGGACTCACCTGAACTTTCAACAACCTTCTTGCGGGCTTCGGGCTTCGGCTCGCCTCGTGCTTGCGAAGGATCGCTCTCGGGTATCCCAGTGGAGTCCCGCGACCTGGAGCTCGCAGTTTGCACCAGTAGAAATCCGAGGACGCCAGAGATCCGGCGTGGAATGCCTTCGCCGATAAGACGCATGGTGATGGCCTTGAAGAAGCAGCTCCAGAACCAGGCGACGACATTGAAAATGGTGTGGATATATGAGCGTATGATGCGCCCGGGAAGCGCGCGGATGAGCGACAGAGATGGCCGCCGGCGGTGCGAAAAACGACGTTCGGAAGTGAGCTGTGGTCGGGAGGGCACAAACGGCGTGGGTGTCGGCGAATGGACCTTGGAAGGTGTAGGTGGCAGCTCCGACGCAAGCATCGCTGGCGATGACCTGGTCGGTGGCGAGGGAGGCGGTGTGGGCAGTGGGTGGTTGGCGCGGTCTTCAACCATGGCGTTGATGCGCTTGTATGCGCTGAGCGGGGCGAGATAACACATCGTGTTCCTGTTCTGCACGATTAGGACAGGAGACGCTAAGAGTTCGCCTCCGGAGCCGTCGACGAGAACCGAGCCCCGGCCTTCAGATGATGTACGGACAACCCTGGCCTGGTGCTGCGCAGGAGAGTATAGTGCGAGCACTTCAGCCTCCGGAGGTTGCGATATTAGCGGCTGCAGCCAAGCGAAGGGTACAGCACAAGGCCCTGTCACTTCCGCGAGAGGCATCACCAGGACGTGGAAAGGCGGAGAGTCGGCTGCCATAGGACTTGCGAAGATGGCAACCTCGTCGCGCACGAAAAACACTCCGCGACGACGAGCTGCAAGGTCGAGTAGGACCCCCGCCGCATTCTTCAACGATGAAAAGGAGAGCGACCCAGCCGCATCCACGGATATGGTTCCATCGGGTGAGATGGACACGGACGCGGGGCAGCTCGCAGCAATGACCAAAGGTTCTGGGACGCTCACGCCGCGCTTGTACGACTTCGGCGAAAGCACCACCGCGCTACCGACACTAGTTTCGGTGTTCATAGTCTGTGCGGGAAACCTACGTATAATCAATTCTCAGCACTCGCACGAAGAGTAGCAAGAATACACATACTTGTTCGATGTCCAGGTCCAGCGCGTCCAGTCTGTCGGCGTGTTCAGCTGAGCGACTACACGCTCTCCTACGGTTTCCACATGGTGAATGTCGGCATCCGATTGTTGCCATCCCTCGCCGAAGGTCACTCCAGACAGGCCGCGTTCAAAGACCACAACCCCGTTTCCTCCGAACTCCCCAAGCCAATGGACCCGGCCTGACGGCTGCACCAGGCGATACGTGAAGGAGAACCGCGCACCGACCCACTCTTGAAGCGGCAGCTGTATGCGGAGATAGACGGAGTCTTCTTCGCTGTTGGCTTCGCGGAGGGCGTCCTCTGTCCAGAGCGAGAGGTTGCCGAGAGTGTCCCCACCTCGCTCCCCTCCGGCCTAGCCCATGGTCCGAAGGCGATTGCGCCCCACTCTCCACGCGCGCGGCCCTCAAAGGGAATGTCGGACCAGAGCTCAACCCGGGTTCCGTCGGCCTTGGCTTGTTGGCGGGACTTGGGGGAGTCGAACGCAGCTCTGAAAACGAGAGTCGGCGTCTGTCCTGCACAGCCGTCCTTAGACACCACAGCGACTTTGACGGCGGTAGTCTGTCCGAGCGCGGGGCAGAAGGTGAGTTGCATGGTTGCGAAGGGATCCGCCGGCGGGGGGGTCGGTGTCGCGGGGGTCGCCTGGGGCTCAAGAGCCGCAGGAAGAGGGGCGGAAGGGGTTGCCTGAGAGCCAGCCATGGGGGAATGAAGGTCGCCGAAATAGTGGGCTCCGCTGCCTGGCGGACACAACGAGGCTGAGAGAAGGCGCAGCTGGGCGCATCCAACGGCCGACCTGTCCTGAAGACGTCACGGACAGTCACAGACGCCCGCCAAATCTAGCCCGCCCCGGGATCGCTTGGGATCTGGTATGATTCGGAGCACAGTGCGAAGTAAACGTGAGGCCAATATTGCCTGGCTATAGATGGTGGTCAAACCTCTCTTCACCACCAAGACTGGATCAGAGATCCAGTTGCCTGACGAGCACTTATATATCGGACCTGACCTGAATTGATCACATGAATCGGCCAAGTACCTGCCCCAGCGGTCTTCCCGTTTTATGGTACAAAGTACACTACATGCTTTCGGAAACGGATATCATTCACCTGTGATAGACTTCCATAGAAGACTCGCTAGGTCTCCAGTGTTTGTGGTCCACCCCGCGCTCACCGAGATCTCTTGCGTCAGAAGCCTGCGACACCATTTGTCTGACGAGGTCCTCCAGCATCTCCGGCGGTAAATCGTACTCCGACGTCCGTACTGCGATTGCATATGTGGCTGTGTATTCCATCAGTGTCTACACATGGAATGCAATTCCATTGCGTACCGTTTTCGATTTTTTCCAGGGACTGGTTTGTCACGAATTGTTTCTTGCGCAGCTCTTTGAACTGTGGCGTGAACACTTCGAAATCTGTGTATGAGTTGGGGTTAATATGTCACCCAGACGTGCCAATAAGACGGAAGTTCACCTGCTTTACAACTGCGGACAAATTCACAGACTTCGCTGGCTCTCTGACGCCCTCCCCGCTGTGATATAGACGCGATGGCATGCCGCATCAATTCACCTGTCAAATCAGAGAGCCCAAGAAGATAGTCCTCGAGTGGCAAAGGGAAGTACTGCGCGGATGCGGGATGAAAGTTGATCAGTCTCGACGTTCGCGACAGAGGAGCACACTCACAGGGTTGCGGTCGTCGTCGGATAGATAGTTTTGGACCTCACGGTACGAAATCAACGTTCCGTGCTCAAGATAATGGGCAAAACTCAGAGCCTCGACAAGCTCCTGCAGGCCAGGAGAGACGTTTCTGTGATAGCGTGAGAAGCGCTCGCCATCGAGGTGTGGGCGCATGTCAGCGAAAAGCTTTCTGATTTCTTCCAGCTTGGGTCGCGCGCGGGAAGCGGCACGGCAGCCAAGCACGCGATTGTCACGCTCCACCGCATCTTCGGTCATGGTACGGTGGAGTAGGAAGATGAGCTTTTTGGAGAGGTTGGTCACATCTCGACTAGCCTGTGGAAAGGTTAGCGGTTGAAATAAAGTGACGTGAGACTGGGACGCTTACCTTGATGAGGGTCTCCCGAAGATCGTTATGTTCGTCGAGCTCCTCTCTGAAGTGATCGAACGCAGAGAGCACCGCGTCTCGGGAATGGATGGTGGAGGATGGGGGCATGCTGTTACGTTATGGCACAGGCGGCGATCCGGCGATTCCTGCGGTGCGTGCGGTGCGGTGCGGTGCGAACGGAAGACAGTACGGGCAACGAGGATCAAATTGCGGGGCGACGTCGGAGGCCAATGACAAGTGAGGGAGTAGTGACTGTGGCTAGAGGAGGAATTTAAGATGGGCAATGCACTGGTGCCGCCGGCGTAGCGCCCGGCCAAGCGGCCACTGGTCGGCGGAGAGCCCGGACGGCAAGGCACGGCCAATGGAACGAACGCTCGGCCGGGAGTAGACGCCTGCAGGCTCTGGTTGTCATATCTGCTCTGTTGCGCGGTCAGTCCTCCGCTCGTCTGCGTTCTCCCTTCTCCCTCCCTCCTTTCCCTTGGTGGCAACTTTTCCACCATGACCTTCGCCCCAAAATCCGGCTGCCCAATGTGCAGCATCGTCTCTTCTGCAACCTCCGCTCCCGCATCCCCCTCCGCCTCCTCGCGGCAGGCCGAGATCCTCTGGAAAGATGACAACTTCACCGTTTACCGCGAGAGCGCAAATCCTGTCTCAAGCAAAGGGCATGTCATTATTGTATTCAAGTGCGTTCCCCCGGTGCTCGCGCGTGTCCTTTTCCTTACGCCGTCTCGCTGCTCAGTTTACACGTGCCGTCAATATACACCCTGGTATGCACCCATCTTCAGCCCGCCGCATCCATCTTGCGGTCCTCCTACCTCAGCGGCTGTTGTAGGCTCATTCCCAATGTGTAGTCCTCAAGTGACCTCCCCATCCTTGTTACCCTTCGCGACATAGCACACCGCACACTCAACTCTATCCAAGCGCCCTCCTCGCCCTCCGCTTCGCCCATTGCCTCCGCCGGCTCACAACAAGCCATCTCTGACAACGCCTCCCAGCTGACGAGTACGCGCGACTCGTTCCGGATTGGCTTCATCAACTCCCCGTTCAAAGACAACAAGATCCCTGTCACTGACCACCTGCACGCGCACGCATACATTCTCCCTGCGGACCGTTTAGGCTGGTGGCGAGGCATTGCGTACAGTTCCGTCGCTTGGTACGAGGTCGATGACTTGATTGCGGAGATTCGGTAAGCCCCAGTTTCCCCCTCCATACCCATCGCGAAGCGCTCATATGCCATGTGCAGGGAAGAAACTTCGAACAATCGTGTGCGCTCCGGCATGAACCCGAGACCAATCGACCGCGTCCCTGGTGCAGGCATGCGGAGAGGAACCGCCGACGGTATCGAGACGACGGACGCACCGCTAGGGGTCGCGGACGTCGAACAGGGCGAGTCCGTGGGTAGCCCTATGCTCCTGCCACCCACACCATCAACCGGTGGAACGGTGACACAGGAGCGACCATCATTCAGTGATTCTTCGATACCCCATCTGACGGTGTAGGACATCCGCCACAGACGCGTTTATTTGTATCTTCATCATAATTCTCATCACGGTCCACTGGCATTGCGAGAACATGGGCGCACACATGTATTTAAGGACCGTAGGCACTCTCGGTAGGCTACACAAATGATACACAAATATTGCAAGAGTTGTCCTATAGATGGGATCCGAGAGCATCCGTGCATTACGCGTCTGTGATCAATACGATGAGTTGCAGCCTGCACGACAGAAGCAGCAGGCGCACAGTACGACGATCCGGACAGCAGGGTAGAGAGCGCAGCGAGTTGTTCTTCCGTGAACTTCTTCGAGTCTTCGTGCCAAGTGTCCTGATGGGTCTTCCGGAACGTGCTCGCGCACTTGCGGACCGTGGTGGATATGGGGATCTAGGAGAACATGGGAAGTGCGTAACGCGCAAGGAATGATGGGCACTCACAGGGTCGTATGTATGCTCAGCAAGGATGTTGGTCAGGAGCTCTGGCATCCAGCGCTCGATGGTGTATGGATAGCTTTCCACAAGAGCACAGACGCCCAGAATCGCCGCATGCAATTGACGAATGGCGGTGTTGTATGCAGGCGACTTCCTATCAGCTGGGAGCTTGCTATTTTTGATCAAGCGCACAAAGCGATCCTGAGTGCGCAGCTTGAGAACACCACTCTCGATGAAAATACGAAGCGCGTACCTTTAGGGTGATGATACTTTTGCGTGGCGATAGGCGGAGAATGCCTGAGAGTGTCCTGTAGGCCGTTGTTAGAATTGGGTGCACAGTGCACGAGGTATGGAAGAGCACGCACGTTGCTGCCATCTCACGCACTTCCACGACCTCGTCGTCCAAGCATCGACAAATGACCTTTCAGACGTACTAAGTCAGTAAAGATGTATGTAGTAACGGGATCGCAGCACATACCTCGACCATCTCGATTATTTTGATGTCGCTGATAAGGCAGGACTGTCGGAAGTAGAAGACTGGGCGCAACTATTCAGTTGCACAAAAATGCACACGAGGAACGGCGCTCAAACCTTGCACAAGCGGAAGGATCTTCAGGCGCACTTTCCATGACTGTCGTTCAACGTGATCAGTACGTGGACTTGGAAAGACGGCGATCCCAACGTACGGGAAAAGTCTGAATGGCGTTGAACAGTTCGTCGAGGATGGGGTTGATGAACTGACGTGGAACAATCACTCCGCACATGCGGACCATGAGAAGCTTTGCGCGATACGCAAGTTCATCGTTGTCATTGACTAATTGCTATCAGCCACCGCAGTACGGCAAGACGAGTATCCGTTCAAAGGACGCACCTTCTGTGAAATGGATGAGTTCGGGCTGGATAGTAATTATGTCAGTATCTAGTGGTCAAAGCAGTTAACATGCATAGTACCAGGAGGGGAAGTATGCAGTCGAAAGCGGAGATAGCGTTCGTGTCGTGAATGAGCTGGAAGAGCCATTTGCAAATGAGCACTCCAACACTGAAAACATTTATGAGATTTTTTCTTTCACTGCAGCATGAGGCCTTACCGGTCGTAGGTGGACTGGAACGCCCGAACGCCGGGCAATCGCTCCTGCCGCCAGACAGGGAATTGCTGTACCAACTCCGTGACACGCTCCTCGTGGAATGTCCCACGAATTCCCATGATATCACCCACAGAGGGGATGGTCCGGCACTCCTTGACGAATACTTCGGGTGTCAACATGGACGGATTGGGACGCCACTGCGATCAAGTCAATATCACAGCACGCGCCAGATGATAAGAGACGCAACGAACCATGATCTTGCCGCAGAAGGCCATGATCTCGCTAATATACGCAAGCACCTCCTCATGTTCGCACTTGAGTTGGGCCCAACAGCGCTTCAAGGTATCGTCGACCCACGCCGTGAATTTCATGCCAAGCTGCTCGTACAGCGCTCGGAAGAAGCAGAGCACCTGCACCGCCTCGAAGGTTGTTTCGCCGTTGAAGTCGACAGTGTTGAATTCTTCCATGATGTGGTCTACAAGAGGTTGCAGTCGACGCGGATCCTTATTGTAGAAGACGTGCTGGGCAGGACCTTTTAAGGATGGATTCATCGCTATCATTCAACGAGCACATACTTCGAAAAAGGAAGACCAGACTGCCAGCGTGTCGTTGGTTTTTTGGCTGAAGATCGTCCTGATGTGAGGAGTGAACCACATCCAAAACTTGAGCTGGGCGTCCGTTGGCCAGTGCTTTGAACCACCAATCATTCCTGCAATGAATTCTGCTGCCGCTCGTTGCTTGTTCTTGTCCTTGTTCGCGAGCAGCTCCTCAACTATCGGTTGGAGGACAGTGAAGGGCTCGTCATCCAGGAGTTGGACTGCGAAAAAGCATGAGCAAAATGCTTGTCCTTGAATGAGTAGACTCACAAATGGACTTCACAGTACACAAGTTGTCCTGAACCACAACATCGGAGTTGTTCTCAGCCGAGTAGTGGGTGGAAAGCTTCTTCCAAAACGCGGAGTCCTTCGCCGCACTACGGATAGCTGCGACGACATGCTCGCTATTAGGTTCCCACGGCTGGAACGTGGACTTCGTTTGGTGCGGAACCAGGAAACAGTCAATCGTGCTGCTCCATGCGATCCACCCAGAACCAAGCTTGTCTCGTAGCAATCTGCGAGTGTTACGTGAGCTGAGTGGCGTTCCTAAAGCGATATCCACTCACGGCTCGGTTCGACCTCGGTCCAAATCCAAGGGAACCCTGTACTCTGAAAGCTTGACTTCTGAGAATTCACGCGATGGATCCTCCACGCGAACCTTCCTTCGTAGCGGGTTGTGGTTTTGCTCGAGAGCTATGTCTGCTGGATCCTGGGCCAGAGCGCGGAGCTTGATGAATCTAGAGACTTTCATGACCCCTCGTTGAGCATACTAGGAATTAGGCGATTAGCTGCGTATTGAGCGACGACATGAATGTGAGCCCTACGTAGCGCTGAAAATCCTATCAGATCAATATGTCTGCGAAAAATGCAAAAAGGCATACCATGCTGGCATTCGAATCATAAGAGTTCTTGAGGAAATACTCAACATGCTCTGTCTTCATAGGAGCGTCTCGTCGAATCAGGGAGCGGAGACATCGTACGGCTACAATCGCGTATCTCCAATGCGTGTCAGGGTTGTTGGCAATCTTGAGCACGGTGTCGGTCTATACCGGTGTAAGCGATAGGAAGAGTGGGTGTAGTGAATACGCACAGTGAGTAGAACTGCCTCGTTGTGGATGGCAAGACGGTTGGCGCGTTGTGTCTCGCATCTGGTCAGGACATCATCCGCTATCTCCGCATACGTCACCATGGCTCGAAGATGGTGCGTTGCTTTGATCAAGGCGCGATTGTCGATATTGTACACCACTTGACTGGGCTCCCCGAAGTTCGCAAGGCCTGTTGAATTACGCTTGAGACAAGCTTCTGTGATATCACATTAACGTGAGACCCACTGGTTTCCGCCAAGGACGCGACACAATCCTGAATGGATGACTACAATCTGGTCAGCATGACACGATGTGTAGAAGAGAGGTCACCCCAAACCTTCTCATTGTGCTGACAAGCGAAGAGGTTCTTGACAAACTCCGTCGACAGCGTTGGTTCTGCAGGGAGTTCACACGACGGAAGGACATGAAGAAGGCGAGACCTTACCACCACTGGCATATTTGGCTACGGCGAGCGCATAAATACGGATGCAAAAAAGTGGAACTTCGATATGTTTGCGCACCGAAGACAGAAAGGTTGAGGGTCCACAGAGCTCCCTTCATGCGATCGTCATCTGTTCCAGGCTCGAGCGATTGGTACAACGTGGGAAGACACCGGCGCCGTACGCCATCGAAGCTCTGGAGATTCATGTAAGCAGTCAGAAAACTCAGAGCAGCAGTGACTGACGTTGCAAAGGCTTTCCAGAAGAGCCTGACTCGACCTGAAGATAGCCTGAGTCATCGCTCCGTGTCGTGACAACGAAAACTTACTCTCGGACTATGAAGAACATCAGCGCCGATCAAAAATTGGCGTATGGAGACTTGACATACCAGTAGCGTAATGCCACATCGACCACTGCGTGACGTCGTCGATGAGACTGTCCTCCAGCATACCCCTTCGACGTTCAATCGAATTCCATCGAAGTCGAGCAGCATGATATAACCTACACAACCATATGAAGCAGCGTAGTCCATACGTCACGACGAAACTCACCTCGCTCGCCTCACATACAGGGCGCGCGGCCAGACCTTCTGTCCAGCATAGTGACGCGCAATGTTTAGCTCGCTTTGGTACCGATCGGCTTGCAGATAGTAACTGTTCCAGACGTGAGCAGTGCTCAAAATCACATCGCTGTCCATTCACCTATCTCGACTGTCTCCATATTCAAGGAGGAAAGTACGGATCGATCGGAGCTGGTTGTATGCGTTGGGGTCGTCTCCACAGAAGTTATGCATTCAACGTACCAAGCCGTGCACCGCGTCCACAGTGTTCTCTTCGCCTTGCTGCCGCAGTGACACAGATGCTTTGTGAAGAAACTCGCCAAACTTGCGTCGCAGACCTGTAATGTACTGGTGTCGAGGATCGTTTGGATCAGATAGAGCAAAACCTGCGTTGAGTGGCTCGACACAAGCAATCATCTCGGGAATCTCGTGACTGAAGTATCTGTAAGACAATGGGCGGAGAGTGGAACATGATCACATACAGGATGTCGCTGGAGTCCAAGGCTGATTGCTGCTCTTCGGGCGTAATGAATTCTTTTGCGAGCGTAGGGATACCAGCGAACGCGTTCCGCACGAAGCTCAGATGTCTAGCAACTCTCAGCTTAGAACAACGTCAAGCTTTGCGAGACATTACCTGCAGAAATCGTTGCGCCATACACCGTCGCGGACGACGCCTATCGCGAGCTCAATGAGATATCCAACAGATTGGACATCAACTTACCTGACTCGAGCAACTTGTGCAACGTGTCGAGGATAGGCTCGATAAACTCCCTGAAGATCCGCAGTACGAAGTCTACCTCTTCAGCATTGGGCACATGCCAAGTCAGCTGGAACGCGCGTTAAATCACAACCTCCTACGAGACACGATAATCACACGTACTCGGACATCCTCTGGCTTATACAGCTTGCCCCAATACTTGTGATGGTTCGACTTGAAGTCTGAGAAAAATTGAGCCAAAGCACCAGTACATGAACAACCTTCCAACCACGGACCAGGCGAGTCCCACTCCGCGGGGTTCACGAACTTATTCTCGAGAGGATAAGTGTGACTTAGCGTCAAAAGCATGCTTGAAAGTAGCTTGCCGCTTGACGAGTAGCCACGCTTGGAAAACGTCTTCTCATGTAAGATTTGAGCAGCGACACTAGCTGGTCACAATACTTCAGAGTCTGTCGGCAAATACGTGAGTGATGAATCTTTGTTTGAACGGTTCTATGCTTACTGCTCGGCCATCACTAGGATCAGTTTGGTTGAAACATTTAGTGCGGACAGGTGCTGGATCAGCTTAGCACTTACTTATACATAGCGCCTCTTAGGATTGCGAGATCTGAAAGGAAAATGAGTCGCGTGATGTCACGCCGAGGACTGCAACTCACTCCAGTGAAGTGTGGTGTCCGAGGGGAGAGGAGTGGATCCTGACGACGTGATCCTCAACGAACTCGCACCATGGTCTAGTTCCGTCCTAATGCTACGATCACAGAATGGCAGGAATCGTGCCAAAGTCTTCTCCGGATTGGCGTTGGCAACACATTCCACCAGCTGGTGGATGGCCCGAACGGCGTTCGACCTGACGTTCTGAGTCGCGTAGTCCAGTACGAGACCAAGCACCATGTCGTAGAGCGGCTCTGATAGATGGACACATATCTGGCTGAACGCGCCTGACACCGCGTCCACTAGTTGCACTGTAGATGATGTTCAGCAGGTGAGCCAGCCATGATCAGTGAATGACCCACCTTCGGTGGCGCCGCCAGCGGTTCCGTTCGGTCCCTCCTCCGGCAGATTCTCAAAGAGGACGATAACTCGCTGTAGGAAAGCGGCCACCCAGTCCGCGAATGTCGCCGACGTATCCCTCAAGATGGCGTCTTCCTCGGCGTTGGAAAGTTCGTCTCGGAACCAGCTTCCACACCATCCGGAAAGGGCTCTACTTCAATGGAAAGGCCGTTGAGAGTATCCGGGGAGTGGTCCACGCCATTGCTGATAATAGTGTCGGGGCTCAATGTTAGCTGTCCAAACTTGATGTATTGTGCGATCTCGGAAATGAATGCAGTAGTGCAGAACTGAACTTCCATTGAGCAAAAATTCGATCGAACTCCACATTTTGGCACATACCGTTTTCGGCGGGTCATTCTTGATACGATCAATGTCTGGTTGTGAGTCCCGGATTAGGAGACGGGGGATAGTAACTCACCAGATCAATCCCAGGAAGTAGAAGCTCCAGAATAGGGAAGAGATGTTTTGCACCAGGGTAGTAAACATCGCGGCATACAAGTGCGGGAGCAACAGCACCAAGGGCCTTGATGACGGCTGTAGTCCGATGGGTCTTGGAGCCGGTTAGATGAGCGGAGTGGTTGATAGATATCATAAAGTCGTACCTCGACCAAGGCCTCTAGGGCGGGAACGGCACGCTTCAGGATGGGATGAAGAATGAGGTCTGGTTCCATGACGCTCATGGACTTGAGACAGCTCTGGATGTTGGAAACCGTGGTGCTGTCTTGCGAGAACATCGCCAGAAGCGTGACAGTCCTGAGAGATTTGACTAACTCATGTCTGATCTCAGGGGTGAGACGACGATGCTATATACACCGTATCAGCATTCGTAGGCTCGCAACCAGGAAGGATGATTACTGTAGGTGTCTTGCAGTCAGGCAGTTGCTCCTCGTGCCAGCCTGTCGGCGAAGGTGTAAAAATGACATGTAATGCCGCGCGGAATATATTGACTCACGCTTGTTGAAATCGTAGACTATGTACTTGATGAATGCGCTAAGCTTGTATGGAAGTTATTCATTGAGCTGGAAGATATGGCGAAGAGTTGAGTCTTACATCGGTCGTCCAGCTCCCAGAGTTTGTGGGATGAAAGAAGCCTTCGGTTGAAGCAATCAACTTCGCCAGAGAGTCGAGAGCCTTGCAACCCCCAAGATATGTCTTCGCCTTGAGGTGACTGCCTTTCCCAAGCGGAGCGGAGAGATAATCGCCGAGGCCACCAATTTGTTGAGGGAGCGGCGTGCTGGTCCCGGACGCAAGCGGTGTGAAAAAAGGTGTTGGGGCATTTGACGCGGGACTGGGCATAGAATCCGGTGCCATTGAATACACGATGATTCGTGCCAACGAGGCTACGCAGGCTCATAAGCATGGCATCATACGCGTATCGAAGAAGAAATCATACGAATGCGCCAGCTTGGCTTTGGAAGCCGGTTCATCTCAAACGTCGCTTGACCATCAGCGTTTGGGCCAGTGGTAAGAGAGCCGGAGTCGGCCAGTGGGATTTCTGTTCAGTGAGGACATTCGATCAAAGCTCAAATAATGGAGGTTCTGCCAGAGTCACGCACCCATCGACGCCATGCATTTGGCCATGATAAGGCTCCAGTCGGCATCCGAGAAGATGCCAACGTCGGAATACAGGCCTGACCACCTCCACTTCGTTTCGAGGTCTTCGCGCGACCAACCGGGTCGGCCCTCCCCTTCTGACCGCTCGTCGTCCGGGATATCCTCAATTCTCTGAGGATTACTCACGGATGAGTCGACGTGCATCTCTGCCAGTCGCGCGAAGAACTGCAGCATTCGGTCGTCGAACATATACGAATTCACGGACTCCCATATGCGAAAGAGCATGGGAAGATACGACTGGGGGTGCGAGAGCGGCAAGAACGTCAACATGTAATACTGCGACGCTAAGAGGCTCTGCGAAGTATGTCAGAAGTGTGCGGGTGCGCGTCGAGTGATCACTCACGTTTAGGCTAGTGCAATTCATGGAGGGGAGGAAAGTAGACAGCATCTCATCAACGGCAGCGGGGTGGAAGAAGCGGCGAACAGTATCAGCAATATACCCCATGTACCACGAAGTTTGGCTGCATCCCAGCGAAATTAGGGCTAGGGTGTGCGCATGGTAAGAGCAGAGGAACCCACCTAATCTCGAACTGACGCCTGGTGAGAAACAAGTCCTTGCTCAAGATCTTGTATATGGGCATCCACGGAAGCCTCAAGTCGTTTACGGAGAGCTTCTTCTTCGAACGAGAAAGCACTTGGAGCCCTTCGGAGCAAGCGGCAATGATATGAATGGACATGCCAGGTGTTGTGCACACATGGAAGTATATCTTGATGAGAGCTATGCGCTTCCCCTTCGGTATGGGATACTTGAGCATCGACCAGCTGCGCAGTGGGCCGTCAGCCTGAGAGGGAAACCATAAGAGAATGGCGCTCACTACGTTAACATACTATCCCACTGTAAGAGCCCGGGATCATAGTCCTTCGCTTCGACGCATTGCGAAAGCCGCAGCAATATGAAGTCAAGCATTTTCTGCATGCGCGAGTTGGACTCAATGGAGTAGGGTATGGACCGGGCATAGTTCCTGAGCTTTAGCGTGTAGTGGTCTGTCGCATACATGACGTCGTCCGGGATTGGCGGAGAAGCATCTGAGGGTGGCGGCCCGGTGTCCTGCAGGATGAGACGGGAGATGTCGGGAGCGTCCATGGCGTGTATGCGGGAAGCAGAGAGGAGGGTAGTTTGTAGGACGAGTCTCGCACAGAGCTTGCGAGGCCAGTACGGTCAGGGTTTAAAGACGACCCGTCAGTGGCGCTACGCGGACGCTCGATCAGTGTACGCGCCACTGGAGAAGACGCGCGTTGGGCCTCTCAAAAGTAGGCAGACGTATGTGGACAGTAGACTTACATATCCCCGATACACCAAAATGCAGCGTTCAATGTACTTCCCTTTTCACGCGCGCAGAACTTCACGGAACCTGGTTAAACGAGAGTGCTCCGTCTACATTACATAACGACTCAAGACATACATCGCCGGCCAGCCTGAAGTCAACCGCAAATTCGCGTAAGTCGTACACCTCTAGGATACACCCGTGGCGGTCAAAGACGCGGCTTCCTGCAGTTCCTGTATCGCTTTTCTCCTCACCAAATCCCAAACCCCGCCCCTCTGTGTCCTCACCTCACCCAGCCCTTCCCGAATCTCCTCCAGCCGCTCTCCGTATTCTCGTCCGTCATCTTGGAGCTCGCGGAGAGTCGCCAACGATTTCTCTAGAGCGTCCATTTGCATGTCCATGCGCGTCCGAGAATGTTCGAATATCGGTGGTTGCTGGTCTGTAGATAGGAAAAGCTTGTTGACTGCGGGGGTAAGGTCAGGTGCCCGCGCAAACCGGTTGTCCGACTCGTGCGGATCTCCGTCCTCGTCTTCGCGTTTGGGAATCACAGAGCCTCGAGTGTCCTCGTCTTCCTGCGGGGACTCATTCATCACCTGCCACAATCTACCCAACGCCCTCCGTAGCGTGCTTTCGCCTTCGATCAACGTGTTGGTCGAGTCCTCGAGTTCATCAAAAACACGAGAACGGAAAGAGTGCGTAGTAGCCTTGTCCATCACGAACGAGGTATAGGACAGGTGCTGGGTGTTCGGATGAGGGTACGGAGCGGTAAGGGGAGGAGACGGGGACCGAAGGTGAGAAAGGGTCAAGGGCCCGTCTTGCTCTTCTTCTGTTGCAAGCATTTGTTTGAGACGCTTTCTTGCCCGGTCTTCAGACTGCAGACGGTCATGAAGGGGCTTGTGGGTAGAACAATGAAAACGTACCTCCCAGTCCTCCATCCATGGTCCCCAGGCCGTCATTTTGCCTCTGCGTACCCACTTGGCGTGATTGAGAGTTTTAGAACCCCAGTTTCCCCCATATGTGGAGGCAGGAAGGTCGCCATCTTCCGTCTTGACGGCATGCGGATAGTAGTAGGAGTCGGTATCACAGGAAGGGAGGCTCATAAAACTGACGAGAGACATGGATAGCCATTCATAGCACACACAGCGGCGAAACTCACCTTGGATCCCAGTACTTATCTTCGTCCAGATGCGTGAAGGAACGTTTCACGCCGTTCGTTAGTGGGGCGATCGGCTGCCCGCCCGCCAGAGAGTGCGAGGGTGCGATGTCATGTGTGAGGACCTCGGAGGCCATTAGCTGCGTTGGGGTATTCTAGCACAGGTGGAGGACAGGTGCGCGTGTGAGACGGCGGATGCGTGGCAAGTCTTTATGAGAAGAAAGGCGGAGGTAAGGGAGGACGAGTCCGTCGACTGCAGTGGTGAAGTCCGGCGCGTCTAAACGCTGGCGGACGGCGAATGCCGGCGGGCAACGATTGGACAAGAGAGGACCTGGATTGAGCAGTGGCCAGGACTGAAGCCATCGCCGTCCTCTGCGAGCCCTCCGCTAGTAGGCCACCTACTCCCCTCTGGCCGCTCACGCATCTTCATACGCTCTCCGGCCGGCGTTCCTGTACACTTTCCCTACTCCCACTTCATCCTTGCACAGGCTGCCCGCACTCTGCGTCTGGAGACGCGTCTATGGCCAGTACCGAGTCCGCTCAGGATCCCCCGAAGGAAGAAGTCAGTCGCGATGCCGCCTTCGCGGAAACCAAGTCAAGTGATGTGCCCGGAATTAGCGGAACGGGCGACACCCCCGGAGCGGCCAAGGGCTTAGCAGAACGCTCTCGAGACCCCAGTCCGTCCTCCTCAGTGGCCTCTGGACTTTCTTTTTCCAGGGGTGGTACGCATGGGTCTCCTTCTGTGAGCTCCTCAAATGCGCCCCCTTTGAGCATGCCGCATCCCAAGAAATTCAGTCATGTCAATATCAACAAAAAGTTCTTGGAGAAGACCTCTTCTGCTTCTACCCCTCCCCACGCCTCATCGGCTTCCCCAGTGCCAAGGGCCACGAACGCGACTCGTGCGTATTTTGGTTTTTTCTGGGACAGTGTGCTTATGCGTCCCGTAGAGAAACCTGCGTCGCAAACCACCACCCCTCATCCTCGACTTGTAACCGCGAAATTGACGGCAACGCCGCAGCCCAGCAGCGCAGGATGGTCGCGTCCTCCTTCAGCCGTTTCTTCTACCGCTCCGACTCCTTTACCGACGCAAGGATCAAGGTTGACAACAGGTCCGACGACTACCTCTGGTGTTGCGCCAGTCCCTCCCCCCGGCGGTAAAGTCATCCACCCACTGTTGCGTAGTAATCAAGATGTCCTATCGGCGAAGAGGGACTTGTCATCGAAGCCTGTTTGGGGAAATACAAGAGGCAATGGCTCTTCAGCTTCAGGTCCGGATGGCGTTGAGTCTGAATTCCCCACCGCCGCTGAAGTTGCCCAAGGTGCGTGTTTCATTTTGATGTACTACCGCAGCAAATGTGGAGAAGTTTGCATTAGGCCGTACAAAGAAGCCTATAGACAACAAAGACTCACAAGACTCGACGACTGCCCAGAAGCAGGCCTCTGTGACGGCAGAGGATACATTCCGTGGAGTACATCTGGATCCAAACGCCCACCATTGGGATGAGGTCAGTGCATACAATTCATTTGTCTACGATGTCTCATGCGAGTGCGATAGATGGAAGAAGACGATGACAACTTTTTGGATGGTGTGATCGAGTTCGGTGATGGACGCCAGTATACAGTTCAACCCACAGGAGCCACCCGTCCGACTACACCTCCAAGAGGCCATTCGTCATTACCGCCACTTCAGACAGACGCACCGTCTTCGCAAGGAGTCACAGACCAGCCTGTGAGTAAGGAAGAGCGTTTCGCAGACGACTTCGACAGAAGTTGGCCTCGCTCTCACCCAGGAGTCATCCGAGTTCCCAGCAGCTCTCGTGACCATCGATCCAACGGCAGCGTTGTATCTCCATCGTCAACTTCAGCGCAGTCCCCACAGGATGCGTCAAGGGTGCTCTTCAATGAGCGCTCTAACCGTCTCGAGCCGTATTCTCAGGCAAGACACTCCCCACAGGGACCTCCCTCGCATCCCACCCGCAGAGGTAGCAGATCAGAGCACCCTATCTTACCGTCTGAAATCCGACGGGATGCGCCTCCACACACGCAACCACAGGGCGTGCAGCTACTTCAGAAGACGCAGAATGGTGCACCACACTCTGACATCTCTCGTACACCTGGCGACCATTCTTTGTCTCCAGACAACTCTCGATTCCGTGATCGGCCACCACGACGGGATCTACCCTGGCAAACCGATGGTTCATCCACGCATGATTCCAGTCGTCCAGGATCATTTGGTTCACACCCCTCTGGTCGTCCGACTCGAGACATATCCTCTGACGATCGACGCCGCTCAACAATGGGTCCGCCGCCTCTTCCGTTGGGTGATGATCATCGCCGACAGCTTCCCCCCCACTTCTCTGCTCCTGGGGCAAGACATGTACCTCCGCCACGCCAAGAATCTGAGCTCTCTCTTCGTTCCCCCCTCCCTTCATTCACTTCCGTGCCTCTTCCAGCGGAGCCTCCGTCGCCATCTGCAAGTACCCAGGTGGCGCGATCGCCAGTTGTGCCTTCTCCCTTACTTCCGGTAGCAGACGAAGAAGAGGTTCGCAAAGCCGCGATGCATAGTGCGGCTGAACGCGCACGATTGAGACGCCAACAGGAGGAGGAAGAGCGGCAGAAGGCACAGGAACGAGCGAAGAAGAAGGCACAGGAGATTGAGGAGCGGATGAAATCACTAGATGAGCAGGCTCAGGAGCGTGAAAAGGAGGAAGCCGAGAAGCGGAAGACAGAAGTCCAGGTGCGTTGAGCGACGTGTGTGCCAGACAATGCGACTGACGCTTGGCAGGTTCTCGGAATCATCGAGGAAGCTGTGTCGTCTGCATCACTTTCTGGCAAGAACTCTGACGGGGACAGCGGAGCTCAGCGTCATCATCCGCCCATGGGTCGGACACCATCATCGACAGGTACAAGTCGCACATTTCCACCGCGTAGGACATCCCTCAATGCGCCTGCGGCAGCTCCAAGCCCGTCATCGGATGGAGACACTTGGCGTCGCAAGCAGCCTCTACCTCCGGTCCAGCCTCCAGTGCCCCAACCACAGGCACCGGCACCACCTGTCATGTCCCCCAGTGTGCTCGCACACACCGATCTAGGAGTAAAGGAAGGCGAGGATGTTGACGTCGTGGATTTCGCGGACCTCGGCAAGCTAGTGGAATCTCAGACCTCGCCGGAACCGCTTACCACCAACCACCATGTTCGTCCCCCAAGAGCTGTAGCCGCTGATTTCTTCGAGCCTCCCGCATCGCAACGCCCTCCCCCTCCTTCATCAAAGGCTGACGAAGGCCCTTGGAGAAGACGTCCTTCACTAGGCCAGGTATCCGCTTCGCTTCCCGAGAAGCCTGCGTTGCCGCCAGGAGACGATACGCAATCCCCCGTGGACAGTCCTCATCGTCCAGGAGCTCGGAGGCCCTCTGTGACGTATGCTCCTGGGGAAGAACACCATCGCAGGGTGTCAGGTCAGTTTCAGAACGGCACTGTCAAAGTTCCACTCGGCCAGCACTATCGGGAGGCTCCCATGGCCGCCTTGGACGACACGATGGCTCGCATCAAGGGTGCTTTGGACGGCGCTCGCACACATCCATCCGCGGAGGCTCCCAAAGAAGCTCTGAAGCCTGCGAAGTGGCTCCCTCCTGCTCTCCGTCAGAAATCTGCCCAGGATCTCCCGCAGCCCACGGAGGTGTTCGACGTAACGGTCACCCAGCCTCCGAAGTCGCCGAAACCGGCATGGAACGCCTTTATTGTCAAGGCTCCTCCCGTGACACGCCCAGTTGCCCCGCCCCTGAAAACTGGACTGGTTTGGCCTCGAGGGCAACGGTTCATGCGGTTGGAGCCCTGCACATGGGACCAGCTCAACCGTCGTGACATTACGTCCAACGAGCTTGTTTTCAACAGACCCAAGTACTCCCAGGGCCAGCCGAAGTACTTTGTGTCAATACCTCGGCGTCCTCCCGTCCGTCGCACCCCTCCCAGCCAGACACCTTCCTCCCCCGTCGTAAACTTGCCTACCACACCTCCGCGGCTGCGCACTGCGAACACCAAGGAAACTACAGGTCCAAGCTGGCGAAAAGCGCCCACCTCTCCTTCGGCGTCGTGGCGACCCGCTCCTGCTTCCAAGGGCACTTCGGAAGATGGTCTCGATACAGTGAGCCGGTCGCCCCCTCCGGAGACACCTTCGTCGAAGATCAGCCTCAACGGGACCGAACCTCAAGTGGGCTCTGAAACGTTGTCGAAAGTGCCCGTGATACCATTGTATCAAACTGTCAAAGCGGACTCTGCAGTGGGCCAATTCGCGGCTAGCAGCGAGGCGCAAGGTGGATCGAAGCTTGGGCTGGAAATGCTACCTCCACCCGCTGTGCCTTCTGTTCTTGAAGTTTCTCCGGCTGATTCAAAAGTGGAGAAACACACACCTGTTGTACGTACCCGACCTCGAAATTTTTCTGTCACTCGTACTCATCATTATTTTCTGCTACAGAACAGTGTGGCTACTCCGACTCAGTCACAGACGTCCTTGTGGTCCAAGTCGCCGCGAGCTTTTGCATTGAAGGAGTCACCGTCAAGAGCACCGGATCCAGAGCACCTCAAGGCCGTTTGGTCGACTACACCCGAGAAGGCTCAGAACCAGCCAATCAACTCGTTGAAGAGCATTGCAGACGACCTTACGGGCGTCCCGTTTATCATCCAGGACGTTAAGACGGGCGAAGGAGCGACTCCACCGCCCCCAGGTTCCGGGCCTTGGACGAGAATGTCGGCATACGAAGTCACTCGTGCCTTCCAACAAGTGCCCACCTCTTCTTCCTCTACACAGCGGCCAACAGCACCTTCGGTCGGTGCCTCGGCCTTAACAGTTTCAAATACGAACGGATCTGCCCCTCGCCCTCCAGAGTTCTCCTTCTCTCCGCCTCCGATGGGACCGAACGTCCGTTCTATGTATCCCGGCTACTCCCCTATGGTGACCCATGCCCCAATGTACACCCAGTCGAGCCCAATCCCCCGCCCTATGGTCATCAACGGCGCCGCGCCGCCCTACCCGCACGCACAACCCGTTTGGGTACCCGCCATACCCGGACCCGGACCTCCGCTTCCCCAATCCGCGGGACTCATGCGCTCGCCCTACCCAACACAGCTCATGCCGTACCCCTCCGCGGGCGGCGCTATGCCCATGTACGCCTCGCACATGCCCGGCATGCAGAACCACGCCCACCCCCCTCCACAAAACGGCGTCCAAGGCCGCCCGCCAGGCATGCCGCTCGTGAGCCCGGTGATGCAACCGATGCAGCCCGCGATGCCCTCAATATACGCCGGAAGCCCCGTGCTCGTGCCCACGCCTCCCGTGATGGCCCCTGGCCAGTATCCGGGGCAGGTGAACCGCGCGCCGCCGATGCGCTCGCCGTATGAGCAAAATACGCCGCAGCTACCGCCACCACACATGGCGCCCCAGATGCGCCTTGGGCAGCCGCCGGCGAACGGCTTCCACCCACCCCCGATGCCTTCCAACTACGCTGGGCGGTCACCTTGGTAATTGGGGGAGCTTGCCTTTGCTATCGACGCTCGACCGGGGGACAAGGACGCGCGCACGCGCGGGACATTAGGCATTTGTTGTACCGCACACTCCACCGCCAGAGACGAGTCTTTGCTACACCGTATTCTACTTGTTCTGATTTGTTGTCTTTGAGTACTTTTCGTCTAATTATACCGTGCCCGGGATCGCGCGTTGCCGCTCAATCTCCGGTCATAATTATCTGCTCATTGAATACATCTAGTCGAACAGCCCGGTCCAGTAGAGTAGTCTACGAGAGATCAAATTAGACAGCATACTTGACGGCGTTGTGTGCCGCCTCGTCGAGGTCGTCGAATGCAATGATCTTGAGGCCGGAGGTACGTATCATCCTGGAAATCTACTGTCAGCCATCGCGGAAGGAGAGATATGATACAACACGTACTCCTTCGCCTCGGCTTCCTTGGTACCCTTCAGACGGACGATGAGAGGAACGGTCAGGGAGAGCTCCTTCGCGGCATTGATGACGCCCTCCGCGATGTAGTCGCAGCGCATGATACCACCGAAGATGTTGATGAAGATGCTCTTAACCTTCGGGTCGGCGAGCAGGATCTCAAACGCCTTCTTGACAGTCTCGGGGGTGGCGCCTCTGTAATACGCTTGTGAGCGCGGCTACTAGGGCAAAAGAAGTAACCTCTCACCCTCCAACGTCAAGGAAGTTCGCGGGGTTACCGCCGTGAAGGGCGAGGACGTCCATGGTGGCCATAGCGAGACCGGCACCGTTGACAAGGCACCCAATGCTACCGTCGAGCTTGATGAAGTTGAGGTCGTATTTCTGCGCCTCAACCTCAGAAGGCTCCTCCTGGGTGATGTCGCGAAGCGAGAAAACATCACTTTGGCGGAAGCTCGCGTTGTCGTCGAAGCCGAACTTGGCGTCCATACTTCACCGCGCGGATGAGGACATGGGCACGTAGGGAGAACTGCGTGGCGACATACCAAAGAACATGGCCGTCAGCGGTCTCGCCCATGGGGTTGATCTCAATCTGGGTGGCGTCCTTGTCCTTGAAGATCTTGTAGAGGTTGATGAAGATATCCGCAGCTTCACCCTGCGCACCCTCACCCTTGAAGCCCAGCTTCTTCGCAATGCCCAGCGCCTGCTCCTTGCTGAGGCCCTTGTCGAAGTCAATGGGGGTCGTGATGATCGCGCTGGGGTCTTTCGCCGCAACCTCCTCGATGTTCATACCGCCCTGAGCAGACGCGACGAGTACGGGACCACCCGCACCACGATCGTTTAGGACCGCGACGTAGTACTCGTGCGAGGGATCACGACGCTCGGCGAGCATGACCTAAACGAGCCACGTGCGTCAGCCTAGCGGCGCTGGGGGAGACAACGAAGGCGTACAGCGTTGCAGACGCGACCGGCAGCACCGGTCTGCTTGGTGATGAGCTTCGCGCCGAGCATCTTGCTCGCGAAGTCCTTAGCTTGCTCAGGCCTACGCGCGGGACGCCGAACTCAGATGACGACGCTCAGAAGGGAAGCGTGGCGAGACTCACAACTGCACGATGTGCACACCACCCTGAAGACCATTGTCGAAGTGGCCCTTGCCACGACCACCCGCGAGAACCTGCGCCTTGATAACGCATCCTGTTGAGCCTGGGGAACGGTCAAAGTGGTGAACGCGCTAGAAAGCGGAGGGCACGCACTGAACTGCTTCGCGACCTCGAACGCCTCCTCTGGTGTCTTCGCAGCAATGCTCTTGGGGGTGGGTATACCGTACTAGCCGATGAACGCGTCGTGTGTGAGCGCAAGGCGAGAAGGAGTGCGCGAGCAGAACGAGCATACCGAGTTGAGCAAGTTGACTGATTGGTATTCGTGGATGGAGAGGAAGCGCCTCTGACCCGCAGACGCGACCTGGGGTGGAAGTCAGTCGCGCGCAGAGCGAGACAGCGGGGCGACGTACGCGGGCCAAAGAGCCGGCTTTCCTGAGCGATGCGAGCATGAGGGGCGGGAGGGGGGGTCTGAGTGCTGGCAGCGCGAGGGCGGTGAAGTTAACGTCGTGATTCCGCGGTGCTTAGTCAGCAGCCCACCGGCATTCGTGCGCGCGGAACGCCGTCAGGATCTCCACCCAGGACGACGACGACGAAGGGCCTGGCGGTGGCCTTTCGGTCTCTTCGCCGCACAGGGCCGCACCGTGCGGCCGTGATTGCGGAGCAGTTCTGGGAAACGAAATCCTCGCTTTGAGTTCGGGCAGCTTATGTATGGGCCGCTCGAAATTGTGCGGAGGAACACCTCTCCCCCCTCCCATGTAGTTCTTATCACCGCAATGGATCTTCTCGCCCCATCTGCTGATCCTGCTTGTCCTCTTCCTCGATTCCGCCATGTTTCCTGCTCCCGAGTCCGACACGCCTCGTGGGATCGGGCCCAGATCCAGCCTCGCAGCTGACGCACCTGCACTCCGCATGCACTCCGTCTCCATGCCTGGCCACAGTGGTGGAGTTCCTCTCGCCTTCCGACATCCATGTCTTCCCCCACCGCATCTCCTCACTCGGCTGCCGTTTCTCATCTTGATGTCGCCTCTAAAGATGAGCCCGTCGCGCTAGGCCGTTTGCTCGAAGTCTCTACTGCGATCTTGCGTCAAGCCGTCGACCTCGTGGACAACAGCTTGACATCCGACGAGCAGCTCACGACGCACTCCAACTACATTCCAGGCTCTACAATCGGTGTGTGTTATCTATCTTCGTGTGCATGCGCCCATTCAGCGGAAACTATCCAGGGAAGCATCTCAGGCACGCAAGAGATCATTTCGCCCTCCTACTAGATGTGATCTCCGAGCCCGCCCCTCATGTCTTGAATTACGACAAAAGGTCGCGAAACACCCCCATGGAGACCAGTCGGACCGCAGCTCGAGAGACTTTGAATGATTGTATCGCAAGGCTGCAGGAGGTGGTACCGCAGGCGAGGATGGGGCAACCAATCACCCTCCATGCTGTTACTCCTTACCCGCAGGTCATGGGAACCACATTTGGCAGAGAGGTACGCTATTTTAGGCTTTTGGCAGTTGAACACGTACTGAGCTCTCTCTCTCTAGCTTTGGTTCGCGGGGCTTCATGCCATTCATCATTGGAGTATGGTGAGTTGTTTACGTAGGGGATCAACAGTAAAGTTTGGCAGCCTTATGAACACCTACGTAGGTGCGAGTGATTGCAGGAGAACTTGTGAATGGAGATTTTCTGCGTATATGTTCCCTGTATGTTCATTTGCTTTACAGGGCATCCAGATGGAGGAGTCGTTTGGTTTCGCGCCCTCAACATTGGTACATATGGAGTCGAAGGCGAAAATATGAACGAGTGGTGCCGCCAACTGTCTGCAGCTAGACCTCATGTCACCGTTGCTTTTGCTGTCCGTTAGGTTTCTGTCGTCACTGTGTAGTCCTGTTGTCTAGATGTCATTGAGTGAACGGATGGCAGATGGTGCCGAAGGCGCCCTAAACTGATCGGGCGGGAGTACTATCGCAAGCTGTACATGTGGCGCGGGGGCGGAGATTTCGCAGCTTGATCCCGTACCGACTCCGAGTGTCCGCCTCCTCAAAATACCCTTGCCTAGTCTCAGCCATGCCTCCGGAAATGACCCCAATAGACGGGGAGGGGCAGAAGAAGCGCGTGGCACGTGTTGCCTCATCCAAGTGCTTAGGTGTATTGGATGCTAACTTAGACACCACTATAGTGTTACTTCTTCGACTCGGACATCGGTGGCTTCCACTATGGCCCCGGACATCCGTTAGTCGCGTATCTGCACCATTTTTCTCGTTGACTGAGGTGTTGTCACGCAGGATGAAACCCACACGTATACGGATGTGCCATTCACTGGTCATGAACTATGGCCTATACAAACGCATGGAGATCTTCGTACGCACCCTCGCCGGCTCAACATGCACACATAGACTCACACCTGCCTCGGATTCATGTAGCGCGCGAAACCCGCCACTAAGCGCGAAATGACGCAGTTCCATTCCGATGAATATGTCGACTTCCTCAGCAAGATCTCACCGTCAAACATGAACTCTTTCATCAAAGAGCAGCACAAATGTGACCACTCATCTTTGCGCTATTCTGGTTTCAGTACTGACATATGTTCTCTGCGTCTTAGACAACGTCGGTGATGATTGTCCTGTGTTTGATGGTCTCTTCGACTATTGTGCAATCTCGGCCGGCGGTTCTATGGGTGAGCTGAAGAACCTACCTGTGCGCTCTGATGTGGCATTGACAGATCATATAGAGGGTGCTGCGCGTCTAAGTAGAGACAAATGCGATATTGCGGTGAATTGGGCCGGTGGACTACATCATGCTAAGAAGAGTGAAGCAAGCGGCTTTTGTTATGTCAACGGTATGCTCTTTACTTCTCGCGTCGGAGCTTACGAGGTGACCTGCCCGACAGACATAGTCCTTGGAATTCTCGAGCTCTTGAGGTAACTATATGCGCGTGTCGCTATCATCATTCAACCTCTGACACAGTTTGTGCCAAGGTATCACACTCGCGTTCTGTACATTGATATCGACGTGCACCATGGCGATGGGGTGGAGGAAGCGTTCTACACGACAGATCGTGTGATGACCGTCAGCTTCCACAAGTACGGCGAGTATTTCCCCGGCACTGGTGAGCTGCGTGTGGGTACCACTCTTCTGAACACGGCGAAAAGCTACTGAAGCTGGTCACAGGACGTTGGTATCGGCAAAGGGAAACACTACGCTCTCAACTTTCCCCTCCGAGATGGTATCACCAATGAGAACTACAAGAACACGTTCGAACCTGTGAGTAGCTGTGCCATTTGCGCGCGAGTAGACACCGATTTTGCACCATCCAGGTCATTCGGGGTGTTATGGAGTCGTTTGACCCCGGGGCGGTTGTGCTCCAATGCGGTACCGATTCGTTATCTGGTGACAAATTGGGATGCTTCAATCTTTCTATGAGAGGTAGTGTTCATCCCTTCACCTTGGCTGTCACTCAACTCACGCGTCCACTTAGGACATGCGAACTGCGTGCAATTTGTGAAGTCGTTCAACAAGCCGCTGCTGCTGCTAGGGGGCGGGGGTTACACCATGCGAAACGTCAGTCGTGCTTGGGCATATGAAACCGGTCTCGCCGCTGGTGTAGAGCTAGGAAAAGGTGCGGTCGGAGCCGCTCGGATCCTCTCGTGCCACTGATAGACAGGGTTTTGCGACAGAGATTCCGATGAACGAGTACTATGAATACTTCGGTCCAGACTACGAGCTGGACGTGAAATCATCCAATATGGACGATCTGAACTCTCCAGAATACCTGGAACGCGTCCGGGGCATTGTTCTGGACCACCTGCGTCAGATCGGTGGGCCTCCCAGCGTCCAAATGACAGGTACGCTTTTCGCTCGCTCATCTCCGTCTTGATCGCCTCGCCTCTAATATCAGCGTGGGCGCCCAGACATCCCTCGTCTGCCAGTCGACGACATGGTCGAGGACGATCCCGACGAGGATATGGTCGACCCGAATCAGCGCCGTCCGATGCGGCTCCTCGACTCCCGGAGGCAGGCCGACGGCGAGCTGTCAGACTCGGACGACGAGGGCGAGGGTGGCCGGCGCAATCACGCGAGCAACAAGGACGCTGACTCTGCCCCTGCGACCGGGCGGCGGTTCGGCGCCGCCGTCGGGATCATGAGCACGGGCACCACGCACGGCGTCGGTCCCAGCGGTGCGCCGTCTGCGCCTGCTGCGGGGGCTGCCGCACCGACGAGCGCGGGGCCTGCCGAGCAGTCGGACATGGACGTCGACGACGGGGTCCCTCTGGCCCAGATCGCGGCGAAAGCAAAGGCCACAGCCCAGGCCGCGATGAACAAGACGAATGGAAGCGCGGCGGGGGCCTCGGCGGAGTCCTGATCATGCGCTCACGGACAAAATAGCTATCGAGTTACCGCCTTGAGTGTTGTAATCCTGTCGTTCGCTATCATCTTGTGATACTGTTTTCTCGTTGCGTACGGAATACATTGGGCCATATATCTGTATTCACTCCGCCGAATGCGCTGTTCCGACTTCGGGCGGCGACTTGGGAGTTGTCACGTGCGAACACCTGACTCACGACGCGTCGTGCGTGTGGTCAGCCTCTCGGATCTCCACCTCCTCCTTACCCCACCACTACATACCCGCATCTTTACCACCTGCACAAACTCGACGTCTGCCATGTCTGACCAGCCTGTTGCGTCAAGCTCGCGCTGCACTACGCCGCCTCCCAATCCGCCAAGTAATATCAGCCTCACACCAGAACAGGTTAAGCGGATAGAGCTCAATAGGCTGAAGGGTGAGCACAGCAATGAATCTTCGGGACACCACGCCCTTACGAATGGACTTCCAGCCAAGGCGAGGCAGCGCGAGCGTGAAGAGCAAGCTTCGTCGTCGTCGTCCGTCAATGCGAATGGCAAGCGACCGCTCGGCGTCATACCTGCGACGTCCACTTCTCCCACCGGTCCCAAAGCCCCTGCTAAGCTGAAGAGAGACTCGCGCTTCGGCAAATACTTCGAGTATGATCTTTCGAAGATGGTCAACTCGAAGGGTGGTTTCCTAGTCGAGGATGGCAAGGAAGTAGACGAGGAGTTGTTGACGAAGGAGAAGGAGAGGGAGCGACAGAGAGCAGTGCAGAACGCAGAACCTCGTATGTACCCCACTCCACTGCATTGCGCCCACGTCTGACAGCATCCCAGCAATGTGGCTTGACCCGGAGCTTAACCCACGGTGTAAAGAATGCAACACCATGGATATTGATCAGACTTTCCGCAAGGTCTTCGGCTGTCTCGTATGCAACAAGTGCAAGAACGAGAAGCCCGAGAAGTACAGCCTCCTGACCAAGACAGAATGCAAAGAGGACTATCTCTTGACTGACCGTAAGTCTATGTTGCCCAGTCCGGAAGCCTAGCTCACGTCGTCGACAGCGGAATTACGAGACCAAGAGGTCATGCCGCATCTTCTGAAGGCGAATCCACACAAGTCCACGTTCGCCAACATGATGCTCTTCCTCCGATACCAAGTCGAGGAGTTCGCGTGGAAGAAGTGGGGCTCGCCTGAGGCCCTCGACGCCGAATGGCAGAAACGCGTGAACGAGAAGAAAAAGAAAAAGAACAAAAAGTTCGAGAATGGCCTGAAGGAGCTGCGGCGGAGAACGAGAGAGACGGTGTGGCAGAAGCGAAAGGACCAGGAGCACAAGCATATGTATGGTCCTACAGAGAAGGGGTCGGACGGTGTTAGTAGACAGATTTGCCATATGTGCGGGTTCTCGGTAGACATCGAGGAGTTCTAGATTAATTGGTGTCATGTGTTTTCCTTGCGTCCCTCCACTCGCGCTGCGGCTTGCTCAGCGTTCAGTCTTGCCTACAATTCTGTCGCGACGATCACCATACAATATGGCCGAGACCGAGGTCCGTTCACGGCGTCGTCCGGGACCGGTAGTCCCAATAGCCGGGTGCTAGTTCAGCGGCCACTACCTCCACGGTCATAAGGTTGCGTCACAGACCATTAACCTAGCACGTCCCCGCATTCTGCTGCTACTCTCAAGCTCCGGCAATCCTCTAGCTTTCGGTTCTTCACCTGGGTTCTCGTACATCCCACCGGCTACCCTACGGTCCAACTCTCGCCCAGTCGGCATGGCTCTCAACATATACGGGATGGCAGAGCAAATCACGGACGCCTTGGAGGTGGAACAGCTGGATGTGAGTCTATTCAGGTCCAAGACCTTGCGCCTGCCCGCGAACGCGCGCGGAGTCTTCGGAGGACAGGTCATTTCTCAAGCACTCGTCTCCGCGACGCAGTGCGTAGACTCCGCGTACAGTCTGCACGTACGTCCTCCTTTCTTCGCGCTGCATCCCACACCCTTGACCAAACCCCCCACCTTCGCCAGTCGCTCCATGTAAGCGCGTTTGAGCCTTCGCGACCACATGGCCTTCCGCTCAAGCGTCCCAGTGCTACTTCCTCCTCAGCGCGTCCGAGACCGTCCCCATCCTCTACCATGTCGACCGCATCCGCGATGGCCGCTCCTACGTCACGCGCGGCGTGCGCGCCGTCCAACGTGGCCGGACGGTCTTCATGATGCTCTGCTCCTTCCACCTCCCGGAGCCGCGGCAGCCCGTCTTCCGGTGGCCCATGCCGGCGGACGTGCCCCCGCCCGACCAGTGCGAGAGCGCGGAGACAATGTACGAGAAGCAGCTGGCGGAAGCGACCACGGAGAAGACCAAAGCCTTCATCCGCTCTATGCTCGCGGTAGGCGTACTCGGGTGCTATGTGCCGCGTCCTTTATGCTGACTTCGCGCGCAGGAACGCGCTCGCAGTCCCATCGAGGTCAGGCTGGCGGGGGTCAGGAACGAGGGTCTGCCGATGTACATGTACTGGCATAAGATCAAGGACCGGGAAACCTCCATGAAGTATGACCCGGCCTTCCAGAAGGTACATCCGCGTCACTGCTTTGTGTCGCTGCTCGACTCACCTGGCCTGTAGTGCATTCTGAGCTATATATCCGACGCGATGTTGTGAGTGAACCTCTGCACGAGCTCTGATGGTTCCTCGCTGACTTCGAGTGCAGCCTCGGAGGCGGGCGTCGCGCATTGGCTTATGTGAACGAAGGTGGCAAGGGCCCTACGAAACCTACCATGCAGGTGTGGACATCCGTGTATGCTTCATACAAGGCATCTCTAACAAGTGTACCGCTCAGACATCTCTGGACCACAACATCAGCTTTTACGAGTGAGGACGATTTTCACAAGTGGTCGCCGAGTGCTTGAGTGCTTACTTGCTGCAGCGATAATCTGGACTGTGGCGACTGGCTACTCTATGTGGTATGTCGCAATCAACCCCTGGCCTTTTCTTCCCGGCTGAAAACCACGTCAGATCGTTAGTGAAGTGGCTTATAGTGGTCGGACCAACGTGCATGGTCGTGTAAGTGGCACATCCACTCATCGTCGCAAAGTACCCGACATTGACAGTGTCACAGATGTACAGCCCATCGGGTTCGCTGATCGCAGTGTGCAATCAGGAGGGTCTCTTGCGAGTCGACCCCAATGAGCTTACGAAGGCGAAGCCTGGTGCGAAGCTTTGACAAAGGTGCTTGACACGGCATGTGGATTGCATACTGGTGACATACAACATACTGTACCAAGATAAGAATAGTACTCCACGGCATGACGATCCGACCACACAGTTGCTGAAGCCGAACGCTCATACACTCGCGCGAGGGTGGGAGATGCGGGGAATATGTGGGGCGATAGATTGCGTTAGAATACACTACCCGCATTTGCGTGCTTTTCAAGCGTGACAGAGAGCGTGGCGAGACATCGAGCAACCGTGAAGGCTATGCTGCGTGGAGAGCGAGTAGGACAACGGAAGCAGAAACTAAAGGGAACCCCTTAGTTCTTCCGACGGTACGAGCTCCCTGCAAGAGTGGGCGTATCAGCATAGGAACGGCGATGTCACGACGAAGCGAACGTACCCTCCGTCAGTCTTGCCTTACCACCAGTGGGCTGGCAAAGAACGCTGCCGCACGCGGCGCACAGGACAACAGTCTGGGCGTGCGAGAAGACGGTTGTGATGGCAAAGCAACCTGGGGATTTGGGGTCGCATGAGGGGATGGAACGTATCGGCGGAGCACAATCCACGCACCCGGGCACTTGACGTCCATGAAGTAGGAGTTGGGGGACTGCACAAGACGCTTGAGCTTGTGGCTGCGCTTCTCGTGCTCCGCGGAGGGGTTGAGGAGGTCGATGGCGAGAGGCTGGAGGGCGCGGGAGAGGGGCGGGAGATCAGCACTCCATCCTCGACGTGTACACAGCGCAAGACTACGCGATGTTATGCTCACCATTTTGACGAGGAAAGAGGGGCTTTGATGGACTTGAAATCAGCGACGGAGGGAGGATGCCTTTTGCGCGACGCGGAGGTCGACTTGCGTGGATGGAGGGACAAAATAAGGTTCAGTCGGCAGCGCCGGAATAGCTGTCGGGGCTTCAAATTTTCATGCCTGGGTGGCTGAATGGGCGTCTATGGCCCACGGCGGCCCCGCGGCACGACTCACGACTGCTGCCAGCCAACCCACGTCGTCCTCACAGTCATACCTAGTCTCGTTCCCACGACCCTCTGTTCCAGAGGGTCTGGTGCATTTCGTCTCGCTTAGGGGGGTCCGTGACGCGGGTCACCAGTTGATGGATTGGTCAGCTTAGTCATTTGAAGGATCTCGATCGTTCTGTAACGCTGCTGCAAGAGGACTGCTGGACACCTCCCCCCAGACCCCGGGGTTCTGGACTTTGCGATGCTGAGCACTTTTTGTCTTGAGGATATAATGACAGCTATGCTCAGTGTCATTGTCCCTTCCAAGAACAAACATGATACTCATATATTATATGTAGATGTCTGCTACAAAGCCAAGTTGGTACAGTGGCATGAATGCCTAGCATGTGGTTTTTATTTGGTTGGGTGCAGGGTTCTATTCCCTGTGTAGCCATTTTTGCACTTTTAAGTTTTGCCTCCCACAACATCCCATTGTGGTGTTGTGAGGGGCACCCGCTAAATCTAATTACTATTTGCAGTAGAATAAAATGCTTGTAGAACAAACACCCAGGTTGGGCACGGCTTCGTAGATGTGGGGTGCAAAAATGGATAGTGACGGGATTGAACCCTGGCACCAAAAAAGCGCACACCAATGTCAATACCACTGTGCCACCCAGCCTTTGCTCAGTATCTCCCTCTGTAGTATATAACTACAGTGTTTACTCTGGAAGCGATGACCCCCGCCAGAAGTTAGTGCTGGTGGACAATGCAAGTGGGGAAGTTGTCGGGGAGCTGCTGAACTGGGTGAGCATCAAGGAGGACCGCTCCGCGTGAGTGCACCTATCATAGACGAGGACAGCCAGTCTGCGCGGGTGATGCTAGGGCTGCCCGAGAACGTCTATGACACGTACACAGGCCTCGCCGACTTCGGCGAGTTGACCTTGTACCCTCCCATTCAAAGCCCTCCAATCTCACGCTCAACGGCCACAACACGCAGCCAAAACTCTTGAAGGCCGCCATTCTTGGCGGAATCTGACCGCACTTCGCGCGCGTGCGCCTCCCCAAGTCCACGATTAAGTTCGACAGCGTTCAGGCCGCGGGCACAGTGCGCGTGCATGGACCGCGCGGAGGGGACGGACGCGCGAGAGCTCAGATAGACGCGCAGAGCTCTCGCTCTGGCGCTGCGTCACAGCTGGTCACCCTCATGCCGGATCCGGACGTCGGGGGAAATCGGAGTGACGCTAAAAGTCACGGACCGACATCCCGAGCCCGAAGTGCACCAGACGTTCTACAAGCACTCCCAACGCGCGCCTGCCCCGTCCCCGTGAGAAATTTCAACTTTTGCATGGTTCTCATTCAGTCCCGATTCAGTATTCCCTCCATCCTCCATCACAATCCCATTCCCAATTCGGTATCCCCTCCCATTTCTATTATATAATCACTGCGTAGGGGCAGGCGCGCGTTGGGTGTGCTTGTAGAGCGTCTGGAGCCGAGACTAAGTCATACCGACAAACCGCAGGCAGAGTCACCGAGAGTCGAGGGAGGAAGTGAGTGCTCTCGCCTCGGGCCAGTTGCTGCCGGCCCCCGGTGCTGGCTGTGTCTTTACATGCTTGGCGAGGAGACATGGGGTTGTGAAGGGGCCTACCCGCCGATATGGGACGTGCCCATATGTCCACTGCGGCGAGCGGTTGGCCAAGCGGACGCGCTGCGTCCGTGTCTTCGCGGTCAGGGGATATCGGAAGCTGGGAATAGAAGGACGAGCGTGACGAGCGTGCGGTGAGTTATTGTGTATGGGTTATGCAAACATTGCGCATCAGCTTCGGACGGGTGGCGCAAATAGACGGAGCGGAGGACAATGAGCTCGGGCTGTCCAGGACGTAAATGCGGAGGTGGGCACACCCACGGGTCTGGGGCCGGCCTCGCCCCGCAATTGTTCTCCATCGAGCGCGAGCGCCTGGCCACGTGCGGTGTGAAACGCGCGACCGCTGGGGCCTTGTCCCCGGTTTAGGCAACTGTTGAGGATCGCTTTTGTTGCCTCTCGGCCTTTTGTTCTTCGCTTCGCTACCCTTCACTCCCCATTGTCCTCCAGAGCGCCCTCTATGCCCGCCCCATACTATAAGACTCCCGTTCAATCTGGCTTAGTGTTTCCTCACCCCGGACTTGGTTCCACCAGCCTCTCTCACATTCCCTTCCGGACCAGCTCTTGTTAGGTGAGTTCCATCCGAGCCTCCCTCCCCTCTGCCAACTCTAATTGGTCTGCCCTTCAGACTCTCCCTTCGGTCGTTCTCCACTCGGACTCAACTGCTACACGCCCCACGACCACGTTCATCGTCCCATCAGCATCCTCTCGATCTCCTTCGCGTCTCATTCAGCGAGCACACCTCCGCATTCCTATCGCAGGTCGATCACAGCTCTCACGACTCATTGCATCCATCGCATCTCTCCACCAGCAACTATCTCCAATCCTTTAATCCCCACATCCTTTATCGACATGGCCGCTTCCAACGTTGCTTTTGGCTCCCTCTCCGCCGCCCTCGCTCAGGCCATCGCCTACCTCACTCGTCCCCTCGCTACTCGCTTCTCCCCTCTCACCGTGGTCAAGCTGCAGCACGCGCTCGAGGCCAACCTCACTGCGCACTTCGCTCCCTCGTGGAACCCCGCCGAGCCCCTCCGCGGCTCTGGCCGTCGCTGCCTTAGCCTCACGCCCTCCGGCCTCCCTCCCCGCACCCTCTACAACGCTTGCAAGGCGGCCGGCGTTGAGTGGTCCGAGTGGATCGCCCTTCTCGGCAACATCGAGTTCGACCTCTTCGTCGACCCCGGTTGCGTCTCCATTCGCTTCGGCAGCTGGGGCACCGGCAGGGTCGGCAAGTTCTTCACCGTCTGGTCTGAGGACACCGTCAGCAAGGCCGAGCAGAAGGAGAACGTGGCTATCAAGGAGGCGCGCCTTGAGGCCGAGCTCCGCGCTCAGGCTGCCGCCCGCGCCGCGCCGATCCCGGTCTGCAAGCCGATGAAGACCTACGCGCAGCAGCTGCTCGAGTTCGACCAGGATGACGAGGAGCTCTTCGCGCTCATCGCTGACGAGATCCGCGAGCCGACCTGGCTCACTCCCGTCCTCTGCGAGTTCCCCGCCGTCCCAGCCCCGAGCGTTCATCCACGTCCTCGCCCATGTCCACGATCTCTTCGCATTCCCGCTCGAGCTCCTTCAGCTCCGGCTCCGGCTTCTCCTTCTCCTCCGTAGACTCCGCCTCGTCCTACACTTCCTCGTCCACGGTCTCGCAATCGTCCTGCGCGGCTTCCCCCGCGGACGAGCGTCCCCAGGTCAAGCTCTCCCGCCGCGAGCGCGCCCGCCAGGCGCGCGTCTTCGTCGACGCGACCAAGACGGCGGTGACCAACTACGACGGCGGCAAGACCACCGTCCTCACCGGCGGCGTCATGCTCGGCGGTGGCGCGAAGCCCAAAGCCGTCCCCACCGCGGCCGCGGCGCCCAAGAAGGCGAGCCTCACCGGCGGCTGGCGCTCCTTCGCCCCCCGCGCCTAAGCGCGCTTTTTCTACATCCATTTCGGCTTCGAATCTTGCTCTGGACGAGATCCACGACCGCGCCATGCCTCAGCCATGCCGCGAACACGTTCCTCACGAAAACCCCACGAAAAGCATCAAGGTCGCTCGCACGCATCATTCGCGCATACCCTATCCTATACCTCCCCGGCGCCACGCGCCCTATTCGCCCTCCCGCTCTGTTTCCATCCATTGCTGGTCGAATGTGTAGCATGAACTCTCCGCTGTGTCGAACACTGGACACTAGGCATATCTATATCGCTAGCCTTTTGTAATATCCCCCCTTTCTACCTTCACCTGTCTCCATATTCCCTGGTCCGGCATCTGCTGTATATTCGTATTTCTGTGTAGCTCTGCTATCCGTCGTCGCTGTAGTCCTAACAAGGCTGGTTTTGGAACCCCACTATCCTTCATCTTGTCCGCCTCTCAATGTTTCCACTGCGACCGCGCTGCAACAACTCAGTGCACCGCCTCATACACAAAATGGTCCTCGCGCGCGCGCAAGGTGACGTCTGCGGTGCACGGTGGGGCCCTCAGGCCGCGGGCCTCGGTGCGCTAACACTGCAGCCCTGGGCCATCCGGTCAAGAGGAGCTCACTTCACAGTCCGATACCGCCGTGCTGACAGGTCGCACGGGGGCCACCCAAGTGGTGAAATGGCGTACGCAACGTACGTCCGTCGTCGACGGGCGACGCTCCGCTTCCGGTAGCAGTCGGAGCAGGATAGCCCCCGCCGGCGCATCGATGGCACTCGACCATTCAGACAGTTGGGGCATGGCCGCGAGGCGATCGGTCCACAGCCCACTGCACCGATACACTGGTGGACTGGATTCTTGCTCCGCGATATTGCTGGGGCACGCGGGCCCAATTGCGAAGGCGGGAGGGCGGGCTGCGAGAGCCTCGTGGGGACCCCATACTCCACCGCAGGCAGAAAGCTGGAGGAGGACGTGGGTGAGCTAGTGCGCACCTGGGAGCCCCAAGACGCCCCCGGGCGACCCACCCGAACATGAGAAGCTGCCGGGTGCGGAGGATGACGACATATATGCGCCTCGATTGCTCGCGGTGGTGTTTCCACGTGGATACGAGGGAGTTGGTGGCTAATGCCATCATCCTCCCTCCCCCGCCGGTGCTCTACTATATATGCCTCCGTTCCCCTGTCTCTCGTCCTCATAACGCCCTGCCATGCGATCGCCTCCCACTGCGCACCTACTACTTCATCCTAGCAGCACCATGACCGCGCTTTACGACCCACAATCCGTCGAGGCCCGCAAGGCCCGCTACTCTCGCGAGCTTGCGGCGTACACTCTACGCCAGTGGGACATGGCCCAGCAGGCGGGCAACGAGGGGACGCCACCGCTCGGCGAGCCCGCCGACGCGCGGAGGACGGTCGCGGTCGACTTCGGCGCCTCGCGACTCGGACAGGACCGCGAGGCTGCGTCAGGGTACGTGCTCGCTTCTCGCCATGGTCTTGGCCATCCCTGACGCAGCTTGTAGGTATTCATGCTCACGACTATGCGCAAGGCCCGCACCGGCAGGCTAGCGGGGAAGAACCACCATTGCGGCAGGAAAGGCTTGAGAGAGTATCGTAAGCAACCCCACGCCTCAATGTGAACGTAACTGACCTATTTTATCCAGAGGCGAATGTCCTTGTTGAGCGCAACCCTTGGAAGTTCCCGAGTTTTCATCCATTTATATCGCGTTATTTTCACCCTCACGAACGTTAGACGGGTCTCCACATCTGTATTATATTAGTAGGCACACTTTGTACATATACCATCGCTTCTGCGCTGCTTGAAGAACCCGAGCTTCGTTTCTCAGCGCGATCATGCACCGAGTGACATCATCAGCGAGCCATCGCCGTGTGGAGTCTAGAGCTACGGCTCTCCTTCGGCCAACGACAATTTATTATGAGCGTCACATAGCCTACATGCATGCGAAGTATACTTACCACTCCACTGTCGTTTCCTTCCATCACGGATGCATGGGATGGGCGTCATGGCCGGAGCAAATTTGCGCCCGACCTGCGCGGCGTGTTGAGATTATCGAAGCTACCGGTCGAACACACGTCCGAAATTGCATTCACCGTTTCCGTAGGCAGAGAGAAGAGAGCGCATTGACCGCTAGGCGGAGGGGGACGCACGCCGGAATGCCCAATGGCTCCAATGACGTCTGTGCGGCTCGGGGACATGGCACTGCGTGATCGTCAAGTCGGAACCATGAATCGACGACGAAAGAGAACGAACCTGGAATGTGCAGCGTCCATGAAGATGACGGTCTCGAAGAGTCGAAGGCTGCTGCTGCGAGAAGCTGGGGAAAGAAATCAATCGGACGCGGCTCACTCGCCCCCAAGGCGCCAAGAGCCAAGACCCCGGGCGCAGGTGTCGATCGCTGTGCACGTGATCGGCGCGATCGGGAGATAGCGACGACGCGGCGCAATCCCCAAGCCTTTGCGCACCCTGTCCGTCGCTTTTCCGTCCGCCCACTCAATCCCCACCTCGTCCCCGACGCTCCTGCACAAAACCCCGCGCGAGTCCGAGCGCGACCTCTCCTTCCCGCTACCCCGCCATCCATCGCCTCTCAGTCGTCATGCTCCGCGCAGGTCCCTCGCAGGCGAGACAACTCTCGACCCGCCTCCACCGCGCCCTCGCGACCCACGCCGTCGCGCCGTCGCCGCCCCCAACTCGGCACACTTGGAAGCGGGGCGAGATCCAGGGCATATTCGACACGCCCCTCATGGAGCTCGTGTTTCGCGCCGCCTCCGTGCACAGGCAGTACCACGATCCGAGCAAGATCCAGCTCTGCACGCTCATGAACATCAAGAGTGAGTCTGGGCCCGCTCTCCTCCCCCTGCGTCGTCGCTTTGGGACTCATTGCGATTTGCCTCACACTCCGCGCCAGCCGGAGGCTGCTCTGAGGACTGTAGGTCGCCCCGCCCAGGTCCGCACCACGTCCCCCGTCTTAACCCCGGCGTCCGCCCGTAGGTTCGTACTGTTCGCAGTCGTCGCGCTACTCGACCCCGACCGTCGCATCGCGCCTGCTCGACATCGAACCCGTGCTTGAGGCGCGCGCAAAGCCAAGGCGAACGGGAGCACGCGCTTCTGCATGGGTGCCGCCTGGCGCGACCTCTCGGGCCGTAAACGCGGCTTCGAGCGGATTCTCACCATGGTTAGCGAGATCCGCGGGATGGGCATGGAGGTCTGCACCACGCTCGGGATGCTTTCGCCTGAACAGGCGCGTCAGCTGAAACAAGCGTAAGCATCGCCCTGGCCTGTGTTCTTTTCAAAGCTTGGGTGACTGACACCTGCTTCCCTCGCGCGCCGCCGCCCTGGCGCTCCGCAGTGGCCTGACCGCATACAACCACAACCTGGACACCTCGCGCGAGTTCTATCCGGAGGTGCATCGGCTCATCTTTGACCCGTGGTGTCTCCCGTGTCTGACTGGAAGGCGGTCTCTAGGTCATCACCACGCGTTCGTACGATGAGCGGCTGGACACCATTTCTGCTGTCCGAGACGCGGGCATCAGTGTATGCTCCGGGGGGATTCTTGGCTTGGGAGAAACCGATAAGGACCGCGTCGCGCTCATTTGGGAGATGTCCAAGTGCGTGACCGAGTGTGGTGGACGAAATGGGCGCTAATGGCCGGCGTTACAGGATGCCAGAGCACCCGGAGTCTTTCCCGGTAAACGCGCTGGTTCCCATCGAGGGGACGCCGCTGGAGAAGAACGAGGCACGTAGGGGCATGTTGGTCCTCGTGAGCGATGCTAACAATGGGTCGTCACACAGCCCGTGCCATACCATACCATTCTTCGGACGATTTCGACCGCCCGGATCGTCCTGCCGGGCACGATCATCCGTCTGGCCGCTGGACGGCAGACGCTGGACGAGACACAACAGGCCATGTGTTTCATGGCTGGCGCCAACGCGGTGTTCACTGGGAGCAGATGCTCACGACGCCTTGTGAGTACGGCATATCGTCAGGGTTGGGGTGACGCTGAGGATGTGCGGACCGAAACAGGCTCGCCATGGGACGAGGACAAGGCGCTGATGGGCCGCTGGGGATTGGAGGGCATGGGCAGCTTTGAGCAGGTGGGCGTGGCGCGGAAGGAAGGAGCGCGCCTGGAGATACGCGGGGAGGAGGAAACCGCGTCCTCGGAGCCTTCCAAGGAAGCCCAGACTAGCGTCTGACGGCGGCCGGTTGGTTAGGGCGACTGCGGCGGGGGCGCCAGATGCGGCCATGAACCTCATCAATGAACAGTGGTGGCAGACACGGGGCAGAAAGCCACGCCGCCCAGAGAGCACGGCGGCGAGGGAGCGGGACCGTGCCCAGCGGGGATGGGGTGTACGAGTAGCGTACGTGTTAGGATAAATTAGACAACGGACGGGAGATTTGCGTAGAGATCTGGGCTAGCTCCATCTCGATTGGATCCCGCGACGTCTGTCCCGGCTCCGTTCTCGGTCGTTCGTGCTCGTCCAAACCACTTGGCCCACAGGCGCCCACCGTCCCAATCGGGCGACGGACGCTGTGTGACGGCGGCGGGCCCGCGGGTGCCAGCGAGCGACGGCTTTGCTCTGCGTTCTGTGCCTGCATCTCGACGCCATGCTCTCCCCTCGCTTTGTCCGTCGAGGCCGCCCCATCCCCGACTCGAAATTTGCGTGCCGAGGCCCGGAGAGGCGGGGCGGGGCGGGGGTGCTCACGAGGAGGAAATTTCCTGGATCTGGGCCGCCGAAGGGACGGTGACTGGGAGCCAACGGAGCCCGTGAAAGAAGGGAGTACGGCCGCGTTCGCGCCCCGAGCCGCAGCCCTGGGCCTGCCTCCTCGCCTCCTCGTCTCATCGCCTCCCGGGCTCGTGCGTCCGCCGAGGAGCTTCGACCACGATTGCGACGACCTCGGAGGCTGGCCGAGCGGCGCCTCCGTGGCGAGACGGGTCCAAATTCGAGTGAGTGTCCTCGATCGCGCTCCCGATCTCGCCGCTGGCTGAGGACGCCCCCAGGGCCGCGCGGGCCACCCTCGCTTGCCCTGCCCCCCTCGGGCCTCGTCGCTGCCGGCGGGAGGCTGCCGTCGCGCAAACCGCAAAAATTAAGCGAGCACAGCCTTCGCGGACGGCCGTTCGTGGCCAGTGCGGGGCGGAGGAGAAGGGCGTCGGACGGGCACGCACCTCCCCCCCAGCGAGGCGCCGCGACGGCGGCACATTGTTCAACGCGCCCTCATCACGCCCGGGCCATCGCGGACAGCCTACGTCGAGAAGGCCCGAGCGGTCACGTCCATCGGACGCAGCTGTCGCCCCGAGCTCCTCCCGTCCGCGCGGGCGGCTCGCGGCGGACCCACCGCGACGGAGGACGGGCAGCTCTTCGGCCCACCCGCCCGCCCCCAGCCACCTCCCCGCGCCGGCGGCAGCGGGGCACATGCCTTTGCGCGCGTTTTCGTCTCCAACGCCTGCCCGAGCGAGGTGCAGTGATTATAAGCGCGGCGCTTCGTTCCCCAGCGGTCTACAACCCCCACCCCCCAATGGCGCTCGACCTGCACGCCCCATGTCTGTTTCAGCACCCCTCCTGGCGCCCCTACCCATGCCTTCCACCTCCGACCATTCAGCCTGGTCTCCGACGCCCCCCGCTCCGCCCGCTGGGCCCAGTGCGCCCGCCCCCGTTCCGCCGAGACCGCCCGGCACTTCCCTCCAGACAAGCAAGTCTCTCTCCCGCTTCCTTTCCCAAGCTCCCCCAGGCACCGCCGCTGACTCCGTCCCTCATCAGATATGTCGCCGCCCAGGCCCAGTTCGTCTACTACGGCATCGTCTCCCGCCTCCCCATGGTCGCGTACGTCTCCCAGCACGCCTCTCCTCGCTGCACCGCTCACCGTCCCCTTCGTCCAGACGGGTCACCCTGACCGACTACAGAGGCAATATAATCTACGACACCTACGTCCAGCCCACGTAAGCCTCTTTCCTCCGTTCCATAGTCCTCGCTCGCGCTGACCACCTCTCCCGCTCACCCAGCCAACCCGTAGCGGACTATCGCACGGCAGAGACCGGGCTCCGGCGAGAACACCTCGAGCACGGTACGCCCCCGTCTCCTGCGGCGAGCAGAACCCCGTGCCGACCTCACGCCTCCTCCGACCAGCGCCCCAGATCCTGGACGTCCGGCACCAAGTCGCGACGCTCCTCCAGGACAAGATCCTCGTCGGCTACGCGCTCTGGGAGCTCCTCTCCGTCCGTCCTTCCTCTCCTCTCTCTCTCCAGCCGCCTCTCGACGCTCACGCCCGGCTCGCTCTCGCAGGTCATGCGCCTCGCGCACCCCGCGATCAGCACGCGGGACACGGCGCTCTTCATGTCCTTCCGCCGCTCGCTGGGCTATAAGCCGCGGCACGTCGTCCCCCTCCCCGAGCTCGTCAAGCGGTTCATGGGCCACGACATCGGCCTCCACGGCGACGTTCCGGTGAGTGTCCCGGGCCCGGCGCCGTGTCGCCACCTCGGAGCGCGCTCACTTTCCGGCTGGAGCAGGTTGAGCGGGCGCGGGCCGCGCTCGACCTCTTCCGCTCGTGCGAGACGACGTGGGAGGGGATGATTGCGACGGGGGCGTGGCCCTGCGCTCTTCCACCCGACGACTACCGGGCGCACTTCACCTGACGGGGGCCGAGGGCAGGACGCGGCGGGGCGTGGATGGGCCGACGCCCGACTCGGCCGTGGGCGGGACCGCGCCAGGGTGGGGCGGAGCGAGGCTGGCCCCAGGACGGCGCGGGAGGTGGAAGGAGAGGAGAAGCAGGACCGCTTCCCTAACTTTGTCGACGCCCGTCCGAGGACGGCTGTGCCACCAGGCGGGAAGCGCGGGCGACGTCACGGCGGCCCGTCCTGCTGGATTCACATTATCGCTCATACATCGCTCGCTTCTCCGGTCGCAAAGATGCCCGGTCGGGCGTGCATTCGATCTCTCCTACACACCGCGCGGCGGCACCTCGACAAGCTAGACCGCGGCAGCGAGCTCGACCTCGCGGCGGTTGAGGCGGTCGATCTCGACCTCGAGCGCGACGTTGGCGAGCTCGATCTGGAGGATGCTCGAGATGAGCTCCGTCCACCGCGTCTCGAGCGACGTCAGCTGCGCCCCGAGACGCGTCTGGGACCAGCCGCGGCGTGTCAGCGAGCCTGTTCCCCGCACGGCGCCCGCAGCCTACTCGCCTGCGCGTTTCGTCGGTCCCGGTTGACCTCCACCGTCAGGTTCTTGAGCTCCTCGAGCGCCTTCTCGATGTCCTTCGCCGCCGCCTCGTTCAAGTAGTTGTGCACCTTCCACGCGTTCGGCCCGTACTGCTGCACCAGCGCCAGGTTCGTGTGTCTGCCCCATTTCACGTCAGCGTCAGAGGCCCCGCGCGGAGACCACCTCGTCCCCCGCCATGACGCCTGGACGGGGACCGGAGCACGTACCGGAGCCGTTGGTGCTCGAGCTGCGCGCGCGCGTTCCGCAGCGCCTCCTGCCACTGCTCCTCGTTGTCCGGCTTCGTGGGCCCGGGCAGCTGGTACCGCGTCGTGTCCAGCGGCGGCAGCAGCCGGTGGTTCGACACCCGCTCCAGCTCGGCCTGCAGCATCGGCCTCCCCTGCGCACGCGAGCCTCGTCAGCGATCCCCTCAGCGCCCACACCGGTCGCGGGAAACGTGCGCACGAACAGCGAACAGCGTCGGCTCCGGCGGCACCTTGGGGTGCAGCGCCTGCGGCGGCCGGCCCTCCCTCGCGAGCTCCCTCTCCACCTTCTCCTTCAGAATCGGGTACTGCTCCAGCTCGTTGTCGTAATACGGCAGCGAGTCAAAGATGATCTGCTGCCCCTCCCCGTCCTGCGCCGCGGCCACCGTCGTCATTTTTTTCCGAGTAAAGAGATGGAGGTCCAAAGAAGCAGTCGTGGTTGGAGGCGAAGGCACGCTCGCCCTAGGCGCCCGCGCACTCCCAGCAGAGGCGAGCGACGGGCGTCAGCGCGTGCAGGCACGGGAGAGGGCCTCCTGCAGCCGCCGACGCCCGCTCGTTCCGCCCACCGTCCATGTCGACCACGATGTCCCTCCGGCTGGCTCGTCCCTCGAGCCAGCTCCTCCGCCGCGCCGCCGCGCGCCCCGCATCCGCCGCGGTCGTCCACGCCGCCCGCGCCCTCCACACCTCCAAGCCGTCGCAAGGTGTGCCCTCCTCGTCACTCTGATACCGTCTCCGCAGACCGCCGACGTCCTCCTCCTCCCTCCCCCTCGCCGAACTCCGCACTGGCGACCTATCAGCCTCGACGGCGCCGTTCGCCGAGCCCACGTCGCCCAACCGACGCTGACCAAGTACGCGGCGCAGACCGAGCAGCTGCACGCCTACGGCGCGTACCTCACCCAGTGCCTCCCCAAGTTCATCCAGCAGTTCTCCGTCCTCAAGGACGAGCTCACGCTCTACGTCGCCCCTCGGGCGTGCTCCCCACGCTCACCTTCCTCCGCGACCACGCCCAGTGCCAGTACAAGGCCTGCATGGACGTCTCCGGCGCGGACTACCCCGAGCGCGAGAAGCGGTTCGAGGTCGTCTACCACCTCCTCAGCGTCAAGCACAACTCCCGCATCCGCCTCAAGACGTACGCGACCGAGGTCGACCCCGTCCCCTCCGCCGTCTCCGTCTTCCGCGGCGCGGACTGGTACGAGCGCGAGATCTGGGACCTCTACGGCGTTTTCTTCAAGGACCACCCCGACCTGTGCGTCTTCCTTCCTTCGTCTCCTCCGTCTGCTGACGTCGTGTCGTATAGCCGCCGTATCCTCACTGATTACGGTATGTTCCTCCTCCGTCAAAGGCGTTCACCGCCCTTACGCGCAGCTTAGGTTTCGAGGGCCACCCACTCCGCAAGGACTTCCCGTTGACGGGATACACCGAGGTGCGGTACGACGAGGAGCGCAAGCGCGTCGTGTACGAGCCTCTGCAGCTCACCCAGGCATTCCGGTACGTCTCCTTCCCTCCCCTCATCCTGCAAACCCAACGCAAACGCGCCTCGTCACCAGGAATTTCGACTCCCTCTCGCCATGGGAGCAGGTCGGCGACGGCACCACTCCGAAAAGGCCGGACGAGTTCAAGCCCGTGCCCCCTCCGCCGCCCGCGCCCGAGGAGAAGAAGTAGATGTGGGCGCAGAGGTGGACGTAGTACACGAGGCTGGGATGCTAGTATATTACATACAATCTCAGGTTCCATGCTTTGCGTCCGCCGCCCGTCGCGCGCCGTGCGACCTCGTACACCGTCCGTACGTGGCTCCGGGTTCCGACAGCAGTCCGTTCAAGCGGCCACCTTCTCCGACTCGTCCACCACGACGACCTCGGGCTCGGCGGCCTTCTTCCCGTCCCAGCCCATGCGCGCTCCGATGTACTCCTGGCCGATGACCTCGACTCCGATCCTGATCGCCTCCACGACGAGGTCCTCGACCCAGTCGTAGTCGTCCCATAGCTCGAGCCACTTCTCAGGAACCGACTGAGTGACGGTAGAGTGGATGAGTTTGTGATCCGGGTCGGAGAGACAGATGAGAAACTGGAGAGTTGACTGAGAAGTGGCTTCAGAGGCTTCCGTTCCGGGCAGTCGAGGAAGGGAATATGTGGTGGTGAAGGGTTGAACACGGAGGTAAACATAGGAGTATGTGGTGGGATTCTGTGTGCTCGACTCGGGGGTGTCTTCAGGCTTCGCGTTGCGCTTCACGAGCTCCTCGAGGTTGGCCTGTAACCTACGTTAGCGTTCCCTAGTCTAACACTGATACAGTGCCCTTACCTGAGCGAGTTTCAGTGCCGCCTCGTAGCCCTCCACCGCGTTCATGTCCCTCTGCTCATTCGTCTCTTTCGGACGAGACTCGTCGCCGCGGTTCACTACGAGGTCACCCCCTTCGACTTGCTCCATGATCTGCAATCCGTGTGATCAGAAAACGAAGCGCAGATACATATATATGAACTGACCCGCGAGAGAGCACGGTACGTCAGTCCTTCGATACCCTCGTATCCTTGCATGTCATGGCTAAGCCAGACCTTGATAACCTCATGTTCCGAGATTGGCGGCGCGACTGCGTTCAAAATGTCCGTCAAGGTGGAAAGCCCCACACGCCTGAAGTCCTGGCCTGCGCAAGATCCCAATGAGCATTCGCACTAGACCCAAGAACGCCGCACACGCACTGATCTTATCCAGCTGCGCGCTCTTCGCGTACTCGAGCACACCCTCCCCCCACTTCCTCGCCTGCTCGTTCTTCGGCAGATTCTTCACCTGCTCGTCCACGACCGTCCTCGCCTGCTGCAGCGCACTGCTCGCCGTCGACCACACGCTCCCCCACCCCCACCCTCCACCCGCGGCCGCGCCCTGCCTCGCCGGCTCGAGCGGGGACGGCTCCGCGCTCGCCGCCCGCGCGACGCTCACCCTCGAGCTCCCCGAGTCCGTGCGCGACCTCGGGACCCCGCCGACGGCGCCGGGGAGGAGCGGGGCGCCGCCGCCGACCTTGACGCGCTCCGTGCTCTTGCGCACCGTCGGCGTGCCCGCGCGGGACAGCGGGCGGTCGTGCAGGCGCGGCGGCTCCGAGCTCTTCTGCGTGATCTCGTCGATGAACGCGAACACCTCCGCCTCGCCCTCCGCGCCCGGACCCGCGCCCGAGGCGGGTGCGGCCGGGGCAGCGCCGGAGCCCGCCGCGGGGGGCGGGGCGAGGCTGTCGAGGTCGTCGAGGAACTGGAGCGCCTCTTGCTGCTTGGACTTGGACTTGGATTGGCGGCCATGTGGACGTGAAGGGAGGAATATGGAAGGGTGGTCGGATTTTTGTGTGGCAGACGAGTGGGTAGGGGAAAGAGGGATGGTGGTGGATGGCAGGCCGTTGGTACCTCGGTGCTGCGAGAATGCCCAAAGCGCCCAATATAGCATCCATGATAACAGGCGCGCCTCCCTTGAACGCGAACAGCTGAGACACCTTGTGTTCGCATCTGCCTCCGCAAGATCTCGAATTCTTGGCTGACTCTCCTCGAGCATCACCCGGTCAGATACGTGCCCACGAATTCCAGTGGCACGTGTAGGTCGCCTCCTGCGCGCGTTTTCTGCTGCACTGCGAACTCCAACGCCACAGCCGCCAAAACACCATTCTATAGTGCTGCGACCTTTCCCACCAGCCTATTACACACGTAACGAGCTCAGCCTCCAGCCATTCATCAATCTACAACTCCTCGACTTCTTGATGGGAAAACGTCGAGAACCTACTCCCGAGTCAAGCTCTGAAGATGGCGCCGCCTACGTAGTGGGTGCGTTTACCATGCCGTTCTTCGCACGACGTTCCGGTCTCACCTCGCGGGCGTTGATTGCCAGAAGTAATCAAAGCGGCCAGGGTGGTGGGCTCCCAATGGGTAAGCGTTTTTGCACACCTCTGGCAGAACTCTTACCCACCTTTGCACAGGAATACCGCGTGAAGGTACTAATGGGGAGCACTAGCCATCTCCCTACACTGACGCCTCTGTTTCATCTGTGCTAGTGGGGTGGTTATTCTTCAGAGGACGAAACGTGCGTAAAGCCCCAACATGTCTACGACGTTCTAACGCCTGCAGATGGGAACCAGAAGAGAACATCAACCAGGACTGCGAGAGGCTCCTCGAAAGTTTTTGGGACAACGTTGGCCGGGACGATGACGACTACAAGGATGGGTTCACGGTTGAGGCCACCCCGACATGGATCAGTCAGTTCCCTTCCGTCGCCTTGGTTGAGATTGCTGACGCTCTCCCTAGAACGAGAGAAGAAGCGTTGGGCCATCGAGAACCCTGAGATTTCACAGCAGGCGGGACCTCCGCCGATTTCACCCGGAGAGGACTCCGAGGCCGAGGCCGAGGCCGAATACAGACCCGAGCCGGAGTCGGAGCCAGAATCCGACCCAGCACCAAAACTGGAGCTCCCTCGTAGGAACAAAGGGAAAGCGAAGGTAAAGCATGCTCAAATTCATGCGGGCAACCCGATGTCTGATCAGAATCGAGGCAGGCTGTGGACATATTTGACTCTCCTTCTCCTCCTCCAAAAAAGACTCACAAGAAGGCCAAAGTCAGGGTCGGTTTTCGTGGATAGCCTCATTCCGAGATGCGAGACTGACAGCGCCCCGTCAGACCGAGAAGGTTGTCCGTGCATCCTCGTCAGATGGTCCATCGAAGCCCAAAAAGCGTCCTAGATCCGTAAGTCAGTTAACCTCTCAGCAAGTAACAGCGCTCTGACGACTAGCAGTCGGACGAATCTTCCGACGACGACAGACCCTTGTCGAAGTTGCAGAAGCAGAAGCAGAAGCAGAAGCAGAAGCAGAAGCAGAAGTCGACGTCGACGCCGATGCCGACGCTTAGGGTCAAGATTCCCGCCCTCAAGCGTCCTTCCCAACAGCCGTCCTCTGACCCATTCGAACGCGCCGGTTCTCTCTTCTCCGAAGACGAAGCAGCTTCATCCCCAGACCCTATCGAACCTCGCTCTGCTGTCGGAGCCCAGTGGCAACCGTCGTCAGCCACGATTCCCACGAAGCGTCCTAGTTTGAAAGAGACCTCTGGCCCACCCCGCAAGCGGCAAGTTATGGCGATACCCATGCCCATCACAGAGACGGTCGGCAACACAGTTAAAGCGCGCATAGCTCAGCGTGTCCCGACGTCAGAACCCCAAAAGGCCCCGAGACCAGTGGAGGTCAAGTCAAGTGACCTGTCCAAGTTGTCGTTCAGGAAGAACAAGCCGGCGGGTCCCGAGGCAGCCTCTCCCCGCAACCCGGTCGTACAGACCTCCACCATCCCGCAGCTGCCCTCGGCCACGGGAAGCGGGTCCGGAAGCGGCGGAGATACTTTCAAAATTCCTCTCCCCCGGCGAAACATGTCGGCTCCCTCAAACATGCCGGCTCCGCTAATCCGGCCAGACCAGATGGCGGAAGCGAACGCCTTTCTTCAAAACATGATGCCTCCTGAGTGAGTAGTGACATCTTTCACGATATTGCACCAAGCTGATCAACGTACGCAGGATGACAGCTCCGATGCAGTGCGTCTACATGCTGTCGTTGGCACTTGATGCTAAAGTTGATTTAGGGAGGACGCACCGAGTCCAACAACTCCAAATATTCCCCGCCCCCTCCAAACCGCGATCAGAACTAAAGGTCTTCCACGGTTTGTCTGCAGTCTCTTCCTGCGCTTCTACTCTCTGACGTCGCGTGCAGCATACAAAAGAAGTGGAAGTGGTCCGGTGGGCTCTACTTGGACGTCAGCCGCGACAAAGCGGAGCACGTGTGCGACATCGAACTCACGAACGTGAGCATTTCCAGGCCTGGAGGGCTGACGCTCGGTCTCTGCATTCCAAAGGATGCCGAGGCTCTGCGTTTCTCAGCATTTCACGAACTGCCGTCCCTGCCAATGATGCTCGGCGCGAGCACTGCTGCGCAGCAATTCGCCGCAGTGGCGCCCATGGCCGACAAGGACAAGGACGCTGTGGCCCAGCTGACCACTTACATGAATACGAATATACTGGTATGCATCCCCCCGGTGGACCAGGGTGCGGCTTGAGCTCACGCATGTCTCGCAGTTCTGCTACGCGCACCTCTTCACCCAAGATGGGCCGGTGGGTCTCTCTTCATGTACCCTGGAGGGCACCGCACACCCCGGAGCATGCTGTACACACCAGGGTTCAACGGAACAGGAGGAGGTCTCGAAGTCGCCCTCGTGCCGTGGCAGCTGACGGCACAGAGTTCAGAGCCGCGAGCTGGAAAGCCAGATTTCGTCCAAGGACACGACCTCGACCCACCGTTCGCCGACTCACTCGCTCGGGCCGGTCGGAACATCGTGTTCAAGCGCCGTTTCTACCAAGCGATTCACAACCTGTCGTTCCCCAAAGCCGTGTACGACTACATACACCAGCCGAACCGGCCGTACTGCATTGGCACGAAGAGTCCGACGGGCCCTCGACAAACCCCGGGTATGAGACGAAGATGCTTAGGCACATCTTGACCTCCCGGCAGGACGTCGGGCACAAGAAAGACGTCCGCACCGTCTTTGTCCACGTCGGCTCCCTGCCGACGCTCCATCTGCTCCCCACCATCGCCGAGCGCAGGGCAAAGAAGGGCGACGCCCTGCGCTTCTTCACGTACGGCACGCACCCGAGCGTGCCGCAAGAGCGCTGGGGTGTGCGCGAGATCTTCCCGCTTGGTGCGTTTCAAACTTCTTTCAGCTAGCCCTTTCCTTTCTCCGTCGCTCTAATGTGCTAACCCCGTTTACGCAGGCGGCGTCGTGACGTTCACGCCTGCGGCCATCATCGAAGGCCACTTCCGAGTATTGGACTTGATCAAGAACATCCGGGAGCACCCATGTGGGTGTGCTACGTGCTGCCGTCCACGGTGGCCATGGTGGCCAAGCTGACCAGCCAGGGCGAGCACCCGTTGCGTCTGTACGACGAGTGCGTCGCCTCGTCCGCCATCCGCACGGCTCGCAGCGTCCGCTGACAGCTTTTGCAGGAAGAAGTTCGTGCACGAGGGCCTGCTGACGGCGATCGAGAAGGGCGACGTCGCGCTGCTGCAGGCCCCGGTGTCGCCGCGCGAGCCGGTGCAGGGCGGGGACCCGGTGCTGCTGTGGACCCGATGGCAGCTGCGGCTCCCGACTGTGGGCGCGCGGGAAATCCTGACGGAATGCCTCCAGGTCGCGGCGGAGCAGTTCGCGGGCACGTCCGAGGCCGACCTCCCGGCAGCACTCGAGAAGGAAATTGCCCGGGACCTGCAGCGGATGCAGACCCAGCCTGTGATGGTCGACTCCTACCGGCGGTTTGTCGCGGTTCGCGGCAAGGGCGACCGCGTTCTGGCCGAAGGCGCGCCCGGGGTGAGTACTTGAGTGCTAGGTCCGGACCCCTGTGAGCGTGTGCTGACTGTGTCTGGGGTCGTGTGCTGCAGTGCGAGTGCGTGCTGGCGACGGAGTTTGAGTTCAGCGACGACTACTTTTCGCCCTCCATACCAACGGAGGAGGGGCGGAAATGATTCACCCGCCTCCTCCTCCTCCTCCACGTAGCCACCGCTCCTATGATCATGTACTAGTACTACCCTGTCCCCTTGGTGCTTACCACCCGAGGTCCCTATGCACCTAGTCTCCCCTAGGCCAACCTTCTAACGCTATGCACCCGCGTTTGCCAAGCCACGTCGCGAGTGCCCATGTGATTCTGCCCACTCTTGACGCCGACTGCAACGGGCCGGGAGGAGGACCGTTGTGGCGAACCGGTGCGGGACCACGCCGAAGCAAGCCACCAGCTCGCCGTCCGACACGGTGCACGTCCGCCGGATCTCTTGCTCTCCGTCATCTCCCGCGACCCACTGCTCGCCCATCCGCCATGTCCGCGATACAAGCCCTCATCACTGACCCGGCCTACCATGACTACCTCTCCATCCTCAAGGGAGCTCGGAATGGCTTCGTCTACGGCGTGAAAGTGCGGTTCCCGCATGCGCTGATCATGGCCATCCTCTTCGGCCGTGGCGAGTGAGTGCCTGCACATCTTGCGCGCGGAGGCCGCTGCTGACTCTGCGCAGCTGGACGACGCGGCTGAAGACGATCTTCAAGGCGACGAAGCAGCACGCGCTCAACCTCGCCAAATTCGTCTCGCTCTACAAGACGCTGCTCGTGCTCCAGAAGAAGGTGAACGGCGGCAAGCAGCGGAGCTCGGACACGTTCATCGCGGGCCTAATCGGCGGCTACGTTGTCTTTGGCGAGCGGAATGCAGTAAACGAGCAGGTACGCCCCCCGCCTCCCGCTCGCTTTCTGTCCGCGTCCCATCCTGAGCCTGTCCGTCTCTGTGCGTACCCCGCCACGTCCCGCAGATCGTGCTGTACGTCTGCTCGCGCGTCGTAGCGTCGTTGCTATCGCGGGCCAAGACCACGTACGGCAAGAGCGCGCCCGCGCCCGGGCGGCCGCTGCCCCCCGACGCGCGGCAGTTCTCGATATTCGCCGCCGTCGTCTGGGGCGCAGTGATGTGGCTCTTCCAGGAGCGGGGGGAGACGGTGCAGCCGGGGATGTTCAACTCGATGACGTACCTCTACCGGGATTCGAACCACTGGCACGATCTCCGGACGCTGTTCTGGCACAACAAGTAGCGCCTCCTGTAGCCCCCTGGCCGTCCGCAGATACCCCTCTAGATAGCCGTCTTGTTTACGCAGCAAGCAATGGACAGAGGCCTCGTGACGGACTCTGAGATCTGCTTCCGGGCCAGTCTCGAGACAAGCCTCGAATAATCGGCCGCTCGTCGATCGCGTCTCTCGAGCCCCACGGGGAACACTTCGTCGCGGCCTCCTCTCCGGCCTCGATCGCGCTACTAGTGTCCGTCGAGAAATCAGACAATTCCTCGGCCGGCCTCGCCGTGCTCGGTCTCTCCCCGGCCTCCTCGCCCGACAGCGAACTCCACGGAGCCCTCGGCCCACGCCGTTGTGTGGCCCACATGCCCGATCTGTCTTCTGCGCGGTCGGCACCGACCCCGCCTGCGCTCCAGCCGCAGCCGCCTGCACACAGGAGGCCTCGCATGCATCTACTTTTTCGCTCGCGCGTCCTTCTTTTATTTCATCCGCGACTGTTTTTGCCTCCCACTCAGGGTTCGCGTCCAGCCGGCGCCTCTCTGGCCCTGGAGATCCTACTTGGCGATTCCCACAAGCCCGTCGACCATCTCGCCTCTACATCCATGACCGACGCGTTCGTCCCCCGGTGTCCATGCCACGTCGACTGCGCGCGGACTTGAACCCACGCCCTTCCGACTCAGCGGCCGAAACTGCGCCGTGCAAGCGCTCATCGCGCCCCGACCCACCGCGCGCGGCCTTTCTCTCCACTCCGCCCCGACTCAAGCTCACCTGAGTGCCCTAAACATATGGAATATCCTCTCCAACCCACATAAAAACAGCGCGACTGTGACGCGCGAACACCGCGGGCCTAAACGACAGCCGAGCTGCATCGGCGATGTGCGTGTCCCATGCGGGGGTGATTCGAATCATTCCGCATCGAATCCGACCAGTCGTCCCACAGGTGGACGCAGAGCACTGCAGGCCTGCCTTGGACAGCTCACTGTGGCCCATCATTCCGTGTCCGCTCCCTGGAGCTCGACGCGCGGACCATGAGCACGTCCGCAAAGCGGTCCTCCTTCCCCGCCAGTGCTTGTTGGGGCTAGACTAGCCTCGATCGTGGAACCCTCGCCACGAAGTCGTCGCCTGCCGCCGCCGTTCGCGCGCGCGGAAGAGGTCCCGTCCGAACGAGTGCACTGGCGGGCCGCGCATCACGCCCAAGTTGAGACCGGCGGTCTTTTAGGTCGCCGGCTTCCGATGGGGAACCGTTGCACCGTCGTGATGGGCGTATTCTTGGGGCACGGCGGAGACGCAAGATGACGAGGCAAGAGGGTGGTGCAGCACGCTGTGTGTGCGCGACTGGAAGGGAGGGCTGCGTGATCGGACGTCCTCGCGCGGACGTCAAGTCTCGCGGGTTGTCTTGACGTGTTCTCCTCGGGAAATGTCAGAAACGTCAGAAGCGACATCCAGAGTGCCTGACGATATTCCACTCAGGCTCGCAGCGATCTATCAGAGTTGGACAACTGCTGCGGTGCGTACACGCCAACGCCTGCCTGCGGCCCAACAGATCGCAAACGCATGCGGACGGGGAGGAAACGGAGCGTCGGTTGTCGTATGTATCGTCTCGTCCGAGAGCACTGACATCCAGAGCACAATGTACAGCCACTTGACGTGAGGGGGGATATATGTACATTGAGAAGTCAATGAGAAGATCGTCGCGGCAGGCCTCTGCAGATGTCCCCCGAGACGGAGCCCGAGGACGTGAAAAAAAACCCTACGAAATGATGCAGTCGTGGTATCATAGAAGGAGGTAAGTAGGCGGGGAGATGGGTCAGTTCTATACAGTCCTCGTGATGCCCTACAATACGATACACCTTCGTCGCCTGTTCTCCCTCTCCGGTGCACGTACGACGGGGTTCGGGACGCCTTGTTCCTGCTGCTTGGTCTGGCGAAGTAGCCGGACAAGGTTCATGAACAGCTGCTCCACGTTGTGCGCCGTTTTTGCTGAGGTCTCTAGGAACTGGCAGCCAAACTGCCGCGCCAGCGCCGCGCCCTCCTCTCTCGAGACCTCCCGCTCGTACTGTTTGTCGCACTTGTTGCCGACAAGCATGAAAACCGGTTTCTGTCGCTTGACTTTCAACATCGCCTGCCGGAACACATCGAGCCGATCAAACGTCGCCCTCGACGCAATCGAATAGACCAGGATAAAGCCCTGGCCCTCTCTGCGGGTGACGGTCGAATCGGACGGACGCCGAGAGGGGAGGCAGGCACGCACCTGACCCATTGGTCTCGAAGAGTCGCGTACTCCTCTGCAGATACGGGTGATGAGCGGCAGATGGCGCACGCGATGCCGGCACGACTCACCTTGTCCCGCGGTATCGATCACCTCAACAAAGCACATCCGGTTGTCGACAACCAGCTGTTTGCGATACGCATCTTCTATCGTGGGATCATACGTCTCGGGGGTTGTGAGCGCTTTCCCGGCGGGACAGACGGGGGAGAGGCACATACCTCTGTATGTGGGTATCCGAGGATGGCGGGGTCACGTTCAGAGCGCGCTTAAAACGGGACCGGGGGCGGGCTTACCAACGAAGCAGTTGAGCGTGAACTGGGGGTGCGGTGAGCATCGGGGGCGGGCAGCAGGGTCGGTGGGACGTACCTGGACAGCCAGAGCGGTCTTTCCAACACTACCATCACCAAGAACGGCTACTCTCCAGCTATCCATGTCTGCTGGCAAAGGGTTTGAGCACGGAGGCGGACGGGGGGGAGGGGCGGGGAGGAGGACAGACCTCAGAAGGCGGGAAAGGAGAGTGTAGATTGTGGAGATCTGGGGAGGAGGTCAGGGCGGGTGAGGGGGCGAGCAGAGAGGGACGGGCCTCGAGAGCGAATGATCGGGGCGGGAGGTCGTGAAGGGGAGCGAGAGAGACGGGGAGAAGGAGAGGGTAGCAGATAATAAGCAGAGATTCGTCGTGCAAGTTCGTGCAGGTCGTGAAGAGGAGCCGGGGGCAGGAGCCTTGACGGAGAGTGGTGGACGTCGACAGAGTACAGAACGGTCCTTGCACGCGCGGAGGAGCGCCCCCGGGTATTTCTACTCAATCACCAAGCCCACACAGCCAGCCGCGCCCCTTTTGTCCGGATCCCGCCCGCGTAATTCGTCGAGCCTCCCCCATCTGGCCGGTCTGCGGCGGCAAACCGGCCCACGTCGAGTGCCCCACTTTGGTCCCCCTCCGAGCCCCCTCCGACGCCGGCCACTGTTGCCCGGCCGCCGTCTGCCCCGGCGCGGGCCGTCCACGAGGCACCGGCCATCGCCGACGCTCCGCTGCTGCCCAGGCACGGCGAGCGAGCTCTCAGCTCTCCGTCTGCCTCTCCCATCTCCGCCAGACCAGCCGGCCATCGCTCCAGCTGCAGCCCCGTCTCGCGTACGTAACATTGTTCGTCCCGTTCTTTCTTTCTCTTAACTTGCCCCTCCGTCCCCAACGGCACGAAACAAGCTCGATGTCATTCTAGCTCTCCATTTATCTTTTCCGCAGTTTATTGTACCACGGCCCTGAAGCCGGTCGTGTGCCTGCAGCCGGGCATTGTGTATGCGGTTAACCTTCTCGCCTTGAGGTCGACATCGTGCACTCGACGCATGCGCAATCGGGGAAGACGGCTTTTATTTGAAAGCCGCCGCCCATGCCGCCTTCATACAAACTTAGCGCAAGCCTCGCCGCGCGTTCATTAACGTCAACTCCTTCTCTGTGTGCGACGCGCCCGCGCATCGTGGCCCATCCCAGCCAGCGAATCGCACTCAATCGCCCGGGGCGCCCGAGACAACAAGACGCGTCGATTTCGGGCGACGTCCGTCCCCGGATATGTTCTTTGTTGCTCTGCCCCGAGGCGCACGAGGCTCGAGCGTCCAGCACGAGGCGCGCCATGCGCCTCGCAACGATGGGTGCTGGTCTCGGAGACGCGGGAAAACACCTGCGTTCGCATGATGGGCGACATATCCGACCGGAAGAGCACCGTTGGGCGTCGAGCGTGGGCGGTGTGTGCGAGCTGCTGACCTCCGAACGCGGAGCCTGCGCACCCTCGGCCGACCTCCGCACACATACGGGGCGGCTCGCCGGATGCGGCTCAGGCGATGGGAGCTCAGTTGGTCAGGCGCTGCGAGGAGAGTGGAGGGCCGTGGAGGCGGCAGTTGGGAGCAGTGGGCTCGATGGGGGGCGGATGAGACCGGACAAGGGGAGAGTCGCGGTTTATGTAAGACGGGGAGGACGGTCGTAGGCAGTGTGGATGGTGAGCGCGGCGGGGGACGTACACGACTCGCAACAGCCCCCGCCTCGGGCCGATCACGCGCACGGGAGAGCATGCCGGCCCAGAGCGAGCATCCCCGTCCTTTGTCTGCCACGGCGACTTGGGCGCCGTCTCGTGCGCTCATACGATCGCGCAGATAGAAGGTCTGCGAGGACGCTCGCGCTTAGGACCACAAAGCTCCGGGTTCGTCGTGGAAATCCCTGCCTGGAAGCGTACTCATGCACTCATCCTCCAGGCGCGCTGCGGGCCAAGTGCGAGCCCTGTCGGACATTACTCGACACCCCCTCGCCGCCTTTGCACCTCTGCCCAGCCCGATGGCCTGCACCTTGCAGCATTGATCGTAGGCCGCGTCTTGCCGAAAGGAAATGGATCGGGACCAAAGTGTCGGGCAGTAAGCGCAATCCCCAGCAGCCGCAAGAGGGCTAGGCGGTGGCCGCAGCTTCCGTAAGCCGGTCGCTGTTGCCCCCGAACCACCATCTTCTGCCCCGTTGTAGGACCTTGTAGGCCACGTCTCCTCCACACTGGCCACACATGTCCTGCTGGCGCCCCGGAGCGACATGCGTGCGCTCGCCACCAGTCGCCCGTGGCCACGTCTCGCCCGACAGGTACGTACTCTTTACGCTCGCTGGGTGCCTCCAACCTTCTTCGTTCCACATCCCATTCACGGGTGATCTCCTGCAGCTCTTTGCCCCCGAGCGTCTCACCGAGGCGAGTCCTTTACGAGTGCTCTCAGGCTTCCCAGTCCGGCCCCGGCTTCCCAGGCCTAGCTCCAGTGCGTTCTCCCCGAAGTGTTCCCTGGGATAGTGAAAGTATTCCTGCCGATGGGCATTCCCATGAAAGGTGGCAGTGCTTTCTTACTGAAGCGAGCACCTTGTGGTTGATCTTCTCAACGTGCATGCCCCCAGGTTCTGCGGCTGTACATCGTGTCTCCCTTCCTCGACATTTGGGTGCTGTCCGCCCCCATCAGGCGCCACATGACCAGTCTCGTTCTCAAACTCAGATAGGACGATTGGGTCATAAAGGCTTCAATTCCGACAGAATCGTGCCGCCCCGCCGTCTTCGACCCAGGCGGACTCGTCCTTTATTCCACAACAGGCATCTGGAATGTTCCCCGACGCTCTTATGTCGCCCCTCCACGGAGATTCCCCAGAGATAACCGGGGAAACCGGCACTCGACCGCCAGCCGTCTCACAAACCCACACCCGCCCCTGCGTCGCCGAGTGTCACCGGACTCGGCGGTATTACCTTGATCCTCTACTTGCGGAACAGTTGCAGGACCGTTTCCGCGTGTTCTGGGAGTCTCGATGGGAGAAGAACATTCGCTTTGGTCTCATGTGTCCTCTCGGAGCTCACGGCGGTCTTGTAAGTTGCTCCGCGAGCTTCCTCTTGCCCCGCTCACCGCCCCCCAAGGTTATGGGGTGCGTCTACCGCGGGCTCGTGCCCTCTGCCCGCAACCCTACTTGAACCCAACAGCGCCCGTGTGGGAGCCCTCCGTTCTGAATCGCCTTCCTGTCCAATCTCTCGAGGGAGTTTTTTCTACTCGGTTCAGCAGCCGGTACGCACTTTCGAGTTTCCCGGGTATGCCGCCGGCTGACGGCGGTTGCGGATCCGCCACAGTCTCGCCAAGTTTGGCGACGTCACCCTCGGTGTCGACGTTCCTGGCGCAGCCCTGCGGGCAGCAACACTGGGCGGATCAGTCCGTCCGCTTGACAGGTAAGGCGGATCTCTGTCGCCGTCCCGTCTACAAATGCTCTCTGCGGTCCGACAGCGTTGGAACATGAGGGCACCGCGCTGCGATTGGTCTCACGCTAGCGAGGCAGACGACGACCAGGGACATATGACGTGTCGATGTTAGTTTTGATATGTGGCCGGGTGGCAGATACTTCCGTCCATCCGTCTCGTAGTCGCGCTGTTGTATCAACATCGGCCTGTGCTCGACGCCACGCGCGCACGCATACGCGAATGGTTGCGTGCTTTGTTCACCCGCCCAGATGCAGTTTATCGTCTAAACAGTGCATAAAATATCCTCCCGTCCATTCTGATCCTCCTCGTGTTCTTTCCGGGTGGTATAAGCGCTGCATCGGTCGCCTGCTTTTGGGTGGTGCATCGTACGTTGATCATCCACAAAATGACGTCATAGGCCGTATGCCGTGCGCTATGTCGCTGTGTCCGTCTGTCGCTCGTCCACCGCATTCCATCGACTCCCGTCTCCAGTCTTTTCCTCCATCTCAGCCCATTGCCTGATAGAATCGACAGCAACGCATCTTCTGACTAACTTTCCTCCCTTACCGTGCCAGCCCCCTGACCTAACTCGCTATCGGTCCCCGATCAGCGCTTTCCCACGTCCTTCGGATTGCCAGCTGCTTTGGGAGTCCGCCGTCGCGCTTCCTTTGATAGATCAACCGGTGGCGGTCGTCCTTTGGTCAGCTTACGGCACTTTCCCCCAGGCGCGCCCACAACGCAACTAGCTAAATCCTTTGCTTCCCCAGGTACAACAGCTTCAATCTATTCCGGCGTTTCCGCGCAGCCCGTGGCAGGATTTACCAGAGATTACAGAACGCCTCGAGTGCCAGCACATCGGCGTTCTAGCGACAGTTTTCTACGAGGTTTTCCATGCGACGATAGGCGCCTACTTAAAGCAAACTTCTATTCAGGCTGCGTTGCGTCTACGACGGTGACCCAATCTCAGTGGTCACCTAGACCAGGGCCCTGTATGCTATGGAGTATGTGCGCTGCGCTGCGCAGTCAGGCAGAAAGTTCTAGTGCATCGTGTACGGCACGCAGCCTCGGCAAAGGTCGACGGTGTCGCAGCTCAAGGTCAGCTTTTGAGACTGCTGTGACTGCCCCGGTGGTTGTTACTCACCCAATGCTTCCCTCAGAATTCCTCCCCTGACTCAAGACGGCACACGTCGTGATGGACGGATGGGCTTTCCGGACGTCCCGCTCAGCTAAAACGACGTCGGCTCCAGCCGTCAAAGTGAGGCACGCCTCGCGAGTCGTCTGCCCGTTCAACTCATGTTCGTCGAGGTACACGTACGGGCCCTTCGTAACACCGCCACACCAGGTCACCGCCAGAGAGGAAGCTCGCGCCGGCCTCAGGCCGCTCCATCCAGGCCCCCTTGAACGCGTCCGAGACCTCCTGGTCCTCGCTTTGACCACCGGTTGGCCGGCCGACTGGCCGCCCCGATCCCTAAAAGCCGCGCGCGGCGGACACCCCCAAAATCCCATCAAGCCTCCCGCGCACCCGGTCGTGGGCGAAAGCCCGGATCAGCGCAGGCTGCCCTGGCCAGGCACGTCCTCACGGCTCCCCGCCTTTTCCCGTGCGCGGCGGTCCCGGAGCGCGACTCGCAAACGCCCATGGCACTCGCCCCCAGGCACGCGCATAAGTAAGTACGAGCTGTACGACCGCCCGCCCCTCCTCCCCCTCCTCCTCGGGCGACATCCAGCTCAGGGGACCATCGTGGGCGACGCCGCGGGCCGGTGCCTGGCGGCCGTCACAAATGCGCGGCTCCCCACCTCGGGAACGCGCGGCCTGCGCGCGACTCTGGACTCTCTCAGATCTCATGATCAGGCCCCCCTCCCTGCGAGCGGACGCGAGCAGGCAAAGATGATGTCTCTCCAGAGGCATTTAAGCTTTCGCCCGCCCCTGGTGCTCCGGAGTCCGGCAGCGGACCGCCGAGGACAGGAACGGGTTGCTTACGGCCGTCGACCGTGCCAGCGTCCGCCTCCAGAGCGGTGAAGGCCACCGGAGCTACGTAAGTCGCCCCGCCCTCCGCCCGCCTCCCGCGTCAGCACCCCCGCAAGCATCGGCGCGGCGCCCGCCCAGCACATACCAATTCGCGCTCGCTACTGCGCCACCCACTCGCAGAGCTGTCAACGCCGAAGGCCGTGCCTCGAGTGTCCGATATGGCCCTAGGACACACGCAACCCTTGCTCGCGGCGTCTCGCAATAGCGTTTGTGGACGTTCATGCGCCCGCTTCCCCCCTGGCTGTGGGACCGCGGGGCCACTTCTCTTCTTCGCCTGATCATCTCTCCGCCCTTCGCGGGCAGCCACCAACATCCAACCTTGCCCCGCACGTCCGTGGCTTCATGCACGCCACAGACGTCTCGTCCCGCTGCACGCCGCGCGGAACCAACGTGCCCTCACGCGCCCGCCGTCGCACGCTGGGATCCCGGACATATAAAGGTGCGCGCATGCCTCCTGGGACCCTCAGCGCGCGCCGCCAAGTTCCGAGCTCGCCCTCTCAAGCATCTTCCAAACGTCCGTCAGCGCCATCTCCTTCCCTCTGATCCTTTCCCCTCCAGCTTCCCCACCCCTCCTTGGCCGCTCCAGACCCCGACCGTTCTTGTACCGCAGCTCCAAGCTCAAAGTTTGCTCGGCCCTCAGCAGTACCTCCGGATCCCGAGCTACCTGCCTTACAACCTACCCGTTTCGGATCTATGTATCGAGCGGCGTTCACGAGCTAGTTCTGGAAAGCAAATGCCGCACGCGCCCCCATCCGGTCCCGGTCGCCGTCCCCGCGAACGCTTCTGGTCGTCCCGGCCGCGCACGGCCCGGGCGCACGCACGTACATTCTTGGCCGGCTGGCCCCTGGCACGCGCACTTCACCACGCGCACCGTGCTGCGCTGGAGTTCGTCATCCCGCTGCGTTCGCGACCACCACAGGTCTAGGTCCACGCCCCTCGGTCTTCGATGGCCACTGTACAGGCCGCTGGGCATGTCCTCCGCCCCTCCGCCTTACCACAAATAGAAACTGGCGGTTCGCGCTGAGGCTGCCCCTCAAGGTCTCATGCCGGACGGGCATACAAAGCTTTCGCGAGGGCTGATCGAGACCAATGGTCTCTACATGATTCCGATCGCAATATGTCGATTCCGACCGCAATATGTCAGCTATTGTACTAGACTGTAAGTTCCGGCGCCGTGAAGACTCTACAGGTTATGCACCTTACTCCACCCGACCGCTCTCAACGTTCTCGAAGCGCCTGCGCTCACAGGCCGCATTCGTCCCGGATACTTGATACCATAACCAGCGAGGTGGGACCCCAGTTGACCATTTAGCCCGCTCGTCACGCGAACAGGACATCCAGAGAACCTGCATTCTGTACACGAACGTACATATACATGCGGCTCAAGATACAAGGGTCGTGAAGTAGGCATTATCGCAGAACCATCGTTCCCAGGTAGTACGTAGGGCCCACGTCGCGATGAACGACGGCGTGCGCATCCGCGGCGAGGGAGGGAGTGAAGCTTATGCATATACAAAGGAAGAAGGCAATAAAGACGTCTTAAACCGTACTTTCTATTTTACAGTCCGTGTTTTGCAGGAGAAGCCGCGGCAACCGCGACAGGAGGGAGTAGTAATGCACAGGGCAAGAGGGCCCGAGGGGTATGGGGGGACAGACAGGACTTCACACGGCACGACATTACAATGACTGTGGGAGACGAGGCGGGCCGCGAAAGTCAATGACGTTGAACCACGTGAAGACGGAATGGGGGACGCGCACCTCTATGCAACCACCTCTAAACCTCCCAAGAGACCAGCCGAGAAAGTCTGAGAGGCCGACGGAAACCGAGAATCGAACCCGGAGCAAGCTGCGGGTGGGGCGCGGGAGCGCATCGCCTCACTCCTGCCGGCTGAGCTCGGCCTGAGTGAGGTTGAGGACGAAGGCGGACTTGAAGTTGGCCGGGGGCTCGATGATTTTAACCGGTTTCCGCTGGGCCGAGGTCGGCGAGACGGCAAGCGAGGGAAACGGCCGGAGCGGACGCGACGTGGGGAAGGAGTGCGTGCGTAGAGCGTTCGGGTGGGCATGTGTGGACGCAGCGAGCGGGGAGGATATGCGCGGCCGCGAGGTGGCAGCGGGTGGCGTGTAGGAGGAGACGGCGACGGCGGTCATGACGGCTAGGGAGGGGCGGGGCGGGATTAGAGAGAGGGCTCGCAGAGTTTTGTAGAGCGGACTTACTCATTGCGTTTCGAGGATTGATGCGCGGGTGTGGTCGGGATGTGGTCGTGACCTTTTGAGAGAGGGACAGTGCGCGGGAAGGACGCGGGGTAGAGAGAGTTTGCGAGGTGCGGGGTAGAGAATGTGGGGGCGGTGTGCTGGGGTATATAAGGGCACGAAGGAAAGCGGGTCCACGCAGCAAAGGAGCCGGAGGAGGATCCCCAACGAATTGGGCGGCATGTCCAGCCTACCAATTCCGGCTTCTCGCGACGCGTCCCGGCCTTCCGGGCGCTAAGGACGCGTTCCCCAACGTCCGCTCGCGTCCACTCTGTGCGCCGCCTCGACGTCATCTCTTCTTCTCAACTGCCCTCTTGCTCGAGCCTGCGCCGCCCGCTCCTCCTCCAGACAGCGTGCTCCTCGGCGCACAGCTGGATGTTGTGGCAGCGACACCAACCCCAGGCTGATAGAGCGCGCAGGCGTCGCCATGTGTCATCAAGGTGATGCGCTCTGTCTTCCCCAACGCTCCCCGGTTGCCTCCCGCGTTGTCCTCTCCGTGCGGAACGGCGCGGAGCCGTCTGACGGACCTTTCGCCCGACGCGCGTTATCTCGGACACTGCTCCCTCTCCTTCCACCCCACTCTCCCTATCGCGCGCGCCCTTCATTCCGGGCCTGGGGCCAGTCCTCGACTGAGAACCCCACAGCCCAGCCCCGTACATGCGATTGGATGGCGAACGGGCGGAGGACGTCGCGGGAGGCCGCTACCGCCCGCGTATGTGTCCTCCAGCGTCCCCGCAGATTAGTTATGCCCCCTGCCCAAATTTGCGAACCCCACGAATTCTCAAAGCATCCGTCGCCCGTCGCCCGCCTCCACCAGTGCGCCACGTTTCGGCCGTTTTCCCCCGCCCCCCGACACACTCCGCCCACGCGTCCGCCACGTCCCTCTGCGCGTCCATACTTTACGTTCGCCTGCTCCGGTTTCGCGGGGCCCAGTTCCTTAGATACCCACTCACCTGCCTTCGCTCCCTGGCACGTCCCCACTCGATCCACAAGCAATGTCACGCACGTTCACAGGGTTGATGATCATTCCGACGCGCTCGTCTTCTCTCGCAATCTGTACATAATTAAAGTTGACGGCGAACCTATTTCCGACCGGACGAGCGATACCTCGAGCTCAATGCATGGCCTCCCGCCACGCGCTCGGTACGAACGGACGGCGTTGCCGCGAGATGGCGCACCTGGCGGCAACGCGTGAGGAGACGGCGGAGGGAAGATATACCGCTACGTCATCGGTGGGCGCCTTCCTTTTCCGGCGTTTGAGTTCGTCCCTCAGGGCGCTGCACCCTGAGTTCGAGCTCGGGCTAGTCATCGCCTTCGCGCGACAGGGCCGCAGACGTGTTCAGCTGACCAGGATCGACAAGCATACGACTGCGTTATTCCTACTATCTGCTACGTACAAGCTATGTACATATCTGACACTGCTCTTCAACTTCGGACAGACAGATACTCTTCTGTGCCTGTCGTCGCGCTACATGTACAGCTGCACTATGTACGGGGTGTGAGCGTAGGAGCGGGAGAGAGAGAGGACGAAAGATGACATCGAAACCGGCGAATGGGGCTTATTAACGATCAGGAGACGGGAGAACGACAAGATAGGCCAAGAACCTCTACGATCCACAGAGCGTCCCTAAGGGGCGACGCTCCGTGAACCACTCTGGAAGGGCTAGAGACGTGGGGCGAGGGCAGTAGCTGGGTGCGGCGTAGGTATAGGAGCTTCTACTACCCTGGCTTGCCTCGACGGGAGACTGCTTCGCGCAGCCTGGTATATGCATCCACGGAACCATCGACGTCGCCCTCTCTCCGGTGCTGCCACTGACTAGCAGCCCGGACGATTCGGACGACGTCTGGACGACGTGGGTATGCGTGCCCGGCACTTGGGCACGTGCGAGAGGTGTTGCGGTTCGTCGTGGCGCTGGATGTTCAGCGCGCTGCCGAAGGCGATTACGGTGGAGGATGGGCAATGAGGGAGGACGATATGGGGTATCGGGGCGGACGAGCGCGAGGAGGCGGGGGTAAGGCCGAGATCGAGACCGCAGTGACCGACAATCGACAACCGAGGAGGCCATGCGTGCCAGGAACCAGACGAGAAGAAAGGACGTGGAAGTGGCGAGTGCTCGCGTCCCTCTCGTCCGACCCTCAGGGCGCAGGCTGGGCGTCGCCGGTCGATCACTGCACATCCACGAGCAGATTGCGCTCGAGGATGTACTTGCCCTCCTTGTACTTCTGCGACGCCTCGTAAGCGTAGTCCTGCCAGAATGGACGATGATGTTAGCATGCCGTCATGCGATCGCCCCTCGTTCGCACATACATATTTCCACCCGAGCACGGTCTCGCACTTGACGCAATAGATATCGCGTACGGTGTGATTTCCCGTCGTCATTTGCCTGTCGCTGGGTTCACCCTCGACAACGTTCACACTGCGCAGGTGGCGTGGCGATACGTGGCAGGGTTGAGTATTGCGAGGGTTACAGCCGTGCACATGGTGGAATCCGACGAGCACAGGAAATGCGAGAGAGCGCATGAGCTCACAACAGCGCCACTGACGGCAAACGAGAGGGGCACTCACACTGTGTCAAAGAGGTACGCTCTCCCCGTGCTGGCCGTTGAATGCCTACAAGGGTAGAAACCATGAGCGCTCCGCCCAGGGGGAAGGCGAGGCGGGGTGCTCGGGTATGAAAGGGAACGTACGCGAGATATCATTGTGTGGATGGTAGCCAGGTGCGTCTTGCAGCCCGAACATCCGTAGATGCGGTTGCCAGAAAGGTAGCGGCGGTAGCTCATGCCCATCTTGACTCGAGTGGAGAAGAGATTCGGGGGAGACCGGTGAGGTACGGCTTAGGCGGTGGTGCGCTTTATGTATGGGACGATTGAGACAAGTCCGCGGTGCTCTCGAGTGCGCTCGTGGATGCTCGGAACGATGCGGCGAAATAGGACGAAACCTGTGGGCTCGAGTGCGCGGTGCACGGAGATGGACGTACTCGGATTGGTGAAGCAGGGACTGGGGCGCTCGGGTCGGCGAGTGTGCGGTCGGGCTGGCCTAGCGGATGGCGACCGACGGCTGGAGGAGGGCGGGGGTGGTGGTGAAGAGTGGTGAGATGCGAAAGGGCTATATAGCAGGGGGACGTGTGAAGGGAGAGGTGATAAGCACGGGCAGAGCGGTCGAGGGCAACAGGCGAGAACCCAGATTTGGGCTCCGAGGACTGCAGTCAGGAGACGGGCAGCGTCTCTCTCAGGTCGCCTCTGTTCTCCCGGCCGCCAGCCCTCACCGTATGTTCTACACACTCCTCGTCCGCCGTCGCCGGTGCGCCCGACTGTCCTCCAAGGAACGTCCGCCGTGCGCGTTGCATGTGCGCCCCCTGCGAAGGCCCCTCGTGCACCTATCGCCCCGGCTTCCCAAATTCGCCGCGGCGTGCATTCCGTGCGTATCAAGATGGTGTCCTTTTTCGCGCTGATCGAATCGCCCTCCGAGCCCACGACGCGAACGGCGTGTCAGTCAGCGCACGCTCTCGAGAGCGCAGCGGAGCCACACGTACTCACTCCTCCCCAGGCGCGCGCGCAGAGCCCGAGGCAACGTAACATAGCACGCCACGCATCGCAAACACCTGTTCATCGTCGCGCGAACTGTCGTGGTGCGTGCTTCCGGCCTGGCCCGTTAATTATACCCTCTTCTCGCGCGAGCGCACATGTCCCCGTTTCCCGAATCCAACGGCGCGCGGATGCGGTACCCCCGCACGCCCGCACGCTCCGCGCAACTGCGACGTCGGTCAGAAAATTGACCACAGCAACGCCAATGTGATATCCGGTGAATCGCTCTCTCTCCGCCACCCAGGCATCGCGCTGATTCCAATTGACCCTCTCTGTCCTCTCCAGGACGTTCCATATCATTCTACCTGCGCCCGGCACCGTGCCGTGCGTTCGCGACGTCGGGCCCGCCGTCTTTTCGGTGGGACGCACGCTGTGCCCGAGGGAGCCGCGTGCGTAAATACGCATTAACGCCATCGCACCTCACGCCCGCGCGAGAACGTCCGCGGCGGCGCATTGTCCGGTGGTGCCTTGCTGATCAACGGTGGGACGGCGGTTCGACGTTTGTGCGAGATCGCGAGCGCGGTCGTACGATTGCGCGGTCGCTCCGGGCCCGCCGGAGAGGACGATTGATATGTAGTCTTTCACAGTGAACTGGGCTCCGTGAGGTTTTCGTCATGCGCTCGTCAAGACTGAAAAGGCTTATACTGCGCGAGTATCTCGTGGCGCTTCGTTGGAGTCTCTGTGGGTCTTTTCTTCTCCTTCGCCGCAAAGGGATTCAGATGACCCATGCTCTCGCCGGGTTAGGTCCCATAGTGCGCTCTTCCGAAGGCCACAGAGTCTCACCGTGAAGACCCCGAGATGCACAAAGGTATGCGCAGACCGCATACCGTTATGTACCTCAGCGTCACATAAGTGAGACTGTGCCAAGACTCCTGGACAGACGGTGAGCCCCCCGACGGAGCAGAACTCAAGCGCACACGAGCCACCCCGATCTCCGCGGTTCTTCTACCGCGCATGCCAAGGCCGCGATTCGACCGTCGAGCCTTCGATTCTCACGCGGTTTGTTTATCAGGCCAGTCTGTGTCAGAAGGGAGCGGAGCCCCCACACGACAGCGGGAACAAGCACGGGATTTTCCCTCTGCGCCGCAGCATAGCGGTTCGTAGTCAGTCGTTTCCATACACTAGCTTACAGAGGGTGGCGTCCTCACCGCAGATGACCGTTCTAGTGCCTCCGGCACTCGGGTACTTCGGGTTGTCCAAGGCGATCAGCCCGCTTCCGTGCAATGCCATCCAAGCATGGACCTCTCGGAAGCCACTCCTAGAAAACGCAGGTCGGTGGAAACCGCGGTTTCTGGGTGCTGCGCAGTCGGCGGACCGCGCAGAAATATCGCCTGAGGAGTTACGGATGTCGGGGCGTAAAAGCAGCGGAAGCAACACCTGAGCGAAATTTTGACAGGCCTTCCGAAGCGGCAGCGGGCTCGGGCTCGAAAATTCAGATAAGGCATTGTGATCCAGGCCGGAAATGACGGTTGTGGTCGACGTTGGGAATCATGGTGTGACCCATGTGAGTGGTCAGGATATAGGTGGGCCTCAATCGAGAAGACTCACTCCCATCTTCCTTGTCTTGAGCCACTAACCGCTTTGTCTTGGAAGGGCGCGGCTCAAGTGTTCAAATGCCACCATGTGGGCGAAGTAGAGGAGTTCGGATGAGCGGGCTCAATTGCAACACGACCTGGATATCCGGCGAGGAGGTCGGATAGTGAAGGTGAGCATCCATGCCCGTAGGTGAGGGAGTCCAGGATTCCCCTGTCGACTGATTCCGCATAAAAGCTGGTAGAGGCGCGTCGTTGGTCCGGCGTCTCTTCACATACTCGTCCCTGGCGAACGTTACTGACCACCCTCGCTGCAGCCTTTAGACGCCAACCTCTTGCTTTCCACCGACCACCCTCCCGTCGTATCGACGCCCACAATGGCGTCCGCTTCGAAGCTGCTCCCCATGCTCGAGAGTGGCACGATCCTGAGAGACCGGTACTGCATCACGACGCGGTTCGGTTCGGGATCCTTCGGTGCTGTATACGGCGCGGAGCACACAACGGACCGCGAGGAAACCAAGTTCGCCGTCAAGGTTATAGGCATTCCCCGCGGCGAAGACGGCCAGCTCAAACTCAAGCGGATTCACGCGGAACTCAACAACCATAGCCGAGTCTCTGACGTCTCCAACGTCATCAACGTCTACGAGACTTGGGTAGACCTCGATGTGGGGTGTGCGTTCATTGTCATGGATCTCTGCCCCTCCGGGGACCTTTACGACCGCATTCACGAGGGAACCTACAAGAACGAAGAAAAGCTTCGGGAGGCATTTCTCGGCATCATCGACCAATGGAAGACTGCCAGGACAAGGGCGTTTATCACCGCGACCTCAAGCCCGAGAATATCCTTGTGAACGCGAACGGCACTGAGGTCTATCTCACGGATTTTGGACTATCAACCACTATCGACGTCACTCGTGAGCACGGCAGAGGAACTCGCAGTCACATGAGTCCCGGTAAGTCTTCTCCCTTCCATACCAAAACATCGATGCTCATCGCCTCTTAGAGTGCCACGGCCGCCTCACGAACTTTGCGCCCTACCCCGCGAGTACCAGCGATATATGGTCACTCGGCATGATACTTATTGACATGGTGACCTCGCGCGCCCTCTGGAAGAACCCGAAGAAGAAGACCGTGACTTCAAGGAGTTCCTGGAGTGTCCTTCTGCATACCTGCTGGACTACCTTCCCATCACCGAAGAGCTCCATGACATCCTCCTGTGGATACTCGAGATAGACCCCGACCAGCGCCCCACGTTAACTCAGCTTCGCACAGCGATCCTCAGGGTCGAACAATTCTATGACCCCGATCACGACCTGTCTGACGAGAACAGGCCGGACTCTGGCGAAAGCGACTCGCCAACCTCTGCGTCCTCCTCACGGAGCCTCCACCATTTCCCTCCCCCATTCCCGGAGTACGTGACTCCCAGCCCTCGCCACCTTCCCGCACCGTTCTCGGCGCGCGCGTCTCGTCGGTCTAGCCGTCCGCCTCCCCCGTCCCCGGAGTACGCGTCCCCGAGCCCGCGCCACCGCCCGGCGCCATTCCAAGGCCCCGTCGAGACGGCCGCCTCCCTCACGCCGCGGGAACACCAACCATTTATCACCCACGTGAACCTCCAGTGCTCCGACAGCACCAGCGAGGACGAGTCGGATTCAAGCCGATGGCCAGGCAGTTCGGTCAAGGGGAACGGAGGAGGAAGGACACTAAGGACAAGATGACGTGGCAGCAGAAGATGATGTTCGCGGGCACAATCGGGCGGAGGAAGTTCTGAAGTTCACATAGCAGATGACACCGTCGGGCTTGCTTTATCTCACATCTCAATGTACACCACGCATTATCGACACGCATCTACAAAATGTACCAATAGATACCACAGCACTGTTTTCTGGACGCCCATGGTTGTGATCGAAGAGGATCGAACTTGTTCATGCTCAGTGGGAGCCACAGCCACCAGAGGGCAGCTAGCCGCCGGAACTCGCCTGCCGGTGGGCAGAGATGCTGACGGGCGCCTCGATGGTGGCCTTGTCCCACTTTCTTCTCAACCTCTTCCTTTTCTTCGCGTCGCGCCCGCCGCCCGACCGCCCTGTCCAGTCTTCGCGCCCTGTGCGCACATACGAGACTGCGCTGTTGACTGGCCTCCGAGCCGCTCGCCTCGAGCCGCGTCATCCCGCTCTCTGCGGGTGGATCTCCATCCTCTGCTCCTCGCTTCCTTCGCGCCCCCATGGCCTCCAACAAGCGACGCGCCGACGACTCTCTTCCCCTACGCGCCGCAAAGCACCGAAAAACCACCGCATACCACCCCGGAGGCGGCAACAGCAGCCCCTCGCAGTACGAAGCTCTCGGCGCGCGCTGGCTCAAGGTTGGTGCAGAGTTTGTAGGGGTCTTTTGCGACACCATGGTCGCTCCATGGAAGGTCATCTCCTCAAGTGTATCCTCAAGTGAGTCCTCCCCCCGCGCGCCGATCGCGTCTCGCCTCATCAACGCCTCTTCCCAGTATTCCGTGGCTCCAGAGAGGATTTGCCGCTATATGACCACCCTCCACCGCAACCCCCACGAGTCACCCACGAGTCAATCCCGTCTCCGCCCCCGTCGGTCTCACCTTCGCCACCACCACCTCCCGCGCGCGCGTCGAAATCCAAGAACCATTCCCTTCCCACTCGCCTGCCCATTGCGACCTTCGCATCGGAGCCTACCATCCACGACCGGCGTCCCGCGCCCTCCACCTCCGCGCCAACGACCAAGGCGGGCATGAATCACATCACGCTGCCGCTCCCTATCGACGGCCCCTCGAAGCAGCGCAAACACCCGACGGTGCAGACGAACGCGGATGCGTCGACGTCCAAGCAGCCGTACCCATCCGCCACGGAGGAGCCGCGAAAGGTGTCTGGGCTCGTCGCTCCGGACACGAAGTCGACCGGGCTCATGTCCCCGCCCTCCACACAGGCGTCCGTGTCGTCCGTCATGTCCACCATCGACCAGACGTACCCGGAGGTCGCCGCTACGCTCCGCGCGAACCCACCGCGGCGGAAGCCGTCGAAGCCGAAGCCGTACATTGAGCGCGACCACATATACGCGAGAGAGGTGGGTGGAGCCTCCGAGAGCGCGTGTCGTGTTGGCGCTCATCACCCGCGGCTCCTCTAGCACAAGGCGCGTGTACAGGAAGAGAAGAAGAGGACACGTGAAGAGATGGAGAGGGATCTACTCGAGCTGTATCAGTTGAAGCGCTCTTCAGGTGCGTGTTCATGCGGGTAGTCCGTAGTCGTTTCCTGAAGAAGTGGCCCATGCTAGGATACGGCTCTGGCATCGAGGACTTCCGAAGTTCGTGTTCTTTGCTCTTAACCAAGCCGCCGACTGATACCCCTTCCCGTAGGTTTCCTCAACTATCAAGCACGGCTGGAAAGGTTGGACAAGACAGGCGCACTCTCACGTACGTTAGCCATCACCATTTCGGTGCACACTTCCCGATACGCCTCTTCTAGCTTCGCCATCACTTGTCGATTTGCATTCCAAGGCGCGACAAGATGAAGGGCGTAGGCATTCTTATCCTGATGTAAGTACATATTACCGACTCCCCAGCTTCCCGGCACTCATGTTTGACTTCAGCATGTCGATCTCGATTTTCTCCAACGAGCCATCCAAAAGGCTCAAGATGCACTCAAAGGGTAGGCACACTAAACTATTCCCTATATGCCATCTGACTCATGGTCTATCCACAGGCCGAAGCCTCCGAAGCCTTTCTCCCCGTCCCTGGACATGCTGCACACCCGCTGGCGAAAGGCGGATCAAGAAATCGAGGAACGCATCCACCCGACCCGCAAGCCCTTACCTGCCTCTCTTCCACCCGCAGAGGATGCTGAAGTCGATGCCCTGTTCCGCCGACAAGGTACCATTGCGAAGTGCGGGCGCGAACAGGTCTCGAATGCAGATATCTTGCGCCTGCGGCCGGCCCAATGGTTGAACGACGAGATCATCAACTTCTACGGCCAAATGATTCTTGCGCGCGCGGAGTCCTCCAAGGAAAACCCTTCGAATAGCAAAGTGAACGGCCGCAATGGACCGATTAACGCACATTATCTCTCGTCGTTCTTCTGGGCGAAGTTGAAGGGGCAGGGATATCAGAAGGGAAGGCTTGCGAAGTGGACCAAGCAGGTGAGTTGCCGCACTGCCTTGCGTCGCTATAGGCGGTTTCCAACGGTGAAGGACGGACAGGTCGACATTTTTTCAAAAGATGTCATCCTCATTCCGGTCAATCACAACAATGCGCACTGGACGGCCGCTGCTATCAACTTCCGAAAGAAACGGATCGAATCGTATGACAGCATGGGCATGGAGCGGGGACAGGTCTTCAAGGTTTGAACCCTCGTTCTCGAGACCAAGAGTATATTTTGATCTCGTGCCATAGATCCTCCGACAGTATCTCGACGACGAACACCGCGATAAGAAAAAGAAGCCGTTTGACTTCACTGGATGGACGGACTACGTTCTCCCTGTGAGTCAGTTGGATCGTCTTCTCCACATACACGCTTATGCTTTGACTGCAGGATACCCCACAACAAGAGAACGGGTATGATTGCGGCGTCTTCACCTGCCAATTCCTTGAATCCCTGTCCCGCGGGGAGGAAACGTTTGACTTCACTCAGAAGAATATGCCCTACCTCAGGCGAAAAATGGTCTGGGAGATCGGCGGCACCAGGCTACGGGAAGAGCCCTAATGTCCCGTATCCCTTACCATCCCATCGCTCTCTTGCTTCGGACATTTGCTTTGTATCTTATTCTTTTGCTCTCTATTCTATCCTGGGCTATAATGGCCACGTGTTCCCACATAAGGGACGGGCCTCCTGTGTTTTGTCCGTTTGGGCAGCGTGCGTGCGTCCGTGTGCAAAATGTGTTCATCGCCGAAACCACCATACGACAATGAAGAACCAGAAGACAACGATGAGGAAAACTATGTACCACAACCAGCGGCAGCCCTGCCTCCCTGCCATGTTGTTCATCCGACGGAATGTACCAGAAAGAATGCCTCCCGTCTCGGCAAATGCATCGTTCTAAAGCACAGGGCAGAGGAGTTGAGGGAGGAGGCTTCCAGCGCATAAGAATAGCGTACGCACCATCTGGCTGAGCTGAATGGTCGAGTCCCGGACTTCGTTCCCAATGCCAATCGTAATCTACCACCCCCGCATCACATTGAGCAACCCACGCCAGGAAGCATTCGAGCAGAAGGGTACGCACGTCTTTCAGCAGCTTCACCTTGGCCGTGAGGCCCTCGAGGTGCTCGTCGTTCTGGCTCTCCAGGTCATCCGCGTACCGTTGGCCCAAAGGCTGGAATGGGCTCGCGGCGTTCGCGGCCGCGCCGCCGTAAGGCGACGACCTCCCTGACGACGGCGGGGTGCTGTAGTCGCCCGTGCCCAGCAGCTGCGAGCGGTCGCGCAAGTTCGTTCTATGCCTGGAGTGCGGGGTGGATGTGGCACCAGCCGCGGTCAGCCACCAGCTCTCCGCCTAACATGGTCAAAGCTGGAGTACATACCTTTGCGACATTTCCGACTTGAAAGTCTGACGGTCAATGGTTCATGAGGTGAACGCGCGAGCGGCGGTTCGGTGGAGAAGGACAGAGGTAAGCACTGGTTGCTGAGCGCTGAGCACTACGTCAAGCTGTGGCGCGACGTGTCCACCTCGCTCGCGCCGTGAGAGGGAGCGCGCAAACAGTCTCTGTCCTCTTTCCGCTCTCTCCACTACTTACTAGTGCCAGCTGGCCACCAACAGTCCTCGCAACACGAAGCAGTCCGCAGTCATAAGTATAGCAAACATTGCAGACCGCAAGACATCAGGCAAACTAACTAGTACCAGTGACCTCTCCCGTGACCTCTCTCAGAACCGATAGATAGGTCTCCGTACCTCCGGCTTTAGGATTATTCCAGCTTGGCACCATGTACGAGCATCGTCGCAACATTTCGCGCACCTGATTCGCGCTCAAAGGCGATATCGTGACTGCATGCGGGCCTGACGCGCGCCGGCGGACCCGTAGAGGACAACAGAAGAAACCAGTGTCCCGCACTTCCTGCTACGATGAAGGTCAGCTGGCCATCACCAACGTAAGTGTAAGCCCCCTTCGTCTGATTCTGAATTCTCTCACCTGAGCAGCCCGGCCGACGGCACCGGTATTTTCTATGTTATAAGGCGACGGGCATTCAAGACGACCTTCTCGCCTCCGCAAGCATGCGCTCTCTTCTCTGTGTGCTCGCCTCTGTGGCGGTCGCGGCCGCTGTCCCTTACCAGGAGTACATTCTTGCCCCTCCTTCCCGCACGGTCCACCCTGTATCCGTCCACAGCCATCACGGATCTCTTTCCTCCTCGAACACGCTCGTCGGCGGCCCCAGCTCAAAGACCAGCATCATCTTGAACGGGTTCAACTCCTCCATCACCTACGACTTTGGCAAGAACATTGGCGGGTGGGTCAACCTCGACGTTTCCTCCCACAAAGGCAGCGTCGGCGTCACTTTCTCGGAGAGTTCCCTGTGGATATCCTCTGAGCACTGCGACGCTACCGCCGATGCGGGCTTCAACGAGACTCTCGTCTTCAACATCACTCACGCGGGCCATTACTCTGCACCGAACGACCAAGAGCGAGTGGCTTCCGCTATATGACCGTCGTCAACCTCGGAAGTGAGAGGGTTCACATCAAAGACCTCTGGGTACACTTCACCCCGATGCCTCATTGGGACGACAATTCGCTACAAAACTACACAGGATGGTTCCACTCTAACGACGAAAAGTTGAACAGGTGGGTAATCATGCGCAACTGTAACCGGCCATTGCTGACCATGCTTGCAGAGTTTGGTATGCAGGTAAAGTCCTCATCTCGGCACCACGGGGCTCGCAAATGGATTGACGAGACTTTAGGTGCATACACGAATCAAATGGTGACCATCGACCCCACACGAGGAGACACACTCATCTACCTCGGAGAAATCACCTCCAACTCCACTGTGACTGAGCCGCTCGACTGGTGGCTGAACACTACGATCACCAAGGGTGCTTCCGCTCTTACTGACGGCGCAAAGCGTGACCGTCTCGTTTGGAGCGGGGACATGGCAATCGCGGTTCCCGGCATCGCCGTCACGACGTCCGACTACATCTCCATCAGCAACGCGCTCGACTCCCTCTACGTGTTACAAAATGCGACCACTGGCCTCCTCCCATACGCCGGGTACCCCTTTAGCGAGCTCGGCATCACATCGTTCACCTACCACCTCTACGCGCTCATCGCTACCACTGGACCGGGGACCGCGCCTACCTGGACGACAAGTGGAACGCGTTCAAGGCTGGCTTGGAGTGGGCGGCCGTGCAGATCGACGGGAGCGGTCTCGCGAACGTCACCGCCTCCGCCGACTGGCTTCGTTTCGGAATGGGCGGACACAACATCGAAGCCAACGCCATCCTGTTCTACACACTCAACCTCGGCGTGACCCTTGCAATGCTTCAAGGCGAAACCGACGTGGCCAGTCGATGGGAGAGCCTCGCGGCCGGGATCCAGACCTCCGCTGTTCCCCTCCTCTGGCAAGAGGATGTAGGGCTGTTCAGGGACAACGAGACGACCACGCTTGCGCCTCAGGACGGCAACGCATGGGCTGTCAAGTCCGGCCTTGTCACAGACCCCGCACAGATCGCGAAGATCTCCTCGTCGCTCGAGGAGCGCTGGACTCCATACGGTGCACCCGCGCCTGAGGCCGCCGACGCGATCTCACCGTTCATCACCGGCTTCGAGCTGGACGTGCACTTCGCCGCGAACCGGACCGCAACCGCGCTGGAGCTCGTGCGATACATGTGGGCGGACTTCATGCTGGACGACCCGCGGATGACGAACAGCACGTTCATCGAGGGATACTCGACCACGGGCGAGTTGCACTACGCCCCATACGTGAACGACCCACGTATCTCGCATGCGCACGGATGGGCGACAGGCCCGACGAGCTCGCTCACGGTATGTTTGCACCCGTTGGAGAAAGGGCTCCAGCTAATGTCACCCCTGGCAGATGTACGTCGCCGGCATCCAGATCTTGAGTGACGCTGGGGCGACGTGGGCGATCGTCCCGCAAGCAGGCGACCTCACCTTCGCCGACGCAGGCTTCCAGACGGCGCGGGGCTTGTTCTCGTCGAAGTGGTCGGTGGAGAACAACACGTTCACGCTGTCGATCAGTACCCCCCTGAGCACGACTGGCACAATCGGGCTTCCTGTCCCAGGGAGCTCAACAAGGGCATCTGTGACGGGTGGAGCGATGCGGGATGCGCAAGTCGAAGCGGACGCCTCAGGGAGGGTGTGGATGGACGGTTTGACGGGTGGTGATCACCACTTTGTCATCGTCGGTCTGTGAGGCCAGTTGTATACCGCGTTGCAAGTAATCATTGGAACAATTCGTTCGCTCGATCCATGGCCAATTCTGGCATTGAGTGTGGATTTTGAGCGAAGTGTCGAAGAGCAGTCATCGGACTGGTGGGCGGGCCGTCTCGCGAGTCGTATGATCTGCCCGGGTGACCGCACGAGCGCTAGGCGCCGGAAACCTGCCTCTCCCCACCGTGCTCATAATCGGACTTCATTCGCACAGGCTCGCGGGACAAAGTGCAGTATGTGTTTTCGTTTCTGTTGGTCACTTCAATGTGCCGGTTTCTTCGTGGAGGAGTGCACTCTTACCACAGAAGTTGGCCAGTGACCATCGGGCCAGGCTTCTCCATCACGTACAACACCACAGGCGTATGGTTGCCATTCAGCTGGCGCTCCTACGCGAAGAGAAGACGCATTCACCGTGCCTCTGATGTCATGATTCCTTCGTCTCTGGTCAGTCTTCCTGCCAATGAGCATATATAAGCCCTCCGACCTCGCTCAGCCCACGGCAAACTGACTGTCCCAATCAGGGATGCTCGCACGACTCATCCTCGTTGCCGCTTTTGCGGCTGGCGTCGCCGCCGTTCCTTACCAAGAATACATCCTCGCTCCGTCATCGCGCACCGTCCGGCCCGTCAGCATCTTCCAGACCGATGGCCCATCGACCACCCCCGAGGCCCTTCTGGACGGTAACATCGGCTCCGGCGGGAATCTTACCCTCAATGCGTTCAATGCCTCCGTCACCTACGACTTTGGCAAGAACATCGCTGGTTGGGTCAGCGTAAACGTCACCTCGTCCTCCGGCAGCGTCGGTTTCACCTACACCGAGAGCTCGCTCTGGGTGTCGTCCTGGGCCTGCGATTCTATCTTCGACCAAGGGCCGGACGAGCCTCTCATTTTCAACGTCACCGCTCCGGGAATATTCTCAGCGCCGAATGAAAAGGAGCGTGGAGGATTCCGTTACCTCACCGTGGTCAACTTCGGCCAGGGCAATCTCACCATCGACGATCTATGGGTGGATTTCTCTGCAATGCCCCACTGGGACGACCTGCAGAACTACACGGGGTGGTTCCATTCTGATGACGAGAAGCTCAATCGGTGAGTCCCCATACCGTCCTACTTCGAACTCTCGTTTGACTAAGTCGATCAGGGTCTGGTATGCAGGTACACATATCCACGCTTCTAGCTTCTCGCCCTCTGTTCTTACTATCCGACGTAGGCGCATACACCGACCAACTGGTTACCATCGCCTCAACGCGCGGTGACGCCATTACTGCCGGAGCGTCCGGGGGCGTACTCAACGCAAATGGCACTGTCACTTGGTTTTTCAACACGACGATTGCTAATGGAACGTCGGTCCTCACCGATGGCGCGAAGCGCGACCGCCTTGTGTGGGCGGGCGACATGTCCATAGCAATCCCCAGCATCGCTGTCTCCACTTACGACCTTCCATCCGTTCTTAACGCTCTCGATTCACTGCTTTCACTCCAAGGCACAGACGGCACGTTCCCGTACGCCGGCATACCGTTTGGCCCTACTCAAGCCATATCCTTCACGTATCACCTCCATGCACTAATCAACCTCTCCAACTACTATCAATGGTCTGGAGACCGGGCATTCCTCGACCGCATCTGGGACGCCTGGAAATTGGGCATGTCATGGGCCACCGCACAGATCGACGATAGCGGACTCGCCGACGTCTCCTCCTCCGAAGACTGGCTGCGGTTCTACATGGGCGGTCACAACATCGAAGCGAACGCCATTCTCTTCCACACCCTCAACCTCGGCGCCGCCCTCGCAGCGGTCGAAGACGACCCTGACACCGCCGCATCCTACACCTCCCTCGCCACCGGCATCCAATCTGCCGCGCAGTCCCTCCTGTGGCAGCCCTCCGTCGGGCTCTTCAAAGACAACGACACCTCGACCACGCTCGCGCCCCAAGACGGCAACGCCTGGGCCGTCTACTCCGGGCTCGTCACCTCTCCCTCCCAAGCGTCCACGATCTCCGCCGCGCTCCAGGCCCGCTGGACCGCCTGGGGCGCGCCCGCGCCCGAGGCCGCCGACGCGGTCTCGCCCTTCGCGTCCGGCTTCGAGCTCGACGCGCACTTCCTCGCGAACCGCACCGCCGCTGCCCTCGCGCTCGTCCGCAGCATGTGGGCGGACGTGATGCTCGACGACCCGCGGATGACGAACAGCACGTTCATCGAGGGCTACTCCGCGACCGGCGAGATCCACTACCCGCCCTACGCGACCGACTCCCGCATCTCCTTCGCCCACGGCTGGGCCTCGGGCCCCACCGGCTCGCTGACCGTACGTCCCTCCCCTCCCCTCGTCCCTCAGCCAGCGCGCGCGAGACGTCCACTGACATCTCCACCTTTTCTCCCCGCGGCGGCGCCTCGTTTCGTCCGCAAAAAAGAAATACGTCGCCGGCATCCAGATCCTCACCGCCGCGGGTGCGACCTGGTCCATCGCGCCTCAACCAGACGACCTCTCCACGGTCGATGCCGCGCTCGCGACGACGCTCGGGCAGTTCTCCGTGCTCTACTTTTCCACCACGACCTCGCTCGTCATCCAAATCAACACGCCCGTGGGGACGACGGGCTCGGTCGGCCTCCCTTTCCCGGGCAACGCCACCAGCGCGACGCTCACCCGCTCGGACGCGGGTGGGGCGCCCCCCGCGACGGTGGACGCGGACGCGTTCGGCCGACACTGGCTGCGGGACGTCGCGGGCGGGGAGTACGAGTTCACTCTGAGCGTTCCGTAGCCCGTGTTCGCTACCAGTTGTGTCGCTTTACTTACGTGTCGAGCTCGGACTTCGGAGCTGAAAGCTTCCGTGCGTCGCCTGCGCCGGCTTCCTGCGTCCGTCGTGTGTATCCGCGCAGTCCCGATCATCGCTTCGATGCGCTCCATTGACCTCCGCTTGACTTCGACGTGCAAGCGAGGCTCCAGTACAGTCAAACCCCTCATAGCGCATACCTATCATAGTGCATACCCCCACATAGTGCATACCTTTGGCCTCTTCCCGAGTTGGTATAGGGGCATAACGCATACCCCCCCGCATACCGCATACTGCATACCTCGGCCGGGGGGTCCATAACGCATACCTGCCATATATAATCAGCATTAGCGCCTCGCATGTATGCCTTGCATGCCGCCCAAATGTGGGATAACCTTAATCCCATGTGCCATTCTAGCAGCCTGGAATAGCCACACGAAACATCGGGACTGACCGGGGCTCACGCACGACTTGATCACACCCCCGGCCACCTTTGCCTGCCTCCGCAATGTATCCCTCTCGCCTTCCTCTAATCCGGCCTTAAGTGCTGTCCTCGAGAAGCAGGTGAAAGAGCGCCGAACGGCCCTTCAAGCTTCTCTTCAAGGTGGGAAAAACATCTCGCAGTCACTGATTACTTTACTCGTATTTAGGCTATGTAGGGGGGGCGAGGTCAGATAACAAACGGGAGGAATGTGCGCGCGAGGAATGCGCGTGTGAGGATCAATGCGCGCGCCAGCCGCCAAAAAGGCGCGCTGCAGAAGGGCGTCGATGGGTCTCCCACGATGAGCGCTTCTCTCATACTGCATACCCCCACATAACGCATACCTCGGGGGCCTTCCCGAGGGGTATGCACTATGAGGGGTTTGACTGTACGCACAGCCGACCCGGAGCTCTCTAAAACCGCGGGGTTCGGTGCAACCCCGCCGAGTCTAGCCGCGTCTTCGGCCGCAAGCCCCCCTGCCAAGTTTGCACACCGCGCCATCGCGTGCAGCCTATTCAAAGCTCATACACGAACGTCACACGCGCAGCTAGGGAGGAAACTCAAGATTGGGCTAGCAATACAATGGGCAGTGCGGTCAACTGCGGGACGTACGCATACGGGGCCGCACCTACACGCTGGCGGGCGCGCAGCAGCCCGGGCCCCAGAGAGATAGATGAAGGATGAAGTGGCGAAAGCAGAGGAGGTGGCAGGCGAAGCCTCGGTGTGTGGAGGTGCGGGCACAAAACGAATCTAGAATATGTGTGTCGTCATAAGTAGAGTAAAAAGTATATGTGAGGCGGAAGGAGCCGGCGCGTGCAGGGACACCTCGGAGTACGTGACCAGAAGTGAAGCAGGCGTCGGGAGCGTGGATGAGGGGCGAGGCGAAGCGGAGACAGCCCGGAAGTTCCAGAGTGGCCAGCAGCATGAAGAACACGGGCGCGGGGGATGGGGGATGAGGGGTGAATATGGTGCAGCCCATGAGCAATCCTGATTTCTCAGGTAGTGGTAACATGGGGCGAAAATGAAGGTGGTCGGGGGGCAATGCTAGTGCAAGACGGATAGCGACAAAGGGAGAGGAGGTTACTATTGCAGAGGTGTAAGTAAGTAGCAGTACCAAGTCCGTGGGGTAGAGCATAGTAGTCAACGGCCGCAGCGACAGTCGAGAGAGGTCGTCATCATCGGGCGTACACCCTGGGCAGAGATGTTACAACTGGGGAGGTCATTCGTACAAGTCCCAAACGAGACAATAGTACACATCGATCAATTGATACTCATCCGGTTTGGGTGAGTGGCCATTGGACCTCGGTGCACGTATTGTGTGTTTGCACGAGACAGACCCTTCTTGTGCTTGTTGCGCTCGACTGGGTGCATTTATCAGAACGATTGTAAGTAAGACCAGCGACAACGAAAAGACGCACTCTGCTCTTTGAGCCCTCGTCCGAAGTTGCTCATCACCAGCACCGCGAAGATTATTGTGACGAGCAACAGAATAATCGCGAAGGCGGCTAAAGAGACGTTGAGTACGTTTCGGCATTCACACCGACCGCGGGCCACTCACAGAATGTGGAGAGCGTCTTCCAGACGTCTCGGTATGCTTCCGTGTCATGGAAACGAACGACCTTCTGGAGCTGCGCAGTTAAGGCACCTCAGCGACCGCTGTGATGATCAAGGCTCTGGAATGTATGACGAACCTTGTACACGAAGTAGAGCATCGCCCCACCACAGCCTGCCATGAACGCGAGCATCATGGGCTTGCTCTCATGCCGGGCTGCCAGATGACCCTCAACGAGCACGATTATGGACAGCGGAAGTGCGGCGCATGTGAGGTAGAACTCGAGGTTGTGGCTACTGAGCACCAGGAAGATGAACTGCACCGAGAAGCCGACCCAGAAGAAGAGGTCAAACTTGACGAGACAGAGGAAGATCTGGTGGTTGGTGAAGATGGTCTTTATCCTGCGGTCGGCGCCGAGGAATTTGTACACCTTCCAGCCGAACTCGGTGTAGATTTTCCAACCGAGGGCGATGTACGCAACCTCTGCGACAGAGATGACGACGGGGATGATGATGGCGAGGGTTTGGATGGAAATGTTGGAGATACCGTCAGCGTCGACAGCTGCCTCATTGATTTCGGATATCTGGATGATGGCGTAGAGGAGGAAAAGGGCGTTGAAGATGCTGCAGAGGGCTTAGCGTGAAACCCCGGCGTGGCGGAGATGGGCTAACATACGCAAGGCTGATGAACTGCAGCGTGTTTCGTGCCCACACTGCATCCAGGGCCATGGCGAACTGGAATACGCTGCGAGGGTGATGAGGGGCAGGGGTGAGCGCTATGCGGGGTGGGACTCACTGAGCGAAGGCGAAGATGCTGAGATAGACCGGCATTCGCTTCTTCACGAGGTCCTGGCTGTTGGCTGAACCTGCTTCATGGAACCGGAGGATGATGTCGCCTTCGATCGCCAAGTCAATGGCGGTCTCGACGAGGACAGTGAGAAGGTAGAGTCGACATGCTAATGAGTCGGGGATGTACTGTGGGCGACGGTGGTTATGGACAATGCCATGGAGCGCAGCAGGCGGGAACGCACCTTGGACCACTTGCTCTCCTTCTCCACGCTGACGGCGGCCTTGTCTTTGGGCAGGGTTGGAGGGTACTCCCAGTCTACAGGATGGCGGGCGAATCCCTCAGCACTCTTGAAGTCTTTCGACGTCTCGTGCGACTGGTTCGAAAGAGTGTATGATGAGGGCTGGCGACCGTGGGTCGCAAGAGCAGAGGGATCTACAGCAAAGGTCCTTGGGTTGCCGTGGCTGTCTGAGAAGTCGTCGAAGGGGATCTTGACGTCTTCGTCGCGGGGAGAGGGAGCGTGAATGGCGTCGGGGTACTGGGGATAGTGGTGGGACATGGTGGAGGGCGGGGGCAGGGCGGGAAAGAGCGACGGGAGTTGGTGTTGCGCGTCCGGCGAGCAGTGAGAACGAACGACGGCGACGGCCAACGGAGAGAGAGCGGAGGTGGACGAGCACTCGCAAGAGGCACTTCGCGGACAGTTAACGTCTGAGCGGGATGAGACCCGGGCTTGCGCTTTGGCACCCCAGCCGCCCTGCTTACCTAACTCGCCTAGTTCCTACGGAGACAAGCGCCCGCTGCCCTGCCCCTGCTCCGGCGCCCCGTCCTCTGCACCCGACTCTAGATCTCCACCGCAGCGTGCACGACCCAGCGCAACCCAGCGACAACACTCGCGCCGGCGCCTCAGAGGCATATCCGACAGACAACCACTCCACTTTCAGGGCATGCGGTGTGTGCCGTCCCTGTGCTTGATGGTTTCTATACCCTCGCTCCGGCCATGCAGCGACACACTCGGACATGTCGGACGGCCTATTGCAGCGTTCACACGCATTGTTAGGTCGCGGGTGGGATAATGCCCGAGGCGTATCCAGCCCAGATTCCAAAGCAATATAGCAGAACAAACAGAGATCAACAACCCGAGAGAACAATGCGAAGCCGATGCGGACGGCTCAAATAGGCCGCAACGGTCACACTCAATCGCTGTCCGTGTCTGTGGAGGACCCCGTCTCGTCGCCCTCCACATCTGCAAACGCGTCGTTAGCTAATGCGCACCTGTCGAAGCACGGAAATGCGCTCGAAACACACCGACGATGTAACCTGCGGCTTCCGGCATTCTAATGATCGGGACCGGTCGTGGCGGACTCGGTATCCGGGGTGCCGGAGCGGCGCGGCCTTTCCCGTTCGCCTGCTTCGACTTCAACGTCGCGCTGCTGATTGCAGGGCTCCGTACGACTGCTGACGTTTGCGTGGATATCGACTGTGCGGGTGACGACAGTCGAGTTGCAGATTCCGGAGAAGACGAGCGTTGCTCTCGATGTAGAGATGACACCGTGGATGAGGCCCGCAGTTTCGAAGGCACCTTGGCCGATGTCGGCAGTAGCTAAGACGTAGTCATGTCAGAATGAGGGATTGAAGTGTCGGAATCATACACACATTGTTGGAAGTGGCCGGGGAATCTGGATCAAGTTTGACACGAGCCGCGGCAGCAGGAGAACCTGAGGACCTGTTAGCCCTTGCATGACTGCACGTAATGGTCTTCAAACCTGTAGTCTTCTGTTTCTTCGACTTCTTTACTGGCGAAACAGAAGGCGATGCGGTCTACGCGGAGCAATGAGCCATAAGATCGACATCGAGACGTATTGACGAAACTTACTCGTTTACCGTTCACATTGAGTATATCATCTAGCGCCAGTGCGTCAAGACAGATTATCCGTTGGGCAAACCGCATGAACTCACCAGCTTTCTTGGCTTTCGACTTGCTCTTCTTCGGTGGGGGCTTAACAAACTCTTCCGGCGAATCTGCATCTCTGCGCCTAACACAGGAGACCCCATCTTGGCGAGCTCGCTCCCAAGCCTTCAAGCACCTTCAATACCCCAGCTCCACACCCGAGCACAGGAAAACACGACACTCACTTCGACTTCACCGACGCATTCCGCGCCGCGCCCCTCCGGTTCCCGATGCCCATGCAGCTGCTCAAGTGCGGCGCGTACCTGTTCGACGCGATCTGCCCACCGCCCGCCCGCCGTCATTTCCCGCCCTGCACACGCGCAAGAGCGCGCCACGCACCTGCCGCTTGCACTCCACGCACTCGAGCAGCACCGGACCGTCTTTGCCATTCGCCGGCGTGTTCGCCCCGTTCGTGGCCGGGCTCGCGCCGTCGCCTTTGGCCTCGGTGTGCGGCGTGGGCACGCGCGAGGAGCCCGCTTTGCCTGGGACGTGCACTGTGCGCGGGCGGAGTGGGGCGCGATGCGAGGGGTGCAACGGGGGATGAGCGTGCGACACGCGGGGCATCGGAGCGGAGGAGAAACGCACCTGCACAACACCTGTATCGTCCCGGCAGCGCATTACGCAAGTTTATGAGCGGTCCCCCTTTCGAGCGATATCGCACGACAGAACACGGAAGGGCGCAGGGAGTCGAAGCGGGAGCACGCACCGCGTGTGGCAGACGTCGCACACCGCCCGCGTCCGCGCGGCCTCCTGGTGCGTCTGCTGGACGACGTCCATGAGGATCTCCTGGAGCATCTCCGTGAAGAACGCCGTGCTCTACGTGCGCATACAGCGGTCCCGGAGCGGGTTCAGCCCATCTGTCAGCCCGACGGCGGGGTCGGCTCGATGGACGGACGGAGCGGACTCACGAGCTCGGCTACAGCATCGTCACGCTCGCGTTTTGGCATGGCCACCTGTATGCGAGTCCGGAATGGGTCTGAGATGCTTACTTGCGCGCGTGGGTGGGTGTACGAGGCCGCGGAATGAGGACAAGGCCGGGGAGGTAGCAGCGGTTACTGGGTGGCGGCAGCGAACGCGTGCCCGATCACGTCAATTCACGCGTCGCGCCACGTGGGAAAGGCACTCCTGGCTTGCAGTGCCGCTGAGCTGGAAAGCTGGATGGCTCCGCATCCACATGTGCATTTTGGTCTAGTCGTCAAGTCTGTCTAGTCGTCGCAGGTCGGAGCGCTCGTGAAGGGAGTGTGAAATGTATGCGGCATGTAGTCTCATGTACGGTAGCAGGCACGGGGCACTGTAGCAATCAATATAAGGTATCCGGAGAGCTCGCTGACCTATTCACTCGAGATGTCCTCACCCGCCCTAGGCGACAACTGCAATTGACTAGCCATATATAGCACTCTACCGAGTCAAACGAGAGATGGTGAACACTCCGAGGATGACCGCAGCCAGCGCACCAATACTGGCAGGCAAGAGCAGATCCTTCGGGATGCCCATGACCATCTCCGGAGTCGCAGGAGGGGGTGGCGGAGCCTGCGCGTAAGGCGGAGGCGTGTGCATATACGCCGTGGGGAGAGGCATCGCGCTGGTCACCACAGTCGGCAGTTCCGTCTTCTCCACTTCCTTCATCTCCTGTGCGGCAGCAGCAGCGACCGCCTCTGCCTGCAGCGCGCTCTTCTTCTCCATGACGTCCGACCAGCCGCGACCGCCCGAGATAAAGAGCACGACGCGATCCGTGTGCGTAGAGCGCGCAATCTTGACCGCGTCGGAGACATCAGTGTCGGAGGTGATGAGCACGATGTCGCCGTCTGCGTCGGTGTAAGAGAGGGTGAAGTCGGTCGGGTCTGGTGGGAGCTCAGACGGGTCGGAGATCTTGTACCCGGTGAAGAAGGGGTCCGTCGCGAGTTTGCCGCTGACGATCTCGCGCAGAGTCTCGATGTTATCGTGGCGGGCCTGGAAGCGGTGCGTACGACCGCTGGGGGTGCGGAACTTGAACACGTAGGTGCCGTCGTCCACAGGCGGGATAGAAGGCGCGGGGCCAACGAGAGAGTGGTTCTCTTCCTTGTGCTTGTAGCCTGTCATCGACTCCTGGTCTTCATCAACCACCGACGCTGAGTCGTTGGGGTGAACCTCAGAGTGAGGAGACTGCGCGAAGTGGGACATGCTGCGAGAGAATCTCCGTGACTGGGCGACGCTGTCGGGGTGGTAGTGGGAGCCTGACAGCATCGACTCCGTGTCTTCGTTCGCGCCGAGAGAGTCGAAGAAACGGCCCCACATGGGACCACCCTCAGCTTCGCCCTCACCTCCGGCCGTTTCGGTGGACACGGCGTTCATCTAATGAAGAGAATGCATGAGATGCAACGCATAAAGACCATCCGTGTATGCGGACGCACCTGCTCAAGCGTAGCATACGTCAGCTTCAGAACGTCCACAATAGCCACCAGTCGCCCGTCGCTCTCCACACAAGGTAAGTTCAAGTAGTGACCAGCTGGTGAACACGCATGTTAGGTACGTTCAACAAGAAGACAGTACAGATACGCACTGTACATCTTCTTGAGCGCATCGTGAATCGTCATTGTAGGCGGCGCGGTGTCGGGATGAGGCGTCATAACGCGGACAACGCTACACCGTCCGGCATCGAGGCCAGCCGCAATGACACGCAAGACGATGTCCTTGCTCGTGAAGATACCCGCGATCTTCGGTGCTCCGACATGCCCTGGAGTTGCCGGCTCCATAACACATACGGCGGTGGTGCGCCGCTCCTTCATCAACTTCGCAACCTCCCTCACGGTAGTCTTCGGGCCCACAGTCGCCGGTTGCGTGCGAGAATCCATGACGGTCGTGAGGTCGGGAAGAGCGGTCTTCTCGCGGAGCGTCTCGACGTAGGAGAGCATGGCCGCAGCCTGGGGGTTGGACGCGATGCCTCCGCCGAGCTCGTTCTGAACACCCGCAAGAGCGGTGTAGAGCTTCTCGGATGCAGAGGAGCTACGCTCGACCTTATCGAGGGCTTCATGGAAGACCTTCGTGATATCGAGGAGACCGACCACATTTCCCTCCTCGTTGCAGACAGGCTGAGCGCGCCACTCGTCAGTTCGCGTCTCTTTCATGCGAGTGAAGAGCTGAGACTGACCAAGTGCCTGAAATGCTTCTGCACCATCAGCTGCAGCGCCTCAGTCGCGCTAGTGGTGTCGCGAGTGACCATAGGGCCCCGCGTCATGATAGTGCTGACCGGGGTCGTATGCGGGTCCAAGCCCTCCGCAGAGACCTGTAGAGCATCCATCGGATCGGTTTCAACACATGAGAGGAGGAAGCGAGCGCACCCTGTAAGCCAAATCCTTCGCAGTGAAGATACCACTCAGGCCCTCGTCATCGTCCACGACGAGCACGCAGTCCGTCCGCTTCGCCGCGCAGAGCTGGCTGGCCTCAGACACGGTGATGTTCTCGGGGACCGTGAGCGCAGGGCTAGGCTTGAGCGCGGCGACGGTACCCTTCTGCACATTGGGCTTGTTCCGGCGGCGTGCGCTGCTCGGCGGCTGCATGTTGTTCGTCGTAGAAATCGTGCGCTTGCGGGCGAGCTCGCCCTCGATCTTCTTCCGGATAGCCTGCACATCGTGCGCGTCAGGAAGATTGGCGATGACAAGGAACGCGGGAGGGATGAATGAGAAACAAAGTCAAACGGCGTGACGCGTGGGGTCGCGTCCACGCTGGTCAGTAGGCACAGTGCCGTACACGTGTAGACCGGTTTTATGTCCATGCGACGACTTTACGAAACTTTCCAAAAGAAAGACGGAGGACTGTGAACCGATGAACAGGTGACACGAACCTCATCTCGTTTGCTCTGCTTCTTCCTGGTGTCGGCCACCGAGCCCGAGAGCGCGGACATGGACGTCGTGGACTGGTGGCGAGGAGAGGGAAAAGGGGAGGGGGAGACCGGACGGTCCGAGGGAAATGAGACGGGCATTGGGGAAGTAGGACGAAGAGCGCCTGCGCCGCGGGGGTGAGAGGGAGAATGGGAGGGAACGGGGATTCGTGACATGGACTCTGCTCAGAGAGCTATCCAACGCCAGACGCCAACTGCCCCCGGCGTCTTCCTCTCCTGCTTTTCCCGAGCGGCTATTCTCGGCCTCCCACGGCCCCGCCCACACTGGTCTCATCTCGGTCCTCAAGTCGAGCCCCTTTCTAGCACACAATTGCGGAGCAACAAAAGCATACAAACGTTGTGATACGGGTACAACACGCGGGTGCATAAACAGAATACCTGAGGAGAATCGAGCGCATGAGCCTCGTCACCGAATAAGCGCGTGCATGACACTTACTGACCACAAGTGTTCATCTCAGGGGATGCGTTTCTTCGACGAGCGACTCCTCCCAGAACCTTCACGGTGCGTGTACCAGTAGTACACTCCACCAATCACCAGAAGTCCGAAGAAGTTTGCTAGGCATGATAGCTTTAGCGGAACACTACTTGCAGAGGATCAAGGTGCTCACCCATAACGAAACCCAATGCTCCTTGGAAGACCTCGGCGGCAAATGCGACAAGGGCCTGAACCAGGTGCAGCACGCTTCCAATCACCTCCTGGAACAGCGCCAGGAAGGCTTGGAAAATGGCGATGATCGAATTCAACAGGTTTCCCCCAATGGCTGTACACGACTGAAGGAGTTTCCCGACGGCAGACGACACTGAGGCGGCCATGGTGGAGGCGATTGCGTGAGGTGGTATGCAGCAGAGGGGTCAGCAGCCTTCTTATCCCTGCAGACGCGTGACGTCATGGGTGACACGAGAGGAGTAGGAGGAGCAAGAGAATTGGATTCGTGAGTACAGTTCTGTGATGTAATGAAACACAACACAGTGCGAGTCGATCTATCATCCTACTCCAAACCTGCGTCCACGCAGAAGTCAAGACGATCGTATTCAGAGAGCAAGGGACACTGCAACTAGAACGCGCCTCACTGCCTCCTAGCACCTCCCGCAGCCGCAGGGTTTGGCGCGACAGTGGACCCCACCCAGCGACCGAGCAAACCCGTGGCCTGCCCGTACACCTGGGCAAGCACGGGAGGCCTGCCTGGGCTGGTGATGAAACCCCGGATGTAGTTGTGGACAATGTCAACTGCCTCGCGCGTGAACTTGGACTGGTACCAGCGCTGGCGGAGGAAGTGGGCATAGAGGATGGGCAGAAGGAAGGACACATTGAACGTGACGACACCGATGGTAAGGCGCGCCATGGTCAACAGTTCAGTGTAAGCGACAGCCTTCATGGCGTTGTCGTAGTTAGCTGGAAATACATCATCAGAACCATGACACAACACAACCGAGCACCGTAACAAACCTTTCACCCATGCCTGAAGCTTTTTGGCGACGGGGTGAGGGGTAGGGGGGCCGCCCGCCGTAGCCGGAGGCCCAGGCGGGAGGAATTGTGGCATGATGGTCGTCCGAACGAACGTCAAGGCATGGAAGAGAGAGAAGATGGAGTAGGGGACGAGAGCGACTGGGCAAGGGAAGGTCAGTATTACGCATGAAATAGTGATGAATGTACATACGAGCGATGGGTCTCGAGGTCCACCAGAAGAACGCCATGATGAAGTATTGTACATTCTGTTGAGCGGTCAGGCAGGTGCGCAAGAGATGGATTTTCTGTGCATACCTCATCGAGCAGCGCACGCCTCAGATAGGCCGCACTGGCACTGGGTGGCTACAACATGGCTTTAGGTCAACTTCATGACGGCCCCGAAAACAGATACGCACCCCCAACGATTTACTGTAAGCGTAGGGTCAGTCTCTGGACCCACAGCGAGAAATGCGAGAGCCACTCACTAGCAGACGATGAAGTAGCTCACGAGTGCACCCGTGAAGCTTGCTGGAAGGAGGATCCATCTGAACACATTCCTTCCGCGCACATATAATCGCGGTACTCACCCTTGTACCACCACCCGGAGACGGTAGTGAACATGATCTTGCCCAGGAAGAATCGGAGGGAGCAGAGCAGGAGCAAGCAGTGGCCTCCGGCCCAGATGTAGTGCTGTTCCATGGCAAGCGGTTAGGAGATCGTCCGGCGCACGACTCCAGAAACGAGAGGCGAGATACCTGAGTGGTGGCCATGGCGGTCTTGAAGGCTGTCTACGAGAGTGGGGCGGGAGGGCGAGAGGGCGGACGTGGATGATGGACAGAGAGGCGGCGCCAGTGACGCACACGAGGTTGGAATTTAGGGCAGGCGCGCGCGACCCGAAGCGCTGCAGCAAGCCCCTCGCGAGGTGGGCTCCCAGCGCGAAGCTGGCCGCGCGACCGCCACGCCGCCGACCTCGGCCTCGCCGCCACCATATCTGCCCCTGCGTCAGCCCAACAAGGCCGCGTGGCACAACGTTGCACTCGCACCGCGCGGGCGCGTCACAAGAAGCAAGCAATGCGAACAGGCGCATACAACAGCGACGTAAAGTATGAAGTGCACCCAGGACCGGAACATACAACAGAGCAGTACGACAAACAGGCAGAAAGCGCGAGGCTTGACCAAGGGAAACGAGGTCATCGACTCCATTGCTGCCCGCTCGCCTTCATCTTTTTCCTCTCCATGCCTTGCCTAAACTTGTCCTTCTCCAGTGCCTTCTTGCCCATGATCTCTTGTCGTCTTGATCGCGACTGCTCATACGCACCCTTTGCCGCACGCGGCTGCTCCTCAGCCTCCTCCTCGCTCCCATCCTTGTCTACCGCGTCTATCTCCTCCCACTCTTCCTCTTCCTCCTCACCCCGTTTCCGCTTGGCGCCCGTTCTCCCTGCGCCGCCCTTACCACCACCGATACTGACATTGACGCGCGGGGGAACCTTGAACCCAAAGGCTTTACCGACCTTGGCGAGATCAAGCTTGTTGACGTCGTAAATCTGCTTGAGGGAATATGACGCATACGCCTGCAGATATGATCGGAAGCCGTCCTTCGCGGAGTTGTACAGGTAGTAGTTCTTCTCAAGCAGATGCTCCAGCTATCCCACGGAATATCAGCACACTTACAATCGACAGTCGCGCAATGAATACACACCTGGGTTTGCACGTTCTGAATCTTGTTTGCAGGGAAGTCGAACTCGTTCAGAGGGACCTTCGCTTCCTTCAAATAGCGCAAGAATCCAAGTTCGGAGGGTAGGAGGAAGAGCAGACTCTTCCCGACCTTTCCTGCACGCGCCGTCCGGCCCACGCGGTGGATATAGTCTCGAGGGTCATCGGGTGGGTCGTACTGGATGATCCAGTCAACGCGGGGAATATCGAGTCCTCGCGCAGCGACGTCCGTGCATAGCAAGATACCGGACTCCGCATTGCAGAACTCGAAGAATGTGGTTGTTCGCTTCTGCTGCTTTTGCTTCCCCTGTGAAACCGAAATATGAGCACCTAGACCGGAATGAGCGCAAGTTAACCATACGTGTAGTTCAAGTACAGGGACGTCAATGTAATTGAGGAGCTCGGAGTGGTACTTGACGGAGTTACAGCTTGAGAAGAAGACGATAACTTTCTTCTTCATGTTTTTCTTCAGGAAAGTGAAGAGCAGGAGGAAGCGGCGGTCGGAGGGGCAGACGACGTAGCCTTGGGAGAGGGTTGCAACAGTACTCGTCTCTTCTGTCTTATCGACATCGACGTAGAGGGGACCGGGACGTAATGACATACGCGCGAGGTCGCTAACTTTTCTTGTCTGCGTAGCAGAGAATAGCATAGACTGACGCCCCTCTAATTGGGATATGAGAGGGGGCGCCGAATGCATGAAGGACGACCGACGTACCACTAGGCAAGACATTGATGATTTTCTTCATCTGTTCTTCGAAACCCACCTCCAGAATCCGATCGGCCTCATCAATAATGAGGCCCTTCAGATTCCGAAAGACGAAACCCTTCGAGCCCTGGACGCACGAACAGTAAGGAGCAAGATGGCTACATAATAGCCAGTGAACGCACCTCGAGATGGTCTATTAGCCGACCAGGAGTCGCAATCAGAAGATTCACACCCTTCTGCAGCTTCGTCTCCTCGTCTCTCCGGTTGGCACCGCCCATGATGATACCGAAGGTTTGTGAATGGTGCGCCATGAGGTCCTTTGCAACACCAAAGATTTGAAGTGCAAGCTCGCGAGTGGGCGAGATGACAATGATACCAGTACCTGTTGAACAAAACGGCGTATGTTTTAGTGGTGTTAAGTGAATGTGTTTGATGTACATACCGTTCCGTGGCTTGAATTTTAGTCGATGGAGGAGTTCCACGGCAGGGATGAGGAAAGCGAGGGTCTTGCCCGAACCTGTTCTCGCTGCACCAAGGACATCCTTCCCGGCAAGAAGAGGAGGTATTGATTTTTCTTGTACCGGCGTCATTGTCTTGAATCCCATCTCTTCTAGGGCCTTCATCGTATTGTCCGACAGCCCGAGTTCAGAGAATGGTTTGCGCTCTAGTATATCTGCCGGAGCGTCTTGAGGCACGGCCGCGGGTGCCTTGACGGTGTCCATGGTCATGAGATGTTGCCACCAGGTTCCAAGTGCAATTCCTGCGGTCGGAGAAGAAGTAGGGAGGCGGTGAGGACAGTGGAGGGAAGTAAGCCTGACGGCAAAGAAGAGAGCACGCGAAAACAGGCGCCGGTCAAAAAGTCGCAGAACGGTTGCGGATTGGCTCACACAAGCGCTTGTGACCCATCATGACTTCGAGTCTATCTACGACGCAGAGCGGTAGGCATTTCACTTCTCTCTAGATCTCGCTGTATTCTGACACGTCTTCAGTAATTTTCGCCGTATCCTTGCTCACGTCGCTGAGCATTGGCTTTGCCCTCGGTAGTCTGCAGTATAATCAAGCCAGCTCAGCAACACAACGCCCCACGAAGTCTGCCAGTGAACAAGCAGCCGAGGAGGATGCAGACAGCGACGAGGAGGATGTGGCAGATGGAGATCTGTCAGCAGTGAAGCCTGGCATGCTGGAGCCTTGCAAGATGGTGGGTAGTTTCTCGCTGCGGACCAATGACCCGTCACCTCACGAGGCTTCCAGGTCCTCATTGTGCGGACAGACTTGGGGATGTCCACTGGGAAGATTGCAGCGCAGTAAGTGTTATTGTGTCGTGTGTGCTTTCTCTTTTTATGTACTTAATGTGCGTACCGTAGATGCGGGTAGGTTGCTCGTCCTCGTACACCGAGGCAAATGCTCATGTCTGGAAGGCACGCGACCCTCGCATGTTACCGAGCGCTAGAGAAGTCCAACCCTGCCGTGAGTCTAACCCATGTGATCCATGTGCTATTCAGTGATTCCTCGTAGCTTTTGAAACACTGGGAGCGGACGGGGTGAGCGATTTTTGGACTCTCATAGCACTTCCAGCTTACGTCCGTGCAGTCAAGCCAAAATCGCGTTGAAGGCCAGATCAGAAGATGAGCTGTTAGAGCTTGAGGCGATCGCAAAGAGCCTCAACCTCGCTGCCCGGTCGATTGTCGATGCGTGAGTTTTTCTTTCTGATGTTTGGACTAGTGCTCAACTGTTACAAAGCGGGAGGACAGAGATTGCTGCAGGCTCGCGCACGGTGCTCGGGATTGGTCCTGGTACGTATCCTCGGGGCTCTGAGCGTGTGCTACTCCCATGTTGATCATATTCATAGGACCTGTCGACCTTGTCAACAAGGTAACTGGGAAATTGCGTCTGCTGTGATGACTAGATTGTGTGTCTGTTTTCCGTCCCACTTGTTGTTTCATCTATTATCTGGATGATGTTTCTAGACGTCTGCAATGCGATGACGCCCTGACCGAAATTTCGAGACCCGTGTGGACTGGATTGTGCGAGCCTGAAAGGCTCATCCCATCAAAGCCAAGCAGTCTGGAAACTTCGGGTGCATAGGGCTGACGTCAGTGTTGACGGCGGTAGACGCTCATGGAAGAGCGGCTCCGCCGAATGGAGTCCATGGGTGGAGTCCCTGTTTAGCCCTTATGTCTCCCGTGCAAATCGTCCTTCCCACCACTACCACCTCTTTCCGCTTCTAATGGCCAGCGTCGCCCTCGCTCGCGCCTACCAACAGTCCTTCGAACATCACCCGTACATCACCCTCGCTTTCACCAACGGCATCCTTAACGCCCTAGGAGACGCTGTCGCACAACTCACGCAGAGATTGGTCCGTGCTTCCGCCATTCATCCGCGTTTCCGTATGCTTACCGTCCACAGACCAATGAACGCCCGGCCAACCGCAGATACAGCGACACTCAATATGACTTGCTCAGAACGGCCCGCTTCTTTGTCTTTGGGTTCGGAATGGGTGAGCAGACCACCTCCCTCAGCATATGGATCCCACAAATTCACACGATGCGTGACAGGCCCATTAATCGGTCGCTGGAACCTCTTGCTCGAACAGCACTTTCCCTTGCGCACACTAGGGGGTTCCAAAGGAAAAGTTAGTCTCAAAGCCCTCGCCCGTCGAGTAGGCGCTGATCAGCTCTTCATGTGAGTATGACTGCGCAATCATCCAAACCGTCGTGTGTTGATCATATTCACTAGGGCACCTATTGGGGTAAGCACCCACGTTGATCTCACTCGAAGACTTGTCTCAATCATAATCGAAATTCAGCTTGGACTCTTCATCGGTTCCATGGGCGCAATGGAGGGACGAGATGCCAACCATATCGCAGGACGGTTCAAAGACATATATAAGCCAGCTCTCATTGCGAACTGGCAGGTATGGCCTCTCGCTCAGGTGCGTCCATCCCTCTCAAGTACTCTGCGTGCCATCCTGATCTCGTACTACTTCAGCTGGTGAACTTCCGCTTCATGCCTCTACCCTATCGAGTGCCGTTCCAGTCCACATGCGGAGTCTTCTGGACGTTGTACTTGTCTCGGCTCAACGCCCAGTGCGTATCCACTCCACTCGTCATCACACCCAAGATTGACTGTTATCCGAAAGGGAGTCTGAAGCTCAAGAGAGGCGAGACGCTATGCAGCGTAATCCCCTCAAACGCATCACCCTGTCGTGATGTCCTTCCTCCCTGTCATTTTCCCAAGTACATTGTCAATCGTTTGCCTCCGGCCGGAGCGCCGTCTGTAGCCTTAGTACAGTATGTCCATCTAGAACCACCCTGTCGAGTCGGGATCTATTTTACTTTGACTTTTGAAACTACTAGGTCACATCATGTACATAGACTCTAGCGTATCAACAACACACGATATAGACTGCGTCGTTGACGCACGACTCCACCTCACGTCGCCCCATACTTCGGCTTGAAGTACGCCGGCGGCAGCTTCGCCAGCACGTCCACCAGCGGCCGCTCGACAACGACCAGCTCGCCCGGTGCGACGAAGTCGACGAGCAGAATCGGCCGGTAATGCGTCACGAGCTTGAAGTTCCGTTGCTGCCCCTGCCCCTGCTGCCCCTCCTCCCCGCCCGCGCCGCTGACCTCGACGCGCCCATCCGGGCCCGCCTCCGCCTTCCGCTTGTTCCGCCTCCGCTTCTCAAACCCGCCCCACCCCACACGCTCCGCGAGCATCACCTTGCACATCCACGTCGCGCCCCAGAACAGCGCCGTCTTCGGCGGGAGCGCGCTCTGGCCCTCCCCTTGCTCGGGCGCCTGCCCCTTGCGCCCCGCCCCGCGCCCGGGGTCGAACGTGACGCCGAGCACGGGGTCGTGCAGCTGCACGAACCGCTGCGGGACGGCGTGGACGAGCGCGCGGGCCCAGCGGGGGAACGTGCGCGCCTCGGCGTTGTACACCTCGAGCGTGTTGTCCGCGAGCCCGAGGACGAGGAGCGCGGGGGAGGTGGGGTCGAACGCGAGCGCGTGCACCGCCTGCGGGAGCGTGGGCAGCGCAGCGTGGTGCTGGACCGCGTCGAGGTTGAAGACGTGCGTCCGCCGGCGGGCGTCGGCGGACGCGAGCCACTGGCCGTCCGCGCTCACCGCGAGCCGGGTGATCGTCGTGTGCACGCGCGTGGAGGCGTCCGAGTCCGAGTCCGACTCAGACCCCGAGTCGTCTGCGGCACCATCTTTGTCGGCCCCTGGAGTGAGCTCAGCGTCTTCGTCGGCCATAGCTACGTCGCCGTCGGGGGTAGATTGGCGTGCGTGCTTGCGGCGTTTGACGAACCTGCCCTTGACGATGTTGTCTCGCATGCGATGTTGCTCGAACTTGCGGAGGACGGTTGGAGACCGCGCACCGTCGCCGAGGTCAATAACGACCAACGTCGCGGACATGGACGTAGCGACAATCAGTTTTGAGGAGTCTGGCGTGAAAGTGAGGGAGGATGCGCCCGTAACCGACTCCGTCAATTGGCCTTGCAGGAGGGAAGAGAAATCCCGCATTCGCCGTGGTCTGAGATCGCCGTTCTGCTGGTTGTCGTTAGACAGATGATAAGCATATGGATGAATGGTAACTCACCTCGTTCAGCAGCTGGAAGAGCTTCGTCTCGTACCAATCTGCAACGGCAATCCACTTGCCGTCGTCCGAGATGGCTGCAGCTGAAATGTTCGTCTGTACGTTGAGGTCCATGTCCAGCACGCGCTCCCAGTTGTCCTCCTTTGCCGAGTCGGGATCCACCTCGTCGGACAAGCTTTCCTCGTTCCTCCGCTTCCTCTTCGGTATCCGCCAAACCGTGACGCCTGCGTCGCGCGTGCACAGAACCAGTCTCGCATCCTTTGCGAGATGCACTGCAGACCCGCTCGCTGGTCCGCTCGAGTACGCCAGTCGCCTATGATACGCATCCACAAAGGTAGCTTGGGTGCTTGTCACTAGCGGGTTGGTGACCTTGCCGGAAAGCGTCGCAGATGGCGATGCAGCTGGGGTGGCGACCACGGACATGTCGAGTCCGCCTGAGACGAGCACCGGCGCGATGTCTTCTGCGAAGTGTCTTTGGTGCGAAGAAGGGAGTGGTGTGTGTGGCGGCCAAATCGCAAGCGCACGAACGTCATGCGAGTGTAACCTGCGTGAAGATGTCTGCACCCATCGCGCCATCCCGCGTGGTGCCAGGGGTGAGGGATCGTTGGTCGTGCGAGAGGTCTTGACGTAGGCGAACTGCGTGACCTTCTGGTCGACTCCAGACGTGTACACGGAAGTGCCGTCTGCGCCAATGGTCAAGCAGAGGACATCTGCGGCGTGTGCCGGGAAGCTCTGGAGCTGGGTGCAAGTTCTTTGGTCCCAGAACTTGACGTGCCCCATGGAGTCGCCTGAGACAATAGTCCCGTCGCTGAGAAAAAGTTCGTCAGCATGAATTGACCGTCGTGTATGAAGATCACGTACCCTACTACACCAATGGCCCACACCAACGTCCGCTCTCCCCGGACTTTGTCTGTCCCCATCCGCTCTAGCACCCGTCCACTGGCAAAGTCCCATTTGCGCAAACTGCTATCAGAGCAGCCAGTGACAAGCCAGGAGTCTGTCCACACGTCATCGTCGTCGTCAGAATCTGAATCCGCGGTAGTGTTGGGTTGCTGAGGGGTGGGAGGGCCCCATGCGATGCTGAGGATGCGGCTCTTCACTCTGTCAAGACGGCGCAAATGGCCGAGCTCCTCATAGAGCAAGGACACCAACCGGACGGATCCATCTTCGCAGCCGAGAGCAAGGATAGTAGAGGCCGGGTTCGACGCAATGGACCAAATGGCTCCTCCTTGAGAGCTCAGGGTGCGCTATAAAGTACGCGCACAGATTGGAAACGCATTCGCGAAAAGAAGGCGGCTGAACATGCCTTAATACACCCTTTTTCAATATCCCACTCTACCAGCTCGCTGCCTCCGCCGGCACTGAAGAGCCGAAGATTTGACCATGAGGGTATGTCTTCTTGTGCGGCTCGCCGAGGGGAGCGGAATGTGAGCGCGAGCGACTCAACTTTTGACGAATATGGTCCGGCCAAAGTCTGTAGTACCTGTGAGAGCCGCACGAAGCGAGAGTGAAAGGGTTGCATACCTTGTGGACTACCCATGCCTGGGAAGCAGGACTGCGAGGATTTGAGCCTGTCCACTCGCAGAGCTCGATGTTCCCGTTCGCACGCCCGATGACCAGTGGACCAAATCCAGGGAACCCTTGTTTTGAGGCGGCCTTCTTGCCCTTGATAGACGGCAGCGGAAGGGGAGGAAAGCAGAGCGCTGTAACCGCGGAAGGGGTGAAGTCGACGAAACGACACCGGTGGACGGCGAGCGTAGAGGACTCTGGCATGGTACGGGCGCGCTCCATGAAGGTGCGCGCAGAATGCGGTCCACGAGAGGGTCAAAGGAGGGTGCGGGAGGGAGAAGAGCAAGTTGCTTCAGTGCTTGCCGCGAGCTCGATCTGCGCGGGGAGGTCACGCGCAAACTTTTCTTTTCCCAATCAGGCAACGGCACTCATGACGCGCGGACGTGCGCGGCGTCTTCGCGTCACTCCTCGTCCACCGACCACGGTCGCTCTCGTCTTCGCCCGGCCTACCCCACCCATCGCCAGCTCCTTCCGTCTCTCTTTTCTCCAAAATGTCTTTCCTCGGACGCGGACCCTCAGCTGGCAGTCCCTCTGGTGTCAACCAGGACCGTGTAGAGCAGGCCACGCAGGAGTGAGTGCCACATTGAGCGCGCGCGTGCCATGCCGCTGACCTTCCCCTCAGACTCGAGCTCATCACCGACATCTTCAACCGTCTCGTCACGTTAGTGCCACGCGCCGAGGCATGCGCGCGCTGGCTTCATGCTAACCCTCTCGCAGGTCATGTCACACCAAGTGCGTCAGCACACGATACACGGAGGGTGATCTCAACAAGGGCGAGAGCGTCTGCATCGACCGCTGTGTCGCCAAGTTCTTCGCCGTCAACAAGAAGGTCGGAGAGAAGATGCAGACATTGGGTGCAGCGGCAGGCGGAGGCGCCCCCGGGGCGTTCAGCATGTAGAGGCAGGAGTGATGCTAGATGCGTGTGGCGGTCGGATGACAGCGCACGCCTATTTGTACCCTTATGTTCATTCTAATCTTACTCACCGACAGACCCTTCGATTCGCAGCCAGGCGGCACATCGCGTGAAGTCGGAAGCAAGACAGGTATAGATCATAAACCAAAAAACACAATGTACAGAAAATGAAGGCGAATGGACTACTGCCCAAAGGTGGGGAAACAGTCCGCCATGCTCTTGCTGTGCTTGTTCGATGCATGCTCTTCCAGCCTACGAAGGATGTGAGAGGGTGTTGGGATGGGTGGCGCGGTAAGTGCACTCACGCAGGCGCACGGGTTGTCAGAAGCTGAGGCAAGGGTCAGAGCGCAGGTGCAACAATGAGTGGGGAAGAAGATACGCACGAAAGTCTGTCGGCACACGGTGCAGATGATGTTCTTTGCCGCCTCGTTGGCCTTTGTCTGGCTCTTGGCCGTGCCACCAGCCTTCGCAGCATTCCTCTCCCGCTTCTGAGCTGCCTTGGCTCCCTGCCATCGCACCCAAGATTTGAGTAGGTCGACGGAGAATGAGATCGAAGGATGCATACGTTTCCCATTGTGCAGGCGGTGGTGGACAAAAGTGTCAAGGCAGAGGCACGAGCAGAGACGAAATAGGTGGACAAGCAGAGGACCACGAGCAGACGGGACCGAAGGACGACAAGGGAAGAACCCACGTGGGAGGCGATAATCTTCTGGCGCCTGCAAGAAATCTTGACATCGGGTCCGGGCCGGGCAGCCGCTGCATGGGACTCTCCATGCAATGGTCTCGCCGAGTCGCTGAGCAAGCTCGCAGTCGGGGCCTGACTCGTTCCCACCTCCCGGATCTTGGTTGGCATTAAATTAGCTCTGAATCCATGTCCTCCCATGACCCTCTTCCACTCCCTCTCTCGTCTCCTCGTCCGTTCAAAGTTCCCGGTCCATAGCCGTCTATCTCCCCTCGCCCCTCGATTCGCAAGCATGGACGCCGCCCGCGCTCAGGTCGCCGACAAAATCAAGCTCGACATCTTGAGCCTGACCCAGGAGGAGGTGAGTCAACGCTGTTGTGCGTACTGCATGTCCCGTGAACGTCGGGCGCGCAGGACAACAAGAGAGGGATCAGGGAGGTCTCGCGCAGCTTCCTCTGTGCGTCATATCTGCAGCCCCTGCTCACATCTTTAATTGACCGTAACATCTTTCTGTCCAGCGGATACCATCACAGGTTGGCCGACTCACTCTGTGTCATCATTCGCAGCCCTCATAGCAATATAGTACCCACCCTGGAGATGTACCTCTATGCCACCCGCGCCTCCGTCGGCGATGACGTCTACCACGAACCCTGCACCAAGGCCCTGGAGGCCCACATGGCCAACATTACCGGCAAAGAGGCGGCCTTGTTTGTCCCCTCTGGCACCATGTCCAATCAGCTCGCCCTGAGGACGCACCTCAAGCAACCTCCTTACGCGGTGTTGTGTGACCACCGCTCACACATTGTCCGGTACGCCGTCACAGAGCCCTTGCCGAGCTGCGGGGATCTCATTCTGACGGCAGGTACGAAGTTGGCGGTCTGGCCCATCATTCCGGCGCTCATGCGCAGATGGTTATCCCTTCGAACGGTAGGTCTGGGTCGACCATGTACCTCGTTACAACCCCCTGACACTTCCTCGCAGGCCACCACATAACTCTCGAAGACGTTAAGGAGCATGCGGTCCTCGGGGAGGAGATTCATACCTGCCCAACAACCGTGATCTCACTCGAGAACACGCTCAACGGCACAATCATGCCTCAAGATGAGATCCTCAGGATCTCTGAGTACGCTCACAGCAATGGCATCAATATGCACCTCGACGGGGCACGGATCTGGCACGTCGCCGCGGAGACCGGCACTCCCCTCGACGAGCTCCTGGCGCCTTTTGACACCGTCAGCCTGTGCTTCAGCAAGGGTCTTGGTGGGTCTGTCGAACACTGCCAGAGTTCTCCATGTCTGACGTTATGCTCCAGGTGCACCTATCGGCTCGTGCTTGGTCGGTAGCAAGCAATTTATCGCTCGTGCACGCTGGTTCAGGAAGATGTTCGGTGGTGGCATGCGCCAGACCGGTTTCATGGCCGGCGCAGCGGCGTACGCCCTCACGCACAACTTCCCGAAACTGATCGACGTCCACGCTCTCACGCGCAAGCTCGAGACCGGTCTTGTTGAGCTCGGCGTGGAGATCATCACTGTGGATACCTGCATGGTGCGGGCTGTTCCCTGCATCCCTCCTTCAAATCAGACTGAGCGGTCTCGTAGGTGTTCTTCGACCCTTCGCCGATTGGTGTCAGCTACGCGGAGATCGTCGAGCGCGCAAGCAGCCTCCCAGACCCCCTCAAGGTCGGCGGCTCACGTCTCGTAGTGCACATCCAGACTTCGCCTGAAGCCGTCGAGGACCTTCTAACCGTCATTCGCGATCTCGCCGCGAATAAGAAGGCGGCCGGCTTCGTCCCCTCTGTGACGAAGACCAACGGCCTTCGGTCTTACAACAACGTCTACGTCCGCGGTATGGCGAAGCACTAAACACTCGACGTAACGCACAGGACAATGGAAGAAGAACATCACCATATGTACTTTTGGATCGCGTGGGCGGGTCATAGAGTAGCTACATAGTACCATAGATCACCGTCAAATAGACCATACCATGGCACCTCCATCCATCACCCCTTCCCGACGTACCGCTGCTTCTCGTACTCCCTCCACAGCGCCTTCATCGCCGCCTTCCCGCCCGCGTCGAGCGCCGCGGCCATCACCGCGTCCCTGCTGTGCTCCCCAAGCATCTCGCACAGCGCACACAAGCCCGGCAGAAGCTCCCGCCGCACCGGCGCGGCGAGCACGCACAGCGGGTCCGCGACCGCGCCCGCGTACGCGGTGAGCACGTACGCCGCGTGCCGCGCGAACGGCCGCGCGAGCGACGCCGGCTGTTGCTGCCCCTGCTGCTGCTCCCGCTGCGGCGCGCGGACGAGCGTCTTCGTCGTGAGCGTCGTGAGCAGGCGTGCGAGGGCCTTGCTCTCTGCCGCGCCGATTGGTGCGGAGGTGGACGAGGCGGAGGTGGACGAGGGTGGAGGCGCGGCGACCCAGCGCGGGAGGCTGTCCATGACGAGTCGGCTCTGCTTCCCCCCGAGCTGGGGGCGGGGGGCGCGCAGGCACGCGACGAGCTGGCGGAGAGATTGGCCAAGGTGGGGGAGGGTCTGGAGGAGGAGGTCGCGGCGCAGGCGGACGAGGGCGCTGAGCGTGTTGACGATGCCGTGGAAGACGGCGAGGTCGGTAGAGGCGTCGTGCGTCTGGGAGCCTGATAGGAGAGCACCGATGAAGGACCAGATGCCGGAGAGGTCAGCTGTGCGGAGGGATGCGGGCTGGCAAGTGCACAGTCGTTAGCATGATGTATACGAAGTCCGTGTGAGGGTCCTACCCGGTCGCTGCATTGCATGAATACGAAGTCCAGAGCTTCGTGGCGGACAGCAGGAATGTCGATGAACCGACGGTCGTCGGCGAAGAGGTTCAAGCACTTCGTTGCGAACGCTTGGCATGTCTTGGAGGTACCTGCAACAAACTTTTAGCTGAGTCACCCTCGGCGCAATTGAAGGAGATTTACCTTCTGGTGCATCGTGCAAAAGAAGAGCAGAGAAATGTACGAGGCTGGACACGTCTTCAGGGCCCAATTTTCCTTGTGTAGGAAGCTCTTCATAGACAACATCCAGCATGGCCGCAAAAGCGGATGTAGGGAGCGCTTTGCAAGCAGTCGCTAGCCTTGTGTCAAGTCCAGATAGGGCTACTCGCAATGTCATCACGGAAATGTCTAGATGAGGTAAAACACGTAGACGTACCTGGAAGTCCGCATATGCGGACCAAAGCGATGTAGGTTACCACAACATACTCGATATGTTCTCCCGTATGCTCTGAGTCCAAGGCGTTAATTTCCCCAAACAAGATGGACACGATCATCGGTGCTAGAGCGACAGTTTGTTGCATATCATTTGAATGCGATAGTAGCCTCTCGGCGAGTTTCCTGCTGATCTGAGGTAATCTATCTGCTATCAAAATGAGTTCCATGGCATGCACGCACGTGAATGGCCCAACCTACCTTCAAGGCCAAGCCAGTGACCAAGAATGCGCACATGAGACCAGACGTCCAGTGAATACTCGTTGAAAGGAATGCTCCCCGTTGAGGTGCCGGAAGAGACCATCGTGGTGAACTTGACCATACTTGTGTGGAGCGCGTGGATCCCATCAACGCACTGGGTTGGTAGTCTGATACTCGGTGGTTACTTTCGTCTTCACATCGTTTCAAGGAACCAACTCACGATGAAGCGGGAACTCCCTGAACGATACTGTCCACAAGCAGCAGAGCCGCCCTTTCGGACATGCTCGGGGTCCTCGAAGTGAATCCTTGAGCATATTTACTCGCAAGAGCAGTGAGGGGCTCCGGAGCTCGTTTCGCTGAGCGCAGAAGAGATCTGAAAATCCAAGGTCGACCTTGCTTCCCGAGAACACAGGACACGCAAAGACTCACCCTTGGTACATGTCAATCAGGTCCTTCGTTACAGAGGTAAGTCCACTGGTGTTATCGGCTACTCCCTGGTCCGAAGCGAGCACGTAAGGCCAGTACACCGAGTCTGCCTGAGAGCTAAAATGAGCTCTAGATTCATACCAAAGGAAGGTGAAATGCTTACGAGGGACTCTATTGTGTCCAAATAGGCCATTGATCGACATAATACCTCTCGCACAACCACCAGCTGAGACTCAGAAACTCGGACTTTCTTTGCATACCGCAGGGTTGACAACAGTGCCGCGTCGGCTGCGAAACCTCGTTTGAGGAAGGCTAAATGCATTGACCGCGGAATGTACTCCAAGGGGGTCAAAGCAAGCACGTTGTATGCGGAGGTGATGCTCTGTATCGCGTCGGCTGGAAGACGCGATGATTTGGCGGATAGAGAGGCAACGGTCTTCGCCAGATCGATCTCGTCAAGGGAGACGGTCTGCTCGTTGAGAACGGTCAGGAAAGAGTCTAATCTGCTCGTTAGCTGATGCTCAACTTCATAGAACCCGTTCGCACCTTGTAGCCTTGACATTTCCCAGAACTGCGCATCGTGAAGGGTAGTGACCAAAATGGAACGAAGGCTCATAGCTTGTGTACCTGCGCTGAACGAGCTCAAGTCGCTACTGATCAGCAATCGACAGAGGCGTTGAAGCTGCGGGATGCTGGCCCAAGCGCTGCAAGAAATATCAATACCGGCGCGTGTTCAACGGGTGTAGTCGACCTACTCAAACTCTGGTAACCAGCGATCTACAAGAAGTTGCAGTGCAGCCACAGCACCTGTCGAGTGTGACTCCAGAAGATGCGCTTTTCCGGACCATGTATTCTCTGCATTCGGTAGGTGTGCAGCCAAGTAGTTGAGCGACTGCTCAAACAGGGAGGAGTGGTCAAAAGTGGAGGTAGTGCAATGGTGCATCAAGGTCCGCAACTAAAAGTGCATAGTCAGTCTTGACTGCTGAACACATCAATAGCTCACTCACTACTTCCACTACCAATTCGGGAATGACGCCCTCATCTTCTACGCAGCTAAGCGTCACCTCGGCAATCTCCTGCTCGAGCGGTGGCTGCGTAGGCAATCCGTGGGTCAAGGCTAGGCTATAGTGCAGCCGCAGCGCTCCGGCCAACACGAGTTGCCACGACCAAGACTCGCGGCGGCCACCCTGCCCAGTTCCGAACCCGTCCGCCAGCGCCCGCCCTACGACCGCAGCGTGCACACCGAGGATGGCCCGCTCTGCCTCCGCGCGTACGTCCTCTGTGAGCGTGTGCAGTGGTATCGCCCGGAGCACCGCGGCTGCGGTCCGTGCGACGAGTACGAACGATACGGCGAGGTGGCCGTCGTCTTCGCCGCTCTCTTCATGGGCGTCCCGGTCCCGGTCCTTCTTGCGCCGCTTGCGCGCACCATCTCCGCTATCGGCTGCGCGCCGCGCCGCGCCGTCGAGAAAGCCGGTGTATGCGTCCTCGAGGCGCTGTGCGACGTATTGGATCGCGCCCAGAACTTGCCCAGGCGTAAGGAAGTTGTGGACTGCGCGGGCGAGCTCGTCGTAGAAGGTAATGCTGGTGAGCGGCCCGTTGCAAGCGATGCGATAGGCCGCTTTAGCACCCCCAGGGATCCGTTGGAGGCGACGAGAGGAGAAGGCTTCACAAACGTGCCCGATGAAGGATGGTATGCTTCGCGTCTTCGAGTCGTACTCTACAAGAAGCTTGAGGAATTGCGTTGCGGAAGGCACATTGCGATGCATCTGGTGTTTGGGAATGTTGGCTCGAGAAGACGGACCATCGTAGCATCAAAGCTCACCGCCACCATCTTCGGTAAAACAAGCGCAAATGAGGGAGACGTAGAGTCGTAGTCGAGTCGTGTAAGAGATGCCAGGAGCTTCACAGCACAATCATTTCGCTGAGCATATTGCTCTGGGTGAAACGGGATATATTTGAGCGCGTACGTAATGACTACAAACGCGAGTATGTACGAACCGTTCCATGAGTCTCCCAACGTTTGCAAGGCAGAGTCTCTCTCCTGTCCAAGCAGTGCCTGTGAATCTTCGTCGGCCGCATTTACCAGGTTGTCCCGTTCTACGACTTCTAGTAGTAGTACTCGACACTCCCACGAAGGCAGATCGTCTACCTTCCGCGCAAAAGAGATACAGTCCGCATACAACGACATGGCGGCACGTTGTACTTGTTCGGCGATATGGCTTGCAGCGTGACTGGATCCTTGGCTGAATATGGCGTTTTTATGCCGCTTGATGCTCTGGACGTAGGAGCCGAAAAGCATAGGAAGACTGCGAAGGACAGCCTCGAAGCAATCGGGGGGCACGGCCATTAAGGCTTCTGACAACGTTGCATCGTGCTTGTGGTCGGCTGCCGCCTGCTTCATCGTCTCTAGCCCAAACATAGTCTCGATGCCGGCATCGTAGATGTCCGCGATCAAGGTCCCCACCTCACCTTCTCGGTGTTGCGACACGAACTGCAGCCAGGAAGACAGGTGTCGCCCGAGAAACAACGTGTACAAATGCTAGCAGAGATGACCTCAGCCGTCCGTCTTCCCCGGGAAGAACACCTTCAGACCACGCACCTTCCGTTTGGCCGCCCAGTTGGCAAGACAGGAGCGATATGAAGAGACGATCGCGGTGAGCGCGCGAGACACGTCTAATGTTTGAGGCAGGTTGAATGGCGAAACTGGCGCGTTCGCGCTCGCGCCGAGCCGAATAACCGCACCAAAGCTCTCAAGCAACGTTTCAGGGTTGAATTTGGGGGCAGCGAGAGGCCAGAGGACCGCGATGCACCGTGCGGCGATTTCAAACCCGAAGACTGCATCCCTGCATCCAGAGTGATATGCCTCAAGGTAGGAGAGGACGATTGGGGAAATGGGGATGCGGTTCAGGAGGGGTACCATCCAGGCTCGGATCGCTCTTCCGTGGTCGCTTGCTCTTGCAGCATGAGGAACACAGAGGACATCAGACAAGAGACCCCAAAAACGAGAGTCGTAGAGCGGATTCTCGGAGCTGGTGTCTGATAAGTCTAGTGAAAGGCCAGGAAAAACGAGAAGGGGACGTACGGTGGCCTCGACTTGTCCTTCAGCATGATAGAAAGTAGCCATTCCACGATCGCCTCCGCTTTGTTTGGCACATACATGGACGTGTTATCCCATGCCTGGCGCGCAATCTCGATCTTCAAGGGACCTCCAGCCTGTGGGGGGTCCGTGGCTGCTTTGAGCGCACGGATGAAGTCCTGCGCATTTTGAGGGCCAGACATGTCGGAGACCGGAGGAAGCGAGTGTCTACTTTCGTGCCAGAAGCGGTAGGCCTTGCTTGCGATATTCGGTGGAGGTTCAGCAGGACATGAGACCGGGGCAGAGGACGAGATGAAAAACACGACCGCGAACGGCGAGAGGCCAGCGGCAGAAGAAAAGCAGGGCACGTGCCCGAGATGTGATCGGGAGGCGCTCGATGGACGTCTCCGAAACCGCCGCGGAGCGGTTGCTTTGCTGAATGGCCCAAGACGCTCACAGATGCCCTCTGCCGGCGAGCCTCTGTTCCCCATTTCTCTTCGGCTGCATCGATTGTACCCTTATATACCTCTCCTTTATCTGTCCCACCCACCGCCATCGACCCGCATGCACCAGCTGTGGTGACTATACTTCTCCCTGCCCACGACTCCGAGACTACCTCTCCAAGGTTTATCCTGCATCCACGAACAGGTCCCGTCATTTCTCACACACAGTTCAGGAGTACTCGTCTTGATACCGCCGCTCCACTTGCTCAACCTCTGTGAGTGCCATCTCTTCAGCCTGCTATGTCAAAGGCGTATCCTCACACTCCCCCTGAACAGTATCATGGGCTCGTATCTATGGCTTGTGTGGTATGAGGCTCCTTCGAAAAATGCGCCCAAACATTGGACGCTTGCTGTGAGCTACGAGGCCAATGACCGTGCATACGCCACTGTGTATGAGGTACGGGTGTATCGCTACATTGCCTACCACTACTGAATAACTGACATGCTGCTCCCATGGGGACAGGCGTGCGTTGATTTCACCGGTCGGTACGACTCCAGGGTGACACGGCGCGTCCCCTTGACCGGTAATCATCCGTCCGGCCCGTATGGCGGCAAAATCTTGCTGGGGCAAGTCAATGACAATGTACTCCGTTCTCTCGAGGCGTATAGCGACACTGCAGTCGAGCTCGTCAACAGTCATAACCGCAAGCGCGGTCCAGGAAGTTCGAGTTGCCACCACTGGGCCATAATCATCGTTCGTAGCCTGGAAGATGCGCTACTGCTCCCCAAAGTTCGTCCTCGCTGCTGTAGCAGGGCAGATTGCCTTGATGTTGACCGGAGTTGCCCGTCACAGGGTGCTCTCACACGAGTGGAAAAGTGCCCTCGTGCGGGATGAGGCCGAGCCCGGCCTTTGTACTACGGCTTGTCGGAAAAAACCTCACGACCATCGCTGCCGGTCAACAAAGTCATTTCCGCATGATCTCTCGGGGTTCTTAGGTCGTCCTTTTATCGGGGTTTGTGTTGCTCTTTCGGTTGGGTATCAAGCAGGGTAACCAGTATTTGTATATCATGACTGCATGCCATATCGGCTGTACTTGTGTATCGCATGCTCCTCGGGATATCTCGTGTGGACTCGGGAACGTTGCTAACCCGCAGTACACACCAACACAAAACCACCGGCACCAGCGACACGTCCAGACGGGGTTGATACGGGACTGGGGGGATGCCGGGATTCCTTTGATACGAGATTCTGCAAAACACACCGTGGCAGGATCACCCGGCGGTTCAGCCTAGCATCGAGCCACCGAATAAGGTAGGCTCATTTAACCTCCAGTGGGGCTCGTGTCACACTGCGATTGATGAGATGTGTCGAGTGAAAGCAGCGATGGCCCGGAGAGTGCACGAGAGACTGGGCCGCTGTTGGACACGAGGAGGCTGCGAGTTGGCAGCGGGCGCAGCCATGTTGCAGGGAGGTTGGGTCCGTAATTGGCATTGGCTGAAAGCTTAGAGCGTCACGGCCATGTTGCCGAGGTGACCCCTCGGCATCCACTGTGACCGGCAAGAAGCGTGAGATGGCGATTGGACCGGCACGCTACGTCATCGCCGGATCGGTCGAAGCGATAAGCCGCTCATTTGCCGCGTCCCGCGGGCTCGCACACTCGGTCTCCTGCCTGTCTGGTCGGAGGCCAGTGGCCGTCCCTTCCCAGTCCTCCTCATCCTCACCCTCCTCCTATTCGGATTGACACGGAGAAAGGCAGATGAATTGTCTGGGGTGTGGCAGCTTATCAAGTCAGCACTGGCAATCTTGACCCGACGCCGAGCGATTTTGTGCCTCAGCAGCCCCGCAAAAGTTCTCAGTACGCTCACTCAGGCTCACTCTCGATCACGTTTATTATGCCCGTTACGACACGAACAGCAAGCACCACGATTGCACCATTGGACGGTATCGATCTCGAACAATGCGCGGCGATGCAGCAGGAGGAGCGGGAGGTGCTAGAAGTGAGCGCTAGCATCGTTCAATGTGCCATAACTGCATGCATTAACAGGGGCCTCACTTGCAGTCGATTTATCCCGCCTGTATATCTTCGGGCGCATCTGGTCAAAATATCAGGCTCGAGGTTCCTGTGGAGTTCTCTGAACCCACACTTGTTACGGTGCAGGACGAAGCGTTAAAGCACGACATGTCGTCCACGCCTCAAGACGTTACGCAGAATGCTCGCCTCCTCTTCCTTTCTACCCTTCCTCCAATTTCACTTGACTTATGTCTACCCCGCACCTATCCATTCATGCCTCCACAAATACGAGCTGTTCATGCCACGCACTCATGGATGGCCACCGAAGGCACGTCATTCCTCGAGCTCCTTGCCGCAAAGTGGTCAGAAGGTGAAGGCGTCCTTTATACCTGGGTGGAATGGATCAGGAGCGGCGAATTTTTGGAGGAGTTGTCATTGACGTCGCTGGACAGTGGCAGGCGTGTCATTCGGTACGCCGTCTTCGTTCCTACCCAGGAGCCTACCCTGCTAAGTGCTCAATCAGCATCTTTCACCCAACTCCCACCCTTCTCCTACCCGCTCTGGAGAAATACAGCACGTCAACCGACGCCGCGCGTTTCTCTCAGAACTCCTACGAGTGTGAAGTGTGTCTGACTTCTATCAAGGGCGCACACTGCATCATGCTCTCCTGCTCTCACGTTTTCTGTCGCTCCTGTCTCGAGGATTTCTGGAAACTCTGCATTAAAGAGGGCGAGGTTGGCCGTGTCGGTTGTCCAGACCCTGGCTGTGTCAAGGAGCATAAGGAGGCCACCGAGGAGGAAGTTCGGCGTATCGTCACCGAGGAGGAGATCCTGCGATGGAAATGGCTCCACATGAAGCGGGATCTAGAGAAAGGTAAGCCTAGTCGGGTCGATTCACACGAGACAATTCATCAGACGTTGGCGGACAGATCCCACCCTCGTTCATTGCCCGATGGCCATGTGCCAGACTCCTGTGCCGCGTCAGGCCAATGTCGAGGAGGACTCGCCCTGGGCCCGCCTGCGGACTTGTTCGAACTGTGGATACTCATTCTGTGCTTACTGCAAGCGGACATGGTATGTTAGCCTCCATATTCTTCCGTCATCATGCGCGCTGACATGGCTACAGGCATGGTCCGGTCGCAAACTGTCCGATCTCGGCCACTAAAGCCATCCTGCTTGAATACATGGCGCTGGAAGATGGATCAAAAGAGAAGAGGGCCATGGAGCTGCGCTACGGCAAGATCCCGTTGCAAAGGCTCGTCACCGACTTCGAGCAAGAACGGGCGTTCTACGAGTGGGTCGAAAAGTCGATGGGAAGACCATGCCCAGGCTGCGAAATGCGCTATGAGAAACACTCAGGGTGCAATCATGTGCGTACCCCCGGAGTGTCTTTATGAAGGGCCGCGACGCTGATCGGAGTCGATCTGTAGATGACATGTGCAAAGTGCGGGCAGCACTTCTGCTATCGGTGCGGGGTCAAGCTCGACCGGAACTCGCCATACCGCCATTTCTCGACACCCGGGCTGCGCTGTTTCTCCAAGTTGTTCGACCTGGAGGACATCAACAACGACTGGCAGCCGGTGGAGGGCTTCGCAGTATTGTAGTAGACACAGCGAATGCCGAGCGATGTTTTCCCGCCTGTCTGTATGCCCCACGATCGATTACGGGGAGAGGGGTGCGCCTGGGGGGCTAAAATTTGGAGGTCTGTATGACAGAGGCTGGCAGCGGGCGGCTGGCGGAGCTGGGTGCAGGCGCCGGGCCAGCGCTGGGTGGCCAGAGGGCCGAGATATTTCATCGACTCCTTTCACTGCTCCTATACGTTTGCTCTCGCTCTTCGTCCTTCTTTCACGACGACGACCGGCCTCCTTCTCTTCTTCGAGGCTGCGCGGGGCCCTCTCTCGGATACCACTTTGTCCATACCCCCTCCGTCTCCATACCCCCCTGTCTCCCTACACCTCATCCGCTCTCCTGCTCGCTCCTGCTGTATTACACTCGCATCGTCTATCCACATTCAAGCGCATCCAAGGACTTGACAGGCTATGGAAATCTACACCACATCTTTCACTTACCCTCGTCGTCTACGACACGCTCATTCCCCCACCAATTCGCTTGACTTCCACCCCCGCTCAGAGCTGCGCCGCGCAAGCTCCTACTCCCAGATCCAACAGCCTCCCAATGGCCTCGCAGACCCCCAAGGCTCCGCGTCCGCCGCCGACTACGATGCGCTCCAGAAGCTCGCCATGCTCGCTATGAGCATCCACGGCGTCCACGTCTCGTTCACGCCCGCCGACCAGGGTCGCTCGTGGAACTTCCAGGTCTCGGGGCATACCCCCAGGTCATGTTAGCTAGGGGCATGCTGCTCAAGGGCTCTCCCATCCAGGTATGCGCCACTCTTTTGCCCCCTTCCCCAGCCACCCGCCCCAACTGGTCACTCATCCCTTCCCCCCGCGCTTGTTGCGAACGCCAGAACCGAGCCTCCATCAGAGTCGCGCGCTCAGAGATCCTCGATTCTCCTTCGTCCAAGCCCGCGCTTAAGCCGGAGGTCCGCCGGCGGTTGGACGACATCGCCTCGCAGACGTACGCGCATATAGCGGTGGTCAACAGTCCGCTCTCGCTCTCCACGCGCACGCTGCCGGATGGGATCACCAGTACCGCGGGGTGGACTGGGCTCGAGTCGGAGAGGGTGTGCGAGCTCGTCATTACAGGGCATGGGGACTCGGTCGACCTTGCGCGTGTGCGTCTGCTGGTCATGCTCGATGAGTTGGTGAGTGTCCCTCCCCCTCCCGTTTCAACCCATGCCACCACAGCACCCCGCTGAACCCTCGTTCAACGAACAGAGCGGACTGCACGCCGAGTTCTGCGAGATTGAGAACACGCTTCACTCTATCATCGCCGGGCGGAAGCGCAATGTGCTGCAGACGATCCAGGAGGAGACGGCTACGAACATCTACTTCCCTTCTCCCCTGCAGGGAGTTGTAGGCCCCGACATGAACCCGTCGCCGCCCAACGGCTCCCCAACGGCCCAGAATAAGGCGAACATGAACACCATCTGGATCACGGGGGAGTTCTTCGGAGTACAACGGGCGCGCGACATGTTGCTACAGATGTCCCTGACGAAGGTGCGCAGCCATCTTGAAGTGTCATCTCTCGGCTAACGCGGGGTGGGAACAGGGGAAGCAGCTCATCTCTCGAGACAGCGCCATCCTCCCTCGCAAGATGGACTGGATGGTAACCGAACGTGCCGAGGACCTGAAGACTTTGATGCACGACAATGCCACCTTCATTCAATTCCCTCCTATCGGTAGCTCCACCAGTTTAATCACGGTTATCGGCGACAACCGAGTCAACGTTCAGCGTACCATCAGGTCTATTATGCAACTGGTACGTTGAGGACGTGCCTTAATCTTGGAACATGCGCTCATGGTTATCCGCAGGCTTGTCAATTCTATGTCGCGTCGTTGTGGCTGCTGCCGGCTCAGTTCAACGCCCTCATGCCTTCCACGAGCTTGAACCCCTCTCAAGTCTCCATGATCCTTAAGCAGGTGTCTTACGCCACCGGCGCGGAGATCGTCTTCAAGGGGATGTGCTTCGAGATGCACGGACTGGAGCACGAGGTTCGCTCGGCGGTAACGATGCTCCTTGAGCTTGACATAGTCAAGGTCAGTCGGGGACGGGGTGTTTCATGTCCGGAACTTATGCTCACTCGACCTGTAGACCTTCCACCATGAGATACGCTTCCAAATCGAGCTTGCCAACGAGCACCGCGAGTTCATCAGCGGCAAGAAGAACGGGAAGATCAACAAGATTATGCAGACCACGAACGTGAAGATCAAGTTTGAGACCTTCAACGAACATAACTTCCTCATCGACATCGCTGGTAGCGACGTGTCAGTTCTCCAGGGGTTGACGCTACTCCAGGAGGAACTCCCCGCAGAGGTCTCGTTCCACGTTCCAGAGTCGTATCACAAGCGCATTATTGGTGTCGGCGGACGCAGCATCCAGCGCATCATGAAGAAGTATGGTGTTTACGTCAAGTTCTCTAACGCCGAAGAGTTCGCGGCTATGGGAGGCTACAATGACAACGAGGACAACGTCATCGCTCGTACGCCTGCTAAGAACGCCATGAACCTCGACAACCTGAAGCAAGCTGTCATGGAACTCGTGAATCCGAAGGTATGTCGGTTGCACTCGGTTCGGAGCCTATTGCTCACGCGTTTGCTGTCCAGGATAAGGACTACATCAACGAGACGGTGTCTATTCCTCGGCGGTATCACCGCACCCTTCTTGGAGAGAAGTCTATCTTTATCCATGACATCGAGGCGAAGACGAACTGCACCATGCGCTTCCCTGACAAGGAGATGGCATCGGATCTCGTCACCATCTTTGGCCCCGAGTCGCAGGTTCAGATCGCTGCCACCATGCTCTTCGTACGTCTGCTCTCTACCATCGCCTGTATTCACTGAACTGACTCCCATCGCAGGATCATGTGCCGTTTGAGGCTGACATGGCCGTACCGCCCCATCCCGACCTGGCCAGGATTTGCCAGTCGCAGGACTTCCTCGGTTTCGTTGACCGCGTGAAGCGCGACCTGCAAGTCGCCATCCTGCCTAACGTCAAGTCCTCCGTCGCAAACGGCTCGATGGGAGAGGCGCTCACGGAGTGCTCGTTCAAGTTCCGGTGCCAACGTAGTAACAGTGACTACCTGGCCACTGCCCGGGAGATGCTTGAACAGTTCCTCATCGAGCACAATGTTCACGTGTACCCATCGGCCACGTCGCGCACTCACCAGCGCGGGGACTCCTTTACCGACGCTTTCCCGCACTTCGACAGCAAGGTCCTTTCGACGGCTCGTACGCGCCACCAAAGTTCGTCCATATTTCCGCTTCTGTGGAATCGTTGCTGACGACAGTGATAGACTCTGCCGACCTGGGCAGACCATCGGAGTCGATGATCGACAGGCGCTTGCGTCTCGCGAGCTCCTCCCCAGATGTCAAGGCGCTGTTCAACAACTCACCGTCGTACTTCTATCATCTCGAGGAGGAAGACGACTTCGACTCGCAGGCGAACTACATGCCGGGAGCATCCAACAGCGATTACTGGCCGCCTATGCCCATCGTAAGCACACACGTTCACCTCCATGTTGTTGCCGTCTGACGGGTCACCAAGGGACCGAGCGTTCCGCATCGCACCCACCACACTGCTGAAGACGCTCTGAAGCGCGGATCTGACTCTTTGCTGGAGTCCAAGCTCAAGGATCACCAGCTATCGAAGCCCCGCGCTCTCACAAATCGCGCGCAATCACTTGACTTGACGTTCTCGCTGACTCGCATCAGCGAGGCCCATCGGGGTTCCGGCCTTTCTCGTCCGGACTCGCCCGACACCACCGGGACAAACGGCACCTCCAGTCCGACTTCGGTCACGGCTCCATTGTTCCCCAGCGTGTACGGTCCTCCTGGTGGGTCTCGCGGAGCGGCCGCCGGTGGGTCAATTATCGGCAACGGGTCCAGCCACGCCATGGGCCGAACGGGTATGAACTACGACGACGATGCCGTCGACGACGTCTCGAGAGTCATCTCGAACCTCGGCCTCTAAGAGACCGTCATGCACGCGCCGCGCGCAAACACATGCTGTAGATGGACGAACATCGTCCGGACGATCGTTTCCCAAAAGCGCGTTTGTGGTCCCAGTAACGGACTCGCCGCAGTGCGCGACGCTGGATGTACATACACCGTGACACTGCCTGCTCCGATCTTCCTCCGTCTTGTTTCCAACGTTCCGTGTCGTGGCCCTGGTCCTCGTCTTCTGGCTCCTCCATTCACGCTCCTCCACGCGCCTCACGTCCCCCACTGCAAAGTCCAGTCCCGTCGTCCGCGCATCACTACTACGTTACTAGCTTCTAGACTTCGAAATCGCCTTCGTCCGCTCCCTCCACGCGTCCTGTGGGCCATCCTCCCCTCTCCCTCCCTCACTCAGTCTCCACTATCTCTTTCCGCGCCTGAATCTCTCCATCGCGCCTCGCCAAGATTTGTCTCCATCTGTCGTGCCCATCTTACTGCTGTGCCAGTTTGTCACCACGTATCTCTCTCCCTCTCTTCCTCGAGTCTCCCGTACTTCGTACCTAACTCCCTCTGCTCGCGTCCATTCCGTTGTAACATAGCAGCAGCAGCTAAAAGATGTGTCGATACGATCCTATCCTATCTAGTCGCTAGTTTAGGGGACTGGGGCTGGTCGGCCGTCCGATTTATTAGTATCCTATCGCACGCAGTGTCGTCGAATCAAAATTGGACATTTATCCCTACTTTCCGTGTGTGGAGATGTAGCTCCGAGAACTGGCACTGTCTCGAACGATCTCTTATGGTCGCCGGTGGGCTCAACGCGAAACAGGGTATGTGATGGGATATAGAGCGGCCGAAATGCACTGAAGTAATACATTATGATTCAAGTCCGTGCAGAGGCCTCCCTCCGGCGCGCGTCCGCGGCGGCGTCGTGCATCGTTATCGGTGCGGTGCGGGTCATGTCGTGCGTTTCGGTGCTGGGGCTCAGAGCACAATCCAGGGGATCTCGAAGAGAACGAAGTCAAAGTACTCCTGCTCGAGCAGCGTCGCGTACTCTCCCCCGAAGTCTTCCGTCGCGCCAGCGCCGCTCGCGGAGCCCTTCGCCGTGCCGGAACGCCGCCCGAGGTAAGCGAACTGCGACTGGAGCGTGGACAACGTGCGTTTCGTCATCTTCGACTCGGGCTGAAAAGATGAGTGCACAGTGAGCTGAACGGGCGAAGCACGGATAGGGAGGGGGAGTGGCTCACCTTGATGAGGAAGCCAACGTAGTGGGCCGGGAGACCGTATCGCAGGACGCTCTCGATGAACAGCTCAAGCACCTTCAGGTGCGCGAGGATCTGGAACGCCTCTGAAAAGTTTGTTCGCGAGACTTGCAGAAGTTCGGTCTGTGGCGAGGGTTGGCATAAGAGCGTAGCAGTGATATAGATGTACTCACCCAGAGTTCCTTCTCTGTAAGATCCGCTTGTTGAAGCTCTTCTCTCTGCCTCGCCATGGCGTCTTCCGAGAACTCGAAATCGCGTACCATAAACCTGTACAGCATAAGTACGAATAGACAGAAACAGTGAATGATGCCCACTTGTCTTCGCGGCACTTTTGCACAAAGTCGTCGTGCACACGCTTAAACACCACCACCGCGTACAAGTTGTACTCGTCGTCTGATGCGATGAGCCTTGACAATCGATGAGCCAAGCTTGCTTTTACGGGTTGTGTTTGAGCACCTACGTCGAAGACCGTGGTACAACCATTGGCGTCAACCGCTCGTACTTAGAGTTCCAATCCTTCACGTTGTTCCTGAGTGAAGCTGTCTAAATGTGTTCTATGCACGTATGGACCAGCCCCCGAAAGTAAACTGGACTCACTTTGGAACGGCGACAATTACTGTCTGAAGGTACTCCGAGTCGCTGATGAAATGCTCGGCCTTGACGACATCCACCAATGATCGTACGGACAAGTTACCGCTTTAAATGGTAATTACAATCAGGACATGCCGACGAGCGGAGCGGCATAACGGGCGTACGTCCTCTTCCGCTGCATCTGTGTTAACGAGCCCTTGGCGAGGTTGTAGCTGTTCAGTTTCTGCTTCATGACATTGTCGATTGACATCATCTCCTGCATAAATGCACGCTTATGAGGACCCTCACGATGCGATCCAGATGTTTGAGAGGACGCACCTTGTTCAGGACCTCAAGCATCTCCCGAACACCCCGGTGCACACCATACCGGCCCTCATTCCATGACCAACCCTTGAAAAGATACGTATCCACCGGCTGCTCATTGACCAGAATGTGTTGAGACATTTTCGAGGAGTCGTTGTTCAAGAGATTGCGGAGGGTGTCTACTGTCTTAGCGACGGTGGCTGTAAAGAAGGCATCCTGCTTGGGGAGCCCCTCGGAGATTGTGACCAGCGATTCCAGTGTACCTGTCTATGGAGAGTTGGTCAGACAATCACACACCGCCATTATAATGCGCGATTTCGGGTGCTGACCTTGAAGGATGGAATGGCAAGCTGTGAGATGTTAAGCGGGAGAACGGCCTTTGAGCTGCCGCTGAGTTTGGTCGTGAGCTCATCAAAAAGGCCTTCGGTGTCGCCGGTTTCGGGCGCGGCAACGAGCCAGGTGCTCTGGTCGGATGGCATGAGTGTAGGAAAGTGGAGAGTGCGCCGCAGAGACGAGCGGAATGGCGAGGGCGGCGAGCAAGCCAAATCCGGCGGCGACGGCTCAATGATCGCATACTTGGTGTTTAGGGTTAGGTGTACACGTGACCTTCGCATCCCGCATCCGGATTCCGCGCATCCATTTGAAACCCGCTCATCCCCGTATTGGGATACGTTCTTAGCTGTGTAGTTACACGCGCATATGTGACTCATAGGGATAGAATGAAAATAATAATAATAATAATAATAAGCTCATCCCCGTATTGAAGTGACTGAGCCCTTGCTTCTCGCCGCAGTCTGAGTCACTGTCGGCTTGCTGGCGACGATCTCACTCCGTCTCTCTCATGCTTGCTCGTCTTCTGACCCGGATCCCTCCCTCGTTCGCAGCCAAAGCCAGTGGTTGCAGATACTACGCGACCATGTTCCGCGACGCCTGTCCTCTCGTGGTCACCCCGGCCCAGCTTCAAGTCATGAGAGATGGAGCCAAGTCTGCGAAGTCTCCTGAGCTCGTAGTCTTGGACGCGTCGTGGCACATGCCCAACAGCCCTCGCAACGCCGACCAGGACTTTAAACGGATACACATTCCGCAGGCACGTTTCCTCAACATTGATCGCGTCGCGTCCTTCCATCCCCTTGGCTTGCCGCATATGATGCCGGACGCCGCGATGTTCCGAGAATTTTGTGGTAAGGCAGCTATTGCTCGTGTATTTTGAAGGATCGTCTAAGCATAGGCACTATCAGGTCAAATGCGGATCACGCCTTCCACACATGTCGTACTGTTTGTGATCCCCGCCCCTCGCGCGGTAGCTTCTTCCTCAGGTGTTTTTCTTCTGCAGGTATGACACGCACGGCGTTTTCTCTTCTCCGAGAGCGTTGTACATGTTCCGGGCCTTTGGACACACTCGGTCCAGTATTTTGGACGGCGGTCTCCCGGGCTGGCTCGCTCACGGGCAAGAGTATGAGCGTGGAGAGCCAGAGAGAATTGAAGAGTCAAGATACCCGCTACCGCAACTAGACGAGCAAGCCGTGAAAGGTAACTCTAGACGTCACGCTCATAGCGTGGTCTAATGCCCTGCAAATCTCAGATTACGACCAGATAGTGGCCAACGTGGAGCGTGATCCTGCCAAAGACCCCGACGCGTTTTACGTTCTCGACGCGAGGTCAAGTGAACGGTACGTACTCCGATATTCTCCACCATGTCGGGCTTTTGCTCACTCTCGAACTAGATTCCTCGGTACATCCCCAGAGCCCCGACCCGGCCTCAGTTCGGGGCACATGCCGCACTCCATCTCGCTTCCCTTCTCCCACTTCATCGAGTCGCATACCATCCCTGACGACATCGCGGCCAAGTACACAAAGGAATTGCCCGCGACGTACACCCGACTGCGTTCCAACCAAAGCCTCCTTTCAGCTCTCGACGAGTCTCTTGGTCCGGAACGCGCCAAGGAAGTCCTGGACGGCAAGCGCCAAGTGGTCGCCAGCTGCGGAAGTGGAATGACTGCCGGTGTCATTTGGCTTGGCCTGAAGATGTTAGGCGTGGAGCAAGTCGGAATCTACGATGAGGTGTGTTGTCCGTCTTGTTCGCGTACCGTCCTTCCTTCACTGATGGTCCCTGCCCCTACTAGTCATGGACCGGCTACGCGATGCGCGTCGGAAGCAAAATTGAAAAGGTGGATTTGTTGTAGCCGACGTCTCACGAGACAAGACTTTCATGATCTACATATGGCTTCATTGCAACGCTCACGTCTACAGTCGTACACACAGGCTCGTAACGGTCGTGATAATTTCGTCGAATGATAGAATACAGTATAGAAACAGGTGTTGCACAGCGCGTGGCATCAAAGGAGGCCGATCCACGATAAGTAACAATATTAACAAACCCATATAAGAACAAGCAAAGCAGGAATCGCCGGGAAGGTACCATCACTGTGCGCCCACAAACGAGTGGTACGGTCGAAGATGTCGGGTGATTACCACGGATCACCGTCGAACTGGGGAGTAAGTGGGTGGTGGGTGAAGTGACAGGCGAAAGTTGCGATCCAGGGAATCACCATCTTTCTTGTGCTTATTCACGATGAGCGAGCGCGCGGTCTCTCTTACCTAAGCAACCTATTGTGAAATGTTGCAAGTCACTTGAACTGCGGTGATTATGACGATCCACCAGGTTCGAACGACACTCGGCTCACGACCGAGTCATTGGTGTTATTCGCATCACTAGCTAGTATTGTACACGGTACTCCGGCATATCCGTCCTATGTGCGGGGCGCAATTGCTGATCCGCAACACTGAACTCCATCTCAATGCGTGTTGAAGCCATGTTGACCCTACGCCAAAGCAGCACTCTAGCCACGTCGCGCGCACGATCATCCACTTGGGCCGCGGCCTCGGGGTGCTTTGGCGGGGGCGCCGCCTCTGCCCCAGGTGGGAGCGGGGATCGCCAGTGGCAGCGCGCCTCGAGGTCACAACCACGTCGGCACCTTGCCGTCCTCACGGCCTCGCCTTCAGGTTCTCAATGTACTCCATCAGGCGGGCGAACCCCGGCTCCTTGAGCGCCGCGAGCGTCTTCTTGCCCTCGCCCGCCGCGAACGTGCCCATCTCGTGCTCGAGCAGGAGCACCATGCGCACGAGGAGCGGCGCGGTCATGATGTCCGCGAACGACCACGTCTCGACCGCGAACCCGGCGGGGGGCAGGCGCGCCTGGACGGCGGCGAAGGCGTCGAGCAGCGTGCGCGGGGGCGCGCCGCCGCCAAAGAAGCCCTTGTAGGCGTCGAGGACGCGGGCCTCGAAGTTGACCGCGAAGAGCAGCGCCCGGGCGCGGAGCGCGGGGTCGGTAGGCACGAGACCGCTGTAGGGAAAGAGGTCGCCAACGAAGAGGACGAGGACGAGGGACTCGGCAGGCTTGGTGCTGTCTGGGGACGGGTCCTCTGGGCTGCCGAAGGAGTGGCCGTAGGCCATGGCTGGGATCTGTGCAGAGTTGGTGGTGAGTCGGGAGGATGTAGCAATCGATGCGCTGCAGACCTTTCCAATAGGGTTAACCTTCTCAAGGAACCAGGCGGGCTTGTTGGCCAAGTCGATGATGACCGAAGAGAACTCGGCTTGGGCCTCCTCAAGGGCCATGTGTACCCGGTGGCAGAAAGGCGATTGCTAGAGTACGAGATTTAGCCTGGTTGCCCAAGGGCACGTGGCGATACTAGTACTGACCTCGCGAGTGTATAACACGATCTGGCTTTGCTGGGGCGACCAACGTCTTCCAGTACGAGTTGCGGGGCTCGGGGTTGTTCGCGCTCGTGTTGCTACCTGACGTGGCACCCAAGTTGAATGCATGCGCTCGAAGCGTGAGCAGCGTGCCCGCAGCTTTACGCCGAACCCGTCGACCTTGTTCGGCTGCAGCTTGAACCTTGCAGCTTGCCCGCCGCGTCGACCTCGTTCTAAAAGCGGTCGCAGGGGAGGCACGGGCGGGCGGTCGAGCTCCAGGGAGACGTGGGCGACATGGGGTCGAGGCTTTTCGTGTTGTCGGGCGACTGGCGGAGACGGACCCACCATGGCGCTGGGGGCTCGCCAGACACGGAGAGTGGGAAGGGGATTGGGCTGGCGTTCTTACCGGTGTGTGCGGAGGCGATGACGCTCCAAAGTGCGATGTTGAGCGTTCGCCGTTGAGCATTGCCACGGTCATCCGATAACATGCCGCTGCAGCCCAGGGCTGAGCTGCGTCTTGTGCAACTTCTGTGCATGCCCACTGCTCGTTGTCGAGCGCTGTGGAGGAATGAGGTGCCCCCTGCAACCAGATTGAATAAAAGTCAGCATTTCTCGTCATGAACAAGAGATGCACTCCGTAGTGCGAGAAATATCTGGCTTGTGTGCCATGATATCGCACCGCCGCTGCGTCACCTGAGGGTAGATGCATGCCGCTTGAGCTGTCTGGAGGACGCTGTTGGCCGCACATGAATCTACCCCCTCTCAACGTGTCCGGCCTCCGCACAGGTACATGCCAAATTACATTGGCACGGGGAGTGGGGTACGGGATGGTGGATGTGCATGATAATGAAAGGCAGCACTCACCGTTGGTCCAAAACCACACTTCCCATCCTAGCAGCGACAGATCCATGACGAGCCTAGTAGTGTTGCATTGAGGTCCAAGGAGGTCGAGAAACCAACACACTTGTAGTGCAGGTTGTGAGGAGGCCGTCTTGATGCGGTTGCTGCCTTCTAGGTACGATGCAGAGATGGATAGGAAGGGGAGCACGAGGAGGAGGAGGAGGTCGCGGTCGCGGTCGTAGTGGTGGTGGTGCGAATCCAAGAGAGGGCGCGCGTCTGATGGCGCTGCGCCCACCGACATCGTGAACGTCAAGATTGTGCATGCACTCGCGGGCTCTCTGTGTATATATCGTATGGACCACACATATAACACACAAACTACGATACAAATTCTGCGCGTGCTAACGGGCCACTACGGTCAATGATTCCGTGCCTCCCTCGATCGGAAACACGACCCACAACGCACTGGACGGTCGACATGTCCACGATGTGCGTCCGCCCGAGATCCTTGTAATAATGAATGTCGAGGCTTGGATGCTTCTCTTCAATCTTGCACATCTTGATGACCCCGAGTAGCAGAGTAGTTGCGGGTACGGGCGGGACGGCTGATGGGATCGCCCCGATATTGACGACAAGAACGTGCTGTAGCTGACCGAAGTACGTCCGCTCCTCCAAATCAATGGGTCGATTCGCAAAGCTCCTGTTCCTGTCAACGTTGAGTTCGTACTATATTAGTGATGTCAGCGACGTGTGTGGGTGAATTATCAACCTGGAAAGACGCACCCGAACCCAAGTCGTATCCCGAGCGTCGTCCTGCTCGACACCGCTCGTGGCGGCCCGCATGGTATCTCCGTCTGGTAGGATTCGCATTTTGGCCCATTCTTGAACCTCGGGCGGCAGTGCGCGGCGGACGTCCGGCTTGATGGCTCTGAACCAAGTGCTGAGGGTATTGACGATTTGTTCTCGCAATCCCGGCACGAGTTTCATTTGGGAGCGCTTCGGGAGCAAAAGGCACGAGTCATCTGACCGTAGAGAAGTGATCAGCAGGCATGATACTCATGATTGTTGGAAGGATTCAAATCCGGACTCACATTCGGGAATGATGACCGCGCCCACTGGGCGCTTCTTCGCCGGCTTCAGGGAGAGGGCTTCATGGGCCCGGTAGAGGTTCATGATATGCGCGAGACGTGCTGAGTCGAGCACGAAACCGTCAAGACTTGCCCAAGGAAAGCGGCGACTCTTGATGGCCGGTAAAAGTGAGCCGCAGTATCGCTCCATTGGGAATGCCCATGCCGTCCAGACGGGTCCGGCTGCACGAATACTATCAGCGATGTGAAGGAGGGCATGAATAGTGAGAGGGCAGGCGGGGAGCCGTTCGGGGGAATATTGATAATAGAGCCTAAATGGCAAGGTTATCGGATGCGCATTATAACGAGAATGAATGGAATTACGCACTCTTCATACTTCAGAACCCAGTTTGCAAACCCTTCACGTAGTTCGTTGATCTCGTCGTGGGTAATCTCGAACTGCAGGCATGTCTTGATGAGGCGGACAAGGTCGATGAAGTGATTGTAGAACTTCGGGTGCTCGAAGCGGCCGCGCAAGAGAACAGGAGCGACATACTGTATCCAGAATGAGCGCGTGTCCGCTGTCCAAGACGTCTTGTCGCTTGCAACGTTGGGTGGTCGTGGCCCAAAGAATGCAGGGATGGTGTCGCCAGAGTTCGCACTAAGTTTGCCGATTTCCTCCCAAGTCTTCACCGAGAACTGATAGTGCTCAGATCCCTCGTCGAGATCCTTGTAGGTGCCCGTCCAAAGATGCATCAGGTTCTTCGTGACGTTCTCCCAGAGGAGATGCATGAAGTCGTATGGGAAGGATGCGGGGAACGAGAGGGAGGACAACGCACTTAAGGCACAGACACCCTTGATGCCGTATGCTTTCGCCAGCTTCTCAGACTGCCTCTCCGTTTCGGCGAACTGAACCTCCTCGGCCTGCAGGATGAAGTCTTCATGTGTGCGAACGGGGAGGGCTCGGGGGTCGTAGTTGGTGTTGGCGTCTGGGTTGTCCGGGACAGAGGGGAGGTGAGAGCGGTCGAGCGGAACGTAGTGAACGGTTGCGCGAGAATTGGGTACACGGACACCCTTGATAGAGCACATTCGGCATGGGGTAATGCCATTATGACCCTTCATCCGCATGACCATAGAGACGGCGGGGATATCACCGAAGACGAGAATAAGGAACGCTCGGAGTGCGAAGAACTCACTCGACAGACAGTCGAACGCTTGCTCTCCAACTGCGAGCCGTAACATCTCCTGAGTGAATGGCCAGAGGAAAGAGTCGAAATCGACAGGCTTCTTGGGGCCTGGAATGACGCCGAGACCGATGACATTGCGGAGGAGGAACCGGACTTCAGGGGGGAGGTTGTAGTTGAATGCGATGAGAGGCCAAGCTGTCTTCGAACGGCGCTTGAATGGTGCAAATCCGTCGGTCGAAAGGCCGAGCGCGATGTCACGAGGATCCTCGAAGAACTTGTGTGAGAGAGTCTTGTTGTCTACGGTGACATTCTTGCCAAGGAGCGCGCGATAAGCTGCGGAATCCATAACGTCTTTGATCTTCGTCGGGTCATGCACGTGAACTTCTGCGCGATGGCGCATGTCCCTTGCCATCTTCTGGTTTGCGTGGTACGCCTTCAAACGCGGGGTGGCCGGAAGGTAGACGAAGACCTTGCGGGGCTTTGTGGTGTTTGGGTAATATCGAGCCGCACCGCAGTACGGGCATGAAGTCTTGTTGGTGTGAGGGCCGGTGAACGCGCAGCAGGAATCAATGCAGCAGTGGTAGATCTCCGGATTGAAACCGGACAGGCGGGCAACGTACTGCTGCGTTTCTTTCCAGGTGCGGACGTTGCTCTTCTTAAATGTGAATGGAAGGCAGCTGAACGTCTCGAGTGACATGTGTTGCTGGACCTTGAGAGTGAAGGGCAGGAGGATCTCGAGCTCTTCTCCGGTGAGCTCGTCTTCATCTGCATTTCCATGTGACATTTTAGTTTAGTATATGTATTGCGCAAAGTATTGAACACACAATATACTCACCGTTGATTGCTCCTTCGCGCAGGAACGATTGCAGAAGCTCATCCCAGATGGATATAGCCTCGTACCGGCTCGCCTCGTCCTCCTCCTCAAAGAGCTGCTGCCAGATTGTGTCGTCCATAAGGTCTTCAAGTGTGTTCTCTAGGTTGGGGGGTGGCGCAGTACTGGTGTCGGGAATCTCATCTTCATCGGGCACGTCCTCAACAGTAGGAGGCCGGTACCGGGTTCGACCTGCCCATACGTTCTCCGCAATGTGTTGGATAGTCTTTTCCGTGAGATCTGCCATATCGGAATCTTCGCGAGAGCCGTCGTCTGCCAGTGGTTCTTCGCGAGAACCATCTTCTGCCAGCGGTTCTTCGTGTAATATGTCTCCATTGGGTTCTGAGTGGAGAGCTGGCGGGATGGGGAGAGTCGTGGTCACCGAGGCTGTCGTGCGAGCTCGCTTCCATGGGTGCATGTCGGCTAATAGGGACCAGTCCTCATCTTCGAGAGAGGTTTGTGTGCGCTTGGGAAGCGTGTCGAGATTGCTCTCAGCAAGTCTGGATGCCTCAAAGAGCACTGGTACTTTTCCTGCCAGATGACGATTAACTGTGGTCGGATGCCACCACTCATTACAGTGCGGGCATAACCGGCGTTCACCGCTGGTTTGAGGTTGCGTAGGAGGAGGCATAGTGATCCAGATATGCAGGAGAGTGGCACACGACAGACGAGAAGATCAAAAGTAAGGGTGGCAGCACCGGCGTCGAGGCGACGCGAGCGGGCTCAACTTTGCCACTCGGCAACCAGAATTGATCATGTATGTAACTAGGCAATGGCGTACACAGCACAGAACTATTGTAGTTCGAACAATGCGGACGCGCAGTGGCCATGTACGATGTAAGCATGTGGCCTGTAACAAAACAGAGTGAGTGGCCGAAGCGGCTGAGGTGCTAATGCCCGACAAACAAGTTGAAATACGCACACCTTATATATACCGTGCGGCGGCTGAGTCGAGGCAACTCAGCACTCTCCGCATCCCCTCCTCCTGCCCCTCGCCACTCATCTTCCGTACATCCATCCAAACCTCGTGTCCCTGTCGACATTCAACCCTCTTCAATCAGCCACCAATTCATCAACGAGAAACATGCCTGTACGTACCATCTGTATCGCCACTGAGGCTTGCTGAAAACACCATAACCCAGGCTCCAACGAAGAAGGATCTGCAAGAGCGCGTGACCGAGCTTCAGCAGCAGATGCGCGACACCAACGAAGGTCAGTCACGGCTCCGCGCATCAAAGATCTGTTACTCACCACCCTGGTAGCACACAGCACCGAGCTGGCTGCTATGCGCGAGGCTCTTCAAGCCGTTCAGAACGAGCTCGCGGCCGCGCGCCAGCAAGTCGTCACTGCCACTGAAGAAGCTGAGGCTGCTCGCCTCGAAGCCGAGGCCGCTCAGCAGGCACGCGCTACCGCTGAGGCAGCGGTTGTCACGCTTCAGCAACAGCTCGCTGCAGCCACAGCTGCGGCCGCTCAAACAAACACGGCCGCACAAGCAAACACAGCCGCTCAGGCCGCGCAAGGTGCTGCTGGAGGACAACCCGGGGCCGGTCCTATGATATCTCCACCACCACCGGGTGTCGGCATTCAGGCGGGTATGCAGCTAGGCGATATGGAGTACCAGGCAATACAGGTATGTCACCTCATCGTCATTGAAAATGCGAAAGAGACTCACTGGCGCCCTAAAAGAGGGACGTCCGCACCCTCGTCACCCGCTCTCAGCTTGACTGGACCCAGGATTTCCGTCGCCAAGACCCAGAGCGCATGGGGATGCTCTTCCGTGCTGTGAGTTCATCAGTAACAGCCATGTCCAAATGAGCAAAGTACTCACCACGGCTTGCGCAGGCCCGCACTGCGCACCCTGTTCTTCGTCGGTACGAGAACAACTGGGCTACAGCGGCTATCGCCCGTCAATACATGCAGAATAAGCGGAAGCACGCGTACCGCAAGGGCTATATCAGCAAGAAGCGCCGCCGCACCTCCACAGATGGTGACGAAGTCGAGGACATTGATGAGGACCCTGTGGATCAGGGTTGCAGTGGCAGCGGTGCTGGAGGTCGGGACGGTGAAGGCGGCCATGGTGGTGCGGGCGGGGCTGCGTCAACGTCTGCCGCTGCCGCTTGAAAGTGCACGTGCGATTATGTAATCCAGTCACCTGTTGACTAGGCCGAGTTTCTGTGTAAAGCCCGCATCCTTCTATCGCAGCGAATCTGAACAGTTTTGTTAGTGACTATGAGCCCTTGTGTGATATATGTGAAGGCACTATGAATTGTGGTAGTAAGCACAATGGTGAAGCATCCTAGTGACATTTCCCTGACGAGATTTTCACCCTCTTCACGAGTTAAAAATGCGTTGTCATTATCTACACCACATATGGGTGGATTCACCATGTCTCAGAAAATGATACCATGGTGATTCAGAGCAGCATCTAGCTCACAATCACCAACTCCGTTCACCCGGGAACCTGGCGCCTTCCAACCAGCGCCAAAGATGCGAACCTCGGGGTTCCTACCATGGCACGAGGTGAATACCACCCAGAACGGCTGGGTGACGTGACGGGTGACTTTCACCAGCGGTGGGGCGCACAGTGCATGTGGGTAGTATCGTAACCTACAATGTCACAGCCGGGCGGCCTACGCGATAGACCGTGTGTCTAGCATGGCTATGAAAGGCGGCATCTGGCCCTGAGGCGGCTCGACCGCCGCGTAAGCAGGCCGTCCCCAATATCGGACCTCGGCGCGTTCCTGCTTGCCTTTCCGCAGGTGCGTGACTTTCCAGCTGTAACGCGGGCCGAGGTGAGTCATCCTGTTCCGTTCGGATTGCGTATGATGGACTCACCCCTCTATCAGGAAGACGTTGTAGCCCTTGGCGGCGGCGTCCCGCAGGAGGCGTTCGCGAGCGAAGACGACGGCGCCGCGGAGGTTCGCGACCTTCTTGAGCTCGAAGAGGTACGTGCCGCACATGGTCGCGTCGTAGACGTTCGCAATCTCCATCTCTGTCAGCATGGCTTGTCAGCATTACTCGCGAGGAGCCGTGTGCGGCACAGCGCTCCGTGGCGCACGACCGCCGCGTCTGCGCCTCGTCGGCCTCAGGCTCGAAGTTCGCAGGTGGGGATCGGGATCTGGAGTGCGGCGCAGAACAGGGGCATGATACACACCGTCGCGCTCGTCTGGGCTGAAAATCGAGATGGGTTCCACGGACTTCTGATCGACGACCTCCCAGGACTCGATCTTGCGGTGGAAGAGCTTCATCGCTGCCTGTGCGCAAAGTGCGCACAAGGGGACGGAGGGGCGGGGATGGCAGGGGGGAAGAGGAGACGGTGCCGGATGCGAGCGGCGAGGCCACTGGCGCGCGCTAGGAGGGTGTCTGGCAGGCAGATAGGGAGGGGGAGGGACGTCCACAAGGTGGGCGATCGGCTGTTGGTCCGGTGGGCGTCTTAGGCAAATTGAGGTTGCTTAGGTGCGCGCCCCGGGGGGTATTATCCTCGAGCGAGCCTGTGGAGACGAGTGGGGAACGGATGCGGAATGAGCAGCGATGACGGCAGGACGGGAGCGGTACATGATATAGATCGACGAGGACGGAGGACAAGACTAAAGACGCGCGGCCCGCGTCGCAGTCAGCACGATCGCTGCATTCGCGTGCGCCCTGACGCGTCATCCGCGTCGATCGCAGCGAGCGCAACGGGGCGAGAACACCGGCCGCAGCGCGCCACGCCGAGGCAGTACGAATTCGAGGCCGAGCCCGGCACCGTCCGCGAGTGGGGTGCCGAGGCCGAGACCCGCGCGCAGGGCGTGGAGGCGCAGAGTGCTCGAGCTTGACTGATCAGGGTGCGGCCTCGGAAAGGGATCAGGCAGAGCGCGGGCAGTGGAAGGCAGTGGACGACAGGCAGCAACACCCCGGGCGCGGGCGCATGTGGTTGGGCGTCCGGGTGTGTCCGGGAGAATCGGATGCCGCCGGCGATGCCCAATCAGGCTGGGCGTTGAGTAGCACACGTTATCACATGGCTCGCTCGGAGTCGCTCAGCAAATTCGCGTGTCGTCCCGGGTCCGTCCGCCGGAGCGCTCCCTTCCACGTCTCACGCAATGCCGCCGGCGTCGGAACTACGTATGACTTGCCGTCGTCCACTCGTCTGAACTGTCCGTGACATTAATTGATGAACACAACATAGCAAACGGCGAGCATGCGGGCGTGGAGCCGGCGGCCCAGTGTGACACTCTACATGTTGCACGTCGGGTCAAAAGCCTCTGAAACGGGGTGCCAAACCTCAAATCTTAGCTGGAATATGGATGACCGAAAACGCAGGGTGAGGCGCGTCGCCTCATTAAACTGCCATGTACAACGTACTGATTACTCGTCACGCACGCAGGCTCCCTCGGCGTCGTCCTCACGCTATACACCTGCAATCTGAGAGGGGACCCTCGGCGTCGTCCTCATGCTATACACCTGCAATCTGAGAGGGGAGGACTGGTCGGGATCACTCACCGGGTGGCCGACGCTTACTTTCAAGTTGGGTCGGGGTACTAATTTTGTTGTTATCTGCGCCTTCACTCAGCGAGCGGTATATAAATGCTTGACCAAAACAAAGACTGCTTGTCACGATGTCGCGCACAACAGCCACTACCGTTTATGAATCCGTGTTACAACAACGACCTTTGGGATAGCTTTCGGAAAATCGCGGTCCATGCAGACATTACGTCGTTACATCTCAGTCGTCACAAATGCAGCAAGGTATTTTGCCAAATCCCGAGATCTTATCCACCCACGACGCCAATACTCCACGCAGAGGAATCGAATCCAAGAGAGCCAAGGGGTTGGCGAGCACGCACCTCACCTCCTCTTTCAGAGGAAGGCGACGGCCGCGCCAACGAGCGCGGCGAGACCAGACATGCCTGCGGCAGCGTTGCGACCCGCCGAGCTACCGGAGGACGTGGGCAACGGCGTCGAGCTCGTGCTGGACATGGACATGGTCTGGCTCCCCGTGAGGGACGACGAGATCTGGGTGGCCCCGTTCTTGGTCGCGTTCTTGCACGAGACGTCGCTCGGGATCTCGAAGGTGTCGGAGAGCGTCAGGTCCGCGCACTGTACACAGCCAGGGGACTCGTCGTCAGCATTCCCCGCGAGCGCGAACCGAGCGACAGCGTGGCGGAGGGCACACACCTGGTAGAGGTTGCCGTCGCCGCCGTCGAAGATGAACTGGAGGGTGACGTTCGCCCCGTTCTTCACGCCCGCGACTCCGGACGCGGAGAGGTCGACGTCGACGCAGAACGCGCCCTCGCCCGAGGTCCCAAAGAAGGGCAGGAACATCTGGAAGTTGCTGCTATTGTCGCGGAAGACGTCGAAGCTGTTCGCGTTCTGGACGGTCGCGACGATACCACCCACTGTGCGCAAGGTTAGGGAGGATCGAATAACTGCGACGCTGAATACTCACGGGTCCACTGCTCGTGGTGGGACTCAATGGAGATGAAGCCACCCTTGCCGGTAGGGAACGACGATCGGTTGGTTGTCGAGTCCGCGTAGCCGTCTGCAGACATTCAATGACACAGGTCAATGATGCCGTGAACTAGGGACATACCACAGAACGTAGGCTCATCGTCGTCAGAGAAGTCGCCGCGGGCCGGAGGGTACTGGAGCACGAAGTGCGCCGACGCGGCGGTCATGAGACAAGACAAGAAAGAGAGGGTCGTGAAGCGCATCTTGAAGCACGAGGAGGAGCTCTGACGAATACCGCGGGTGCCCGGTGAAGAAAATACGTTCTTCGTCTAGCCTTAAAAACTCTCGTCGAGTTGACGAGTACGCCGGATCCGCCGGTTAAAAAGGTTTTTTTCGCTGTTTGGCAGCATTTGTGGATTGGGCGGAGTCGCCCCTAAATCGAACAATTTCTGACGCGATCATGGCTGTCCTGGAAACAGGGGAATATCTTGGGTCGTCGCTTCCGCACTGTCCGCACACACCCGGTCTACGTTGAGTGAAGGCATGCATTGCGAGACGTATACATCATGCCTACATATATCATACACCAGCCTTGCAAGAGGTGCACTAACAGCCTCTAGACGTGAGCTCGTACAGCATTGAAACGCCCAAAGAGCACCTCTCCGATCATCAGGCCCCCAACAATTGCGATGATGAAACCGGCTTGGAATGTCCTGGATAAGAAGTTTTTCATTCAACGGGCCTGGCCTTGGCGTTCGCAACACTCACATCACCGCAAGCATCAGGAGGTAATAAAGCAAAGCTTGGAAGGCGAACAGCGCGCCGCGTGGGATGTCATGAGAAGGGATGAAGGGAGGGTACGTCCTGGTGGCGGAAGGTGGAGCAGCTGCACTGTCGGTGGCAGAGCCTCGAACGTTTGCCTTGGATGACATCAACGCCAAGGCCCTATGCCAGGCGGTCAGAGGCATGTAGAAACGTACTGGCCATAGCGCTTACCGCTTCTTCCACTTCGCCTCCACGATCCCGCGCATCCCATTCACCCATCTCTCGAATACAGCCAGGGCGAGGAGTCCGATGCAAGTGCCGGCGATAGCACCGGGTGTGTTTGGCTCCCAGGACTCGAAGAAGAGGACACTACCTCCAGTGAAATGAAGCCACGGAATCATGCCTTCCATAGCCATGGAGGTCGAGGAGTTTGACGAAGAAGACATGTCCATATGTGACCAGCAAACGATGGACCTGCAGAGGAGGGGGTGATAAGGAGGGAAGGAGCTCGTTGCGAACTGGAGACGGCGAGAGACGCCTGGCCAAACAAAGGCAAGCAAGGGGCCGCAGTCCAGCAGGGCTATTCTGGGAGGCGCAAGTCAGCAGAGCGTTGCCTGCCAACGTACGCCTTACCTGCGTTCAGAGCTGGCTGGAAACCTGGGCCACCGGCGTACGAGGATCGGTTGCACGACGGTAAGGTGATGGCGAGTTATCACCAAGAAGGGATACCTGAAGTGTGGATTCTGGAGCATGGTTCACGCACTGAAGGGTCGTACCATATCCCAAGATGCTGGACCGTCGTGCAATAACAAGAAAACGAACGCCAGCAGGTGCAGCACCCTCGAGTGGTTCGGGAAGAGGGCCCAGGAGCGCCTGTCAGACGAGCTGGGTGAGGACAACGCTCTCACTCGTCTGACAAACAGTTTGGAGATGGATATATCCAGGCCTCAACAAGCCCAGAGGGCATGAAGAGTTGCCGGAGAGAGGGGAGGGGAAAGCAGTGGGGGAACATGGTGGGGGAAGACGTCAAAGACGATCAGCGATGGGGGTCGTTGAGGCAATTCTGCCCAGCGTCTGGGCAATGCTTACCCAAGCATCCGGCCGCGGGCGCGAAACCCGTTCGCGCCATCTCGTCGTGACTTTGGCGCCTGCCACTGCAATTCGGATAAGCATTCGGAATACCGTGTGTACTTATTCCTCCATCTCACAGTCCTCTGTCCTCTCATTCGCCTACGTAGCAAGTTCCCCCCCTGCCCTGTTCGTCATGCTTCGTCTCGCCGCTGCTCGTTTTGCCACTGCCTCCCGCGCGACACCAGCTAGAGCGTGTCAATCTGCTCGTCTCGCATTCCCGCCTGTCCGCAATGTCTCCCAAGATGCGATGGCAAAGAAGAACAAGTTTTTCAACAAGGAAATGGCGGATGGGCTCGCCCCTGTCGTGGACTTTGATACCGTGAAGGCCAGGACATTGGAGCCTAGTCCAGTAAGCTTACACTCCATCCTTTGACACCCGTTCAGGCTAATCCAACATTCACCAGGACTCGTACCTTGTCGACGTTCGCGAACCGGACGAGGTTATCCAGGGATCTATTCCCTCGTCGGTCAACATTCCCCTCACTGTCTTCAGCAACGCGTTGCAAATGGACCCAGAGGCATTCAAACAGCAGTTTGGCTTCGAAAAGCCACGGAAGGACCAAGAAGTCACGTTCTACTGTCGCAGCGGCAAGCGATCCACCACCGCCTCGGACCTCGCGATGAAGGCTGGTTATGCAAAGTATGCCCACATTGATCCGTGACATTTCCCCCTTCTCACTGTCGCTTAGGTCGTTCAACTACACAGGTTCTTGGTTGGAGTGGGTCGAGAAGGAAAAGCAGGGATCGGCTTGAAGGCGATGCATTTTATTACGTCGTTGTACATGCTAGTCTTGTACTCGTCGGCACGGGCACATGGCGTGATTCAGATATCCTGTTGCGTTTAATGTGTGTTGAGTATTCACGTAACCCCTAACCCAGCATTAGGGTTTTATTGTGGACGTGTCTCCACTGCCGCTGGACTGTCTCTGGTTGCTTTCCTTCCATTCACGATTCTCTGAGCACCGCTTCATCTCACTTGCGGAGTCGACATGAGCTTGCGTTATGCTACACGAAATGCCATGCGTTACGTGATTGCGACACGTCGTCTCCCGACTGTCCTCCCAGGCCTGCACAAGACACCCGAGCATGTTCACTGCACACAAGCAGTAATGCCCCGTCGAGGCTATGCCACACCCCCTCCGCAGGTGAAGCACAGGTTCGCTTAGGGCATGGAACTCTCCATTTGACGGAGGGCAAGGCCGCTGACTGTGTCACAGTGATATTCCCATCGAGACGTACCATGAGTATGCGACATCACCATGGACAAGATGTTGGAGTCTTTGGAGGACCTGCTCGACGATTTTGCCGACCCAGAGTACGAAGTGGACTACGGGGTGCGTATGCGCTTGCTTTATGATGCGAGTCCGCGCGCTGAGATTCGCGTATGGTTCTTCACAGAGCGGGGTGCTCACCTTGAAGCTGGGCTGCCACGGCACATACGTGATCAACAAACAGCCCCCGAACAAGCAAATATGGTTGTCATCTCCATTGAGGTATGTGGTTATTGAAGGTGGCTTTACTTGGCTGACCGTGCGTTCAGTGGACCGAAACGATACGACTACGTGCCTGAAGACGACGGCTGGGTCTACTCGCGGGACGCGAGGTCGCTGAACGATTTGCTCAATCAAGAACTGAGCGATATTTTTGGCCGGACAATCGATCTTAGGCTGGCCAATGTATCTACTCAGACGCGCTGAGCGGCGTCGAGCCTTATCGTTACTGCGCCTCATACCGGCGCGTGCTTGCGAGGCCACCATGTAGTCCATGCATTGAAGACACATTGGATAATGGATGGATGTGCGTATCATGTGACGGTCGTGGTGGATAGGGCAATACCAGTATGTAGGGCGTTGTAAACTACGGGTGAGCACGAGTGAATATAAACAACTAATAACTAAACATAGCAGTGCGAAGGACGAGGTTGACATGCGGTGCAACGATGATGGGTACGAGCGTGACGGTGGTATGGAAGGGATGCGCAGCTTGCAGACCTAAGTTTCGCTCTCTTGGTAATATTGTCGTCGCCGGTTGAGGAAAAGCTCTCCGAGAAATCTGCACACGCCGTGTTCGGGAAGCCGCACACAAGTCGGTTCGAGAACGATTGGCGTACCTGTTTCTGCCCTCATACAACTCCGTGACGCGTTGCTCTTCAGTGTGGTTCCTCGTATCGTCCTTCGACGAGATAGAGATGTGGAATGAGGAGAGGGGTTTGTGAGGTTCCCGTGGAACGTTCGGTTGCGAGTAGGCCGGAACAGACGGCCCGAGCTTGGAGAGCGGCTCTAGGGGCTCCAGATGGTGGGTTGGGTTGGACTCGTAGAGGTTATGGAGAGCAGGGTTGTAGGAGGGTGGAAGTGGACTGGAAAAGAGCATCCGATGCCTCTGTTCGGCGTGGAGGTCGTGAAGGAGGGTATTCATGTGCTTGTACTGGCCTGCTTGCTCGAGGCGCTGCGCATGCTCTGACGTCTCCTCGGGCCTGGGGCCGTCTCCGTTATCCTCCTCACCATCGCTCTCTTTCTCCCCCACAGACGGCCTCCCATCGTTCATCGCTGACACTTGAGACGGAGCGACATGCCTTCTGCGCTTGACCACCCTCTCGAAGGAATCGATGGGCGATTCGGACGCTGCGTACGCGTCGGGCGTTGAGGCCAGTGACGACCGTTGACGTTTCAACATGACTGGGGGAACTATGATGGATTCCAGGATGAGAACGGATGCTGAAGGAGGCGGGTGCGGCACTCCAGGCGAATGGTAGTAGGCGAAGGGGAACTGAGCAAGCGCCTGCGGCTTTCAGAAGTACTCATAGACGCGTCTCGGTAAAACGCGACGCACGTATGTAAGCACCAAGCGCGGACCGCAGTTGCTTGGAGCAGTGGCCGCGCGACTCGGTTCTACTCCGTCCATCTCCCCGCCTTTCCTCGCTGCACACTAGGATCGACCCAACATGGACGACACAGACATGATGGCCGCCATGGGCATCACTGGGTTTGGCAAAAAAGCCAAGCAGCGGTCTCTCGACCCAAAACGGTTCGAGAAGAACAAAAGGGACGAGGCAGTGAGTCCATCCGAGCGAATGCGTATATACGTCGTGCTCAATTGGTCTCAAGGGCGGTATTGCGTCCTCGGCTTCTGCCAAGTCCAAGCCGGAGGAGGTCAAACGTCCCGTGCCCAGCTCCTCTGCCACCCCTCGGTCGACCTCGATAGAACCAGAATACGACCCAGACGACGTTGGGCCGCCGCCACCGCCATCCGATGCCGGTGCTCTGGAAGAAGAGCCGGAGTTTGACGTATCTGATGATGAAGCCGAGGACGCCCAATTCCCCGTAACCCACGAACTCCTCCTGAAAGACCACACGAAAGTGGTCTCAGCTCTGGCCATGGACCCGTCTGGTGCACGCATTGTCTCCGGCTCGCATGACTACGACTGCAAGCTCTGGGATTTTGGTGGAATGGACTGGAGGTGTAAGCCATTCAAGACTTGGGAACCTGCCGGCTCTTACTATGTGCGCCCGACCTCTAGCTCATGTTCAAGGGATGGCGGATTAATTTCCGAGGCGTGGAACGCTACAGATACATGACCTCAAGTTCTCGAACGATGGACAACAGTTCTTGGCCATCTCGGGGACGACACAGGCGAAGCTGTATGACAGAGACGGGGAAGAGTTGTGAGTGCATTCCTATCTCTGCTGCGGGTGGGCAGCCTAACCTGACTGGCAGGGCCACATACATCAAGGGTGATCCATACATCCGCGACATGAAGAACACTTCGTATGTACATAAGTACTAGTGTCTTCTCACGTGCTGATATCGGGGCAGTGGGCACGTTGCAGAGCTCACATCATGTGCATGGCATCCTAAAGACCCACAAACATTCATTACTGGTTCCTTGGACTCCACTATTCGGTGAGACGCTATGAACACATAGCAACCATGTTCCATGCTCACGCACTGCAGGATATGGGATGTCGAGAACAAGCGAAAACAGAAGGCGGTCATTGTGGTCAAGTCGAAGGAACGCGGCGCCCGCACGAAAGTGAACTCGTGTGCCTACTCTCACGACGGAAGTCTGATCGGCGGAGGTGCGTACATCCCGACGTAACAGGCCTTCATTCGTTTCTAAATTGGCTTCTTTCAGCTTGCCTGGATGGGGCACTTCACATGTGGCAGACGAAATCAAATTTCGTGCGACCGAGCATGACGATTGAAGGAGCTCACCTCAAGGGGTCAGAAACAGGGTCCTTGCTGTTCTCCGTCGACGGTCAGACCGTTTTGACTCGTGGCGGAGACAACACAGTCAAGCGTGCGTCATGTTCTGCCTCACTCCTCGCTACAGCTCATCACGTAACTAGTGTGGGATTTGAGGTCGTTCAAGAAGCCATTGGTCGTGCGGTCCGGGCTGGAGACCTTGTATCCAAATACGAACGCGATCTTCAGTCCAGACCACAAGTATGTGGTGACTGGATCGGGAGCTTCAACAAAGGGAGGCAAGGGTCATTTGCTGTTCATGAAGAAGGACACGCTGGAGACCGTGAAAGACCTTGAGGTGGATACGACTCCCGTCAAAGTCTTTTGGCATTCGAAGATCAATCAGGTTCGTTTTTGTGGCCGATCAATGCCACCATGTCGCTGACAAGCAGTCTAGGTCGTGACCGGTTTCGCCAACGGGCAGATATGCGTGCTCTATTCACCCGACATGTCGTTGAACGGAGCGAAGCTACTCCTCAACAAGGGACCCCCGCGGAAGGCGACCATCGAAGACATGTCGGATGCCGTCGCGGCGCCGACCATCATCACGCCGCACGCGCTGCCGATGTTCAGAGATAGCGAGATGGGTCGGAGCACGAAGCGAAAACGGGAGAAGGAGCGCATGGACCCACGCAAGAGTCGGCGTCCGGAGCTACCAGTCACTGGACCAGGTCGGGGAGGACGTGTGGGAGCGAGTGCGACGCAACACGTCGTGCAGAATCTCGTCCGCGATACGACGAGAGACGAAGATGTACGTGTTCTCATCCTCTTGCCTTGTTCAGCCCAGGCTTTGTTTCCTGAGGCGAGGTCACACGGCTCGGCCGACACGCCAACATCGGGACGCTTCGCCGTGCATCTATCGGATGGCCTGTGCGGGGCGTGGTGGATGTGCTGGCGGGGACGGGCGATGTGGGGTCGTGCATGCTCATCGCGCAGAACGCTGCGAACGATATCGGATACGGAGGGCCCTGGAATGCTCCAATCAGAGGGGGTGCGCCGGGTGGGCGTTGCCGTTGTGACACGCCAAAGACGCGTTGCTACCCGGATCCGGCCTGGGCGCCCCAATCCGGCGCCGTCTCTGTGCCTCCCCGCCTTCCCATCTTCTCCTCCGCCCACGACGTCCCCCTCCTGCGCAGCGCACTTGGACTGACTGCCATCGCTTCCAGCCTCGGGAGGCCCTGCTCAAGCTCGCTGCAACAGCCGACGAGAACCCGGTCTGGACTGCTGGTGAGTCGCTAAATTTTCAGCCCTGATGGCGCCAGCCGTGTTTGCTCCTGTTTGTCGTCGGCTGTGATGCTGACGTGTGAACTTTGTTTTCAAACTCAGCCTGGCGCGCGAACCAGCCCAAGCCCGTCTTCGCCCCCGCGGACGACGACGACAAGGACAAGGACAAGGCGTAGACCGGCGGGCGCGGTGAGCATGTGTACGCCGACGGCCAGTGGGCGGGCAGGGCGGGAGGAGGGCGACGAATGCGGGATAGGGAGGAAATTGAGGACGCAGGAGATCGAACCTTATTTCGTTGAGCGTATAAAGACCTCTGGCCCGCTTCGGATCTCCTGTCCCCCCAAATCTCACCTGCTCCCTTTGCCCTCCCGTCACTCTGTGTGACCGTCACGCGTCCTTTCCCCCAGACGATGCACGACGCGCTTTCCACGAACCTGAACGGCGTCCATATCGACACGGTCTCTATTCCCAACTCGCCTACTGTTGACTCTGCTGCCACTCCCGTGAACCACTCGCTTGTACCGGACTTGAAGGTCGACGTCGACTTCACCGAGCAGGAGAGCGACGCCCGGCACGAGCCAATTCCCCTGAGGCTCGAAAAGGTGGACAACGCGTCCACAGTCCCTCAGGTTGCCACTCCAGCGGATCCTGGTGCGTGTTTCTTTCTGTTTGACGCGTCTTTTCGCGCTCAAGTCGCCCAAGACTCCATCCCCATCGCGCCCCCCGCTGGCACCCCACCCCCACCCCCTGGCCAGCTCCTAGAGGACGTGAAGATGGCAGAACAAAACGAGCCAGTCAATGGCGAGGACGTGGAGATGTCAGATTCGAGTGGCAATGCGAACGGACTCCCTAACGGACAAACACACGAGTCGCCCGTCGCGACCCCGGTCTCTCCCTCGCTACCTGCTGCTGTATCTTCGAGTGAAACCGCTGTCGACTCCCATGCCGCATCGTCGCCCTACGCTAATATTACCAATGCTAATGACGATGATGATGATGACGATAAGCCACCCCCGGCTAAGAGAGCGAGGAAACACTCCGATGCAGAGAGAGCATCGTTGGCGAACGTAAGCACCTTCGTCCTCCTGTGCGCCGCTATGGGCGTACTAATTTCCCTCTCCTCATCGCATTCTGAAGACCGCCACTCCACCTCCAGTCTCCGTTCCAACGTCGCCGCAGCCGCAGCCGCAAGTTCCTACAGATCGCACTGTCACTGCAGACTCTACAGAACCTGCCAACCTGTCGGTCGCGCAGCATCGTTTCTGCCTATCCACTGTCCGCACTCTCAAACGGATGAAGGACTCAGGGCCGTTCAACCTTCCTGTTGACCCGGTCGCGCTCAATATTCCTCATTACCCTGAAATTATCAAGAAGCCCATGGACTTCTCGACCATTGAGCGAAAACTCAACGCGTCAAACCCGCAGAAGCCTGACACCAACTCCGCCAATCCGCGATACATCAATGCCGACCAGTTTGTCACCGACGTGCGCCTCATCTTCACCAACTGTGCGACGTTCAACGGTCCAGAGCATGCGGTGACAGCGATGGGCAAGCGGGTCGAGGCCGTCTTCGACAAACAGATCAAACAGATGCCTCCTCCGGATGAAGTGAGCACCCTTCATTATGCAGTCTTCGTCGCGATGTTAACGTCATGCAGCCCAAAGCCCCTGCGCCAAAGAAGGTCGCAACCCCTCCTGCGCCTGCCCCACCGCCTCCCGTGAAGAAGCAGATCCGTCGAGCGTCGACCAATACTGTCCCAGTCATACGACGTAATGAGGAAGCTGCCAATGCCGGTCGGCCGAAGCGGGAAATCCATCCACCTCCTCCGAAGGATCTTCCGTACGCCGAGGCACCACGCAAGCCACGGAAAGCGAAGGTGCAGAAGAACGCCGTGGTTGCGGAGCAGATCAAGTTCTGCGAGAAGGTCTGGAGGGATCTGCACCAGAAGCAGCACTACAGCATCGCCCACGCCTTCTACGAGCCTGTCGGTGCGCACGCTCCTCAATGTTTCGCCCTGTGAAGTACTGACACCTTGTAGACCCAGTTGCACTCAACATCCCTGAGTACGCCAGGGTTATCAAGAAGCCGATGGACCTCGCGACGATGAAGAAGAAGCTTGACCAAGGGCAGTACACGACCGCGGAGCAGTTCCGCGGGGACTTCGCCCTCATGATCAAGAACTGCTTCACCTTCAATCCTCCTGGCAACATGGTGCACGAGGCCGGCAAGGCTCTCCAGAATCTCTTCGATGAGAAGTGGAAGAATCTTCCGACACCCAGGCCGACAGAGCCCAGCGATGATGAGGAGGAAGAGGAGGAAGATGAGTCGGATGACGAACGCATGAGTGAGTACCCATCTACGGTCGGTTCCGCCGCAGTGCTCATAGTTTTGCAGAGATGGAAGGCATGATCGCGGATATGGAGAACCAGATCGCGAGCATGAAGAACAACCTCGCATCACTCAAGCGGAACGGCAAAGAGAAGAAGGAGAAGGAGAAGAAGAAAGAGAAGCCCCCTCTCCCTGCTGCGTCAACATCCAAGGCTCCCCCGAAGCAGGCAAAGCCGCCTCCGCCACCCAAGGCGAGCAAGAAGGGGAAGAAGCCTGTGACCGACGACGACGTGCTCACCTTCGAACAAAAGAAGGATCTCAGCGACACTATCTCGAAACTTGACGGCACCAAATTGGAGAAGGTCATCCAGATCATCCACGAGGGTGTGCCAGAGATTCGCGACGTACGTTCTTTGCTACTCGTTGTCTGTTCCCTTGCTGATCCACGCACAGAGTACCGAGGAGATCGAGCTCGAGATTGACCAGCTTCCTGCGGCCGTCCTCACGAAGCTTTACAACTTCGTCATCCGTCCAATGAAACCCCCTGTCAAGCGTCCACGCACGGGCAAGGGGACAGGGACGGGTGGCTTGAAGCGGAAAAGCATGGACGAGGATGTGGAGACGAAGAAGATTCGTGCACTCGAGGAGAAACTGAAGTCGTTCGGTGCGGGCGGAGGCGGTTCCAACGGTGGCGCTATTGCAGAGATGAGCGACCACTCGTCGGCGGAGTCGAGCTCGGACGAGAGCTCAGCGAGCGACTCAGAGTGAGCTTCGAGCTGGCTTGTACCCCTCCTGGACTTTGTATATGTCGTCGTAATCCTTCGTCCCTGGCCGCATCCGCTGGGTTACGCTCTCCGTCGGTGTCAGGCTCTGTATTCCCCGTTGTTCTTCGTCAACTTATACTCTTGTCATGTCATTGTTGTCAGCAGCGTGCATATTAAAATTACAGAACATTGTCATTGTAGCTAGTTAGTAGTACCCTACGTTCGTATTCCATATTCTTGCGATGTCTACTCAAAGGAGTAACTTGCCTGCATGGGCGCGTATACAAGACGTACGGTAAACGCATTCAGAGTCAACGGCGACGGCCAGGTGCTCCTGCACGAAACTTCTGCCAACCTGATCGTGACGGCTCCTGTACTGTAGGTTGAGGTCCAGAGGGAGGGTTGGACGGTGGTGGTGCTGCAGATATGGGAGGAAGAGGAGCACGAATTGGATGAGCAGGCGCGTGCGTAGGTTGCACCACACTCCAGGCCCCTCCGAGACCGGAGTTGGGTGCAGACACCGTTGCCCAGCCTCCTTGGCGACCAGGATCAGGAGCGGGAGGTGGAGCTGCGTGAGAGGGCGGAGGTGGAGGTTGCGAAACCACGCTAGGCGCGGTTGCCCCCACGCTCGTCTCCAGCGAGGTCCAGCCGCCAGTCCGGAAAGCAGGTGCGCTGCTCAAAGGCCGCGCGGCGGGTTCAGGAGGGGAAGGCGGTGCCCCAGGAGCCCACCCGCCACGCCCACCAGAACCTACTGGCTGCGCTTCGCCCGCAGGGATCCAGCCTCCCCGCTTCGGAGGGTCAACAGAAGCAGAAGTGGACACTGTCGCCCATCCACTCTTGAATCCTCCGCCGCCGCCAGCATCGGTGGCGACTGCTGCGGGCTCCGCGGCGAGTGCGACGGGGGGCTTGACCATCTTGACACCAGCGGCCTTGGCGATCTTGCGGAGCTCTTTCTCTTCGCGTTTGCGCTCCTTCTCCTTGCGCTTGTTGACCTCCTCCTCGGTGTTGCGGCTCGCGCGCTGGGCGGCCTGCATGTCGCGGAAGCGGATCTTGTGGTGGTGGGCGTACGAGTTGGTGTGCTCGTCGTATTGCGCGACGTTCTGGAACTGCTTCTCGCATACCTCGCAGTAGAACGGGCGGAGCACACTGAATATTTCGGTCTGCACGGCTTGTCGTTTGGCGACCGCATCCTGTGCAGGGAAGGTGCGCTTGTCGTCGGTGTCTACGCAGTAACAGAGCGAGTGGCTGGCATACCTCGCGCTGTCTCTTCTGCTCTTCCGTCTCCTTCGTCTGACGCTCGGAGTCTAGCTCCCGTCGTTGAGACACAGTTGATTCAACTGCGAACGTGCGTAAGAAGATGTATGCGTATTGGCATCCTAGACGTACTCATGCGGACGTCCTGACTGGCCTTTCCCAGACCTGTCAGGTCGTTTTTGACATAGAAGGGAATCGGCTCGACACGACCTATGGTCGGTGTTTGAAAACTTCGATAGATGCATTGAGCCATTTACGCACCATCGCCAGAAAGACCAAGAGGGGATCCTTCGACCCATCCCATCTTTGCCAGCATGGAGAAGCCAACATTAGTATTCTTGATCTTGGTCTCTACTGTGATGACCTCTGGCTCCGGCCTGGTCTGGTAAAACTCGTCGTACTTGTCCACGTCCATTTTGTCTGGAGGCGGGGACGGAGTGCGAGAGACGAGAGAGATATTGTCGTCGCTTTCATCGTCCTCTTCTCCGCTATCTCTTGATCTCTGGGAGTTTATTGGGAAACAGAGGAGCATGTAGGGTATATTCCAGCGGCGAAGAATGCACAATGAGTACCTTCAATGATGGCTGGGGACGTTGCTCCGGGTGGGTGAGAGGGATAGCGTTCCAACGGGCTATCGAGTCCGCTGACATAGGGAGATGGAGCAAAAGGAGTAGGAATAAGTATGGATAGGCGGGGCAGAAGGAGAGCGAGGTAGGGGATATGTGTGGATGCAGCAGTGGAGAGTAGCTTGAAGTGGCCGCCACCAGCCACCGCTGGCTGTGACTTCGCCAGCGCCTGGGAAATATGTAAGGGTCACATGATGGATGCGGTCGCGTCGCGTCGCGTCTCCAACCGGACGCGTTACCGCAGCACTGCCCGACTCCCTCTCCCCCTCATCAACTCCTCCGGTGTGACCTCATGAGCTCCGATGAATACTTTGAAGACGAACTCGGCGATCTTGACTCTGCCTTCTTGAACGAACTTGACGCGATTGAGGCGACTCATCTACCGGGAACGGCGTCGGCAAAACGGCCGCCTCTCGCGCCCTCCCCCAAGAAGCCTTTCAAACCATCCACCGTCCTGAACCGACCTACGCAACCCTCTCATCATGCTTTCCCTTCGAGAGCTGTTCCTTCCATCAGGCCCCAACCACCCCGCAAGTCGATTCCACAAGACGTTATTGACTTAGGTCACTCCAGTGACTATGGCGAGGATTTGGTTCTGGACGAGACGGACTTCGCGAAAATAGACGAGGCAACCCAACAAGGATTTTCTCCAAGGCTTCTGGAAGTCATACACCTCAACCAGTCGCGGGGCCTTCGAACCCGAGCGCGTTGCTCCGAAGACCTTCCAAGGGCGCGCAACTCAATCTGTTTGGAGAAATTGCTCAGGAACCGGACCCGTCCAAGAACTCTGGAGAGCCCACGCATAGAACGTTTGAGCGCACGCGTTCTACCTTGAGGCAGATGCCCCTGCCCGGCCAAGCGAAGAGAACCAAGCAGTGGGACAGGACCGCATACGCGAAATCCGGCTGGAGAAAACCGAAGGAGAAGGTGCCTACTTCAGGAGATGAGGATGAAGTACCGCTCGAGTTCGAGCAATTTCCTGCACCGGAGGTTCCAGTGGGGTGAGTGCTCTCTTTTGCGCATTCTTGAACGTCTCAAACCATCTCCGCAACTCCGTTTCCAGACCAGTACGTCGCGTGTTCCCCGAGCTTCTCGCGCGTGTTGACCTCTGTTTCAGAGCCCTCAAATGAAATTGCATGCAGACCGACTGGCTGCAAAGACGTGGATATACCCTCTCAACAAGCCTAAGAGAGACTACCAGTACAATATCGTCAAGAACTGTCTGGTCGAGAACACGCTTGTGGCTATTCCGACAGGTCTGGGAAAGACATTCATAGCAGGCGTCGTAATGTTAAATTGTACGTCCCTAGAGTCCCTTCATAGCGTCACCTAACCAAGTCTGTCAGTTTACAATTGGTTCCCAGAAGGCAAAGTTGTGTTTGTGGCGCCCACGAAACCTCTTGTCGCCCAGCAGATTGACGCTTGCCACAAGACTTGTGGTATACCAGGGAACTCGGCGGCTGAGCTGACAGGGAACGTATCGGCCGACAAACGGGCTAGTGCGGTACGTACATGTATTCCCCTCCTCGCATTGTTGCAGGTGGTGACCGTTTTGCAACCAGTGGAGACACAAGCGAGTACTATATGCGACTCCACAGACTCTTCTCAATGACCTTATTAAGGCACTGCGGATGCTCTTGACATCGTCTTGCTTGTTATTGGTAGAGTTATATTTTGATGCGCATGCTGCCTTCACCAATCACTCTGCTTTACAGACGAGGCTCACCGTGGCACTGGTGACTACGCATATGCTCAGGTAGTCCGGTATATGATGCAGCACAATCCGCACTTTCGCATATTGGCCCTCACCGCTACTCCTGGAGGAAAGCCAGAGGCTGTCCAAGCCATCGTGGATGCTCTACACATCAGTCATATTGAGATTCGCAGCGAAGCCGATTCTGACCTGAAGAAGTATCTCCACACGAAGCATGAGCAAGAACACTTGATTCCGATCAATGGAGAAATTGCTGTCCTACGCGACGGGTTAGTCGCGGTGATCAATGTCGGTGTCCATTTGTGCCTTGCTTAACGTCGACGCTCTAACGCAGATCATCTATAGCCTATCCTAAAGAAGGTGCAGGGTGCAGGATTCCTGAGAAATGGTAACACCGCGCCCACCATGTTGCACCCTTTCCGCTGCCAAGCTGTCATGGTCGAGATGCGGACTGCCAAGGCTCCACAGTACGTGGTTGCAGCAGCAGCGCAGCTTGGATGTCTCGCCCGAGCCATGGGATATCTCGTATGTTGGACGTTTTTCCGTCGAGGATCTACTGCTCAACGAATTTGTAGTTGGAGAACAGCGTTCAGATGGCCTATGGCTACATGAAAGACATTAGGGACGACCCAGATAATAACACCAAGAAGGCGTTACGGAAGATGAACGAATTCAGCGACGTGATGAAGAAGTTCGATGATCATGCCCAACGTGGATTGTCCAGCCACCCCAAGATGGATGTGCTCAAGACTGTCCTCATCGATCACTTTGCAAAGCAGCTTCCAGATGAGTCAGACGGGGCTCGACCTGGCACTGGGCATTCTCGAGCCATGGTGTTTGTCTCATTCCGGGAATGCGTAGAGGAGATCGTGGAGTTGTTAAACCAACAATCTCCGATCATCCGGGCCAAAGCGTTCATCGGACAAGGGACTGACAAGCAGGGAAGAAAGGGATATGCTCAGAAGGAGCAATTGCAGGTTGGTATCCGTGATGGCTGGCGAGAAGAATATACTCATCTTCCATCTCGTCAGGTTATCGAGCAGTTCAAGCAGGGCGAGCACAACGTTCTTGTCTCGACCTCGATCGGCGAAGAAGGTCTCGATATCGGCGAAGTTGACGTCATCGTCTGCTATGATGCACAGAAGACACCCATTCGTATGGTATGTGCCGGGTATGTAGGGACGCTGTTGTGACTAACAATCTTGCAGCTCCAACGGATAGGTCGCACGGGCCGTAAAGCATCCGGCACAGTGCATATCCTCCTCGCTCTGGGCCGCGAAGAGCACAATTGGCAGAAGGCCCAATCAAACTATGCCGAAGTACAGCATTTCATCGTACGCGCGTCCGACCTCGAAGTCTACGGCGACGTCGACCGTCTCCTCCCCGCCGATATTGAACCCGAGTGCGTCGAGATGGTAATGGAGATCGAAGAGTATGTCCGCGACGAACGCCCTGTTCGCGGCGCAGGCTCGCCGAAGCCCAAGAAGCGCAAGCGCGACGACCACCCGCTGCGAAATGTGCCTGCCGCGGCCGCGAAGGGATTCGTAAGCGTCCGTGACCTGCTCGTGAAGGGTGTGGCGAAGCGGAGGAAGAAGCTGAAGGAGGTCGACCTCGAGCACGCAGGCGAATCGGACTCGGACGATGCGGAAATCGAGGCGGGGCTGTATGGCCCACAGCGGACAAAATCGGCCCCTACAGCGTCCACGGCGGGGAAGGGGAAGAAGAAGGTCTGGCAAGAAGCGCGACTACGACGGCGAGCTCGAGCAAGTCCGGCAGCTCCGCGACGGGGAAGAAGGCAGGAAAGGTAAAGGCAAGGCCACCCGTCAACGTCGGCACGGAAGATGATTCGGACGACGAGGCCATCGACCGCGGGTTGGACTTGCAGCTGGACAACCTCCATTCCACAGCGCACACTGTGTCAGCACCAGGCTTCCGCTCCGCAAAGGATCTCTTTGAACGCTCGAGTTCGCCCGATATCCCGCTCAACTCCATAATCGACTTGACGGAAGACTCGCTTTCCATCGCACGGACTGAGTCCGCGTCGTCCATCCCCGGGCCCGACGAGGAAGAGGTGGACTGTCGAAGCACAAGAGACCTCAATGCCATCAGACCCCCCAAGTCACAACCACGGAAACGTATCTCTCTCAGTCCCAGTCCGGACATCCCCCTCCTCGAACGAGTAATCCCGCGACCCCAGCTGGCTCCTGCAGCGCTTCTTCAGACGAGTCTGTAGCCGCAGCAGCCGACAACAGTATGGCGTGGCTCATCGCCGACGACGATGACGACCCGTTCGTGCCCATTACTCCGCCAGCCCCGAAATCGCACCACTTGCCCAGTCACCTACGAAGGGCAAAGGCAAAGCCACCGCAACCCTCTCTTCCTCGATTCGAGCCCCCCGCGAGTTAGTTGGAACACGCCCGACTCCACCCCACTCGAGTCCTCTCTGCCTCCGCCGGGCCCTCGCACCCGCGGGTTCCATGGGCCCGCCCGCGCTCCCTTCCCGGCTGGCGATGCAACCCTCACCCGACGCCTCCTCTGACGACGCCCCCTTCTTCGTCTCGGGCCCGCCCCCCGCAACGTTCGCCGTGCGCGCACCCGGCGCGAAGCGCAAACGGCCCATCGCCGATACTTCCATCATCGACCTCTCCTCCTCTCCCACCACTGTCCCAGCGTCGCCGACTCACCCGCCCCTGGGCCCCTCCGCCGCCTGCAGCGCGGCCGCCTCCCTCCGTTTCCCCTCCACCGGCACCCGCCGCGGCCTCGACTCCCGCGCGCCCGAAGCGAAAGAAGCGGCGATTCCGGGACGCCGCGCACGCCGCACGGCACAACCCGTGGATCAACGTCGAGGCCTCGCACTCGGGCGACGAGCTCTCCGCCGGCGCTTCATCAGACCGGTACGACGACGACATGCTCGACGACGAGCCGCTTGACAGCGACGACCGCCGGTTCACCGAGGCTCTGCCCGAGACGCAGGTCGCGCCGGAATACGATCAAGCCGCGGTGTACCGCCGGAGCCTGATGACGCAGGCACCAGGCGCGCCAGCGTTTGCACGTGGACTCGTTCGGAGGGGCGGCGCCCAGTTCTTCGCGGATGGGAGTGGCGGTGGAGGCGCGGGGACGGGTGCGAGGCGGAAACCGCGGTGGAGCTCACCGACGGAGGCGGGTGAGGACGAGGGGCCGGACGAGTACATGCATGGGAGCTTCGTGGTGGACGACGACGCGGAGATCTCTTTCGAAGGCGTACCGTCGGACGATGACTTATAATCCTTGATTCCCTGCAGCGGTTACACATGTCCTATAGCGGAGCGAGGCGAGCTGTACACTATTGCTATACTAACCCACTGAATGCGACGCTTAGAGGGGAGGAGATAAATGAGCCGGGGTGCGTCCGCACGCGCAAAACACATAATTGGGCGGACGGAACAGCAGCAACTCGGCGGTCGGTCGGCGCATGATGGGCAGTCGCATCTATATGTTGGAGCATGGCGGTCCAAGTGCCAAGTGCTCGGAGCGTGAGCGCTCTTCCCGAGCCGCATCTCTTACTCTCTCCATCATGGTCTCCGGGAGCCATTTCTTGTTTTGTCCACGGCTCTCTCCAGGACGGCCCGTGCGGGACGACGAACAGGCATTTATGTGATACCCAAGACCCTGCGAGATACGACCTCTTCAATTGAATTCTGCGGTAGCGAGGTGTACATATGCCGCTGCAGATGCGAGGTACATCTTCATTGTCGTTCGCGTGTCTCATGTATACCTTACTCCGCAGGCGGACTATCTTGCAACGAGTCTCATGATCGTGTTTCCCAGAACTCTAAACCTGCCACACCTGGACCGTGTGGTGCTGCAGCACAGTAGGCGCACATACCGAATGGTATGCCATGGACTCGGCAGCGCCGCAATCCCTTCGTCGCTCTCCTCTCCACCCTATCCTTTCTCTCGATGGCGAATTCGCAAACCCGAAACTCTTCTCCTGATGGTCTTTCGGCTCTCATGGACTATGTCGCGCGGTTGTCGAGCGACGACATTGACGACATCCTCTCCAAGCGCGGGGCTGGAGGGGTGATGAGCGATGAAGAAATAGCCTTTTCTCTCTTCGCAGAAGACGCGCAAGGGATCCTCAACATCCGCCGAGATCGCGGAGGCGACAAGGATGACATCGCAGATGAGCTATATGACATGGAAGAGATGGCGCGGTACGACCGTCTCCTCGCGATCGCTCTTTCAGAAGACAGAGAGCCGCCTCCTCGCCCCCCACCTCGAGGCCGTGTACGCCGCCGAAACCGCGATCGCTCCAGGTATGCAACAAAAACAATCCTGAGTTTAAACGTGCTGACTGCTCATGTTGCAGGGCTCCGTCATCCCACTCTCCTCACGTGATGCCGATGCCTCTCGCAATCGGTGCCCCCGAATCTGACGACCTTTTCGAGGACAGCATGTACGACCTTATGGTGAGAACAAGCCTTTCTGCTTCCGGGGGTCTGGGAATAGGGGAACCCAAATTGCAGGCGACTTCATTCTCTTCGATGATGATCCAGAGTTTGACCACGACTATAATTCGTCATCTGGGTGAGTTCTCTCTGAGCTTGCTTCGATGTTCGGCGGATTGAAAACGCTCTTAGACCACTGAGAACACCCTCTCCCGGGCTTTCCCCGGAAGCGACACAAGTTCTGAGATTATCCTCGACTTCAACTGGAGACCGTTTATCCCCGACTGCGGGTCTTCTACAAGGTCGCCTCACGGCTCCGCCTTCGCGGCGGACACCCGCAGACCAGCACTCCCCAGGCCAGAATGCGTCATATGCGGAGACGCAATCTCCGGGCCTGTGATATCCACCCCGTGCGGCCACTCCCTGACGTCCCCTGCCTCCGCACCATGTTCGAGCGCGCTACGCACGACGAAACGCTCTTCCCCCCAAAGTGCTGCCAGACGCCGCTCGAGGTTTCGGCAGTGCAACATCACCTCCTGCACCCCTCCGCGCGCGCTACGCCGACAAGGGCCGCGAGTTCACGACCGCCGACCGCGTCTACTGCCACATCCCCACCTGCGGCGCCTTCCTCGGCCCGCGCAAAGCCCACGACAGCGCGGCCGTCCCAGTGCGCCTGCCGGTCCGGGCAATGCCCCAGAGTAGTACTAGCAAGGGCAAGAGCCGGACCCTCCTCCAGCCTTCGCTCATAAACGACTACGCCTGCACGGCGTGCGGCGACCACACGTGCAAGAGCTGCAAGACGGCGGCGCACCCGGGCCGCGCGTGCGCCGAGGCGGACCTGCAGCGGGACGTGCTCGCGCTCGGGCGCGCCGAGGGCTGGCAGCGCTGCCCCGCCTGCGGCCACCTCGTCGAGCTCAACGAGGGGTGCTACCACATCACCTGCCGGTGCGCGAAGCAGTTCTGCTACCTGTGCGCGGCGACGTGGAAGGAGTGCGGCTGTCCCCAGTTCCACGACCCGGGCGAGGGTGCGGTCGAGGCTGGTCCGCCGGTCGAGGCTGCCGCTGTGCCGGACGACGAACGCGTCCAGGTCCCTCGGATTCAACTTCGGCCCCATGTGCATGAGGTCGCGGCATTGCAGTCGCTGCATTGCCACAGCTGCGCGTTATGCGCCGGGGGTATCGCGCGCTTTGAAATCTATGGGCCTCATACGAATAGAGGATAGCCGGCAGTGTACTTTTCATGATGGGTAGTCCCCAGTGTTGTACAATACTAGCTAACAGAAACCGTTTGCGATCACTGGAAATGCGTACCCGAGCTCATCATGGTAGATCTCAGTGTGGTTGATGTGCGACCGATTTGTCCTTAAGCTCGTCACCACTTGGCTCGACACCGCACCACTCGGCGAAAGGTACTGTTTTTGTCTTCTTCGTTCAACGCCCTCGAAGGCAAGGTCTTATGGACTGCAGGGAATCCTACCCGAAGGGGCGGGACGTCACCTGGCTGCATCCTCCATTGCGCCCGTTTCTCGACCATGCGCCGGCCTGGCGGCTGTGATTCTTCCAGGACTTACGCATATAAACCGCCAGTGTCGCCTTTGGACGTCAAGCTCGCCTCTGTATACCACAATACCTTGCCTATATATAATTGGTTCAGTGTACAGCCCAGACGAAGCCCATCAACTCCCTGATCCCGTCGTCTCCCCATGGTCAAGCACCCTGACTTCAAAGCTTCAACCCCGGCTCGTCCAGCTTCCTGAGCGTCACCTTGTCGAGCCTCCCCCTCTCTTCCCCGGCCCCTTCCCCTCACCTGCCGTGTCCCTACTCACACCTACTACATAGAGTACACTCTCTAGCTGCCCTTAGCAGGCCCTCTCCAGGCCATCGCGGGCATTGCCTCGACCGAGGCAGAAGGTGAAAACGCAGTGGTTGGTGCACTGTCTGAGCGAATGGCTATGCATTAAGTGTGTGATATTAGAACACTGCACTGTGCATCGTAATCCAACCTAGGCATGTTGGGTCACCGCCGATCGAGGTAATCCCAGACCTTACTCGCCACTTGACTCATCGTCTCCTTCCACTGCTTCCCTCCCGGGGACCCACCCCCGTCCGCCTCGGAGGAGAGCATATACGGCACCCCTCGGTCGCCGACCTGGCTCACGCCCTGCACGAGAGGGAGCTCCCCCAGGACGTCCGCCCCAAACCGGGCGGCGGTCGCACGGAAGGCGGCTGGGGAGCCAAACAGTTCATGCCTGTCCTCGCACGACGGGCAGATGAAGTGGGACTCATTGAGGAGCAGGCCGGTGATCTGCGCGCCCCACGAGCCCAGGAACGGAAGTCAGCCAGAAGGCGCGGGAGCGAGAGCACGCGGAACACACGCACGGGCACGTCGACCTTCCGGAACATGGCGACGCCCTTGCGGACGTCGGTGAGCGCGACGTCCTGCGGCGTGGACACGACGACCGCGCCGTCGACGACGACGAGCTGCGCGAGCGTGAGGGGGACGTCGCCCGTGCCGGGGGGCATGTCGACGACGAGCACGTCGAGGGGCGCGGCGGAGCCCGGGTCGCGCCAGTCGACGTCGAAGAGGAGCTGCTGGACCGCCTTCTGGACCATGAGCCCGCGCCAGACGACCGGCTTCTCGTCCGCGGGGTCGTCAGCGGACGGGCGGGGGAGGAGGAAGCCCATGGACATGCAGGGCAGGCCGTGGTTGACGACAGGGACGAGCGCACCCGCGTCGGTGAGCGCGGGCTCGGGCGCGGACTCAAGGGCCATGAGCTTCGGGATCGAGGGCCCGAAGACGTCGAGGTCGAGGATGCCGACGCGTGGGCGCGCGTTCCCCGGGCGCGGGTGCATCGCGAGGGCGAACGCGAGATTGACTGTCCGGGAGAGGGGCGCAACGTCAACGGGTAAGGCCGGACCGATGGTTAAACCGTGCGGGGTTACGTACCGGCGACGGTGCTCTTGCCGACGCCGCCCTTGCCGCTGGCAACGGCGAGCACGCGGGCGACGTGCGGGAGGGCGCGTTTCTGGGGAGGGCCGCCCCGGCGGGGGATGGTGGGCGGTGGGGGCGCGCCGCGTCTGGGGAGGCCCTGCATTGATCAGTGGTGGCGGCAGCGGGCCAAGGCCCGGGCGGACTCACGAGCGGGTTGTCGTGGCGGCTTGGCGAGGACGAGGAGAGAGGGCGGCGGGAGAGGGCGCGAGGCGGAGTGGCCCAGGGCGGGGTGCGGGGCCGGACGACGGAGAACATAACGCGGGCAGGACAAGACAAGTCGACGAGGCAAGCCACGCGTTGGGGGCGCTGGACGACAGTTGGCGGCGTCGGTTAGGCGTCGGGATCTCGGCCTGGGGCTCGCCTTGCTGGGCGCACGGACCACGGAGGAAAGTGAGTGATGGCTCGGTGTGCTTGCGTTCGAGACACGCGCCGCTTGTGGGTTGCGACGAAAGCGCACAGGCACCGGCGGCCAAGGCTGCAGTGGCAGCGACGGGGCAGGCGAGGACAGGCGCGAGCGCACACCGGCCGAGGGCGGGCGAGACGGTTGCCTCGCCTGCACATGCCAAGCGATCGGCTCGGCCCGCGCGTGCATATCACCCCCGACGGCGCACCTCCTCCTCAGCTTCCTTCCCTCACCATCTCCTCCTCCGCCCCCGACGACTGCCCCGGCCTCTCGCTTCGTCCATCCACTGTCCTTTAGCACACACACTCCCTCTTTGTATCTCGAGCCATGTTCGCCGCTGCCGCTTTCGTCGCCGTCCTCCCTCTTTTCGTCCGCAGTGCGTACCACAACTGCTCTCTCACCGCTCATCCTCACCGACCCATTCCCCCAGCTGCCCTCGCCGCTTCCAGCGACTGCACGCGCACCTACGTCGTCAAGGACGGTGACTGGTGCGACACCATCTCCGCTGCCAACAATGTCTCCACGTACGTCTCCCTTCTTCCCATCCCCATCCGCAGTCCCCTCACGAACCGCATCCCGTACAGCTACCAGCTCGCCGCCGTGAACCCCGACATTGACGACATCTGCGGCAACCTCGCCATTGGCTCCACCCTCTGCCTTGGTACCAAGGCCGAGGACTGCACCTCCACCCACGTCGTCATCGCCGACGACAGCTGCGAGGCTATCCAGGCAGCCTACTCTATCAACTCCACCATGCTCACCCACAACAACCCTCAGATCGACGACGCCTGCGATAACCTCTACATCGGCGAGGTTCGTTCCCCTTCTCACCTCTTGTCCGTTCCCCCCAGTGTTCACCTTCCTCCCTCTAGGTCCTTTGCGTCGCCAACGAGGTCGTCTCTACCGCGGCCACCTCCATCTCCCTTGTCGCCAATGTTGCGTCCACCGCGGCCACCTCCGTCTCCCTTGTCACCAATGCTGCGTCCACCGCGTCCACGACCTCGTCAGCCGCGTCGGTGATGATCACCGTCGTTTCCGACGACGACTCGATCCCCTTCTGCGACGAGCTCTAAGCAGCCCCCCAGTCCTTCCTGGCGAGCGATCTCCCAGCCCCGATGGGCCAGCCCCATTCCGAGTGGGCCGCGTGCGTCCTCCCGCGCCCCCATCCGTCGATGTCCAGCAGATTGTCCTCCCACCGCCTTCGTTTGTTTTACCCTACGACCTCCATACCCCGGCTTGTCGTTTAGCCACGCCTACCTGTTGCCGTTGCTGTGAACTGCGCTCGTGCGGTCATTGTAGATAGTCTTGTTCGTCTACGGGCTGTGCGTGTCGTAATGTTGATGAAACGGTTGGAAACAACGATCCTGTGTGTGGCGTGTCTGGGCTCGAATGTGAGGGTCTCGACCGGGTTGGTACGACGTTTCGCCAAGGGCTTGGAGGTCTTTAATGCAAATGCGATCCGTGCGCGTGTAGGCCAAGTACTCCGGCACACCAGACATGATGCATGCATCCAATTTACGATGAGGTAGAATACAATGTGTTGCGCTCGCCCAAGCCCTTCCAGCGCCCCCACCCGACGTCCCACTACGACTCCTCCAAGAATCCCTGCACGATCAGGTGCTCAATGTCCGCCCGACGCACCAAAAACCGATGCCCCCGCCGGAAGTCGATCGCGCCGAGCTCGGTGTGCACGACCCCGCAGTCGCGCACGACCCGCACCGTCACCTGCAGGTCCTTCGGCGGGTGCGTGATCGGCGCGAGCACGTCCACGTCCTCCGCCGCGCCGGCCCTCTCGCGGCCTGTGCCGTTGCCGCCCCCGCCCGCGGCGAGCGACTCGGTGCGGAGCGTGAGGAGCGACGCCGCGTACGAGCGCAGGAAGTCGACCTCGTGCGGCGAGAGCTTCGAGCGGACGTCTTGCGGCGCCGCGCCTAGTGACGCCGACGCCGCTCCTCCACTTCCTCCACCCCCTCCCCCTCCTCCCGCGTTCGGATTCGCGTCCCCGGCGCCGGCGCTCGCGTTCGCGTTCGGCTGGTTCGGGGCGGCAGCGGGCGGCAGGGCGAGGAGGAGCGGGAGCGCGCCGCCGACGGCCCAGTACAGGTCCTTGAGGAGGTCTATCCGGTGCGCGTGGTACGCGAGCAGGCACCGCTTGTTGCGGAGGATCGCGGTCTGGTAGAGGAGCACGGTCGGCATGTGCCTCTCCCGCGCCGCGCCCCACCGCCGCCGTCGTCCACGGCGGTCTCCTGCGACTCGGACTCGGACTGGGAGGCGGCGGAGGCGAGCGCAGCCTCGATGCGCGCCTCGAGGTCGCGCTGCTCGCGGAGGACGGCGCGGACGAGGACGTCGTTGTACTTGAGCAGGGTGTGCGTCGCGGTCGAGCGCCGGGACTCGGTGAGGAGCTGGGTCGCGAGGTCGCCGAATTGGCTCGCGCCGGGGTTCATCGTGCGCGGCGCGGGGTCCGAGGGGCGGGAGAGGCGAGCGCAGCAGCAGAGCCAGTATACTTTGAATGTTGGGGGGTAGTGCCGAGGTGGGGGCGAGACGGGCACGGCGAGGGAGCGGCGAGTCGAGGCGGATGGACAGAGGCCAAGCAGCCAGTGAGCGCGTCCAGAGAGCGACGAATTCAAGACGTGACGCGTTGACGCGACACGACGCGTGCGGTCACGGAACTGTCACGCCGCGCTCAAGTCGGAGAATAGTATACTGTACCATTTCGTATTAATCGAACGTCACGCGTCACAAGAGCGTCCAAAAGTTCGAAATTTCGGGGGTAGTCACGGCTCACAAGGCCGAAGTTCGAAAGCATCTCGCGGGCGCTTGCCGGCGCCCGCTCGGTTTGGGCGTAAAAGTGCCCAAAACTCGATGATGGGTTCGAAATTTCCGGGCCGTCACGGACGGCCCGGTCGAAGTTCGAATACGCCCGACCGAACCCGCCGTCACGCTCCAAACGGCGGTTCGATCAATTCGAAATGGTACAATACAGTAGATCTTACGTACGAGCTCGTACATACTGTACTACATACTACAAGTGTCGCCACAGTCCTCCCGATGCCCCCTGGTCAGCATTGGAGCCAGAGTGAGGACGAGAGAGTGCAGGAACGCACGACCCTGCCAGGGAGGCGCGTCAACCGGCTACTATGTCGGGAAATCCAAATCGGCATTGCGGCGTCTCGCAATGCGTCGCAAGCGCTACCGGGCTGATTGGTCTCGCGAGGCATCGCAATCCAAGCGAAATAGCTCGCAACGCAGTCGCGCGTCTTTTGTCGTCTTGCAATAAGGCTACCCGAGATCACAATGTGTCAGCCTGCCTGTCAATTGGGTGTTCAGGCTTGCGTCAATTGTCGATTACCGCTTGTGCACCCGTTATAATCCAGTAATCTAATATAATCATTCTGTTCGTTTAACTCCAGTACAGCACAAAGAACTACTAATACAGACGCATGAACAACGAGGTGGAGAGACAGAAATGATGACATAGCATATAGGGTGCCACGCTCATTAATAGACAACTTACTTCACTACGCAGGCACCTAGCGGGCCACAGCAGTGACCGCCGTCAACTGCACTGTGCATGGCGGCCGGATGGCATTCACACGAGAAGTTCACACGAGAAGAGACATGAGCCCTGTTTTGACCGAGAATATATCAGCAAGGCACATGCAGACAGGCAGCATACACATACGTTAATCATTGTCCATGGTCTGACCCGCTCCCCAGTGCCAGCACGACTGTCCGATATCGAACCTGGATATGGAGGGGAAATAATCAGCACAGAAGGGCAGCGAAGGAACACGGCACAAACCTGAATGCGACACCACGCATGTGGAGTGGCGATGGATACAACAAACCGAGAAGGGAGTGGAAGAGGAGGACGAAGGGGGACTGACGTGGTGGAAGCAGAGAGAGGAGCGCTGAAAAGGCGCGCACTCACGAAATCTTCTAAGTCCCTCGTCGTCGGCTCGGGGGTCCGCGATGTCGCAAGGCCTTACAATATGGTCCCACGTGCGGTAAGTCCTTGCAATAACTTCAGACGCCTTGTAATCTCTCGCGAGGCGCTACTGAGCTTGCAATGCCATCGCAAGTCAACCTGAGCGCCTCGCAAGGGCTTGCAATGCAATGCAATCTAATCAAAACCCGCTTACAAGATCTTCGGCTTGCAATGCCGATTTGGATTTCCGGACATAAGCGCGTGATGTGGATCTCACGGATCGGGCACGTCGGGCAGAGAATGGAGAAGTGGCCCTTAGTCCACCCGGAATTCTCGTCCGCGGCAACGCTGATAAGCAGATCTCCCATGGCTGCGACGTACGCCGCTGACCCTGAAAATGAAAGCAGCACATCATGCTACCTGCTTTAGGGGTGAAACTCATGAAGAGAACTCCACAGACATAGGGACAATTGTAGAGAGAGAACTTACACCTGATCCACACGGTGATCACACAGCGATCGCCTGACCATCGCTCGACAGTGCGAAGAATGGACCATATAACAGGAACGGCAACACTTCCACCCAGGGATAGTGAGATGAAGACCGCTTGACGCATATCTGTAATCATTGTTCAATCAATCAATCAATTCAATCTTGGATAGCAAAGGCGGCCGTTGTGCAAGATTTACGCGTGCGTACTACCTATCGTACAAACTTTGACTGTCAAAAAGCGGTCCGCAGGCCCCCTCAGGCCTCAGCAGCCAGCTTATCTACCGTCATGGTCCGGCAGGAGGTCGTGCTGCGACTAGGGCCCGCCGCGCTTGGACGACAGCCGGCGCCGCGACTGGGGCGGCGGGCGGCGGCCCACCGGCGACAACCGCGCCAGGCTCGCCCACCACGCGGTACGACGGGCAGACGCACATCTTCCACGCCATCCCGCACCGGTAGCAGAACTGCTGCGCGCACCGGCAGGTGACGTGGTGGCAGCCGTGGCTGAGCTCGACGAGGTGGCGGCACGCCGGGCAGCGCTGCCAGCCCTTTTCGCGCCCGAGCGCGAGCACGTCCCGCTGGAGGTCCGCCTCGGCGCACGCGCGGCCCGGGTGCGCGGCCGTCTTGCAGCTCGTGCACGTGCGGCCGCCGCACGCGGTGCAGACGTAGTGCCCCTGCGCGGAGCCTGTCGCCGAGGACGAGGAGGGGTCGGAGCCCTTGCCCTTTGCGCTCTGGCTGCTTTGGCCGTGGAACCTGCCGTAGAAAGAAGAGACAGAAGGCCCGGGAGCGGCGGCGGCGGCGGCGGCGTCATGCGCTTTGTGAGGGCCGAGGAAGGCAGAGCAGGTCGGGGTGTGGCAGTACACGCGGTCTGCAGTCGTGACCTCGACCTGCTTGTGAGCGTATCGGGTACGGAGTATGCTTGGGAGGTGGTGCTGTACCGGGGCGAGCTCGATCGGGGTGCGGCAGCATTTCGGAGGGAAGAGAGACTCGTCGTGCGAAGCGCGCTCGAACATGGCACATAGGCAGGCGATGTCGAGGGAGTGGCCACACGACACGGAGACTACCGTTCCGCGGATTGCGTCGCCGCATATGACACATTCCGGCCTAGGAGAGGCTGGTCTAGGGGTGTTCGTGGGGACGGCGGAGGGACATGCAGAAGAGGCATGGGATGAAGTCGGTAGACCATCGTCAACGGTCGTGATCTAGAGCAGAAGAATAAGTGCTTACCTGCCAGAATCGGCAGAGGGATCGCTACGGCGGACACGACTTCGACGTGGAGGACGGGGAGGAGGGTCGCGGCCTTCGGAAAGCGCGGCGGCCATGAGATGGTCGTACCTCGCCATTTCTTCCATATCAAATAGGTCGTCTGCAATCTCATCGACGCTGCCTCCGCGACGGTCTCTGCGGAAGTTGAGAATCCCTAGTGCTTCATCCACAAAGAGAGCCATGGCCATTTCTTCATCGCTGACTTGGCCATCACCTGCATTCTTGGAGAGAAGTTTGTCAATGTCCCCGGTAGATAAGCGGGAAACGTAGTCCATGAGAGCTGAGAGACTGTCGGGAGAAGAGCTTCTGTGGTCAGGATCTGCCATGAGGAGCATTGGGACAGAGGAGAAGCGAGCAAAGGAGAGACCGCCTCGTCCAATTTAATCTGCGTGCTGCAGAGAACGTCATGACGTTCGTCGCAGCACAAAGGGGTCGGTGGGGCAGCGCGAGCACGAGATAGGCATGAATGACAGGAAAACGACGGCGCCGCGTCTGCAGCTGGTGTGTCGGTATGTGTTCGGTGTTCGTCGCCGTGTGAGTATGCGCCCAGAGCGTATGTAGAGGCAGCCGTGGGCGACCAAAGCAAACGGCGAGAGTAAAGATGGATGAACGCACCTCCGGCTAGGGTGAAGTATCGCCGAGGCGCGATTAGCCATCGCCAAGCCCACGTGCCCCTGCATCGTTACTAGACGCGGGTAAATATGACCGTACGTGGGCGATCCGAGAAGCGCCAGTTGATCGCCATTTGATTATTAAGCATGCGGGCTCAAGCGCTCATGAGGGCTGTTTCGAAATCAACTCAGCTTAGCCGACCGAGTGAGGCACCGTACGTCCACGCTCATTCTGTCTTAGTCTCGTTCCCGACCTTTAGAGAGTCTCTCTGAGCACGCCCGCTAAACTTTGCGCGTGCTCAATCCTCTGTCTGCACTCAATGTTTGATATGTTCTCCCTATTCAGGAAGTCTGGAGGGGATGGGGGGATGTTGCGGGGGGCGGTACGGGGATAATTCAAGTAACAGCGGTGATGGGAACTTTGATGAAACAGCGACATTCGAACGGCTGGATCCGAGACTAGCCCTCCCATCGACCGGCTTACACTGCCCTATGTCTGGCCATGTGCTGAGTTCTGGGCACCCTGCTACTTATGATGAGCTCTTGCCGAGAGCAGGGTGCTCAGCCGCGACGCACAACGGCACGGAGACCCTAGTCTCCCCTAGGCCAACCTTACGGAGACCCATCGTCTTGGAGAACTTAGTTACCGCATTCAAGTTGCGCAAGATGAAATGCCCAAATTCGGAATGGAGCGCTGTCTCCGCCAAGACGGGTCAGACCAGGTCAGACTGCTCCCGAGTCGGAGTTCCTGGAGGCAATTGGACGCAGCTTGCGCTTGGGGACGCGAAATCCCACACATAGATGTGTGAGAAGCTATCCTGGCTAAATCTAACATTTCTTGATTATCGGCGTAGGGAATTCGCGTTTGTTCGGACATTAGGCGAGTCTTTGTATGGCGCCCAGCGGCCACTCCCAGCCGTCGGCCAAATTGACGGGCAACACCTTTGGCGCCACGCCCTCAAGTGAAGCTGTCCCCGAGGCGACACCGAACAATATCGCACGTCCGCTTTCAAAGCGTCTCCCACGGTGGTGCTCTCCTCGTCTCAAGGCCGGAACCCGCCCCTTCCTCACACTCGTCCACGTCCTTGCGCCGTGCCTTCTGCCCGTCATGGTGCCCCGGCTCCTCGCTCTTGCTTCGTTCTTTTCTGCATCGTTGGCGCTTCGAAATGGTCTTGCCTTGACTCCTCCAATGGGCTGGAATTCATGGAATTACTTTTCGTGCGGCGTCAACGAGGACATCGTCCTCAGGGCCGCAAAGTCTATGATTTCCTACAACCTTACCCGCCTGGGCTACGAATGTGCGCACCATATATTTCCGATCCTTCGTCTTTTCTCTCATTCAACCCGCGTTCTTCCCCAAAGACGTTCTCGTCGATGACTGTGAGTGCTTGTATGCTGTCATGCTCTCTGGCGCTTAGTCCATACCCCTGTCCAGGCTGGCAAGCGGACACCCGGGATCCCAAAACAGGGGCTCCCGTCGAGGACAAGGGTAGATTTCCCAATGGTATGAAGGACCTAGTCGACAAGGTTCACGCCATGGGTCTCAAGGTGTGCGGCTCTCAGTCAGATATCTGGAGCTTGAGTATTCACAGTCTGTGCAGTTTGGCATATACAGCAGTGCCGGCACGTTAGTCTCGTGGACCACGCATTCAAGAACTGTACTGACACGAAATGCAGATATACATGCGCTGGTCGGTTTGGCTCCCTCGGATATGAGGAAATCGACGCCAAGACGTACGCTGGGTGGGGTGTCGACTACCTCAAGTATGATAACTGCTATAACGAGGGTCGCGCCGGAACCCCTATGATCTCTTACGAACGCTATAACAACATGTCCATGGCACTAAACGCAACAGGAAGACCCATGGTGTACTCTATGTGCAACTGGGGAGAGGATGGTCCTTGGAACTTTGCTATCGTAAGCGTCTATTGTAAATTCGACAACTCGACCCTCCACTGAGCATTTGAATAGGAAATCGCAAACAGCTACCGCATATCTGGAGATATATATCCTGTAAGCACTTTGCCAGTTACACACTCATGCCACGAATTTACGTTACTTCCAGAACTACAATGACTTCGATATCCGATGTCCATGCACGGACGTTCTCGACTGCAAACTTGCGGGCTTCCGTCGGTATCAAGGCGTATTCTATATGAGCATGTTTTGATTTTGATCATTTCTGCGTTTAGACTGCTCGGTGATGAGAATCCTGGACTTCTCTGCACCCATCGGCCAAAAATCAGGGAGTGGTCACTGGAACGACCTCGACATGCTCGAGATCGGCAATGACGACATGACTTTATATGAACAACGTAAGTCGTACGCCGGACCCACAACTACAACTTACACAGCTTCTGGCATCGCATCACAGTCACCCACTTCTCTATGTGGGCGCTCGTCAAGAGCCCGTTGATCCTCGGAAACGACGTCACGAGCATGGTGGGTTGATGGTGTGGATCGATTCCCAGACACACACTAACGACACCGTACAGACACCACAGACGCTCACTATCATCACCAACGACGCCCTCATCGCTATCAACCAGGACGGCAACGGTCCTATCACTCGGCGCTGGAAGAAGCCGGTGAAAGACGGTGAGATCCAGCTCTGGTCCGGCGGCACCGCGAACAAGTCAGTCCTCCCATCGTCCTCTCCTCTCTAAGGAAAGACCTATGCCAATCACATCTCACCCTCCAGCTCCATCATCTTCACCGTCCTCAACACCTCCCCGACGACCCAAACCGTCTACCTCGACTTCGCCGACGTCTTCTACGACCAGGGCCGCTACTACGCCCGGCAAAATTTCAAGCTCTTCGACCTCTGGATGAAAGACGAGACCGACAACTGGGGCGCGCCCGCCGGCCAGGCGCAGTTCAACTTGACCCTCGAGGTCGCGACGCACTCCATCAGGGTCTTCCGCGCGACGCCCGCGCCGCTGGAGAGTGCGGGGAGCGCGAAGCGGGAGTCGGAGAAGCACTTATGACTCCTTGCGCCCGTCCTCGTCGGCGCCGCGCTCCTCGTAGGGGGAGTCGTCTTCTTCTACATGCGGCGAGGATGGGCGGAGGAGAACCTCAAGAAGCAGTGGTATATGCCGCTGAGCACCCTTAGGCAAACCGCTGAGAGGTAGAGTCGCGGAGAGAGCGTGCGGTGGATCGGATTGCCGTGGGACGCAGAGTGTAATCGGAGGACACTGGGAGCCTTCTGCCTTGTCCTGGAAGGCTACTGGATCTGGACACTGCTCAGATGTCCCCGGACGATGACCGCAGTTATCATAAAAGCCAGCGATATTGGCTCTAGTAGTGTTAGTACGCGCGTACAATAAAGATACCCCCCAATGCTTCGTCCAGTGATTGGTCCGTGCTGTCTTCAATCGCTGAATTGTGATGTTCTTTCCGCAGTTCACTACTTCACTTGGGGTTGGCCGGTAGTTCTCTCAAGAGCGGCGGCCAGCTGAATCTACCCTTTAACGCCCCCTCCCACCTACGTTTTGGCTTCGAACTGCTGCCAGAACGAGTGCTCCCACCAGTCGCCCTCCACCCGTCGCGGGACCGTCAGCCGCCCTCCGCATTCCTTTCACCGCAAGCCTCCAACGTCCAGAGCTCCCCGATGCCCTCGCGGCGCGCATATTCCAACAACTTGTGGTAATTCAGGCCGACCGCATGGGGCCCGTGGCTGTCGTCGGACAGGGTGAATCGCCCACCCGCGCCGAGCACGATCTGGATGACCAAAGGTCAAAACCCCCGTCGCACAATACAGAGGACAACGACGCACCTCGACGACGTCTGGAGCGGGGTACGCCGCGTCCCACCCCTTGCGGAACGCAGCCGCGTTGAGCTCGAACAGCGCGCCGTACGAGACTGCGAAGGCGACGTTGCGGCGCACGCGCTCCAAGGCGGCGGGGAAGTCCGCGAAGCGGAGCACGGGGGTGTACAGTCGGCAGAGATCGAGATGGCCGACGACCTCGGGGTGGAAGCGGCGCAAGAGGTCGTGCTGGGCGTCGAGGTACGCGCAGAGGAAGGCGGACGTCGTGGCCGGCTCGGCAGGGGAAGAAGGGTCCGGGGCGAAGCTGGTGAGGGCGCTGGCGAACGTCGGCTGGTCGAAGTCGATGGGGATCCCGGCGACGTGGTGGACGGAGCCGACGATGTACTCGATCTGGTCGGTGTGTTGGGCGAGGAGGGATGCGAGGCCGGAGAGATCGAGTTCAGTGATGGACTCGGTTTCGAGACCGACAAGTAGATTGATTTTGTCCGCATACTTGGCCTTCAGACGATGTGCTTCGGTCAAGAAGGCCTCGAATTGACCGGCGAGAGCATCAAGGGTGAGGTCGGACTGCGAGTGGTTGAGAAAGGAGTCAGGTAGAGAGGGATTGGACTGACCTCCTCGGGGTAGAGATCGTCTGCGCGATAGCGCGGGACGTGCTCGGTCAGCCCGTAGACCACGAAGCCTTGGGCGATCGCTTGAAGGATGACATCTTCGAGGGTTCCAACTGCGTGCTTGCAGAACTGGCCTGAGTGAGAATGATGGCTGACTGGCATCACACTGAGACGGACTGCCGCTCGCGCAGGTCGCAGCCTTGACCAGGATGTCTTGGTCGTGCGCGAGGGAAGCAAAATACCGCGAGGTGTGCCCAACTAGATCGCGATAGTTGGATTTGGAGGACGGGCGGCGATAGGGCACACTGTTCAGACAGAAGAAGACATACGCATAGATTGCACAAACGGACAATTGGCCAACACGGGTCGAGGGGAGCGGGAGCGAAGACAAGGTGCAAGCGGCAGACTGACCAAAGAGTCCGTCGGTGGGGAACGGAGGAAAGCCCGTGGGCTGACAGTGAGGCCGAGCCAGGTCGACAACCAGCGCCACTGTGCCCTTCGCCCTTCCTCTTCTGACTACAACCTTCCCTCTCGTTCATCTCCTCCGCGCGCTCTCTCTCTCTCATCCACTCTCCACACCGTCTCATCCCAACTATCACAACACAATTATGGTGCGTATACCGGATGTCTGCTGCCGCGCATCCACTCACCTGGGACACAGTCGACCAACTGCCGCCGCCGCCTCATTCGGGATTTCAAGAGGCTGTCGACCGAGCCTCCAGAAGGGATCTCGGGGAGCCCCTGCCCAGATAACATCATGCTTTGGAATGCCGTCATCTTCGGACCTGGTGAGTGCTCACTGTCAGTGGCGCTCGAATTCGGAGGAGTGCTGAGTGAGCGACTGCAGGAGATACGCCGTTCGAGGACGGAACGTTTAAGCTGACGTTAACGTTCGACGAGTCGTACCCCAACAAGCCGCCGACAGTCAAGTTCCTGTCGCGGATGTTCCATCCGAACGTGTACGCGAACGGGGAGCTTTGTCTGGACATCCTTCAGAACCGGTGGTCGCCGACATACGATGTAGCGGCGATTCTGACGTCGATCCAGTCGCTGCTGCACGACCCGAACCCGAACAGTCCTGCGAACGCGGAGGCAGCGCAGCTCTACCGGGAGAACATGAAGGAGTATGTTCGGCGAGTGCGCGCGACAGTGGAGGACAGTTGGCTGGACCCCGACGAGCAGGCGGCGATGGACCAGGACCCCGCTGGTGGACAAGCGTAGGGGCTGCAGTCGGACCTCATCCCGGCTTTGGGTATCGTTTGTGGCGGTATGGGCGGAGGGTAGGAGTGGGAAGAGCCTTCGTATGTGGAAGGTCTGCCTCGGGGAGACTAGGGAAGAGCGGGAAGACACGGATCTGTATGGTATTGTACATTGGACATAATCCGACATTGGTATCCTCTTTTCCGCCGGCGAACGCCAGGGGTGGCTAGAATGGACATCACTTGCTCATCCCCTCCAGCAGTCCGGTGGTGCGATAACCAACGACGGTATGAGCAGCTCATGCCACTGAGTCCGTCGTTCGCGGGTGGCGTGCGCAGTGCGGTCGTGTGAGCCACGATATGTAGCCAGGCGATCGAATGTGTCCCTCTCAGGCCTCCTGCGGGCTCGGCCGTCGGCGGCAGCGCAGAGGTCGCTGTCCGCGCGCGGGGCCACTGCTTGCGGGGGCGAGGGCCGAGATAGTCGTGTGCGGGGCGGCCTCAGCCGGTGCCTGATCCGGCAAGGCGCGGAGGCCGGATGAACGAACAGCGCGTTGCCCCGGCCAAGTTCTCCTCATCTCCTCCCTCCTCCTCCGCCTCTTCCTCCTTTCCGCCTCCCCTCCCTCCCGCCTACTCTTTCCTCGCCTCGGCCACCGCACCCAATCACCACTGGGTCCACACCCGACGAACCACGACGGCCACGACACGATGACGCTCCCCGCCAACGATGCTTTCACGCTCGGCCTTGACCACTCCATCGGGCTCACCTCGACCAAAATCCCTTTTGTATCCTCCAACAAGGCCCGCTCACCATCCCTTCCTCCTCGCCGCCAGTCGAAGCAGATGTCCACAGACCGCCCCAGCTCGCGCCAGTCACAAACCCAAGCCACCAACGGTGATGCCCCCAAGCACTCCGTTCGCCATCGCAAGAAGGCCCGCACGCACTCAGCCACCTCCGCAGAGCTCGCGAGGCTCAAGCCCTCCAAGAGTACCCCAAAGCCTGTAGACTGGGAAATTCCCCGGAAGACTCTGCACTCCTCTATCGGTGCGTCTCACCATCTCGTTCTGGCTCGTACTCCAATGTCAAACTACGTCCTCCAGGCTTCTTTACCTGGTACCTCTATGCGGCCCAAGGCAACCCGCGCGTCGTCATATACGCCCTCAGCCTCGCACTTTGCCTCATTGTCCCCCTAGACGTCCTCCGCCTCAATTCCTCTCGCTTCGAGAAGCTCTATGAGCGCGTCGTCGGCTTCCTTATGCGCGAGTCCGAAAAAGTACGCTTGCTTGTCTCCCTCGTCTATCCCTTGTTGACCCGTCTCTGGTCTGCAGAAATCAACCAACGGTGTGATCTGGTACATCACAGGTGTCCTCTTTGTCCTTTCCGTCTATCCTCTGGATATCGCCACCGTCTCCATTCTCATGTGCGTCTCGTCTCACGTCGTATTGAACCTAGCTGACGCCCAGTTCCCTGCAGTCTCTCATGGGCTGACACCGCCGCTTCCACCTTCGGCCGTCTGTGGGGCAGATACACTCCACCTCTTCCCCGTTCCATCTCCCTCATCCCTTTCGTCCCCTTCGCCCGCCTTCCTCTTGCACCCCGCAAGTCCTTCGCCGGTTTCCTCGCCGGTTCCGTCACCGGTGCCGCTATTACCGTCACCTTCTGGGGCTTCTGCTACCCTGTTCACGACGCCCAGCTCAACTTCCATCTCCCTCTCGAGACTCTTGCTCTCGTTCAAGAGGCTGTCCCTGCCACCTCAAGTTTAATTCAGCAGGGCATCAACTGGGTCGAGAGCGTTGATCTTCCGCTTGGCCGTTGGCTTGGGCTGACCACCCTTGGCGTAGTGAGCGGTCTGATATCCGGCACGGCCGAGGCCCTAGGTACGTTCACGTCATGCAACTTCACGTCTTGTGCGATGTTGACTCGCTTCGTTGTTCCGTAGATCTGGGCTCCTTGGATGACAATTTGACCCTTCCCATCATCTCAGGCGGCTGCATCTGGGGCTTCTTTAAGCTCATTGAGTTCTTCAATGGCTTTGCATGAACGTCGTCTCCGGTCGCCAGTATCATTTATCACATCTTCGCCCCGTCTTCCGGCTCCCTACCTTACGAAAAACCCGTTGTCCATTGGAGGCTGTCGCCTCGAACACCCGCGTCTATCTCACCCCACTGTGTAATACCAGAAGTCGAAGACGTGTGGCTCTCTCTAGAGAGGTTACACTACACCACATACTCGACCCACTCCCGGCGGACTGAAGTTTGGCTCGCCTACATACATAGACCATGACCTTCCGTAGCATTCACATGTGTTCCCTGAGAAGTGCACCCATCTACCACCATATATCCCTGTACTCTTCCCGCTTTATCCCATGTGTCTCGTGTTTTGCTGTTGGAACTGCTGTGTCGGTGGCTTGGATAGTCGCGTTGAGGCGCCCGGCGCTAGTGGATCAACTTATGAACTCCACATCCTCCACGCAGTGGGACCGTCAAAGGTGTCAGTCTACTAGACACGCTGCTGAAGCGCTGAACCTGGCCGAAGAAGACACAGAAGCAACCTTGTGACTTGGTGCGGAAGCATCCCGCCGACGCTCCATCCAGTACGCCGTCATCTGACTCTCTCCACTTGACCTCTACCGACTCTTCCATCGCTTCGCGTCTCGTACAGCTCTGGGACGTGCATATAAGAACGTCATGCTCCCTTCCGCCTGTGTCCGACGCCAGTGCGACCGTCCTTTACCTGCCCATGGCGCGCTCGCTGCTTTCACTTGCCCTCGCGCTGCCCGCGGTCCGGGCGATGAACAATGGTCTCGCCAGGACACCGCAGATGGGGTGGAACACATGGAACCACTTTGGGTGCGGGATCAACGAGGACACCATCCTCAGTGCTGCGCAGGCCGTCGTCTCCAACAATCTGACGGCGTTGGGTTATGAATGTGAGTTCTTGCCTCGTCTCTTTATGTGCCCCCAGACCTCAACTCTGGCTCTTTCTCCCCTCGTGCAGACATTCTTGTGGATGATTGTGAGTAGCCTGCATGCATACGGTCGGGTTCCAGACTCAAGCCCTCGCGTCAGGCTGGCAAGCGGACGCTCGAGATGCCAGTACTGGCGCGCCTGTCGCTGACCCAAGCAAGTTCCCCAACGGAATCAAAGATCTAGCCGACAAAGTGCACGATATGGGTCTCAAGGTAAGGATGGCTCTTCATCCTTACATGTTCGCTCTGTCCCTGACCGACATGTAGTTCGGCATCTACAGCAGTGCTGGAACGTAAGCACCAGGTTCCTGCCCACGTTCGTCGGTCGCGTCGACTGAGATGGGTGCTCGGCGCAGCTCCACCTGCGGCGGACGCTTCGGCTCGCTCGGTTTCGAGGAGATCGACGCGCAGACGTACGCGTCCTGGGGCGTCGACTACCTCAAGTACGACAACTGCTACAACGAAGGGCGCGCCGGGACGCCGCTCATCTCGTACGAGCGGTACAACAACATGTCACGCGCGCTGAACGCGACGGGCCGGCCCATTCTGTACTCCATGTGCAACTGGGGCGAAGACGGGCCGTGGAACTTCGCGGTCGTAAGCAGAAGCCGCTCTTCGCGCGCCCGGCTGGCCACTAACGAGCCATCCTCACACACGCGTGCAGGACATCGCGAACAGCTGGCGCATTTCCGGCGACATCTACGATGTGCGTGCATTGCGTGACCCCGGTCCGCTCGTTTCCGGCCCGCTCACTTCGCGCACGCAGAACTACGACCGCTACGATTCACGATGCCCGTGCACGGACATGCTCGATTGCAAGCTCTCTGGCTTCCGTATGACACCCCTCGTTAACTTGCGGTACACGCTCCTGACTCCGCCGATAGACTGCGCAATGACCCGGATTATCGACTTTGCGGCGCCTCTCTTGCAGAAGGCAGGTCCTGGGAAGTGGAACGACCTCGACATGCTCGAAATCGGCAACGGCGGCATGACGTTCGACGAATACGGTGACTGCGCTTTCTGTTGGCCACCCGGGATGGTCTTTTCTCATTCAGCCGGCACCCAGTGACCCACTTCTCGATGTGGGCTCTTGCGAAGAGCCCGCTCATCCTCGGAAATGACGTCACAAGCATGGTCAGGGGATCCTTTGGCCCAAATATACGCACAGCTGACATTCTTCCCAGGATACCGACACGTTGTCGATAATCACCAACGACGCCATCATCGCAGTGAACCAGGACCCGAATGGCTCCCCAGCTAGCCAGATGTGGATCCACGCCGTCGACGGAGGTGGCCAGCTCGAGCTGTGGTCCGGTAGCCTCGTCAACAAGTACGCTTTTTATATCAATATTTTGGCGAACCTCTTCGGGTTTACAATCCCTCCAGCCAGTTTGTATGGGCCGTCATGAACACCTCGCCCTCGAACCAGACCGTCAATGTATCCCTGCTCGATATCTTCACCGATCAGGGCGCGGCCTTCGGCTCCGGCACCTTCACCATGTACGACCTCTGGCAGAAGGACGCAGACGGCGCGTGGGGCGCCAAAGTCGCCGACGTCTCCGGCAGCATGTCCGTGGACGTCGTCACCCACGGCGTGCGCGTCTTCAAGGCCGTCCCTGTCTCGAGCTCGCGGAGGGCTGCAGGAGAGTTATGACTCGTGGAAAAGGGGGCGCCTTAGCGCCCGCTTCCACCGCGTTCGCGGGTGAGTGGTTTGTGAGGCTCGGTGCAGCGCAAAATCGGGATGAAGTGGGAAACACTTGTACAAATGTACATCAGATTCTGGACTCCGATGTTGCTTGTGATCGCCACCAAACTCTTCGGTCCATGGACTCATTGACATTGGCTGCTTGGAACGGTGCATACAGTAAATTGTGGCTAGGAGATCCGCCAAGACACAGTGGGGGCCCGCTACTAGGGGCGAGAAGTCGACTGAGCAGGTAGCCGGTAGCCAGTTTGCGAAGGTAAACCTGCACATGGGCTTTAGGTTGGAACTGGGCAGCCTCGAGAGATATCTTGGCCATGTTCCTTCGAATAAACCGACACGAGTATGTGAGTACCATTTGCGTTGAGCACAAACACCGCGCACTACCAATTCGCAGGCCAATCGAGATGAGACGTAACATCTACATCCTCCACAAAGTCCACAACGAGCTCCCAGATGCGCTCCTCGATTCCATGCAGAGGCAAGACCACCGACGCCGCCACGCACTGCATCAGCAAAAGGTGTTTTTGACGGTAGCGCCCGATAGCACGCGACACTGCCATATCGGGACAGGTCGTCTATTGTCTGCGCAACAAGTGATGGTAGCAGAACGGTAGCAGCTGGTATTCATTCGTCTTTACTATGAGGTTCGATCAAATATTGTGGCCGCAGACAGGATATGATGGATATACTACAGGCACAAGTAGCTTGAACAGAAGGCTGTAGTCGATGATAGTAAACGATCATGCGCTCCTTCAAGGGTGAATCACGGGGCGCGCGGGGTGCATAAGAGGTTCGTATTTAGCTATACGGTCGGCTCGTGAGGACGCGAACACTGCGCGCGGCAGAGAACGCGATGCGCGCGACGATATGCGGACGGACGTCAGCGCGGGCGCCTGTTCCGCTTACGCGCCGCGCGCGGAGTCCTCTGTCCGGCATCGATGGCGAGCCCCATCCTCTGTTCCCTTAATCTTTCTTGACGCCTTTTATCCCTTTCGTTGCTCTATTTACATGCGAGCGCGAGCTCGTGAACTGGAGCAAGGCCTACTCCGCGGACCACCACTACGAGAGTCAGCGGAGCGCTCTGTTTGATGCTCTCATTGTCACGAGCTGCGCGGCAAACTCTCGCACAGGGCACTGGGCGAGGGGTCGAGAGTTAAGTCAAGATATATACATCGCTGGGGCCCGAGACGTACAGAGGTCCGTGTTAGTAGCGACATTCTGAAGTCTAAAAGTTGCTTGCAGTGATTTCTTTGCTAATTGTTGTGACCCAATGCGGCGGCGCCACAGTGGCGTCCCGCTTTGGCCTCTCTATTGTTTCCAGACACGGGCGCGTGTGCTGGGTTGCGCGCCTACTGGGCTTTATCTGCGACCACCATCATCCCCCAAGCGCAATGTGCCACTCACACTCGCGCGCGATGTATCAAGACACGGTCAGTTCTTCCTCACTCATCAGCATAGGCTCGCTCACATACACACTTCTGTCGACATCGACATGGCTTTTAACACCGCACTCACACCGGCGAAAACCTGCGCCCTCAAGACTGCGGGTACAAAGGTACGCTTGAGTACTTACATTGCTTATGGACACGGGTCGGTCACATGTGAGGCCTGATTCCTCAGCCTCGCCGACAGTTTCGACGCGGCGCCGCGCGCTCCCATGCGAGCCAGCGACCCAACACTGACCATTTGCTTGCCACTGGGGATTCAAGGCGATATGGAGGCGGTGCGGCAGCCACCGGCTCCGTGAGAGCACGGTGTACAGGTATGTCTTCAGAACGTCCGAGCGCGGCAGGCGAGCAGGATATCACGGTGTACCGTATGGTCGAACCCGCGCATCCTGGGCTCCTGCTGCTAGATCTGCGCGCGACCGCTTCCGGTAGGCGTTGCTGAACGCGCGCGACGCGTCCGCCCCGAGCAGCCACCCGTTCTGCAGAGGCAGCAGCTCACTGGTTTGTGTTCCTCTTCCTTCTCTACCGAGATCAGTTCTACAGCCGCTCATTCCACCAAGTCCACAGCGGCCTCGACCGACGAGTCACAGTACTCGCACTTCACCTGGGCGATTGCCCCGCGCAAGCAGCGGTCTCGAGTCGGTCCACATGTCTGTCTCCCACGACTACGGTGTCCTCATCGAGGACGAGGGGATCGCCCTCTGTGGGCTCCTCATTATCGACCCTATAGGGTACCCTCAGGTACGTCCTTGATGGAGCGGCATACGTCCGGGAATCACGACTGATTGTGCGTTTGGTGGAGCTGGAAAAGTAAATTACGATCAACGACCTCCCCGTGGGCTGCTCTGTCGAGGGGACGATCCGGCTCGTGAAGGTATTCCAGTTCTCCCGGGACCCGGGTGCGTCTCTTTTCCTCCGCGCTCCCTGTGGCCGTTCCCGCTGACTTCTCCCGCCTCCCTCCCCCTTCCCCGACGCAACCATCCACCTCTCCACGCCCAACCAATTCACCCTTTCGCGCCCATGGCGCCCCCCATGCCCGATCTGTCTATCTTGCCGCGCTCAACCGACCTTTCCGCGCTCTCCACATTGATTTCTCTATCAGGTAAGCAATCCCCAGATACGAGTTTTCTACATTACTGACCACTCCGATAGTACTCACAATAGGGAACACTCCGTCAATTCGGGGAGACGTGCTGGACGAGAGGCTTCAAGCTTGACCACATCGCCGACCATGTAAGTTCTTTGTTCTGCTCATGTTTCCGTTGCGTAGAATACCGGCTGTTTCGTATTTACCCCGAATGGATTATTGTGCGATTGGAATTATACGTGCGCCCCAGTGTGCGACGGAAGGCGATAGTGTTCCGCAGTTATCTGTCATCTCCTCCGCTAAATCTGACACTTTATCGTGAGGTGCTATCATTTCATGCGCCGCAGATGACCGATATATGGTCGCACGCGCACCCAGAAATGATAGCACTGTCCGCGAGGTACGATCATCATTTGATAGTGGAAGAAGCAGACGATAATACACTATGAGTTACTGCAGTACTTGGATGCTCAGCTACCGTCTATTGTCTTCGCTATCACTAACTATGGTACGCTACGAATGCCCTCGTCCACTATCAGACGCTACCGTTTCCGCGCCCATTTTGCTGATGTGCAGATCCCCGACGTGGAAGCCCAACCGTCCGAGGCGCGCACCCGCCGCGCTCCGGCCGCGCAGCGTGGCCTGCAGCTGCCCGAACACGCGTCGCGAAAGCTGGTCCCACGCCTTCGCGTCTTCGCGCACGACCTGCCAGCGGACGCCGAGCTCCTCCAGGTGCGGGCATGGGAGCGGGTCCGCCCGGGTGGGCTCCGGGGCGCTGAGAGCCTGGAGGAGGTCGAATGGCGACGTGCGCGCGGTCACCAGGCGTGTAACGGCGGGAAAGGCCGCGACGAGGCCGCGGAGCGAATTTTCGGGGAAGATGTGGGCGTGCGTCGGGAGATCGGGCACGAGCAGCTCGAGGTCCGTGATCGAGCCGGACACGCCGACGAACGCGGATGCGAGGGCGTCGGCGCCGGCGGTGATGAGGTCGAAGTCGAGGCGGAGGACGCCAGCTGGAGACCAGCCCTTCACCACGCAGCCACTGGAACCAGCTGAGAAGACGACAGAAAGGCGCGCGACGTTGCGGGTGAAGGGAATGAGGAGCGAGGAGACGGAGGGGTACGGGGCGGGGAGGAAGTCTCGGAGGCTGGTCGCCTTCATCTGGACGAGCACACCCAGGGGGGCTCGAGGCGTTGGATGAGGCTATCGCCAGAAAAAGACTGGGTGACGTTGAAAGAGAGGGTCTGGAGGTTAGGTAGCGGTGTGGAGGAGACTTCTCCGGACAGCTGCGAGAGATTCATGCGAATATCAAGAAAAGCGAGGTTGGTGAGGGTGGGAACACTGCGGAGGAGCGACATGAGTGATTGCTGGATGTGCGTCCCGGGAGGGCCGAATGTACACCAGAGGCAAAGGCATCCTTCGATCTGCAGCGTGCAGAGAACGGGTAGCTTCGTGATCCTGAAGACATGGAGGAAGTAGGGTGATATAGCGAGAGTTTGGAGCCGCGGAAAGGCTGTACCAGAAGAATGTCGACGTGAGAGTCGAGACACCGACGGTTCCGGGTCTCGAAAGTTGGATGCGTGATGGCAGGAGAGCGAAGTGAGCTGAAGGAAATCAGACTCAGATAACCGCTGAAAGGTGGGAAACATATTGGTGGAAACGCTGAGCCACAGAGAAGAGATTCGATGTGCATGAGGAGCAAGGATTTCGCGTGTGCTCATAGCGACCTGGTATATACTGAGGCCAATATGCCGGGGGGAAGATAAGCGCAAGAACGTTTCGTCACGCTCGCGGACGCGAGTGCTACGAGGCTCGGTGTCGTCCGTGTGCTCCATCGCGATTCGGCACATGTTCGCCCAGTATTCGGAAGTGCTGAGCAAGAGGACGCGCCATGCGCGGCACACGTGAAGGAGCCGGATGCCGCTGTAGGTCTTGTGGTCCAAATGGCCGAACACCTCCATGAGAACCTCGGGAGGGAGAGACCGGTTGATAAGTGCGGCGGCGTTGTAAGCAGAGAGGAGCGCGCAGCTGTAAGAGGCGTTCTGCTTCGCCCTGTCGAGCACCCAAGCTTGCCAGTGGCGGGTGGGGTACATACTTCGAATTCGCAAAGCAGCCTGGTGATCTGGAGTGAGTCGGATATACGGGTCAGACATGGATGTCGACTGTTGGCACGTGCACGAGAGGTTCTGTCTGAAGGCCTAGGGTTATAGCTGTTTTAGAGCGAGGTGTGCATGGTGCTTGCTGAAACCGAGGGCACCCGGCAGACGCACGACTCCTGGACCCAGCCAGTCCCGTTCGCGGCGCAAGTTTGCGGGAAGCGCCCGAGGGCCACCGCCGAGGGCAAGGAGCGCGTCCGACCACGGCAACAGTCCCATCTTGCCCCCTCCGGCCTTGCTTTGTCCCCCCTCTGGCAGGCC